CCACTTTGCCTCTTTTTTTCTCCCCCATTTTTTTTTGTTTTCGACTCAGAAAGACGAACTTGCAAACTTCCCAATGTTATTTACGACGAAAAGAGAGAAAAGAGAGAAAAGAGATTGAGAGTCGACTTTCCCTAGATCCAATGATTTTATAGATTGGAAAATTGGAAAATTGGAAAATTGGAAACACTCTTTCTGGTGTAATGAATCTAGAGAATGGGAAAAGGAATTCATGAGAAATGATGGGCTTAGAAGGCGATAGATCATCTAAATCCTCTTTACTAATGATTGACAATGTAAAATCTGTTAAATAGATTGGAAAATCTATTTAACAGATTTGAATTTCAATCTTAAACTTGATAATAATGGATGAGAAATAATGGATGGGAAAAAATGGATGAGAAATAATGGTTGGGAAATGATAGATGAGAAATAATGGATAAGAAAAAATTAGAAGAAAATGAAAAAGTATTGATCTGTGACTATTTGAAAGTCAAAAGCATTGATTGAAATAATCAATGCTTTTGACTTTCAACTCTCAGAACGAATAAGAATCTAAATAGAAATAATAGAAATAATAAAAATAATAGAAAGAATAGAAAGAATAGAAATAATAGAAATAATAGAAATAATAGAAAGAATCGAAAGAATAGAAATAATAGAAATAATAGAAATAATAGAAATAATAGATAAAAGATTTAAATAGAAAATAATAGATAGATCATCTAAATTCTATTTACTAATGATTGACAATGTAAGATTTGTTAAATAGATTTGTTAAATAGATTCAATCTTAAACTTGATAATAATGGATGAGAAATGATAGATGAGAAATGATAGATGAGAAATAATGGATGAGAAATAATGGATGAGAAATAATGGATGAGAAATAATGGATGAGAAATAATGGATGAGAAACAATGGATAAGAAATGATCGATAAGAAATAATCGATAAGAAATAATGGATAAGAAGCAATGGATAAGAAATAATGGATAAGAAAAAATTAGAAGAAAATGAAAAAGTTTTCAGTTTGAATTTCAATCTTAAACTTGATAATAATGGATAAGAAATAATGGATGAGAAATAATGGATAAGAAATAATGGATAAGAAATAATGGATAAGAAATGATCGATAAGAAAAATTCTTTTTAAAAACCCTTTTTCTAGAGTTTAAAAAGCTTGTTTTGAACTGAATTTCACTCAAAAAATAAAACAATTCAATTTTAAAACGAAAAAAGTTAGCACAAGGTAGAAAATAACGAGAAAAAGGGGAATAGAGAAAAAAATAGAGAAAAGGGGGAATTTTTAGCTGTAATATTACAGATATTCTAGCTGTGATATCACTGATATTCTAGCTGTGATATCACTGATATTCTAGCTGTGATATCACTGATATTCTAGCTGTGATATCACTGATATTCTAGCTGTGATATCACTGATATTCTAGCTGTGATATCACTGATATTCTAGCTGTGATATCACTGATATTCTGGCTGTGATATCACTGATATTCTAGCTGTGATATCACTGATATTCTGCTGTGATATCACTGATATTCTAGCTGTGATATCACTGATATTCTAGCTGTGATATCACTGATATTCTAGCTGTGATATCACTGATATTCTAGCTGTAATCTTACAGATATTTCAGCTGTAATATTATAGAGATTTCAGCTGTAATATTAAAGAGATTCTAGCTGTAATATTACAGAGATTCTAGCTGTAATATCATTTTTATCTACCCTGTATGCTTGTTGAAATAGAAGAGATGGATTTGTGGAGGAGAGAAAGGAGAAAAGATGCAGAATTTGGAAATGAGTGGTGGGGGGGGAGACGGGGACTGGGCAAAGCTCTGGGCAAAGCTCTGAGCACTAGCCAGGGTCCTCGCTGCCATAAAACAGAGATCGATGCCCTGCCGCACTCCCTTTTCTCCTCTCTTTCTCTACTACTTGTCATGCACTACTTTCTCTACTACGCGTCTTCTTTTGCACTCCTTTTTTCCTCATCTTTCCCATCTTTCCCATTCTAGACTAGTCTAAAGAGTGCCGTCCTTCCCTCATCTCTTTCTTAACCATCAACTACATCAAGGTTTAAAGCTTTTATAATATAAAAAAACAGTTACTAACATTCCTAAAATATCATTTTTTTTTTCTTTTCTTCTCTTTTCATTCAATAATCTCTATTTTTACTAATCTTTTTTCCTAATTGACAGTTTCAAATTTTTATTGAAGTATGTGGACGGAAAACGAGAGGGTAAAACGATTAGAGCAGAAAAAAAAACATTAAAACACTTTGATGGCAAGCAAAAGATTGACAATCGCTGCTTATTTTCAAGTAAAAAAATAAGCAGCGATTACCAGAAAGCGAGCTTTCACAAGAGCATATATTTGATAACCAAATAGGTATCAAAAAGCTACCAAATAGGTATCAAATAGTTACCAAATAGGTATCAAATCGATACCAAACCGGTATCAAATACCGTAAATACTGTAATAGTACCCCAGCCCCATAATGACGGTGCGAGCATTGCGTAGTCTAGCTTTCAACGAGTTTTTCTCGACACTGGTTTATGCTACAATGTTCGTTTAGGTATCAAAAAATAGCCCTGAACTTCAGGCTATTTTTTGATACCAAAACGAACATTGTAGCATAAACCAGTCTCGAGAAAAACGCGTTCAAAGCTAGACTACGCAATGCTCCGCACCGTCATTATCTTTATAAGAAAAGAAATACGGTTAAGGATATTGTAAAAAATGTCTATAAAATGATAAGATTCAGCTATTTAAAGCTATTTAAAGCTTGAATAAATAGTTGCCGTAATAACTGTAATAGTAGCCCACCCTCATAATGACGGTGCGGAGTGTTGCGTAGTCTAGCTTTGAACAAGTTTTTCTCGACACTGGTTTATGCTACAATGTTCGTTTTGGTATCAAAAAATAGCCCTGAATTTCAGCTATTTTTTTGATACCAAACACGCATTTTTTGAAAGTACGGGCGCTTTGAAAAAATGAAATACTAAACAAACTTTTGCGACTACACGACTGTACGAGGGGGGTGGGGTACTAGTATTTACGGTAGTTAACAAATAGGTATCCAATCGTTACCAAATAGCTACCAAATAGCTACGTCAGCATACGTCAAAGCACGTCAAGAAGCTAAGAAGATTGAGGAGATCTCTGGAGAAGAAAAAAAAGTGATGAAGATGGAAAAGAAGATCGAAAAGAAGAGCAGAAAAGCTTGACTTTAACAGCTGGATTTAAAGCGAGCACTGAATTCCTGCAAATAAGCAGCGATTACCAGAAAGCTAGCTTTCACAAAGGCACAAAGCTTTCACAAAAGCACAAAGTACGCAAGAAGCTAACTTTAGCTAAATACTAAATACTAAATACTAAAGTAAATCAAAATTTGATTTAAAATCTCATCGATTTTGATCAGAGTCTTCTTTTTAAAGAAGACTCTGATCTAAATCGAATTTTCTTTTTGCACTTAAAGAAACTTCTCCTCAACAAGGCCATTCAAAATGTTTACGAAAAGAAAAAGAAATGGTAGTCTTTTTTTCTCTCTTTATGGCCCATTGTGTGAGTCTCATCTTTGAGAAAAAAACGATTCGACTTGTTTCGAATCGAATGGGAATAGAGAAAAGAGAAAGAAAGAGATAGAAAAGAGACCCATTCCCAATTCACCCATAAAACAGAGATCAGAGAGGAAATGGGAACTGGGTTTTGAATAGAGCTCAGTTCTGCTCTTTGCTGTGTACTTTGTACTTAAAAACATAGCTTTCTGGTGCACTAAGACTTTAGTTTTCTGATGGCAATGCTTACAGTAACGGTTTGCCGGGTTACAGTAGTGGCTTATAGTTACAGTAACGGTTTGCCGGGTTACGGTAACCCGTCACAGTCAGAAATTACGGGTTATGGTAGCAAGTTACGGTGGAATCGTTGATCGGGTTTCGGTTACGGTAACGGTGCAATAGTTGACCGGATTACAGTTACAGTTACGGTAGCTACGGTAGACTTTAGAATGAACTGAACAGACCAAAATAGAGTACGATCAACAAAACGGGACACAAGACATTCATGCATGCACTAGAAAAAGCATGCACTAGTGAGTTTAGGCACAATGTAGGGTAGTAAAAATGCTTTTTATGCCTAATGCGGTCACTTTTTGCCCTTGACTTTCTTTCTCTAGTAAAACTAAGTAAACTAAGCGCTGCCCCTAAACAAATAAGCTTAGGTGACCCTTAGTTTGGAAAAAGGAAAAGGGGAAATGACCAGTAAGATGTGAGGCTAAAAGAAGGGAATCGAATGAAAGGATTGGATTACATTGGACTTGAGTATAGAAGGATTGGTCGATTCTTCAATTTATGCTGTACTTTGTGCCAAAGCCAACTGAAACGCACTCCTTCTGGTGCACTGATTTGCGCACTTTTCTTGTAACGATTTGGCAAAGGCAAATTGACTAGAAAGAGTGCGTTTACGCAGCACAAAGTACATCACAAAGAACAGTGCTGGAAGTTGACTAGAAAGAGTACTTTTACACAGCACAAAGTACACCACAAAGAACAGTTTAGCCGGTAAACGCACCGCATCTGGTGGATCGTTGAAAATTGGGATTTAAAATTGCAAGATAGCAAAAAAACAGAAGAAATGCCAATCGAAAACTCGAAATTCTTAAAAAATTCAATTTTCATTTAGTAAACAGATAAGAGATCGAAATTTTTACAGAAAAAAAACATTAGTGAGTCGTAAAATTTGGCGTTTTGCCCTTTTTTTCTTTTTTTTGGCTTATTTTCAAATGGGAATCCAACCCGCCAATTGAGTGAGAAGAGATTGAGAGAAAAACAGGGAAAAATGGGATGTGTTTTAAAAATGACAAGAATATCGGCTACTTATCTAAATATTTAAATAATTATCTAGCTATTTAAATAATTATCTAGCTATTTAAATAATTATCTAGCAATTTAAATAATTATCTAGCTAATTATCTAACTAAAGTTGAAATGGTAAGTTCTTTACGGAAAACCTATAATGTTTAGAGATTCTGTAATAGTACCCCACCCACATAATGACGGTGCAGAGCGTTGCGTAGTCTAGCTTTGAACGAGTTTTTCTCGACACTGGTTTATGCTACAATGTTCGTTTTGGTATCAAAAAATAGCCCTGAATTTCAGCAATTTTTTGATATTTAAGTGGGCATTGTAGCATAAAACAGTGTCGAGAAAAACGCGCCCAAAGCTACTCTACGCAACACTCCGCACCGTCATTATCTTTATAAGAAAAGAAATACGGTTAAGGATATTGTAAAAAATGTCTATAAAATGATAAGATTCAGCTATTTAAAGCTATTTAAAGCTTGAATAAATAGTTACCGTAAATACTGTAATAGTACCCTACCTCCATAATGACGGTGCGGAGTGTTTCGTAGTCTAGCTTTGAACGCGTTTTTCTTTTAAAATCTAGAATGTTTAGAGATTCTTTTAAACCCTAGAATGTTTAGAGATTCTTTTAAAACCTATAATGTTTAGAGGTTCCGCTTTTTGAATGGAATGGATTGCCCCGAGTGGCTTTTAGCTGAAATGGCCGAATTTTCGCATTTGGTTTGTTGTCAAGATTTATATGTCATAGCTGAGTACGATGAAAATAGCTTTATCTAGAAATTTGTCTTCAGCTGCAAATTAAAAACGGCAACTTAAATGCTATTTAAATTGTAAAATTGTATGTTGATATTGAATTGTTTAGTCCTGTGCATTGTCAAGGTAATTCCTGACGTTCTAACCATGTTAGAACGTAAACAAAACAATAACGACAAACTAGATTAACAATTCAAAAGATTTACAAAGATTTACAAAGATTTACAAAACCGTTCAAGCAGAAATTGTTATGGTGACATCGGCTATTGCAGAGGACGTTGGCTTTTCGACAGGCACACCTTCACATCCATTTGTGCAGTTGCGGTGCTTATGGCCTAAAATAAAAAAATAGAATTAATTTTGAAATGAATTTAACTTAATAACGCTGAACTAGATTAAAATAGACTTACCTTGCGATTCAGTCAAAGACTCGGCTCCGAACGACGTCCAACATGTGGCACTTCTTCAGCGGTGATGAAATTGTCGGTTCGGGTTGATTCGAATTGTTAACCTAAAATAAAATACAATTATAACTATCATCAAAGTTTAAAAACAACCATTTAAATCGATGAAACCTTGCGATTCAGTAAAAGAATCAGCTCCGACAGCGGCTTAGAACGACGTCCAACATGTGGCACTTCTTCAGCGGTGTTGAAATTGTTATTAGTCGGTTCGGATTGATTCGAATTGTTAACCTAAAATAAAATACAATTATAACTATCATCAAAGTTTAAAAACAACCATTTAAATCGATGAAACCTTGCGATCCAACATGTGGCACTTCTTCAGCGGTGATGAAATTGTTATTAGCCGGTTCGGATTGATTCGAATTGTTAACCTAAAATAAAATACAATTATAACTATCATATAAGCTTAAAAACAACCATTTAAATCGATGAAACCTTGCGATTCAGTCAAAGACTCAGCTCCAGCAATATTGCGTCCAGTGTGTCCCAGTCTCTGTGTATCAGTAGATTGAAGAGCTCCTCCTTCTTGACTACTCGCTTTGGTCGATCCTTTTGCCCACTTACGTGGCTGTAAAGGTTGGCCTGTTCATATCAAAGGGAGAAACGATTTAGCAAGTTGACAATTTTTTCTTCTTTCGTTGCTCGCTGAATTCTTTAATTTTCGCGATGATTTCATCGTATTTAGCCGACGGCATCAAAATCTTTGTCCTTGTTGATTGATAAGCTTAAAAACAACCATTTAAATCGATGAAACCTTGCGATTTAGTCAAAGACTCAGCTCCGACAGCGGCTTAGAACGACGTTCAACATGTGGCACCTCTTCAGCGGTGTTGAAATTGTTATTAGTCGGTTCGGATTGATTCGAATCGAATTCGAAGCTGAGCAAATCGATTCTCCATCCTAAAAAGAAAATTTAATCCAATTGAAAGTATAAAAGGCCAAAGTAAAAAACATGAAAACATGAAAACATTGCTTAAACATTGCTCGAAAATATAAAACATGATTAACTACAAATTAAAAAGAATTCATTTGCATTTGAAGACGGGAGTGGGACAAATGCGACCTTTTTTTTGCGCACCTGGACATTTGCGCACCTTTTTTTTTTGCTAGAAAAGGCCTTAGGAAAGGTCGTAGAGCTTCAAAAAAGTTTTCATAGAAGGGAATCGTATGCGTAGATTCCGAATTTCGACAAATCAGATTTCGCTGACACGTCAAATTTGGACTAAAAGGCAAAAACTACGCAACTTAACGCTTTTCCGCAGTTTTTGCCCTTTAGCCCAAATTTGACGTGTCAGCGAGGTCTGATTTGTCGAAATTCGGAATCTACGCATACGATTCCCTTATTGGAAGTATTTTCGAAATATTTTCGAAGCTCTACGGCCTTGCCTAAGGCCTTTTCCAGCAAAAAAAAGGTGCGCAAATGTCCAGGTGCGCAAAAAAAAGGTCGCATTTGTCCCACCCCCTTTGAAGACAAATTTCTAGAAAAAACTACTTTTACTCATAATCGGCATATTGTAAAGTTCTATAACAAAAAAGATACCAGTTTAACAGTTTGCTCAATAAAATTGAGCTTGTAAAGTCAAAGTTTTCTTGACTTTCTTGACTTTTTCTTGACTTGACAAAGAGTTCTTGGCTTGAAATGAAATGAAGCTTTGAAAAAATTCTACAACTACAACAACTTTGCAGAGCGCTTTAAAATTCAAAACGCTTTGCGTGATTGCGTCGAATTCGATCATCGAGGGACGCACACAAATGAACGAAGCCGAATGCTCGAAATATGTTACGGAAACATTTTGTAAGTGATGGAAAGAAGAAAGAAAACTGGGATAGGCTACTTTGCGCCAAATTTTTGGGTCTTTGGGTCTTTGGGTCTTTGGGCAACTGGGTCTTTGGGTCTTTGGGTCTGGGCAACTGGGTCATTTGCGCAACTAGATCTTTGCGCAACTTGCCATAACTTTCTTCGAAGTCGACCAATCTTTATGATTTTGGTGCCATTTTGTTGCACTTATTGAGATCTACAAAATGAAACAAAAATCATAAAGACTGACTTACCTAGAAGAAAGTTATGGCGTTGGGCAAACGACCCAGTTGCGCAAATGACCCTGTTGCGCAAATGACCCAGTTGCGCAAATAAAATGGCAGAAATTAGCCTACCCCAAAACTTTCACTATACACTCATTTGAAAGTCTTTTAATACTCAATTTTCCAAAAAGGTTCATCGATTTTCTTTGAAAAGGGGCGGGGCGCGTATAAAAGCTCCGTCGCCTCGCCCCTTTTCCCATTTAGCAAAACTTTGAGCTCAAATTTCTTCGTGTTGGATTGTTGAATCTAAATGTTTTTGATATCATTGGATGCGCCAAGTCTTTCTCTATCGATTGTTACAAAAACTATTGAAATTGGATAGCTCAACATCAAGATATTTGAGTTCAAAGTTTTACCAATGGGAAAAATGGTTTAGCGCGTGTCAAATCTTCTAAAATCTTTCCTAAACGCGCTTGGCAGCGTGCTCGGCGAAAAATGGGGATAACTTTGATTTAATTGCTTTTAATTTAATTGCTAATTTGTTGCTTATTGCTTATCAAATCAAGATTTTAAAAGAAAAGCTCTTTAAAGTTTAATTTTTTGTTTAATTTGTTGTTTAATTTTGTTTATCTATGAAGAGCTTTAAAGGAGCTTTAAAGGAGCTTTAAAGGAGCTTTAAAGGAGCTTTAAAGGAGCTTTAAAGGAGCTTTAAAGGAGCTTTAAAGGAGCTTTAAAGGAGCTTTAAAGGAACCATAAAAGAACTTTTTTTTTATTTGCACTTATAATTATCATTCTGTAGATCATTCTGTAGCATTTCAAAGGTGTACAAATGGTCTCTAGTATTCAAGTTTCTTTTTTTTGCAGCTCGTGATGAAGCGATTCGGCTCTTTTTCGCGATTCGTTTAGTGATGGAGAAAGCATCGAAAGCCGAATGTGTTGGAGAGGATTTAGAGAAAGAATTGCAACAATTGGGAGTACCATTCGGTGAATAAAAAAAGAAAACAACCTAACAAATAACAAATAACCTACCGTAAATACTGTAATAGTACCCCAGCCCCATAATGACGGGGTGGAGTGTTGCGTAGTCTAGCTTTGAACGAGTTTTTCTCGACACTGGTTTATGCTACAATGTTCGTTTTGGTATCAAAAAATAGCCCTGAACTTCAGCTATTTTTTTGATACCAAAACGAACATTGTAGCATAAACCAGTCTCGAGAAAAACGCGTTCAAAGCTAGACTACGCAATGCTCCGCACCGTCATTATCTTTATAAGAAAAGAAATACGGCTAAGGATATTGTAAAAAATGTCTATAAAATGATAGCATTGTAGCATAAAACAGTGTCGAGAAAAACTCGTCCAAAGCTAGACCCTCAAAGCTAGACACTCAAAGCTAAACTACGCAACACTCCGCACCGTCATTATGGGGCTGGGGTACTATTACAGTATTTACGGTAACAATCAATGAATTCAAGAAAGCTACCTACAAACAGCAATCATTCGATTTAGAGCACTCGAAACAAATCTCTCAAATCTATACGACTTCTCGAGATCAAATGCGGGAAAAGTTGTTATCAACTATTAGAAAAGGTTAAATTTTATTTTATTTGCAAAATTTAAGACAATTTTTACCATTTTCTAAACAATTTTTGGGAGTGGGACAAAAGCGCACCTTTTTTTGCGCACCCGGCCAAAAGCGCACCTTTTTGTGCTGGAAAAGGCCTTAGGAAAGGTCGTAGAGCATCAAAAATGTTTCCATGCCAGGGAATCGTATGCGTAGATTCCGAATTTCGACAAATCAGACCTTGCTGGTACGTCAAATTTGGGATAAAAGGCAAAAACTGCGGAAAAGCGTCAGGGTGCGTAGTTTTTGCAGTTTGGATCAAACTGCGGCACAACCGTATTGGAACCGTATTGGAACCGTATTAGATCAAAAAAAAGAACCGTATTGGAACCGTATTGGAACCGTTGGAAAAGGCACAAACTGCGGAAAAGCGTTAAGTTGTATAGTTTTTGCCTTTTAGCCCAAATTTGACGTACCAGCAAGGTCTGATTTGTCGAAATTCGGAATCTACGCATACGATTCCCTGGAAACATTTTTGATGCTCTACGGCCTTTCCTAAGCCCTTTTCCAGCGGAAAACAAGGTGCGAACCATATTGGAACCGTATTGGAACCGTATTGGAACCGTATTCGAACCATATTGGAACCGTATCCGAACCATATTGGAACCATATTGGAACCGTATTGGAACCGTATCCGAACTATATTGGAACCGTATTGGAACCGTATTGGAACCGTATCCGAACTATATTGGAACCGTATTGGAACCATATTGGAACCGTATTGGAACCGTATTGGAACCGTATCCGAACTATATTGGAACCGTATTGGAACCGTATTGGAACCGTATTGGAACCGTATCCGAACTATATTGGAACCGTATTGGAACCATATTGGAACCGTATTGGAACCGTATTGGAACCGTATCCGAACTATATTGGAACCGTATTGGAACCGTATCCGAACTATATTGGAACCGTATTGGAACCATATTGGAACCGTATTGGAACCGTATTGGAACCGTATCCGAACTATATTGGAACCGTATTGGAACCGTATCCGAACTATATTGGAACCGTATTGGAACCGTATTGGAACCGTATTCGAACCATATTGGAACCGTATCCGAACCATATTGGAACCGTATTGGAACCGTATTGGAACCATATTGGAATCATATTGGCCGAGTGCGCACAAAAAAGGTCGCATTTGTCCTACCCCCTAATTTTTACCATTTCCTAGACAATTTTTACCATTTTCTAGACAATTTTTACCATTGTCTAAACAATTTTTATCATTTTCTAAACAATTTTTAGAACCATCACTTTTCGTGGACCGAGTAATTGAAGAAAAAGATACAGTAAGTTATCTAGACTTAAATCTATTCTTTCTAAAAACTGAAAAGCTATTCTTAAAAAAGCTCTAGTTTAGACGGTACCACAACCAATTAGCTCTAGTTTAGACGGTATTTTATTCGAATTACAATAATTGATTCGAATTACAATAACGAATTACAATAATTGATTCGAATTACAATAATTTATTCGATTTACAATAACTTTTCCAAAGCTCTGAGTATTTTCTCAACATTTGATTGAAAATTTGAAAATTCTCCAACTCAAATTCTTGTTTTCCTTTCCATTTCCCGGACATTTCTAAATGTTTACTCATTCTTTTTTTCCTTTCCCGTTTACCCAAACATTGCTAACACCTCGAAAAAATAATTCTTTAACGTTTTTTTTCCAGGTTCATCTAGAGGCCATTGCAACAAATGGACAAAAATTACGAACAAATTTATCGAAAAATCTTTACTCTCATCTTTTAAATGGTATGTTTTAAACAAGTTTTAAACAAATTTTAAACAAATTTTAAACAAATTTTAAACAAATTCTATTTTAAATATCTTTTAACCTACCGTAAATACTATATTATAATGATATGTTATTCTGTTTTTTACTTAGCATTACTTAGCATTACTTAGCTTATTTTAAAACTTAGCAACCGTAAAATAGTCATCAACTCGGCTCAGCGGGGTGCACTACTATTAGAGAGGATACGGTATGGATAGCACAGATAGCGTCAAGATCACTAGAGCTTCTTCTATTTTTTTAATCCCTTAAAATCGATCCAAAAAGAAAAGGGTTGGGGGATCACTAGATACTTTATTCAGAACCTGAAATAAAGTGCGCTAGATTTAAGATTAATACACATCAATTCATCAATTCATCAAACAAGAAATAGACCGATAAAAAGCAACACGATATAATGTATGGAATCTAACGTATTCTCTCTAATAGTAGTGCACTCTAAGCGTTGCCTAAATAGCTTTAAATCTCGAAAGGCGCTTATTAGAACCTATTGATATGAGGTCGGAAATGTAGCTGACGATGAGATCTAGTGGGGGATTTGAGTGTTGAGCTTCTGGGAAAGCTTAGAAACGATAAAATAGTCATCAACTCGGCTCGATGCACTACTATTAGAGAGAATACGGTATGCGGTGGTACAGATAACGTCAAGAATCCACTCATCAATGCTTCAAGATCATTAAATCAACATGAATCAAAAATTTCGTCATGGTTGTCTTTCTAATACAGCATTTATCGTACCGTAACCAGTCTACGTACGATTTCTGCACAATATCTAGCATCAATAATCTTTCGAAATTACTTTGTTGCTTAAAAAGTGCGCTTCGAAAAAGAGCTATCGTCCTCTAAAGCTACGTCCTCTAAAGCTACGTCCTCTAAAGCTACGTCCTCTAAACCTATCGTCCTCTAAAGCTACGTCCTCTAAACCTATCGTCCTCTAAAGCTACGTCCTCTAAAGCTACGTCCTCTAAAGCTACGTCCTCTAAAGCTACGTCCTCTAAAGCTACGTCCTCTAAACCTATCGTCCTCTAAAGCTACGTCCTCTAAACCTATCGTCCTCTAAAGCTACGTCCTCTAAACCTATCGTCCTCTAAAGCTACGTCCTCTAAACCTATCGTCCTCTAAAGCTACGTCCTCTAAAGCTACGTCCTCTAAACCTATCGTCCTCTAAACCTATCGTCCTCTAAAGCTACAGTACCGGACAATGAAATATCATATTTGAAAAATGATCGTCACTTTCGTGCGTCTGTAACTCCCTTGTCTTTGAGTTTAAACTATTAGTGTTATACATTTTCTGAAAGCTCTTTTCAAGGGCTACACAATGGTAATATTAATATTTAGAAATACGGTAAAGACAAGGGAGTTACAGACGCGCGAAAGTGACGATCTTTTTTCAAATATGATATTTCATTGTCCAGTAGTGTACGTCCTCTAAAGCTATCGTTCTCTAAAGCTACATCCTCTAAAGCTACATCCTCTAAAGCTACGTCCTCTAAACCTATCGTCCTCTAAAGCTTCTCTGAAACTATCGTAAACCATTTATCAATTAAAATCTAATAGCAAGAGTACTGTAGCTTTCTTTTTGATAAGATCTTGATAAGATTCCTAGATTTAAATAAAAGAAACGTCAATTCAGAGCTCGATGCAGCGCAAAAACGATTGGAACATTTGGAAAGCTGAATATTTTATTATCGATGAATTCCAACTGAATATTTGATTTATCTGATAAACTCTCTCGTTTTTTTTTCTATTTCTTTTCAGACTTTTGTCATTTCAAAATTTGACCTTGACACTTTAACAGACAACAAAAAAACACAGCCGATGTCGATTTTTTGAGATTTTTTGAGATTTTCTTTTTGTTCTCTTTTTAAATTCAAATTCGATTTGATAAATTTAGTTATAATTTAGATATTCTTTTTATTTTTTTCTTATAGAAATGGGCTCAGTGGAGCTGTTGGGCATCACCGAATCATCCGACAATCCGATGGTTCGTGAAAGATTTTCAATTAAAGATTATTCACTGATGTTCAGTCAGTTTTCTAGAAATCTAGTACAACACTATTACTAGCTATAGCTATTGCCCTTGTGCTTTGGAACCCCAGGGGAGGATGCTTACAAAATTTCAGGTCACTCTCGTGTCTGGAAGTTGAGATATAAGAAGTCGATTTTACGATTTTTTGACATAGCGTAAAACGTCGAGATAGGTTTAGGCTTAGGCTTAGGAAGGCTTAGACTGGCTTAGACTGGCTTAGGCAGGCTTAGGAAGGCTTAGACTGGCTTAGACTGGCTTAGGCAGGCTTAGGCAGGCTTAGGCTGGCTTAGGCTGGCTTAGGCTGGCTTAGGCTGGCTTAGGCTGGCCTAGGCTTAGGCTTGGGCTTATTGCCAAGGCTAGCGGCTAGCGCCTGGCAATAAGTTTATTTCGGTTTAGGCTGAACCCTCATTCTCTGGATCTCGGCCAGTTCTCGGATTAGGCTTAGGCTTAAGGCTCAGGGCTTAGGCTTAGGCTCAGGCTCAGGGCTTAAGCTCAGGGCTCAGGCTATGGCTTAGGTTCAGGCTTAGGGCTACCAATAATCCTTAGACTCAGGCTCAGTAGTCTAGTTTTTATTCAACTCTTGACCATCCCAAGAGTCGGCGAATTGATTAGCGTGGTTTATTTTATTCTAGTTTCAAAACTAAATCATCAATTTATACAAATCAGTCTTTTTTCAAAGATTCAAAACTTAAAACTCCTTTTTTTCAGTACTCGACAGCTCTCCGAAAAACGGCAAACATTTTCCCAGAAGCGCTCAAAATTTTGGACAATCCTGAGACGATTTCGAGAAAAGTTTTATTAGTAAAAATTTGTTTTAAACATTTTTTTCAGGATTGGAAAAAGAAACACGAACATAAAGGAGATATTTGTTATAATAAACATTGCTCATTAGGGAAATGCTATACGTTAACGGTGAGTGAAAGAAAAGGCTAAAAGAAAAGGCTAAAAGAAAAGGCTAAAAGAAAAGGCTAAAAGAAAAGGCTAAAAGAAAAGGCTAAAAGAAAAGGCCAAAAGAAAAGGCCAAATAAAAGGCCAAAGAAAAGGCCAAAAGAAAAGCTAATTTAATCAATTTCTTTTCCTCAAAAAACAAGTTATAAATCTTCTTTTTAGTTTTAGTTTTTAAAAATCATTCTTTTCAATTTAAAAATCATTCAACTAATCATCATTTTTGACAGAAAGAATACAATGGACCAGTGGAAGATATCTTTTTGCATCATTGGAACGAGATCGAGACAACTCCTGACTGGAATCCACAGGTTATTTCTATTGTTTATCAGAGAATTTATCTATTTAGCTATTTTACTTAGCTATCTATACTGTAAAATATGAGACTAAGACTTTAAAACTTTAGACTTATGTCTTTTAAACACTTTAGACATACAACAACCTTTGCTAGCACTAGCCAGGATTTGCTAGCACTAGCCAGGATTTGCTAGCACTAGCCAACTAGCCAGGATTTGCTAGCACTAGCCAGGATAGCCCTTTTGTACTTTAGGTTAGTTACTAAAGTACTTTTAGGTTCACTCAGCCAAGAAAGTTAACACGATCTCGCCAACGGCTGACATTATACATGTAAAAGATTCTTTTTTTTAACAAATTAATCCTTTTTCAACAAATTAATTCTTTTTCAACAAATTAATCCTTTTTTCAGTACTCTACTTCGGATGTGGTTGTTGTGAAGGGACGAGACTTTGTCGTGTGTCGAATTTGGAGAAAGGTCGGAGAAAAGAACAAACAGAAAAGAGAGAAGAAAGAACAAACTCTGCTTATATTCATTAGAAAATCAATTTTCCGTAAAGTAGATACTGGACTTTGTTTTCGAAACACTTCTATAGCAGACTGAATTGATTCGATTTGAAAAAAGCCAGCCTTAAACCCAAGTCTAGTGGTTAACCATTAAAGTTAACCCTTTCCAGCTAAATGATGCATGGTTTGTCGTAGCGGCAAGTTTCGAGAACGATATCCCGGTCATATCGAAGAAGAAAAGGTTTGGTGTGACGATGGGGAAAGGGAAAACTTTAATCATACAAGATATTCTTGGGTTCAGGATAATCCTAGTTCAGGATAAATTCTAGCTAATGGCTTGCTTTTAGCTAAGATTTATAGCTGACTATGATTTCTAGCGTCTTTTCTTAGCTGACTTTCAGAGCGATCGCTAATGTGGTGGCTGGGAGATTTGCGCCGAAGAAAGGTGATCGAGAAAAGACAATTATTGACTATTTGGTATCTGTCGATTTCCCCGGGACATCAATTCCAAAAGCGGTAAGTGTGAGTACGAAAGTAGTAGACCCTCGACCTTCCACTAGCTTTCAATAGCTTCTAATAGCTTCCACTAGCTTCCAATAGCTCCCACCAGCTTCCACTAGATTCCATTAGCTTCCAATAGCTTCCACTAGCTTCCAATAGCTTCCCCCTGCTTCCAAGCTTCCGATGCCCTGCTCCTGCTCCGTAGCTTCCTGCTTCCTCCTCCAATAGCTTCCAATAGCTTCCAATAGCTTCCACTACCTTCCACTAGCTTCCACTAGCTCCCACCAGCTTCCACTACCTTCCAATAGCTTCAAATAGCTTCCAATAGCTTCCAATATCTTCCACTAGATTCCAATAGCTTCCAATACCTCCAATAGCTTCCACCAGCTTCCACTAGCTTCCACTGCTCCTCAAGTAACGAAGGTCGAGAGTTCAATTCCCTTCAACTTTCTTTACTTTATTAGAGTACTAATTGCTCAGCTTAGTCAGACAAAAATCATTGATTGGAATCAAAATGACTGGAACCTTGGTTCCAGCCTGGTTTTGCTTGGCCTGGCCTAGCCAGGACTTCGTTGATCAGCCAATCTCAACCCAGAACCTAATCTAAACACTCGTCTACCGTAGACAATAATTAGTCATAGTCTACCGTAGCTAGATAATTGTATAAACTAGTCTTTTTTTTAGGTTCTTAGCAAGAACATTGCTGAGATGGTTGTTCGCGATGCACGCTACGCGGAAAAGCACTTGGCTATGATGAAGGCGAAGAATGAACCGGAAAAATAGATTTTAAAAAAGAAATTTCTGAAATTTAAAAGTTTAAAGTGAAGTTCTCCAAGTTTTAAATGTAAATCTTTACTTTTTATTCGAATTTCAAGTGTCTCTGTGTTTTTTTCTTTTCATTTTTTCATGAAATTTTCATTTTTCTACAAGAAAAACATAAAATAAGAGAAAAATTCGAAATTGAGAAATTGAGAACATTTTGGCGGCAGGAAAGTACACGTTTTGAGCGATCAATGAATAGGAAATGAATGAAATGAAGGAAATGAAGGAAATGGATAGGAAATGAAGGAAATGAATCAGAAATTAATGAAATGGATAAGAAATCAATGAGAAATCGATCAGAAATCAATGAGAAATCAATCAGAAATCAATGAAATCAATCAGAAATCAATGAAATCAATCAGAAATCAATAAGAAATCAATGAGAAATCAATGAAATCAGTCAGAAATCAATCAGAAATCAATGAAATCCATCAGAAATCAATGAAATCAGTGAGAAATCAATGAGAAATCAATGAAACCAATCAGAAATCAGTCAGAAATCAATCAGAAATCAATGAAATCAATCAGAAATCAATGAAATCAATTGATTTCTATCAATCAGAAATGAAATTACAATGAAAATAATATTAATAAAGTGAATTTTTCAATGGAAATGATTAAATTTAAACAAAAAATACCAAAAAGAAAGAAAAAAGCAAATTTTTTGCAAGTGAAAATGCGGAAATGAATGTTGTAGAGTTGACTGAAGAGCTTCTAGAACTTCTAGAGCTTCTAGAACTTCTAGAGCTTCTAGAGCTTCTAGAGCTTCTAGAGCCTGAGCTTCTGGCCTGGCTCGGCTTCTGGGCTTCTGGCTTCGGGCTCTGGGCTCTGGGGCTCCGGGCTCCAGGCTGGTTTGAGCTTCTAGAGCTTCTAGAGCTTCTAGAGCTTCTAGAGCTTCTAGAGCTTCTAGAGCTTCTAGAGCTTATAGTACAGTACTATTTGCAGTACGAAACTATGCTGTACATTTAATCGTTACTCCACGCGGTGCCCGGTCGATTTGGGTGCGGATTTGACGGGATTCCGTAATGATTGTGAATTCCTTGAAGATCTTGCATCAACGCATCAATATTCTCTGTGATCTCGTTTAGCTCTTCGTTTGAACCCGATCCCTAAAGTTTTCCGATTACAAAAAGCTCAGTCTCTGCTTCAGGAAATGCTGATTGATATTTTGAATGAGCATTGACATAAAAGCCACAACATAAAAGTGCTGCAAGAGGTTTGTTGGGCTTAGATTTAGATTTAGCTAGAACTAAAAAGATATTCAATCAAGCTGGATGTCACACAAGGTTTTCAGTAAAATAGTTTTTTGCTTTGACGTCTAGAAATTTAGGTCAACTGGTTAACTGAATATCTTTAAGAGTGAAATTGGATTTATCAGCGAATCAATTTGCATTTATGATTACAATGTGCACTGACATCCAGATAGATAGATCTTTAGATAAAATTAATGAATTGATGCGTTTAGGGCTAGGAAATCGCTCTGAACTTATGCCTCGGCTTAAACACAGACTTATCTAGGTGAATGATTACAAATCTATGTGATTTCGGATAGATTCTGAATCTGGATATAACCAAATTCGAATCTGGATACTGTAACTATCAGCTGAACTCAAAATCACTCACATGCAGCGGTGTCCTTTCGTCGGATTCCGAAGACTCTGGTTTCGCCAAATGTTTCTCATCATCTGGGAGTTGAGAGCAAGAAGCGTAAGGGCTAGAAATCTCGATATCCAACTACCATCCAACTACCATTCTGTTAAACCTGTAGATATTGGCCATGTTGACGCGTGGCTGAGCTTGGGCTCTTCCAACGGGTACTTGCCTTCCGCCAGCTGCGATAATCACTGGCCGTGGTTGTTGCGGTGGTTGGCAGACAGAAGTAAATGATCTGGAGATTGAGTTCTTGTGGTTTTGATTTGGTTCTCTTACCTCAACGGATTTCCACTTGCAGTTGTAGCTTGTCCACGCAACGTTCGGTAACCATCGGAAGTGATTGGTGGATTGTTTGGAGGAGCTTGTAGAGGAGGAGTGGGCGTGAGTTGACTAGATGAACCATACGGTGAGTCCAACTCGATTTTAGCGATTGGCTGAAAGAATATTGGATTACTGGAGTTCTATGGCTAGAATTGTATTGGATTACTGTAGTTCTATGGCTAGAATTTGATCTAGCTGATATTCTATGGCTAGAATTTGATCTACCTGATGTTCTATCACTAGAATTATCTACCTGATGTTTTCCTGTCCCTGTGTACAACACTTGCGGCGTTCTTGGGGTCCTTTGCTCAAGGCTTGACGATGAGTGATGATAGGATCGGGACAGAGTACCACCTGGGTTTATAATACTTTAGCTTTTGTTTGTCGTTCATACTCATTTTGTTGTCTTTAGCTGTAAATCACTATTAGATGCTCTTGATATGGTAAATCTTTAGCTGTAAATCTTCATTAGCATCCTTTAACTAAATCTCACACTTTTAACTCAAGTATAAACCAAAAATCTAAAGAAACCAACCAACTAAAGCCAAAGCCACAACATAAAAGTGTTGCAAGAGGTTTGTTGGGCTTAGATTTAGATTTAGCTAGAACTAAAAAGATATTCAGTCAAGCTGGATGTCACATAAGGTTTTCAGCAAAATGATTTTTTCATTTGACGTCTGGAAATTTAGGTCAACTGGTTAACTGAATATCTTTAATAGTGAAATTGGATTTATCAGCGAATCAATTTGCATTTATGATTACAATGTGCACTGACATCCAGATAGATTGATTTTTCGATAAAATTATTGATTTGATACGTGTAGGGCTAGGAAATGGCCCTAGACTTATTCCTCGGTTTAAACACAGATTTGGCTATAACTAAAAAGATATTCAGTCAAGCTGGATGTCACAGAAGGTTTTTAGTAGAATGGTTTTTTCATTTGACGTCTAGAAACTTAGGTCAACTGGTTAACTGAATACCTTTAAGAGTGAAATTGTCAAGTTGTTGGCAAATCAATTTGCATTTATGCTTACGATGTGCACTGACATCCAGATAGATCGATTTTTCGATAAAATTACTGATTTGATACGTGTAGGGCTAGGAAACGGTCTGCACAAAGAACAACAACTCAATTCGCCCACTCTCGTTATCCTCGGATTGTGCGTATTGATTGGTGAAGTTGAGCGGTTGAATGGGATGAGCTCTGCCGATCAACAATGCTTTTCCCATCCCTCCATCATTCCCTCCAGAGATCGATCCCCTCAATGGAGCTCGCGGGCGATTTGGTCGACTCACCGCTGAAGACACTGTGCCGTATCCACGATCGATTTCCATCTCTACAAACACAACACAACAATATCAAGACACTTAGACTTTCAACTCATCACAACACTAACAAAAGCTTGTGCTATTTAAAATAAAGACACGAACCGTGCGCTGTCTGCAGTGCATGATATCGAGGTGGGGGTGAGTCGACAGCGCCATGTGTGCGAAGACTCGGCTTCAGCTCAGTCAACGGTTCTCCCAAAAGCTCCACTAAATAAAGAATAACAGATATGCATAAATGAGTACAGTGATTACAGACGAGATCCACAAAATGCCCGAGCTTAGATCTGGATCTGATCTGGATCTGGATCTGATCTGGATCTGGATCTGGATCTGGCGCTGGATCTGATCTGGATCTGGATCTGGATCTGATCTGGATCTGATCTGGATCTGGATCTGGATCTGGCGCTGGATCTGATCTGGATCTGGATCTGGATCTGATCTGGATCTGATCTGGATCTGGATCTGGATCTGGCGCTGGATCTGATCTGGATCTGGATCTGGATCTGATCTGGATCTGATCTGGATCTGGATCTGGATCTGGCGCTGGATCTGATCTGGATCTGGATCTGGCTCTGGATCTGGATCTGGCGCTGGATCTGATCTGAATCTGGACCTGGCTCTGGATCTGGATCTGGCGCTGAATCCGCTCTGGATCTGGATCTGGATCTGGCTCTGGATCTGGCTCTGGATCTGGATTTGGATCTGAATTTGGATCTGATCTGGATCTGATCTGGAGCTGATCTGGATCGGATCTCTAGCTGATCTGGATCTGATCTGGATCTGATCTGGATCTGATCTGGATCTGATCTGGATCTGATCTGGATCTGATCTGGATCTGATCTGGATCTGATCTGGATCTGATCTGGATCTGATCTGGATCTGATCTGGATCTGATCTGGATCTGATCTGGCCTAGCGTAAAGCCCCGTAAAGCCCTTCCAGGCTCCTGATCATCATAGTTTGTCATGTAGATCATCATCTAGATATTCCAGTTCATTTGCCAATGCCAATACAACGGAAATTCACGTCTTAAACCCTAAAAACCGTTTTAAACCTTTTTTTAAACCAACTTTTTCAAACGTTTTTTCATCGGAGCTTTTAAAATTCTATGCCAAAGTAAAAAACTTTAAAAAAGATCGATTTTAAAGAGTTTAAGACGTGAATCTCCATCGTACACCTATTGACAAATGAGCTGTCAATGGAAATGTCAAATTTGTACTGACTTGTCGTCGCTGGTCTCATATGTGATCCATGAGAGTGATTAATCCACAAATCGCCACTTTGACCCCGTTTCCCGTTGCTCGGCTTCCGTTTTGTGGACCTGAATGAAGATAAAGACATTGAAATGGTTATGTTCGAAAGAAATAAAAGAAACTTCAACTTATTAGGAGCTTACTTTTTGATCATACAGATAGCGCAAACAATGACCGCGATTACGACAAGCAGTAAGAGAATCGCCGCCACACTCAAATGAATTGGATGTGCGAGGAGCATCTGTAAAAGTTGTGGATGTTAAGAGCACTGTACTGTTCTGTAGCTACTGTAGTCTAGTACTGTAGCTCTGTAGCTTGGTACTGGAGCTACTGGAGCTCTGCAGCTTGGTACTGGAGCTACTGTAGCTCTATAGCTTGGTACTGGAGCTACTGTAGCTCTGCAGCTTGGTACTGGAGCTACTGGAGCTCTGTAGCTTGGTACTGGAGCTACTGGAGCTCTGCAGCTTGGTACTGGAGCTACTGTAGCTCTATAGCTTGGTACTGGAGCTACTGTAGCTCTATAGCTTGGTACTGGAGCTACTGTAGCTCTATAGCTTGGTACTGGAGCTACTGGAGCTCTGCAGCTTGGTACTGGAGCTACTGTAGCTCTATAGCTTGGTACTGGAGCTACTGTAGCTCTATAGCTTGGTACTGGAGCTACTGTAGCTCTATAGCTTGGTACTGGAGCTACTGTAGCTCTATAGCTTGGTACTGGAGCTACTGTAGCTCTGCAGCTTGGTACTGGAGCTACTGGAGCTCTGTAGCTTATAATACAGTAGATCTGTCTCATTTCTGTCTCATTACAGTAGACCGTATTCAGCTAAAAAGCGTATTCAGCTCTTGGTTTGAAGACAGGCCTACTGTAAGGACAAGTAGTACCGTATGCTGATTGAGAACCTTATAACAACTCTATAGTACTGTACTATCTACTCTATAGTACTGTAGTCTATAGTACTGTAGTCTATAGTACTGTAGTCTATAGTACTGTAGTCTATAGTACTGTACTATCTACGTACTTGAGCCAATTTCTCGAACGAGGCGCTCTCCTGGTCGATGATGGTGACCCGACTGTTCGGTGGCGTCTGCACACCGCCTAGCCCTCTCCATGTAACAATTGGAGATAAAGGACCGTAACCTAGATCAAGATTTAGATTAGTTTTATTAGAATCTAGATACCCATTATATTCCTTGCTTGAATCTTGAAATAGTAAATACTCTTTGGGAGGAGATCGTGAATCGAATGCGACATTCGATCAGCTGGGACTGAAGCAAGCCGCCAATCTTTGTCATCAAGGCCAGAACGATCAGAGTAGTAGATCAAGTACTCTGAAGAGGTTGCTGTACGATGGGAATGTTGTGTACTGTTGTACTGTACTGTACAGTACTATTGTACTGTACTGTACTGTACTGTACTATTCTACTGTACTATTCTACTATCAAAAAACCCACCGATCAGCTCTCCATTCGAATATTTTGGTGGTTGCCAATGCAGGAGAACGTGATGTGGATCACCGGATGGTGATGGAGACAACGAGAGATCACGAGGAGCTGAAGATGGAGGCGAGGAAAGGGTTCTGAATTGAGTGCTCTACTTTGGGTACTCTACTTTATCGACTTTCTACTTTTTTCTCTGCTTACTCCCAACATACTGCTTTTACTAGTGCAAACAAACTTATTTCTCGTCGCCATACTCCATAGCGAATGTGCACCGCCGTGTGATGCTCGCACGGCGAACTCGTACTCGGTGGCTGGTCTTAACGATTCCACGACAGCAAATGGCTCTGATGACTCGGCGTAGTGGAGTTTATTGCCTTCAGCACTGAAAGAAGCATTTTATAGGCATTAGGATTTGATAATCGATAGATTATCAGATAGGCAACAGTAGGATAGGCAACAGTAGAATGAGATAATCGATAGATTATCAGATTATCAGATTAAGACGCAGACTACAAGCTGTTTCTGAATCTGCTTTCCGTTTTTGCCAAATGGCTTTCCATAAAAAGTTAGATATCTTTGAAGTTTTAGAGAGAAAATGCGAGAATATCGAGCCGAAACCGAAAGGGACGCCTTTATAACGGCTCTCTCAGAGGGACTCAAACTGTCTTCGTGGTGTAGTGGATAAGACCCTTGAATACAAAACGAGCGACTCGTATTTTGCTCGAGTTCGATTCCTTTTTGGGAAAACTTGTTTTACTAGTTGGCTAAAAGTTGGTTTAGTTGGTTTAGTTGGTTAAAACCTGTAAGCTAAGATGATAGGCTACAGATAGGCTCAGTTCAGACGCCGGACCTAGTTACATTTCGTTCCCAGAGCGAGTTTAGGCAATAAAAGTCGAGAGAAAGCCAGATCAGGTCTAGAACTACTAGATCTAGTCCAGATCTAGACCAGATCTAGACTCAGATCTAGCTTCAGCTATAGATCTAGACAATATCTAGACCAGATCTACCTTCAGCTATTGATCTAGACCAGATCTAGACCAGATCTACCTTCAGCTATTGATCTAGACCAGGTTTCAGGTCTAGTCCATCCTGTACTAGCTTTTACCCACCCAGTGCTGTATTTGACCGTATACTTGACATTAAAAGCCTCCTCATCGGGATCGGACCACGTGATTTTCATCGACGACGCGGAGAGAGCCTCCGCTCGAACGGCGATCGGCGTAACCGCTGTACCATCGCCTAGAAATTAGGATTTATACTTGAACTTGAAAACTTGACAAGCTGGAAGTCAGGTAAAATAAAGCTGAAACCTATAAACAGTTTATCAGTCTCAGCAGTGAATCCCAAAATGATCAGGGGATTCGAATCCACTCTCGAATCGCGAAAGGCTTAAGCTTAGGCTGGCTTAGGCTGGCTTAGGCTGGCTTAGGCTGGCTTAGGCTGGCTTAGGCTGGCTTAGGCTTAGACTCAGGCTTCTCAGCGCTTTACCAATCAGCTAAACCAGCAGGCCTTGAGTTGACCTTAAACCTTTTCTAAAAGCTTTCTAAAAGCTTTCTAAAAGCTCACCCGAGTCCATTTCCATTCCAAATGCATTCCTTCCTCTCTCAGTTCCCGTTCGAACTGTCTCATAGATTGGATACCCTTGACCGTACTTGTTCTTCGCTCGAACACTTATCTAGAAAAGGGAATTGAAGAAATCTAAAGGAAAACGTCAATAGTAATCAATCGTAATCAATCGTAATGAATAGTTATTCAAGAAAAACTTGTCACTCACCACATATTCTCTGCCTGGATTGAGATTCTCGATTCGATACTGCAATGCGTTTGCCCCAACACTTGTTGATTCGACATCTGGCACGTTGTGACCCCAGCCAATCTGTAACCAAGCTACGATAAGCTTTAGAAGTAAAGGCTTACCGTATAGCCGCGAACGATCGTCGTTTCGTCAGATGGCGGCTTCCAGGTAACCAGAATGTAGTCAGGGCCTGGAATTTGAGAGTTTATTGAGTTTGTTGTAGAAATACGGATGATCAATGTAAGAGAGATGTGCCCATGTTGGAAGAGAGATTTGCCCACATCTCTCTTAGTTAGGCCTTTGTTAGGCAAACTTTACCTGCAATTGGTTTCAGCTCAACTGGCGCTCCCAATAGTTTCTCCTCTTTGTCCACGGCTGGCGTGTCGGCTCGCAGCCAATCTGAGAAGGGTCCAGTGCCATTCTAAACATTATTTTGTAAGATTTTTTGGCTTTTTGAAGCTTTTTGAGGATTTTTGAGGCTTCTTGAAGCTTTTTGAAGCTTTTTGAAGCTTTTAGAAGCTTTTTGAAGCTTTTAGAAGCTTTTTGAAGCAGCCTACCTGATTCGCAGCTGCGATTCTCAGCTGATAGTGTTGATTGGGGTCCAATCCATCAATCACATGCTCTCCCGTCAGTGGATCTTCAATGTTCACGGTGCTTGTCTTACCCCCTCTTTGCTTTGTCTTGTATTTGATTCGATAAGCTGTCAGCTAAATGGTTTAGGTTGAAGGTTTTAGCTAGAAATAGCTAGACATAGCTGGAAATAGCTAGAAATTGCTAGAAATTGCTAGAAATAGCTAGAAATTGCTAGAAATTGCTAGAAAATGCTAGAAATTGCTAGAAATTGCTAGAAATTGCTAGAAATAGCTAGAAACCCAACCTCTCCATGCTGATTCTGTTTTGGCGGCGGTTTCCATGAGATTCGAATCGACGTTGAAGACTGAGCGTCAACTGAAATCTCTTCCGGAGCTGATGACGGAACGTCGGATAGAGTGCGCACCTCAAATCAATCACTTTAAATCTTTAAAACAATTCTCTGCCAGCCAGAAAGCCAGCCAGCTCAAGCAAGACCAAGATAGAGCTAGTTTAACAAGGCTGGCTTTGACTATTAGCCTTGTCTCAGTCCGTTGGCCCAGCTTTGGCCCAGTCTGTTGGTCCAGCTTTGGCCCAGCTTTGACCCAGCTTTGGCCCAGCTTTGGCCCAGCCCGTCGGCCCAGCTCTGGCTTTAACTGTGCCTCCTAAGCAGCCTCCTAAGTCTCCTCAGCAGCTTGGATTTCATTGCTTATTGCAATCTACTGACTCTAGAGAAAGCCAGGCAAGTTCCAGAGAAAGCCAAAGTTCCCCTTCTCCCTACCGTAATCGTGTCCGATGATAGTCCGGCTCCGTTCGCTCCCTCAGCCTCAACACGAATCGCGTACTCTGTATATTTGTCCATTCCATGTAGTGTATATTCTGTTGAAGAGACGGTGATCTGTGTCTCTCGCTCATTGTGCTGTGGCGGGTGTCTGATATAGAAAAGACGATAACGGAGTGGAGTTGGGCCGCCACTTTCCGTTGTTGGTGGCTCCCAACGGACCTCGATTTTCTCCGAGTCGGTCGCTTGTGCTCCCAAACGAGAGATCCGTCCGGGAACGGCTTCTAAAGATCAAGTGGATCTTCTAGATCAAGAACTATTTGAAAAACTGACGTTCTTTTGAAGTGGTGACTTTAATGTGATCACTGCTTTGTCCAACACCAGCCTCATTCTCAGCAGCCACTCGTATAATGTAGAGAGTTTCCGGCTGAAGAGATCCAAGATTCACCCAACGAGATGATGCATTCATAGCTCGTTCTCTTAAAATAATATTTTGTAAATCTTTAAATTTAGTTGTTAAGTTCTCACCTAGTTGATCCTTCTTCTCGATAAAAAACGTGATAAATGAGAATGTTTCCGTGAGCTTCCATTGGTGCATCCCATTCAACACCGAGAGATCGAGCGCCTTAAATAGCATTTAAATCGAGTGATCTTAAATAGCGCCTTGAATTGAGCGCCTTGAATTGAGTGTCTTGAATTGAGCGCCTTGAATTGAGTGTCTTGAATTGAGCGCCTTGAATTGAGTGTCTTGAATTGAGCGCCTTGAATTGAGCGCCTTGAATCGAGCGCCTTGGATCGAGCGCCTTGGATCGAGAGCCTTAAATCAAGCGCCTTGAATCGAGCGCCTTGGATCGAGAGCCTTAAATCAAGCGCCTTGGATCGAGCGCCTTAAATCAAGCGCCTTGGATCGAGAGCCTTAAATCAAGCGCCTTGAATCGAGCGCCTTAAATCAAGCGCCTTGGATCGAGAGCCTTAAATCAAGCGCCTTGAATCGAGCGCCTTAAATCAAGCGCCTTGGATCGAGAGCCTTAAATCAAGCGCCTTGAATCGAGCGCCTTAAATCAAGCGCCTTGGATCGAGAGCCTTAAATCAAGCGCCTTGAATCGAGCGCCTTAAATCAAGCGCCTTGGATCGAGAGCCTTAAATCAAGCGCCTTGAATCGAGCGCCTTGAATTGAGCGCCTTGGATCGAGCGCCTTGGATCGAGAGCCTTAAATCAAGCGCCTTAAATCAAGCGTCTTAAATCGAGCAGTCTTAAATACCATTCAAAACTCACCAATAAGTGTCGTTTTCAAAGCTAATGGCGGTGTTGAAAGCATTGGTTTTCCTGAAGAAGCAGCAATAGAGGAGCTGTCTGGAATTTGAGTGATTTGTAATTTGAACTGTCTGGAATTTGAGTGATTTTATATGTTTCTTGGTTAAAGGATTAGTGCATCTGTAGAGAACGGTGCTGAAGTTATTGTCTGTCTAGCTGTATCTGTCTTAAACTGGGTTACGGTACAAGGGATTGGGATTGGGATGGGATTCATTTTCATTCACACATTCATATGGGAAAGTATAAGATGCAGAAATGTGCAAGATCTCTTGTGTACTCCTGTGTACTTTATGCTCAATGAAAACGCACTCTTGCTGGCTTGCAAGCAATGAGCTCTTTGCTGCTTTGCTGATGCAAAGAATTCAATAAACTAGAAAGTTTGCGTTTACAAGTTGAGCTTTGCGTTTGAGCTTAATGTACACAAAGTTCCTTTTGACTCTCCAACCGTCTGCACGCATCAATTCCTCTGTTGACGTTATGTTTATTGGAATTACGGTAGTGGAAAAAGCTTGACTCTCTTCACTCTCGGTCACAAAATCTTCCGAAAGGCGGAGAGCTTTCAGAGCTGGATAGAGGATCTCTGAAGCGAGAAAGTTGAATGTAAAACAGGATTTAGGTTACGGTAGGCTTTGATAATACTGTTTACGATTCGGTTTTGTTATTCATCCTTACAGATGGCCATATCTAGAGGATCTAGAAGCATCTGGGGATTCAGAGTTTGGATTCCAGGTCTGGATTCCAGGTCTGGATTCCAGGTCTGGATTCCAGAGCCTGGATTCCAGAGTCTGGATTCCAGAGGTCACAAAAAGGCACATAGACTAACCAGAAGCCAGGCTCTTGGAGCTAGCATTGGTCCTAGCCTTAGTCTTGGAGCTAACTTTAATCCTGACTTTGGTCCTGGCCTTGGTCCTGGCCTTAGTCTTGGAGCTAGCCTGACTCTAGAGCAGATATTGAACCTGGTCATGACTTGGCTTGGCTTTGACTTAGGCTCAAGCTCAGTCCTTGTTCTAAAACTGAACTCAAACGTCTAGTCCTAGTCTAGCCTGAACTTTTCTACTCCTAACTTAACTCAAAAAAACTTGACAAGTCAGAAGTCAAAAGAAGCCAGAAGAAGCCAGAAGAAGTCAGCTAAATCATTCAAAAGCTAGACCTAGGCTTGCCCTGGTTGATCCTTGCCTAGCCTAGCCTTGCCTAGCATTGCCTAGCCTTGCCTAGCCTTGTCTAGCCTAGCCTGGCCTTGCCTAGCCTAGTCTAGCCTTGTCCAGCCTTGTCTAGCCTAGCCTTGCCTAGCCTTGCCTAGCCTTGTCTAACCTTGGCTAACCTTGTCTAGCCTTGCCTAGCCTAGCCTAGCCTTAGCTAATTTATCAATCTCATTTCCTCTCGCCACTCACCAGCACTATCCACGAGTAGTTGCGCAATCGATTGCACAGAGCCTGCCTCGTTTTCCCCGATGCACTGGTAGACACCTGTAATTGGAAGCTATTTTTGACTAGCCTTGCCTAACTTTGTCTATAAAACATTCTATACAATGATATTCTTCACCTTGATCCATTTTCACGACTCCTAACACTTGTAGTCGATTCTCATCGATTAAAAAGTACTCGGAGGCTTTCACCGGCACACCATTCTTTAGCCAGCGAATTTTCGGTGTTGGATTGCCACGAAATTCACAGATTAGCTAAAGAAAAAGCTAATAATAAAGCTAATAAGCTATTATTTATCTATTTTTGAAAGTAGAAAAGCCAGTTCTTTACCTCGACATCAGTCGTTTCCAAAGCGATTTTATCTGAGAGACTTCGCACAAGCCTTGGTGGCTCTAAATTTAAATATTAATTTTGTAATTTGCATTTATAATAGTTATAATATTTAGTTTATAACTATTATAAATTTTCTAGTATTTTATTATTCTAGTTCTTTAAAAAAACTAACCAATCACACTCAGCTGCGCCATTTTCTCGTAGATTTGACTGTTTAAATTTGCTCGGCAAGTGTACGAGGCTTCATCTGAATTTAAAGGGTACTTTGGTCTAGAAGTTGAGTTGATAGTTCAGTTTCTAGTTGAGTTTCTAGTTGACTTTCAAGTTGAGTTGCTAGTTGAGTTTCTAGTTGAGTTTCTAGTTGACTATCAAGTTGAGTTTCTAGTTGGCTTTCTGGTTGACTTTCTAGTTGACTAGTTGACTATCAAGTTGGCTTTCTAGTTGAGTTGCTAGTTGAGTTGCTAGTTGAGTTTATAGTTGAGTTTCTAGTTGAGTTTCTAGTTGAGTTTATAGTTAACTAGTTGACTTTCTAGTTGACTTTCTAGTTGACTTTCTGTTTGACTTTCTAGTTGACTTTCTAGTTGAGTTTCTAGTTGAGTTTCTAGTTGGCTTTCTAGTTGAGTTTATAGTTTACTTTCTAGTTCAGTTTCTAGTTGACTAGTTGACTATCATTAGAGAAAATTTGAGTCAAAGTTGAACTACCTACCAAAAAAAGTTGATCAACTTAAATGGTTTATAACTCGAGGTATAGAAGCTGAATCAACTTATGGTTGGTTTTAATAGAATCCGCATTAAATTTGGTTATAGAAAAGTCGAATTTGTTTTCTATACTCTTTTATAAAAACATAAATATATAAAGAAATTTGTTTTATTCAAATAAATCTAGATTTAAAATATCTTGATTTAAAATATCTTTATTTATTTTATATATTATATGCAAATTTTCAAGAGAAACCTTACCGGATAAGCGAGTTTTTGTGAAGTGTAACGATCCGGAGATTCGTTTAACTCGTTGCCCATCCTCTACCAGCACTGATCCATCGCGAAGCCTGAATATCTTTATAAGAAAAGAAATATGGCTAAGGATATTGTAAAGAAATGTCTATAAAATGATAAGATTTTTTTTTTTTTTTTTTTTTTTTTTTTTTTTTTTTTTTTTTTTTTTTTTTTTTTTTTTTTTTTTTTTTTTTTTTTAAATTTTTTTTTTTTTTTTTTTTTTTTTTTTTTTTTTTTTTTTTTTTAAATTTTTTTTTTTTTTAAAATTTTTAAAATTTTAAATTTTTTTTTTTAAGCTATTTAAAGCTGTTTAAAGCTTAAATAAATAGTTACCGTAAATACTGTAATAGTACCCCAGCCCCATAATGACGGAGCGGAGTGTTTCGTAGTCTAGCTTTGAACGAGTTTTTCTCGACACTGGTTTATGCTACAATGTTCGTTTTGGTATCAAAAAATAGCTGAAATTCAGGGCTATTTTTTGATACCAAAACGAACATTGTAGCATAAACCAGTGTCGAGAAAAACTTGTTCAAAGCTAGACACTCAAAGCTAGACTACGAAACACTCCGCGTCATTATGGGGCTGGGGTACTATTACAGTATTTACGGTAGGCTTATCAAGAATCGAGAAAACCTTTGACTTAAGAGATTTGCTTAAAGTTAACTGCTTTGTTAACTGTTTTGTTAACTGTTTGTTAACTGGTTTGTTAACTGGTTTAAGTTAACGGCTTTTTAAGCTTTCCTCTAAAAGATCGAATGTTAGCTAAGCCTATTGTTAGCTAAATTTTCAAATAATTCACCATTCCACATGTGCACTTGGCTTTTGTCCACCAGGAAGACACTCGAGTATCGCTTGATCACCATCAATCACTCGTTGATCGCTCGGTGATGAGAGGAAACCTTTGAGTGAAGGAGCTGCAAGAGAAAAGAAGATAAGAAAGAAATGATTAATGAATTCTGATTTTTAAAATCTAAGACTAAGATCTAAGAATCTAAGAGCTATTGTATTTAAATGAAGCTTTCAATCCTTCAGCTGAAAGAATGGCTTGAAGCTGAAAGAATGGCTTGAAGCTAAAAGCCAATCCTTCAGCTTCAAGCCAATCCCTCAGCTTCAAGCCAATCCTTCAGCTTCAAGCCAATCCTTCAGCTTCAAGCCAATCCTTCACCTTCAAGCCAACCTTTCAGCTTCAAGCCAATCTTTCATAGAACCTCTCAAAATCTCTCACTTGTTGCATCAACTTGTAATCGAGCTGACGTTGATCGGATTGAAATCACTCCATGACTTGTCACCTCACAGCGATAAAATCCTTGATGTTTTGGGAGAACTGGAGTGATCTCAAGGGAGTTCGAGACGGGCAGGATACGAATGTCATCTAAAATTCGAGACTTTATGCGAAAGTTAAAGCTAATAGCTTCTTCTAAAGCTAATAGCTTGATCTAGATTCTTTACTATGAACTAGACTTGTAAAAATCCTTTTGTAACAATCCTTTTGATTGTTAATCCCTTTTAACTGTCAATCCCTTTTTTATTGTTGATAATACTAAAACGTAAACCATGGCTATTACCTCATAAATTACTATTACCTAAGCTACTATTACCTAAAACCTAAACCATGACTATTAACCTAAGCTTTTACCTCATAAATCTTCTAAACTGTCATCTTTTACCTCATAACTTTACATGGATACTATATCTTAAGCTCATTTTGATTTCATTCAACCCGAAATTCGATTCTGCGTCGAATGATTGTTTAAATAGATAAAATAGAAGGATTGGTACTGAGAAAAACACGAAAAACTTTAAATTGCTAACAGCAAAAAAAGAATCGACAAATGTTTTTGTTAAAAGTCTTTTATTCACTACTAAAGTACTGCAATCCAACCAATTCAATCCCTAGCTCAATGTTTTGATTTCACATTGTCGACCCCTGAGTAATGGGAGAGATGGGTGCAAGGGATCTCTCTTGGGGACTGCCACTTTCCCTTTCCAGCCCGCAATTAGTTTCCATTGGGGGCTTATCGTTGTGGAAATCTGACAGGCGACCCGTTTCTCTTCGAGAAATCCCCTTGTCTCAAGAATTTTAGTGAATTGACGTACGTTTTGAAATTGGGTCAAGTTTTCTGGAGGGGGAATTGAGTCCTTGTTCTTTCGCTTTCTAACAACAATTCCTCTAACTGAGGAACAGCTTCTCTACCTGAGGAACAATTCCTCTACCTGAGGAACAGCTCCTCTACCTGAGGAACAGCTCCTCCACCTGAGGAACAGCTCCTCTACCTGAGGAACAATTTCTCTAACTGAGGAACAGCTCCTCTACCTGAGGAACAATTCCTCCTCTTTCTAACCACTGAGCTATAGCTTGAACTAAAGGAATTTTGGTGACAAGAGCTTTCACCGTTGGACCAACAACAACAACAACAACAACTTCACTGTGAAACTCAAATATCTATATAGATTAGCTCTTGACAAAGTTGACAATGTAAAGAAAAGTCGAATGGGAAGTACAATCGGTACTTAGAAAGATTAAGAACGACTCCTACAGGAACAGTGTGAAAGAACAGTATCGTTATTGTCTTCTGATACAGAACCAAAGCACGCAAGTTTGATAAAGGTTTAGCTGAAAGGAAGAAAGAAAGAAAGAAAGACTTTAGCTTTGCTAAGCTTAAGATCAAAGCTGTCTAAAGGTGGATAACTTGTACGTCAGATAAGTTCATTGTAGCGTACTTTGTGCTCTAGCAAACGTAGTGTACTTTATCCTCTAGCAAACGTAGTGTACTTTGTACTCTAGCAAAGGTAGTGTACTTTGTGCTCTAGCAAACGTAGCGTACTTTGTCCTCTAACAAACGTAGTGTCCTTTGTACTCTAGCAAACACACGTCTCTAGCAAACGCATGCCTCTTAGCAAACTTCGTACAATAGTTTTACAGTTTTCTTTTACAGTCTACTCACCATTTTCCCGCAATGGTCGATCGTTGAAAAGCCAGCGTATTATCGTTGGCCCAATCGAGTCCTAAAATTTCCAAATGAGTCCTCCCAATTGAGTCTTTTATATAAAAATCTATTCTCCATTTCTCTTTCAAATAAAATATTCAAGGTTTTTATTATTTATTCAGCATTTAGTGGTCACTAAAAGCTGAAAATCTGGCTGATTTGGTGAAAGGATGCTTTCCTTTCCCTTCCACCACCTGCCCACCAATCAATGTCAACTCTAAAACGAATTCCTTTCCTCTTCTCTATCAGATATTGAAAAATCAAAGAGAAGAACTTGGAAGAAAAATTTGGAAGATTGGATTTATTTATTTATTAGATAAGATTTATTTATTAGATAAGATTTATTTATTAGATTAGATTTATTTATTAGATTAGATTTATTTATTAGATTAGATTTATTTATTAAATAAGATTAATTTATTGGATTAGATTTATTTAATTAAAGATTGGAGTGTTTTGAGTTGTTTTATAGATTAGAATTGGAATATAGATGATGGAGACACCAGGATTCAAACCAGCCTTCCCCTGACCTTTCCCTTAACAAGCAAAGACTTTATCTGAGCTACTCTCATTGACATCATTGACATCAGACATCAGACATCATTGGCATCATTGACATCATTGGCATCAGACATCAGACATCATTGACATCAGATATCAGATCATTGACATCATTGACATCATTGACACCAGAGTTCAGTGCTTTGCTTTGTAGTATCAGTGCTTTGCTAAGCTTAAGGCCAAAGCTAAATCCTTCAGTGTGAAGCCTTTTCCTTTCAATCTTTGAGGAAAACGAGTGTTGAGAATTAGCACTTGATTGGTGACAGATTGAGGCATTTGTTCTCATTTCCTCTCTCAATTCAATCCATCAATCGTACAATATTTTGAACAGCGCTTAGGTGTGTCAAATTGTCAAATGTGTGTCAAATTTTGGGAAAAGGAAATGATTTTTTGCCATTGAGCAAAGATATAATGGATTTTGAAAGCTTTAACTGTACTTTATTTGTACTTTACTTAACTGAAAGCTTACTCGAAACACAAACCATCTGGCATACCGCTTAATAGATTGTTCTTTAGGTGTTTAGCATCTATTTCTTTTCTTTCTTTTCTTTCTTTTCTTTCTTTTCTTTCTTTCTTTCTTTTTAAACGTTTTCTCTAGATTTTCTAGTAATTTCACTGAAAATTCAGAAAACTTTTCTCTTTTTTCGTTTTTTCGTTGGAAACGGTTCGTTTAACATTTGGAGAAATCGGTTAAGAAAGAAAGAAAGAAAGAAAGAAAGAAAGAAAGAAAGAAAAGAAAGAAAGAAAGAAAACTTTTCCCTTTTCCACTTTTCCACTTTTCCATAACATTTATAAAGGTTTTTCAGAGAAATCGTTTTCCCCTAGATCACTGAAAGAAAGAAGAAACGAAAGAGGAGAATAGATCCCATCGCCTTACGATCGTAAAACATTTATGGGACCTTGGGGATTCGACTGGACTGGACTGACTTCGAGTGGACCTTTTAGGCCTTTTAGAACATCACATAATTTATGATTATTTAGGGTCATCAATGTATGTTTTGGATTTGAAAGTTATCCAGAGGTTTTGAAAGCTTTTGTTAGATATTCGAGCTGACTTGGATCTTGGATTCTACTTGAACTGGCCTGAACCTGGCCTAGGGTAGGCCCTGGTAGATTCCTGGCCTAGGGTAGGCCCTGGTAGACCTAGACTAGACTAGAGTAGATCCTGGTAGACCTAGACTGGCCTAGGGTAGGCCCTAGTAGACCTAGACTAGACTAGAGTAGATCCTGGTAGACCCAGACTGGCCTAGAGTAGATCCTGGTAGACCTAGACTGGCCTAGGGTAGGCCCTAGTAGACCTAGACTAGACTAGAGTAGATCCTGGTAGACCCAGACTGGCCTAGAGTAGACCCTGGCTGTCTTTCAGACACGACAAGCTTTAGATAATTGATAGTCATTGAGATTTGATCTCAAATGAATTTTGATTTGATCACCAAAAAAAGTTAATAACAGATCAGCTGATTTACTAAACCCTTTACCTAGATTTAAAACTTGTTTTTTTCGTTTTACTAAAGAATGTAGACATAAATCTTACTGTAGCCGTCTTAAAAAAACTTACCACAACACATTTGAAGACAGCTGAGTGTCCAGGGGCCACCAGCACATCTTCAGGTTCAGCCTTGAAGCGAAGAGGTCGACGAGCTTGGACCTGAAAAGAGATTAGAAAAAAGATTAGAAAAAGAAGATTAGAAAAAGAAGTTTACAGATTAGAAACTATTAAATTATTAAATTAGATAAATAAATCTCTAACCTTTACACTCTTTGATCGAAAAGTCCACTCGTTTTTGTGAACACCGGTGATCTTGACAGCGCACGAGTACTCGCCTGAGTCATCTTCACTCAACTTTTCAATCCAAAGTGATCCGTTTGCGAGAAGAGGGCTAAAGTAAAGAATAGTTAATCAATGATTAATTAATGACATTCAAATATTGTACTTAAATTGGATTAACTTTTTACGATATTGTTTTTGTTTCGAGCTAGCCAGAACATTGAAAGGGCTAAATTGACTGGATTGATGGATTGATGGATTGGTTGGATTGATTGAATTGGCTGGATTGGCTGGATTGATGAATTGACTGGATTGACTGGATTTGGATGGATTGGCTGGATTGGCTGGATTTGGCTGGATTGGTTGGATTGGTTGGATTGATTGGATTGATTGGATTGACTGGATTTGACTGGATTGGCTGGATTGGCTGGATTTGGATGGATTGGCTGGATTTGGATGGATTGGCTGGATTTGGATGGATTGGCTGGATTTGGATGTATTGGCTGGATTGGCTGGATTTGGCTGGATTGGTTGGATTGGTTGGATTGGCTGGATTGGTTGGATTGGCTGGATTGGTTGGATTGACTGGATTTGGCTGGATTGGTTGGATTGGATGGATTGGCTGGATAGACTGGATTTGGCTGGATTGGTTGGATTGGTTGGATTGATTGGATTTGGCTGGATTGGTTGGATTGGTTGGATTGGCTGGATTGGCTGGATTGACTGGATTTGGCTGGATTTGGACTGGATTGGCTGGATTGGCTGGATTGGCTGGATTGACTGGATTGATTGGATTGGTTGGATTGATTGGATTTGGCTTTCTTAAGGTTAATGTTCTTGATCTTCTTCATCTTCTTGATCTTCTTGATCTTCTTCATCTTCTTCATCTTCTTCATCTTCTTCATCTTCTTCATCTTCTTCATCTTCTTCATCTTCTTCATTTTCTCGATAAACAATAGTACCTTTGGATTTCTGCATAGTCAACTAATTTTCTTTTACAAATCATTCAACAATCCAGAGATCCCTTTTCAAAAGACAAACGAAGACAAATCACCCCTTTTGGTCTCTTTCGAATGACCCAGATTTGAGTGAAAAGAAGAAAAGAAGTAGTCATTAGAGATGGGGAACAGGGATTGTCGGACACACTAATTTAGGCCACGAACTAGTGGAGGAATTCGGGGACATGAAATTGCCTCCTTTGGCATCTATTGGTCTTCTTTATCCCTCTCTTGGCCCTCTCTTGGCCCTCTTTTCAGTCATCCATTAGGTTTCCGCCTCGTTCCACCCCCGTTACGCAAGCCACGAATTTGCATTTCTCGTAAAAGTTTAAGAACTTTTGCTTTGAAAGAAAGAATTTGATAGCAATGTTGACAAGTAAAGCTTTTAGAAAGAATAAGCAAAGAAAAGAGGGCCAAGAGAGGGTCAAGAGAGGGCCAAGAGAAGGCCAAGAGAGGGTCAAGATAGGGCCAAGAGAATAAGCAAAGCCAGATCAAGCTTGTAAACCGAAAACAGCGTTAAATCTAATCAAAAACTACTCAAAATATTTCCCAAAGAAGTCAACATCTTGCTTAAAAGGCTTTTCTCGCTAGTCTCCTATATGAGCTGATGGTGTAGTGGATAAGATGTTTGGCTACAAAGCGAGTGATTCATTTTTTGCACGGGTTCGAGTCCTCGAACCTCCTTCGAGTTCGAGTTCTTTATTTCATTTCAATCCCTATTCCAGTAGGGAAATCTTGAGTAAAGGCATTTCTTTATTTTCTATTTCTTTATTTCTCTATTTCTCTATTTCGATCGTTTGCGCAAATAAATATGTGGGTATTGGTAGAAAGAAGAGAAAGGGTTAAAGAGAAGGGGTTAAAGAGAAGATGGCTGAGAGGGGATGAATGCGAGGTGTTTGGTTACTTGGCTCCTACTACTTTATGGATGGGGAAATCCCCAAGAACCCCTTCTCTTTCATAGCTTTCATAGCTTTCCCTTATCCCCAGGCTAAGGGATTTAGCAATTTCATCAAGTATTGGATAAATGGGGAAATGTATTGCTTTGGTTTTGGAACGTAATCACTCTAAACGCACTCTAGCACTCTAAACTAAACGTAACTCTGAGTCTCAGTGCTCTGAATTGTGATCTAGTTATTGTAATCTATAGATGTTACAATAATCCGACTACAATAACTGACTACAATAACCGTTTACAGTAGCCGTCAGTAGCATGATACGGCTACCGTAAATCCGTATCGAGTACTGCATTAGCTTTTTACAGAGCTTACAATCAGCTTTTTACAGAGCTTACAATCAGCTTTGTTTAGCTGGTTACCTCTTCATTTCCATTTCCAACTCTTCCCCAATGCATCGTTTCCATTTTACGTTTTTTCTATTCATTTCCGAGAGTAATACCTAGCGAAAAACCTCGGAGAGCTTTTTGTGGCGCTTTTTGCTTGGTCGGGATTATGAAACACGGGCGGATGACTAAATGTCGCTTAAATGCCGGTTCTCACGAGTCGAGAAAAAGAAAGAGATATTTCCGACATGAGTGAGGGGTACTCTGGGAAATGGGGAGAGGGGACTAATCCCGGGAAGGGTATTTCTCTTTTTAATCATCAAAAACTAGTACTAGAAACGACCTGGGCCTTGAGCCTGGGTAGATTACTAGAACTAGGACTACTAGAAGGACTGATGTCCATCGACTGATGTACTAGGACTACTAAAATTGGCCTGAGCCTGAGTTTGGGCCTAGCCTGGCTTGGACCTAGCCTGAGCCTAGCCTGGGCATGGGCCTAGCCTGAGCCTGGGTCTAGCCTGAGCCTGGGACTAGCCTGTACCTAGCCTGAGCCTGGGCCTAGCCTTGGACTAGCCTGGACCTAGCCTGGACCTAGCCTGGGCATGGGCCTAGCCTGAGCCTGGGTCTAGCCTGAGCCCGAGACTAGTCTGTACCTAACCTGAGCCTGGGACTAGCCTGGACCTAGCCTGGGATCATTGGCATGGGCCTGGACCAGACCAATATTAAAGAATGGTACTATTGTTTTATCATGCTTCAAAAACTAGATCATTTATACTGGAAAAGTTAGGGTATCTAATTATGTAAAAGACTGTACTGTACTTGTATGTACTGTACTTGAATGTACTGTACTTGAATGTACTGTACTTGAGTGTACTGTACTTGAGTGTACTGTACTTGAATGTACTTAAATGTACTTGAGTACTGTAATTGATCACCCTAAGATTATCGTCATCTGTAACTATCGTAATCTCGAATCTTTTCATGTGATCCCATAGCTAAAAACTCGTGCACTAAAGGTTTATCTTAAAAAGTTGATTCCTCGTTTATTTGAAGTTCAAGTAGGTATTCTCAGCTCTTTCTTTTCTTTTAGCTTTCGAGTTCAAGATTCTTTTAGTAGAATCTTTTTAGATACCCAATTCCTCCTCTAAAAGATGCATAGAGATGCCTCTTATGACCACTTATGTCCCCGGAAATATACAAGGAACTTGTAGATATAGATAAAGAATAAAAATAGAAATATAAATATAAATATAAATATAAATAAAAATATAAATATAAATATAAATATAAATAAAGAATAAAAATAGAAATATAAATAAAAATAGAAATAAAAATATAAATAAAAAAATATAAACATAAATAAAAACATAAATATAAATAAAATATATAAATATATTACAATAATCTCTGTAATAGAGCGGTACTACGGTAGCTTTTTTGTTTTTTTTTTTAAAACTCACGGATTCTCAAGCTTTTCGCCGTCTTTTTGCCACTCAACTTCATCGGTTACCTGGAAAGCTTTTTTTATCTTTTCTTTGCTCTTTTTTTACGTTGGATACAGTATACTAACTTTAGATTTACGTAGAAATATCATAGCTAAACTTTAAGGATATTTATCTTTATCAACTTTAAGATTTAGAAAATCCTGGAGACTAATTGTAAGTGAGACTAGGCGAGGATAGAGTCTGGGCAACAGCTAGGTCGAAGTCTGGACTAGACTTAGGCTTAGGCTTAGGCTTAGGATTAGGATTAGGCTTGGGCTTAGGCTTAGGCCAGCTTAGGCTTAGGCTAGCGGCTAGCGCCTAGCACTAAGTCTATTTGGGTTTGGGCTGAACCCCCATTTTCTGGATCTCAGCCAGTTCTCGGTTAGGCTAGGGCTTAGGCCCGGGAACTCTTTCTAAGTCAGATTAAGACTTCTACCTGGCCTGGCCTGGCCTTGCCTTGCCTTGCCTTGCCTGGCCTTGCCTTGCCTGGCCTGGCCTGGTCTTGCCTAGCTGTTCAGCTCAGGCTCAGCTATCCATCTGCTCAGCTATTCATCTTTTCAACTCACTCGTCCATCCCTTTTCTCAAACTCGTAGCTGCACGAAAGCAATGCTTTTGATGAGAACAAAGATTCTTCGGGCTCGGCGGTGAATTTGAAATTCAGCCATCGTTCGTCTAGAAAGATATTTATTTAAAGTTTAGTTTAGTTCAAAGTTTTCAAGTTTCAAGTTTTAAAGTTTAAAGTTTAGATCCATTTTTAAGCTTCAAAATTGGTTTCTTGTTTGAAAAGGCTGAATGAAAACGCTGAATTGTCAGAATTGTCAGAATCAGAATGACAGAATTGACAGAATTGGCTTCAATTGGCCTCGATCCCATTTCCCACAAGTGCAATAACAGATGGTGAAGCGCTACTTTCGAGTGGGTACCCAAGTGTTGACGTGGTAGAGTGAATTTGGCAACTATTTAGTGTTTAACTTCTAGAGGAAAGATATGTACTTAAGGTTAAAATTTATTTTTCTATATTGTGCTAGTTGTATTGCCTAGTTTAACAGTTTATTACCTAGAAGAGAGTTTAACAGTTTTTTTTCTTTGCTTCCTTTACTTGGAACCCATCTTTTCTTTCCTTTCCTTTCTTTCCTTTCTTTCCTTTCTTTCCTTTCTTTCCTTTCTTTCCTTTCTTTCCTTTCTTTCCTTCCAAAGTTTAACAGTTCAAGAGCCGAGAACACTAGTGCAATTTCCCCTTTCCAATTCCAAATTATTTATATAAACTAGTTATAGCTATACTTTTAAAGTATTCCCTTTAGTTGAATATCTTTTAAATTTGTATAACAAATAGGGCAGTTATGAAAACAGCGAAGCTCTTTCTCTGCGTAGATTTTACGTGGCTGCCCTTTTATTTCAAATTTCCTAGATATTCAGCTAAATGAGCACACTTTGAAAGAGAATATTTATGCTGAAATTCTCGTTCACTCCTAAGCAAACCATATTTTCTCTTACTATATGAAGAAATGGAGTGGTGTGGGTAAAAGGACAGATGGTCATCGATCCATTTCCCTTGCATCCTCTCTTTGGCTTCATTTTTTCTTTCTTTCTTTCCTCTCACTCAATTCAATTTGGTATCCCCGTCTTTGGACCCTTCATTTGACAAATTGCTTGACCGATTATCGAGATTTTTTCGACATTTCGACATTTTTTCGACAAAAAACGAAGAATTTGATTGCAAAATGATTAAAGAGTTTTCAAAGGGCATTTAAAGGGCTTTGATTTAAAGAACTTTGATGTAAAGGACTTTGATTTAAAGGGCATTGATTTAAAGGGCATTTAAAGGACTTTGATTTAAAGGGAATTCAAATTGCCGATGTACCATAATACCTTACTAATAGAGGCTCTCTACTGTGCTAAACTAGTAGTGCTTTAACCTAACAGTTCCAAAAAACTAACATACTTCTAACAAATTCACAGATCAGACAACTTCTAACATAGCATTACCGTCAAATGATCGCCTATTGTGCTTTCGATGAGTGGTAGCGGTGGATCGATCGAGGAATAAAATGTGAAGAAATAAAAGTATTAGAAATTTCATTGTTAGAATTAAATTGACATCAAAAACCAGTCATCAACATCGGAGAATGAGCTGTTTCATCTGAAAATTTTATTCTACATCTAATACCGTAGTTGAACTTTCATCGATTCTAAAACGTGGGAATATTGTCGGAAAATTACATATAAAACCTCGTTCAAAGAAAAGAAATCACTTTCGGAAGCTGGTCAAAATAGCGCCACGCCAAAAATAGCCTCTCCGCGTTTGAGTTTATATGTGTTTCTTATTCTTATTGCATGCAGAATAAAATTATCTACATTTTGCATACTTTGCGATCACCTAAAACAGAATTGGTGTCGAGAAAAGCTCAGTTAACCTCTTTTTAAGCCCTTTTTTGTCTTTTTTTAGCATTTTCTCATTACAGATTTGTTCTAAGCGGCTCCAAAAAATTCAGCAGATAGCTAAGTTTTTTCTACACCCAATGAAAATAAGAAACACGAATAAACAACCACAAACGCATTATTTTGACTGGCGCTGTTTTGACCAGCTCCCCCCTCACTTTCTTCTTGCGATTTTTTAAAAGTGTTGGCAGATTTTTCGTCTAAAGCTTCGTTTTTTATAGGAAAGTGAGATCACAGCGAGGATTTTGATTCGAAAACAGTGCACAATTTTTGATTCAAGGTTTAAAAGAAGCGGAGATTTAAGTTTCATTTGAAAAGTTGGTACTTTAGTGGTTGGGAGGGGCCACTTTTATCCCTGTAATCAAATATGCTTAATAGATTCGTGTTTTAGCAAGTTTTTAGCAATTCTAGCCTAATCTCGTGTACTTTAACGACCAAACGCTACCTCAAAACAGCTTACACTTGAAAATCAAATAAAAGTGGCAATATGAAATTTGAAACGTGTTGTAAATGCTGTATAAGCATATTTGAAGTATAAGCATATTTGATTACCCGAAAATAGATAAAAGGTATCAATGCAACCACTCAAAACATTAGATTCAACTAAGTCAGAATAAAAGTGGCCCATCCCAACCACTAAAGTACCGAAAAGTTTGATTGCAAAGTGAAAACGTATGAAAATTCAACTCTAGCAAAAACTAGTAAAGGACGACTTTGGCGCTAACAGTCGTTGACCTTGAGGCGAGAGAAAGAGCCGGTCACCAGTGGTCAGCTAAAAAGAAAAAAGACAGGCGGATTGGTGTGTGTATTGTGGGCGGGGCTAGCGTATTTGTTTAAACTGCCGCTTTGGGCTTTCTTTCGACACGCGCGTCGCGTTCTTCTCCCCGACGCGACGCTTTTTTGTTTGAAAACGTTTTCGTGAGCTGTCTAGCATTTTAAGCCGCTATTACATTACGTTCTTCTTTCTTTTGTTGCATTTCCCGCCCGGGCATTTGTTTGCTAGCGTTAACTAATTTCTCTATGTTTAGATCGGATTTAATTGATGGCTGATAAATCATGGTTATCGCGCTGGTTTGGTAAGTGTTTTGTAAATCAGTGTTATATTAAGTGTTATATCGTAAAGTATTAGTATTTTCTTGTTCTAGGTCGCACGCCGACTCAATCCGGCACTTCAGCGCAATCGAATGAGTCTCGAATGACCGCACCGTCGCCTAGTACAAGTCCACCAACAAGCAACGATCATCGTCAAATGCTCAGAGACATTTTGCCAGATCACGGTTAGTTTTTAGGCTTGTTTTGATTGTAATTGTATGTTGAACGATTAATCACTAAAGTCTAAAATAATTTGCATGACTATTCTTAGTTTTTATTAATTGTTTACGAATTATCCTTCTTTAGGCTCACCGGTGTCATCTCCGCCACAAACCACCAACTTCAGAAGCTTTGATCCTTCGGCATTGAACAATGGACACTCACAAAAAGAGTCACTTTTTGTGAATACAGATAGTTTGACGGTAAGCGTCTGTGTTTCGGTTACTAAAAAATTGTTTTCTAGAGGAAAAGACAATTCACCAGTTCTCCGGACAGCTTACTTGTTTCGGAGCGAATCAAACGTTTTCGAGACAATATTGCTTCAACAAAAGACGATGAGGTAGCGAATATAGTTTATTCTACGTTTCATACATATTCAACTTTTAGGATCATGTGCCTGCATTTGAAGCCAGCGTAGTGAAACCCCGAATGGAACACTCGTTTGCTGGTCCTTACACGCAACGCAATGCTTCGATGCTTGAATCACCTGGTGGATCTTCATCAATCTCGTTGTTTTCTCGTCGATCTACTGCTCCATCGACACATTCAAATATCTCCAGCAAAACTCGAGCAATTCTTGAACAACTCGAACGTGTGACTACGCCTCAAACGGTTAGATTGCTTACTGTTTTTAATCTATGGCCTTTATCGTACAAGACCTTTAATCATGATCGCATTTAGGAAGCCAAACGAGTTCCAATATTCCGGCCAGCCTCAACCGTACCAGAAGTGTGGAATACATCCTGGCATGCTGGGACTAATTCAACGATTTCAATTGCAAATTCGACTTCTAATCCTCAAAATCCCCCACCAAGAAAACGACAGCCAATTCCAACTTCAAACCGTATTCAAATATTGACCTCAGCTTTGACAACACATTACAAGAAGCCTTACTGGTAAGAAATTTTACTTAGCAATGAGTTAATGATCATTAATAAAATGGTGTGATATTTTAAATTTTAGGAGGGACATTTATCGTCCAAAAAAGCCTGTCGAGGATAAATCGTCAACATCATTCCAATCGCCAGCTATTCAACGTGTTCAAGCTACGTCAAGCAGTGTTGTGAAAGTGAGCACTTCTTGAGAAAAAATTGAATTAAACATTGTTAAGGTTTCTCCATTGTTTGATCTCTCTGATCACCCATCACCTGTAACTTCATCTGCTAAAGAGAGCGGAAGCGCAACAGTTTCATCGGTTAAAGCGATACCGCCACTCAAAGGTTCATATTTATTCGCTTCTAATTCTTTAAAGTAGTAGTCCCCTTTATGGCCCAATCACCATACAAACTTTATTTCGGTAACCTATGTTTGTTATGTTTTTAAATGATTTTGCATAGTCTGAAACCATTAAAGTCGATTGAACCGGTGAGATTCGACCAAAATTTGACATTTTATTCGCGCTTTTAAGAATAGCGTAACCAAAGTTCACTTTATATCAAAAAGTGACGGTTTTCATATATGGCTTTAGCTCGAAATTCTACAAGAAACACCAAAAAGTGATTAAAGTAAAAGTTTTATCTTAGTCAAAACTTATTCAGTAAGTTATTTGGCAAGTCTCAAAACTACCTACAACTCGAGATCCAACTCTTTTTTGATAGGCTCTTCACTCGATTTTCAATGGTTATTAAATAGTGTGAAAAAACATTTTCTACTAAATGAAAATAACTTTTACGGGGAATACGATAAAAAATAAAAATGGTAAAACTGGTTTAAAAAGGTTACAAGCACGGGTTACCAAAAGAGGTTTGTATGGAGATTGGACCATAAAAGAGACTCCACCTTTAATTTGTTGCCTTTAAGGCTTTGATGGAAAGAAAGTACCAAACACATTCAATGCCGGATGCATCTACATGGAGGACTCTGATGGAGAACAAGAAAAGGACAGCGCTGATGTGAGTCTATCTTGTTTGAAAATTTTTAAAGAGTATTTAGGTATTTATAAAGAGACTTGATTTGCCTAAAGTGGCGCCACCAAAAGGATTTATCAACGATTGTTTGTTCGATTTTGAAGCTCCTGTTGAACGTGGTCCACAAGCAGTAAGAATCAAATTTATTCCCTCAACATCTCTTTTTTAGAACGTTTCCTCCTCATCGGACGAATCAAGCCCAGAAAGCGAGAGCAGCAATAGCAGCGATGATATCGAACTGGTTCAAAACGAGGTTCAAACAAAGGTCGCCGAAAAGTCTCCTGTCGCACCAGCTATCAAGGTTGGTAGAACTGCAGATATGACACACGCATGTCATACTTTAGATTGTTACTGAAACTTTGGCTCCACCAACGGATAGTGAAACTTCTGCTTCTGTAGTTGCCACACCAAACTCAAGCAAAAACGCTTCACCAGAAAGTAATTTTGAAACCTTTGAATTTTTTTAATCTGGTGTGCTATAGGTTTGAATAAGACACCAACTACAGCTACAGTTTCAAAATGGTATTGCTCGGTGTGTATGTTGGAAAATCAGGTTTGCATCGTATAATATATAAATGAGTTAGTTTTAATTTTAGGCAGCATTTACTAAATGTATCGCTTGTGAGGCTCCAAAGCCAGGAGAAACCACTACGGCTTCATCTGCAACTTCTAAATGGACATGTTCAGTGTGCTGGGTGGAAAATCAGGTTAGTGTTGTCGTAGCTTCTGCATTAATTTATTTATATTAAGGCAACTTCCGCCAAATGTGTCGCTTGCGAGTCACCTAAACCAGGAGAAACAGCCGCCGCTGCCGCCGCTTCAACATCAACTTTCAAACCCACAACATTCGCTCCCCTGGCACTACCCAAGGGAGTTTCATTTGGATTTGGTGGAAGCAAAGCTCCGGAGGTGAAACAATCTTTTTGAGCATTGGACAACTTTCCTATTTAGGCTCCCTTAGCAAACAAGGATGATAACGCTGAGGTGAAACGACCATTGTTTGGGGCAGGAGCAGGGCTGGGTTTTGGTTTGAGCGCCTCTGGAGCTTTGAAACCAGCTTTAGCTCCGTCAGCGCAAACGAATGGTGCTATTTTACCGTTTATTAATGGAGCAAGGTTTGTTTATTTAGAAATAACTTTATTCATAAAGTTTTAGCGGATTTGGTGGAGCGCCGTCAATAGATTCAACGTCCACTCTTGGTCTACCAAAGTCAACTCCTTTCGGCTTGAGTGCAACTACTGCGCCTACAACGTTCTTGAAATTCGGTGGAATCGGTTCAGGTTTGTTGTTTGCTGAATTGTGTTTCTAAATCAACGTTTTAGATACAGTGTCGAAAGGACTCAATGATGGAGCCGCTTCATCTACTCCTGCTCCATTCACGCTGGGAGGCAATACAGCTTCAGCCCCGATGACCAATTGTTAGTAGAATTTTACATACAAGGATGTTTTCGATTTAGCTTTCACTTTTAATGGTGCCTCTTCTATTCCATCGATTCCAGTTTTTGGAAATGCACAAAAAACCAGCGATGTTGTACCTGAAACGGATAAAACTCAACGGAAAGACACAGACAAACCTTTTGCACCAATCAAGGTAGGTCGATTCAAATTAAAGATTTTCCCAAAAATTATGTTTAGGTTTTTGGGGAAACTACGGTTTCACTGACGGATACGAAAACACCTGCCTCTATATTTGCCGCACCAAGCTTGAGCAAAAATAGTTTGTTGGAAAGTAAGTCTTATTTATCTATTCTGTTTTACTTATCGGTCTCTAGATTTGAATCAAACGCCTACAACAACTAAGTTGGGAGAAACGGCTACCGCTTCAACATCAACTTTCAAACCTACTCCGATGGCGCCATCTAATGGAGTTTCAATTGGATTTGGTGGAAGCAAGGCTCCTGAAGTAAAATACATTTCTTCTGCATTGATTTTTGTATTTAGGCTCCTTCCAAAAGTAATGATGGCGCTCCTGACATGAAACGACCGTTGTTTGGACCAGGGCCAACAACAACACCTAGCTTCAATTTCGGTCCATCTGAAGGTGCAAAACTAACTCTCGCTCCGTTGGCTCAACCAGCACAAACACCTTTCATTTTTGGATCGAAGTTTGTTATTTAAGGTTTTCCTTCATCATTTGATTTTTAGTGGATTTGGCGGAGCGCTATCATCAGCCTCAGCACCAACTTTGGGCTTGCCTCACACGACAACTTCCGGTTCTTTCAGTCTGGGTGTTCCTACTGCTCCACCATTCAATTTTAGTGAAAATGCGCCAGGTTCCTTGTGCTGGCAGTTGCATCTAACAAGATTCGGTTTAGATGCTGTGCCAACGAATTTCCGGTTTGGAGATCCCGCATCGACGGGCCCATTCGTCTTCGGAGGCAATGCTGCTCCAGCTCCAAGTTAGTTCAATATTATTTACGAGAGTGTATTTGCATTTAGCCTTCTCATTTGGTGACTCGCAGCCTTCTCATTCTCATTTTTCTCTTCCACCTATTGCACAGGTTCCATCATTCGGAAATGCGCCACCAACCGACTCTCCATTTGCTTTCAAGTGAGTATTCTTTTGTTTGCGCAGCCTATTCGAATTTATAATAAATTTTAGCAGTAGTTCTACAGCGACAGGAGTTGGACAGGGTAGGAAGCTGGCAAGCGCACGACGAAGATTGACACACAAGCGCTAGAGCTTTAGCCAGAGATTAAATGCTTTACTCATATCATGTTGTCTTCTATGTTCTTGTTTTCGTGTTTGCTGATTTGTGTACCAGTGTGATTAGCGAAATCGGTGACTTTGCTCTGTATTTTAAAGACTAGGTTCTTTGATCATTTACTTGAATTATGAACGTTAGTCGTTGGTTTTTTGTTTTTCATGAACCTACAAGCCCTTGTAGCTTTCTTGCCCCTAAAATAGCACCTCTTCCAAACACATCGCTAGACGTTCCATGTTACTTTCGTTAATCTTTTCGTCCCTTGATGCGGTTACATTTTTTGTACAATGCTTTGGTGTTGTACCCTTGTTAGGCGTTACTATATCCCCATTTGTTTTGTTGTTGCTCAAAAATTGACTCTCCAAGTTCGGCTTTGTTTTGATGTGCGTCGTGAGGCGATCCCCTCACGAAATATTGATATTTCTTGTTTACGCTGGTAAAACTTTTTGGATATTGTGATGTAAGTTAAATAAATTCTATTGTTTTTACCCGATTCACCAATTACAAATGGCATAATAGCACTGAAATACTTGTTAACATTAGAAAAGGATATTTTCTTCAAAAAGCATATCCAGGAAAGACGAATGGGTACTCCATGGAAAGTGGCATCGACAATAATTTTGTGTCAGTTTTTTGTAGGGATAAAATCTTATGTTTCGATGTTAAGGGTCTCGCACAACGCAGCGTGTTTTGATGTTACGAAGAGGTGCCACCGCGCCATTTATGCCTTCATTGCACGTATTTCCCGGCGGTGTCATTGACACAGTGGACTCAAAGTTGGGGCAACCCGAACGAGTTGCTGCGTTGAGGTATTTTTTTATCTTTTTGGGTTATTTGTAGAGCTCTTTTATCAGTTTAATATTAATAAAGTAGCCTTGTTTAGAGAGCTCTTTGAAGAAACGGGACTTGTGCCAACCATCGATGGAAAAATAGAAACCGCCGCATTAAACAAGGATCTAGCCAACCTACAACAACGAGCCCAGAAAGACCCTTCAGCGTTTGTTGAGGTACGGAAGAAAATTTGAGATTTCGATCCATTTCCCAAATTCTAATATCCAGGTATCAAAACTCGTCGGCTCAGCGCTTCCACTTCGTTCACTGCAACCATGGGCCACGTGGCTTACACCGAATTATGGGAAAAAGCGATACATGACTTCGTTTTTCTTGCTACCGATTGAAGGAGAACCTGAAGTCAAGTAAGTGATCTTGATGGATTATGGGATTCAACTGGATGTCATTCAATAAAATGTGATTTTAGCATCTGTACACGAGAAATGTCGTCAGCCGTTTGGCTTGAGCCCGCTAAAGCATTACCGTTAGCACAAGATGGTGCGCTCGATCTACCACCGCCACAAATTTATGAGTTGACTCGATTGTCGCAGGTATTTAAAGCATTGAAAAATGATAAAACCCCTAGTATTTTCATCTAGGTTTCTGCAAATAGTGTAACGATGCCAAATAATAAAACAGTGATCTGCCCACAACAGGTATTTTGGGATTTTCATTTTAAAATCTCTATCCTTTTAAAATCAGCTTTTCATTTAGTTAACCGGAAAACCAAGCGGCTTTATTGCTTTCATTTATCCAGGAGACCGTTTGTATCAGGAAACCGAGGACGCCTATTTGATAGAGCCGAGAGTTGTAGATGATTTAGAAGTATGTGATGAGACATTGCGACAGAGATAAGATTTTCGAATTTTCTAATTTTCTACATTTCAGTTAGCACAAGGTGATCCCAATGCCTCTCTTCATCGATGCGTTTTCCCAGCTCGTCCATCAACAAAAGGACTTCAATTGCATTTTCAAAATGTTCCAGAAAAATATGGGTGCGTCTTTTGTCCCTTTAAAAGAGAGTCGAAAATTTTCTAGATTTCATCCATTCAACGTGCCTTTAAGCCAAGATGCTGCCGCCAAAAAAGGAAAACTTTAGCCTTAAACAACCTAATTTCAACCTAATTTCATATGCTGATTTTTGCCTTAAATCAATCTTAAATGCCTTAAATTGTGTACGTTTTACGGATATATTTTTCGGGATTTATTGATGATCATAAACATACAAAAAATCGGACAAAAGTACATGCTAGTAGTACGAAAGTTAACTTGAGATTTGCTAGTAGTTTAAACTAGCCGGATCTCGACAAGCGACAAGCAGTTAGGGCTTGTGCTGTGTGTTGAAGGAAGAGGGCATGCCTTAGATACAACGGTTCTCTAAAGATGAAAAATAACAATAATCCAATGAAAATTAACAATCAATCCCTCAATTAATAGAGTTAGAGTTAAACTTTACAAATAGAGTTAATCTAACGAAAGGGTCGGTCAATCCAACACGTAAAAGTTGGCGAAAGGCTTTGCGTTTCGGTTGTTCTGTTGGGCTTTGTTGTTCTTCGGTTGTGCTTCACCATCATGTGGAATCCAAGACCCTAATACGGTTTAAACCAAAGTGTATGCAATGTTCGAGTATTAGATGATCAACAGATAACTCTTCTGCTATTTCCGCAAAAGGAAAGCCTTTTGTTGGTTTGAAAATTTTCGAGTAACTTGGCATTATCCAGCTAAACTGCTGGATGACCTTTGTCTTCGAAGATTCATTCGCAGAACGGAATTTAATAAACCAGCCTACACATGTTTGTAGTAGAGCTGATCCTTTCACCTACCGTAAAAACTCTAATAAAACGGCTTCCTATAGGAGCGTCGTGTAGTCAAGTTACTTTAAACAACGCCATCCGACACCCGTACGTTGCGCCGATTAGGTATCAAGGGAGAATGGGTCTTGGATATAACACAAATTCAGCTACCAGCGCTAGAAAAAGATGAAAATCGGCCTTTTTGCCCTTTTCAATAATTTTTTTCTAAGCGCTGGTTAAAGCTGTAAATTTGTGTTATATCTCAAAAGATCACCCATTCTCCCTTTATTTGATACCTACGACCTGAAACAACGAGGGTGTCGAGATATGAGCGTTTGTTTAAGAGTAAAATAACAGAAAATAACAGATTAATGTTAAAAATCTGTTATTTTTCCGAAAGTTCGCAAATTTCGATTCGGTTCAGGTTCGGTTCAATCCGAAAATTCGAAAATTTCGGTTCATTCGGCTTTGCAGCTAATTTTTTAAGGTCAATCGAATGCACTTTACTAAAATTTTTCTTTATCTCTAAATATCAATAAAACCACCGAACTAAAGGGGGTGGGACAAATGCGACCTTTTTTTTTTGCGCACCTGGACATTTGCGCACCTTTTTTTTAAGGCCTTCCGAAAGGCTGGAAAAGGCCTTAGGAAAGGTCGTAGAGCTTCAAAAATGTTTCCATAGAGGGAATCGTATGCGTAGTTTCAGAATTTCGACAAATCAGACCTCGCTGACACGTCAAATTTGGGCTAAAAGGCAAAAACTACGCAACTTAACGCTTTTCCGCAGTTTTTGCCTTTTAGCCCAAATTTGACGTGTCAGCGAGGTCCGATTTGTCGAAATTCGGAATCTACGCATACGATTCCCCTCTATGAAAACATTTTTGAAGCTCTACGACCTTTCCTAAGGCCTTTTCCAGCGAAAAAAAGGTGCGCTTTTGGCCGGGTGCGCAAAAAAAGGTCGCATTTGTCCCACCCCCGAACTGAATGTACTTCACTGCGGGCTTTTATAAGGAGATCTAAGGCCTATCTAAGGCCTAGGAAGATTTTCTTAAGCATGCAAAAACACTTTCTTTAGGTTAACATGTCCAGAATGTTAACATGTCCAGTCCAGAATGTCCAGAACATGAAAATAACAAAATTAGATCTTAAAAAGCAAAAATGAAAATTTCGAATTTTTCATGATTTTCACCCAGGTCCACCACGTGGGTGAAAATTTCAGAAATTTTTATTTTCTACTCGAATTTGGTTAGAATTGCAAGTAGGACTTTAGATTATCTCAGAAAGAGTCTTTTTTTGGACAGGAAAAGGCTTATTAAGATCCTTTTGAGCCCTTATAGGAGCATTACAGTGAAGTACGCTATAGAAATGGCGACTTGAAGCCTCTAAAAGTCGGTCTAAAACGCATTTTCCCAAGCTTTCATTATGAAATTCGTAATCTACGCAAAAAACTGCTCTAGAAAAAGGACTTTTGAAGAAAAAAAAGTTGCCCCCACAAGTACCAAATTGTTTTTTTATTGCATACCGTAAATACTGTAATAGTACCCCACCCCCATAATGACGGTGCGGAGTGTTGCGTAGTCTAGCTTTGGACGAGTTTTTCTCGACACTGGTTTATGCTACAATGCGCGCTTAGTTATCAAAAAATAGCTGAAATTCAGGGCTATTTTTTTGATACCAAACACGCATTTTTTGAAAGTACGGGTGCTTTGAAAAAAAATGAAATACTAAAAAACTTTTGCGACTACACGACTGTACGAGGGGGAATGGGGTCCAATTACAGTATTTACGGTAGGTTTTAGAAAACAGAAATAAGATGTGACCTGTCAAGTGGCGGTGCAAGTGGTCCTGGCCATCCCATCTCCACTACTGGCGCTCCAAATCGTTGCAGATTGCGTCGAGTTCTTGATACGTTCCAAATCTATAAACTCTTGAAATAGAAATGATCCAGATGAATCCTAAGACTCTCTGAGTAAGTCAGAGACTCGGAGTAGTCAAAAGATTTTTGTTAACGCGTTTAAAATATCATCGTTTTGCATTTCTAGAATGTTTCACCGCTTTTCATTTTCATTTTCATTTTCATTTTATAATTCACAACTTTGCGGTAGAGTGGGTTGCTATCATTTAAGCGTTTGTTTTACTTCATTTTCGCTAACTTTCTTTCTACTATTGGTGCTAACTAATCATGGTTCTTTTTAGAGCTTCATCTATGCATTCAGCGAGCTCTTCAAAAGCACAGCCGATAAGAATGTCGAAATTTCCTATTAAGGTTTGTTGCTTGTTGTTTGTTTGTCTGTTTGTTTGTCTGTTTGTTTGTTGTTTGTTTGTTGTTTGTTTGTTGTTTGTTTGTTGTTTTACAAGTTTCCTTTTAGACTGCAATGGACGAAAAGTATGTGGATCAGGAATGCGCCTATATCAAGACTGCTCTCATCCAGATTCAACAGAAATGCAACAGTGTGCAATCCTTTGAAGATATATACCGACGAGCATATAGCATGGTAAGACTTTAGTTTCGTTTGCTAAATGAAATACGTTTAGACTATAAACGTACATTTAGACTATAAACAAACATGGGCACAGGGTTTACAATGGCTTACGCGAAGTATTGGAGGCGCACATGAAGAAAGTTTCTTTCTCTTGATAAACAAAGTGAAACCTTTACTTTAGGTTCGACAACCTGTGTTGAAAGCTCCATCGGGAAACGTTTTGCCGATTGTGTTAGAAACTTGGAAAGATCACACTGTTGCAATGGTAGTTTTATATGGAAAGTCATTCATTAATGCTTCTTTAGAGTATGATCAGAGATGTGCTCATGTACTTGGACAAGGTTTATGTGGCACGAGAAAATGTTGAACCAGTTTATGATTTAGGGCTCTCATGTTTAAGGTAAAGTGAACTTTTATAAACGGAGAGATGTATTTTACGTTTAGAGTGCATGTCATTTGCTATAAGGATGTCAATGAGCGAATTCGCCGAGGACTTTTGGATATGATTCAACAGGAGCGTGATGGAGGCCTTATTGATTGGTAACGTTTTGTACGCAACCAATCTGAATTTTATTTCTAGGCTTTTGTTGAAACAAATTTGCAGCATGTTGTACGACATCGGTGTCTATGAACAAGAATTTGAGAAACTATTCCTATGTGAGACTGCCGAGCATTACAAGTTGGTGTTGATGTAGAGTATGATATCAAATTAATCGTTTAGAAAGCGCGGTATTGAACTGATATCCAACAACACGTCAACTGTCTACGTTGATCAAGTAAAGGACATAATTTTAGTTTTAAAGTCTTGGCTTTCAGGTGGAGAAATTCATTACAGATGAAGCAATTCGTGCACAAAGATCTTTCAAGGATGAAACTAAGAAAAAAGTGTTGGAGGTGAGCATTGTTTTGTAGAGTAAAATGTTTCCTTTAGACCATCGAGAATGAATTGATCAAAGCGCACATGCAAACCATTGTGGATATGGAAGGGAGCGGTGTGACGTTTCTGCTTGAAGATCATTTCCTGCATTGCAACAAATCACCCGGAGAAGGCCGCATTGTCGATTTGCGCAAAATCTACCACCTTCTGACTCGTGTTAATGGGGGCCATAGTGTAAGGTCACTGTTTCACAAATACCAATTTAATGTTTGTTAAGATTCTTTGCAAAGCTGTCACGGAGTGGATTCGCCAAAAGGGTGCCCTTATAGCGGATCCCGCTCTTCAATCAGATGAGATAAAAAGTTCTCCAATTCTTTACGTCAATGTTGAGTTTGTCTTTTGCAATAAAGAACTTTGCTTTTAGTCACTTATCGAGCTGAAGAAGTATGCTGACGATATGCTTACAAAGGCTTTCCGTAACGATTCGAGCTTTAAAAACAAGCTTTACGCCGAATTCGAGCAATTCATCAACAAGAATCCTAATTCAGCTGAAAGTCTTGCTGTGTTCATTGATGAGAAATTGAAATCGGTAGGTTCTTTTCATTTGTTGATTGGTTGCGATCTTCCAAATATTATCTTTAGGGTGCACGTGTGAATACCGATGTTGAGATGGAGCAGTCGATTTCTGGTGTGATGGAATTGTTCCGATTTCTCTCAAATAAGGATATATTTGAACAGTTCGTTTATTGTTGCTGAAACTTTCACCAAAAAAAATTGTTTAGCTTTTACAAACGATTCCTAGCACGACGATTGCTAAATGAGCGAGCTGTTTCAGATGATGCTGAGAAACGAATGGTTAGTGTTTAGTTATCTTGTTTAAATATTTTCTTTCTTACAGATCACTCGACTTAGAACAGAATGTGGGTATCAGTATACGCAAAAGCTTGAGCTGATGTTTAAGGTAGGAATAGAGCATTGTAACTTTTTATCATACACTTTTTAGGATCGGGAACTTTGGCCAACGCTTCAAGGAGCTTATCGAGAATATTTGGATGGCCTTGCTAGGGTAAGGTTTAGACATTTTTTTATCGCTATTTGATTTTTTAGCATCGTCCAACGCTAGATGTTCAAGTACGTGTGCTCACTTGTGGAGTCTGGCCGAACTCAATCACCATGCAATGTTGTCTTCCCGATGATGTGGAAAGAGCCTATTCGACTTTCAATGACTTTTACACCAAGTATGCATTGATTTTTCTTTTATTGAAAAGTTTTTTAGGCGGCACAATGGTCGAAAGCTTGTACGTAACACCTATCTGGGTTCAGCTGACATCAAAGCAACATTCTACAATCCCGTCAACACTGCGTTCAGTGAGGTGAGCTTTGTTTTTCTTTTTTACAAGTTTACAAAAATGCGTTTTAGGCTGAATCATCCACTGCGGAATTTCCATCCTATTCATCTGTCGCTCATGTCGAAGTGCAGAAGATTCTGACAGTCACCACTCATCAGATGGCCTTGCTTATGCTTTTCAACCAAGAGGTCAGCTTTTATCGTTAAAGTCGGTGGACGTTTGCCAATGATTTATTAACTAAAGTCTTTTTAGAATGTCTACACCTATGCCACATTGCTAGAAGCGACCAAAATGCCAGAAGCCGAATTGATCAGGGTTCTTCAAAGTTTATCTATGGGAAAGGCGGCTCAACGCGTGCTAGTGCGAAGAGCGGCTAACAAGTCAAAAGCGGCTGAATTTGGAAAGATTGGTATTTTGTATTCGATTTTCTTTGAATCTTTTTGATTTTAGCGAGTACTGATGCCTTCTTTGTGAACGATCTCTTCACGTCAAAATTGACTCGAATCAAGATCTCGATGGTGTCCGATTCGCGGAAGAATCAATCAAATGAAAGTCGGAATGTTGATCGGGAGCAAGTGCGTCAACAGGTAGAGTTATCTTTTCAAATTTACACCTTTGAAACATTACACATTGGCCTAAATTTAAACATTATGTTTAGACAGACGAGGACCGCAAACATGCAGTTGAGTGCGCTATTGTGCGTGTGATGAAATCGCGTAAAAGGCTTGCCCACAACAATTTGCTTTCCGAGGTAAGAGATTGCTTTGTGTTTTACTTAATCCTTTTTCTAGGTGATTTCCCAAGTGTCTACTCGTTTCTGTCCGACACCTTTGTTGATCAAGCAGCGAATCGAGGCACTCATCGAGAGGGATTATATCATTCGGGATAAGAATGATGAACGAGTTTACAATTATGTTTCATAAACGCATTTCCCTCTTTCCTTTTCTAATTGATTTGTGCTCTAGAATAATTTTGACTATTGATTGCGTTTTATGTTTACCCTACCTTGCTGCATAGATGTTTGTAATTGATTTTTTGTTGAGTGGGGGTAAACTAGGTATGTTCGTTTTTTAGCTTCTCCCTACTACTAGAGTGGTAGTAGTTGGCCATTTTTGGCAAAAATTCAGTGAAAGGTCTGCGCTATGCTACTTTCTGTATGGCCACAACTCGGGTTTGATGCTTCGATTTGATATTTTTCTCTCTATCTCTTGATCTAATAAAGGTATTTTTGTCAGTGATTTTGAGGTATTCATTTGCTGTTCATTGTTGTAGTTGAAGGAAAGAAGTCAGTCAAGTCGATAGTAGCCAGATGGGAAGAGGAGGGGAAACGAGTTCGAGGTCAGTTAGAGGGAAAAAGGGGGAATGTCGGGGAGAGATTGACCGAGGAAAGGAGACGAAAAGAGCAAGACAATACGCACATCTGGCTCCATGCCCAATATTGGCTATTCGGCTATAAGATTTCATATGGAACTATGAAAGGTTAGGTTATAAGACTTGCCTATTTCGTAATTTATTTCATAGTCTTCAAGCTTCTCAAAGTTGAATATTTCTTACCAATGAAATAATCCGTTGCGCCGATGCACGTGACTATTTTAAGATGCATACAGTAATCTGGATGATCGCTTGAAATGATGAAAGGGGAAAAAACAGGGGAGCTCTTACAAGGGACGGCACATCGCATATACACTGCTCTGGTCTTCTTCTCCTCCTCTTTTGGCTCTTTTACTCATTTCTTCCCGTTCTCTGGCTCTCTTGGCTCTTTTAGCTTTGGTTCTCTTTTAGCTTTGGCTCTCTTTTCGCTCTTTTCCCTCCATTGGAGTGATGGGGAATCGGTCAGCGCATCAAAAGAAGGGGTTATTGGGGAAATGGTTATTGATCTGTCCCCCCCTTCACCCCATCTTCTTTTCTCGTCTTTTCTCTGTCTCTCTTTCTTTTCAATCTTTTCATTTACTCTCTCATCTATTGGCCTATGGTGGGTGAAAAGAAAGAGAAGCAGAAAGCAGATAGGAAAGCGATGCGCTGAGAGGGCGACAGACACCACTGACGATGCCCATCGGCTTATTTTTCTTCATTTCTTTTTTTTTTTTGCTTATTTTCTGTGTTCTCTGTTTTCTTCGTTGATGTCTTCACTATTTTTCTCGATCTTTTCTTTCAATTCTTTATCGTATTTTGGTTGTCTTATCCTTTTCTGTCGATTCTTTTCTGTCTATTCTTTTTTGAGGCTTTGAACATTTCACAAAAATACACAATTTTTTGGATTATTAGCTTGATAATGATTTTGATTTTGAAAATTTTGAAGTTTAATCAATTTTCTTTCCTCTTATTCTAACGCTTTTTTTTAAAATTGAATCGATTGAATTAAAGACAATGGTCGCGTCCGTTTCCTTCCTATTTGCGTTGCTATTTTGCAATTATTCGCGTCGCATTTTTCGTCTTTTTTTCTCTCCCTTCCCGAAATTATTTTTTTTGGCCTCAAGGGTTTTTGCCTTCTTTCTGGGGGGACTTTGTTGTTTCATTTTTGACGCGCCTGCGGGAGTGGGACAAATGCTACCTTTTTTTTGCGCACCTTTTTTTCCGCACTTAGCCCATTAGCGCATCTTTTTTCGCGTTTTAAAAGCTAATATTAACCAATTTCTATTCCAAAAGCTGTTTTTCTAGGTAATTTGAGGGTGTCGAATTCAAAATTTTGACATAACAGAGCGTGTGGAACCAATTTGAAAGACAGCTAGGTCAAATTATGAATTTGAAAGACGGCTAGGTGAAATTACAGCAAATTGTCGATTTTTCTCTTTGTATAACTCCGTCCGTTCGCTTCCACAAGCTCTGATATGCCAAAATTTCGATTCTACGCCCTAAAATTACCTAGAAAAACAACTTTAGGTTAATATTAGCTTTTAGAGCTTGTTTAAAACGCGAAAAAAGATGCGCTAATGGGCTAAGTGCGGAAAAAAAGGTGCGCAAAAAAAAGGTCACATTTGTCCCACTCCCAATTTGATCAATTTTCTTTCCTCTTATTCTAACGCTTTTTGTTAAAATTGAATCGATTGAATTAAAGACAATGGTCGCGTCCGTTTCCTTCCTATTTGCGTTGCTATTTTGCAATTATTCGCGTCGCATTTTTCGTCTTTTTTCTCTCCCTTCCCGAAATTATTTTTTTTTGGTGTGTGGGTTTTTGCCTTCTTTCTCAAGAGTATTAATCTATTGTTGGATACTACGTGTTCTTGTTACGTTGTAAGCGCTTTTGGGGAAACCCTTTTTAACCTTTTGTGCTATTCGGTCATTCTTAAGCAGAATCATCCTCGTTGTTGTTTCATTTTTGATGCGCATGCTGTTTTTGTAATGGGTATTGTTGCATTTCGGTCAGCAGAATCATCGTACTAATAAACAGTAACGTTATAAATTCACTTTACTTTATGCTATCCTTCAGGTTTTAAATCCTGTTTAGATAACTGGTTTAACATTGTAGAGAGACTGGTTTTGTAACACTTGTGTACTAACATTTGTGTCACCATCGACATAGTATCAATCCGATCTGTACTCTTCTCAAGAGTATTAATCTATTGTTGGATACTACGTGGATTCTTTTAATTAATCTATTGTTGGATTCTTGTTACGTTGTAAGCGCTTTTGGGGAAACCCCTTTTAACCTTTTTTGTGCTATTCGGCCATTCTTAAGCAGAATCATCCTCGTTGATAAGGTTAAAGCGGATCGCACCCCAAACTCAATCTATAGAGATTGAATTGAGAATTGAATGAAAGAGTTTGAAAAACAGCAAAGAAAGCAGAACTTTATGGTGCTTAGCAGATGCTTTTATGGTACTAGTTTTCTTTTTTTTTGAATAATATTTGTCTCAGACTTTTTTTGAGTTTTCAAATAAGAAATTTGAAACATTCATTATTATGTCTATCATTATTGTCAATAAAATAAGAACTTCTCCATTTTGTAGCCCTTTTTTTCTTTTCTTTGTAATTGTTGAGACTTTACTATTGAAAGCAAAAAGGAAAATAGAATTCTTTTTTTTTGTGTAGAATTTTGTAGCTATAAGTCTCATGAGATTTCTCTCTTTGTGACGCTTTTTGAAAGAATTAGAAAAGAATTAGGAAAGGACTAGGAAAGGATTAGGAAATCGATTTTGTAAAGAATTTTTACGTTATCTTAGAATATGAAGAAGATGTTTTGAGTTATAGAAATAATGTATTAGCTGGAATAGCTCGTAAATTAGACTACGCAATAGTACGCGACGTTTGTTTGTTTGATGAGATGATAGGGGAAAGGATAATGTTCGAATTTAAGAAGTTTTTCCATCAAATTTTTTGGTAACTTTTTTGATAACTTGTTGCTAACTTTTCTACCTTTTCTGCCTGCTTTTCTGCCTTTTAACTTTTCTACCTACTTTTCTGCCTTTTCTACCTTTTTCTACCTTTTCTACCTTTTCTACCTTTTCTACCTTCTTTTCTGCTAACTTTTCCTTCAAATCTTCCATTAACCTTGTTAAAAATTGTAGATTATATTACAGGTATTATTATGGTAAAGCAAAATATGCCAAAAATTTGTTTTTTATCGACTTTGTCGGCTTTTTAACCTATTTGTTCGTTTACATGAAAGGGTTTTTTTGTAGTATGCCTCTCAAAGCTATGAGAAGAGAATTGGCGGTCAACTACGCGACCTTCCCTTTCACCCCGTTCCATTTCCTCTACACAAATTTTTGCGCCTTTCTTTTCTTGCTTTGCTTTCTTTCTCTTCTTTATCTTCTTTCTTTCTTTCTCTTGTTTCTCTTGTTTCTCTTGTTTCTTTCTTTCTTTTCCCTTTTCCCCCTTTTCTATTCCCCTTTCAACCTCTGCCCTTCTTTCCCCAATTTTCGTTGTAGTGAGGTCATTTAAATGTGAAATCTTGCTTTTTTACCTTTTTTTTTTGACACTTACTCCTTGTATTTCCTCTTCTCTAGCAATTAGATACCGAATAGCTCAGTGGTTAAACCAGAAAAGCAAAAGGTCGAACCCTACAAAAAGGTCGAGAGTTCAATCCCTTTCCTTAATATTTTTTTCCCAATTCTTTTACTTCTTTTTAAAAACAATTAAAAGATTTGAAAAGTCATTAGAATCTTCGTTTTGCATACAATTCTATTTTCTGTTAAAGCTTTAAAGCTTTCTATAAGCTTTGTGCCCTTTCTTCTGGATTTGAATCTAATTCTTTAACAGAAAAGAGAATTGTAACCAAAACAAAGATTCTAATGAGGGTTTGACTGAGAAGGTCAATACGGTTTTTAATTGTAAATCTAGCCAGTTATATAGCTCAATACGTTCTATACTTCAATACGGTTTTAATTATAAATCTAACAAGTCCTATATTTCAGTAGTTCTCTACTTCAATACGCTTTTTAATTGTAAAGCTAACAAGTCCGATAGTTCAATACGGCCTTAACTGTAAATCTAACAACTTCTTTAGTTGAGTGGTGTTGAGGAAAAGAAATGGAATAGAGATCTATAGAAAAAGAAATAAAAAAAAGGTAGAAAGATCTAAGAGAGGGAGGCCGATTGAGAAGAGCATCGACCTTTTCTACTCACAACACTCACGAGAGAACGGATGAGAGATGTGGAGAGATTAGAGAAATTGAGGAAAAGACGGAGTGCTTTTCTTCCCGTTCTTTTCCTTTCTTTCCCTTCTTTCCCTTTCTTTCCCCTCCTTTCCCTTCTTTCATTCTTTCTCTTTCTTTCCCTTCTTTCTTTCTTTTCCCTTCTTTCCCTTCCTTTCCCCTCCTTTTCCTTTCTTTCCCTACCTCTTCCTCCCTTTCTTTCTTTCCCTTTCTTTCTTTTTCATCTCCCCTCTCTCTCTGTGCAAATCATTGATTGGCCGCCCTCCAAACACTCCCTTTTTTCTCTTTTTCATTCCACGCTTACGCTTTTTACTATTTATTAAATTTTTTAATTTAAAAGCTATTTTCGAGGCGATTTTTAAACCATTTTTAAACCCTTTTTATAATATAAAAATTTCACCTTTCTTACTTATTCACTGAAATAAAACAAACTCGAATTTTAACGAGCTTTGCTAGCAAAAAGCTTTGGCATAACATCCCTATTAGATTGAGTAATAAAAAGGAAGCTTTTTACAACAGCTTTAGTCAAACATTACAGCATAGCTTTAGTACAATAGTATTTAAGCGGCCAAATCCTATGCCATTTAACGCAGAATTTGATGCTGATTCTGAATATATATTCCGTTTTTGCTAAATGAAAATGTGTCAAAAGTTATAAGTATGTAAAGTTGTGTTAGGATTTTGAAATTATCCTCTCATCGATCTTAGCTCTTAGCGGTTTCATTTGGGTCTTAGCGGTCTCCTTGAGATCGCCGTTAAATGCAGCCGTGGCCGAGTGGTACAGCGGTCGTTTCCAGAGCGAGATCTCAAGGGTTCGATCCCGGCTTTAGATTTTTCTTTGTTTTTTTCAAGAATTGTGGACTAGTGTGCGCGTGCACAATCTCCATCGGTGGTGGATCAGGATCCTCCTTTCGTGAGAGGCTTCGATTCGCAGATTTCCTCTCATCGATCTTAGCTCTTAGCGGTCTCATTTGGGTCTTAGCGGCCTGCTTGAGGTCGGGGTTAGATGCATCTGTGGCCGAGTGGTACAGCGGTCGTTTCCAGGTCTCAAGGGTTCGACCCCGGCTTTAGATTTTTCTTTCGTTTTTTTCAAGAATTGCTGGCTTTCAAGAATTGAATGGCTTTCCAGCAAGAGTTGCTGGCTTTTTTTTTTTCAAGATTTCAAGATTTCAAGAATACAAGGGGGAAGGGAAGGAAAAACAAATCTTTTCAACAAATCAACTTTTCATCAAAATTCTATTGTTTCTAATTTTCAAATTTTTGTTTTCAAAATTATTTAAATTGTGAAGAGTTATTTGAAATTGTTTATTTAAATGTTTAAATTTAAATTTAAATATTTCCAGATGCCATTTCGCCTATCGGTTCTTCTATGATCAAAAGAAAGTCATCAGAACCGTGCTTTTATTAAATATTCACTCCCTTTTTTTCTATAGGAAATTAGGAAGAAAAGCTCCTTTTTTTTGTGTGTGTTATTTCATTATTTTCTGATATTTATTAATATCTACAACACTGCTAAAACTGCTAAACACTCATTTGGCGAGCGAAAGTTTTAAGCGAAAATGGACGGAGACGATGATTACATGCCTCAGGTTCGATTTTTTTTTTGATGGACTTTGTGTGAGGAGAAACGCACGCACATTAGTGCACTGAATTCCCTCTCTTGCACTGGATTTCGTTGGGGAAATGGGGATTTCAGTGCGCTAGGCGTTGCGTTTACAGAGTAGCAAAAGCTTTTATCCAACCTCACTTTTAGATGTCGCAATTGGGCGGCGACTATGGGGCGATGGGTGGCGGGGGAAATCCGTATGGACACCCGTATGGCCACAATCCACAACCATCCACACATCAAGGAATGACCAATCCGTATGGAGAACCGATGATGCATCAGGTGAGGGTTAAAGAAATGAAAAACAAAAAATTGGTAGCAGGGGGGAATGAACCCTCGAGCTAGAGATCGACCTCTTGCCTGGTAGGCTAGCGCTTTACCACTGAGCTATAGGCACCTTGTTTCTCCCTTGATAAATAAGAAATAAAAGGGAAAGAGAAAGAAATAAGGAAAGCTTCTTTGAAAACTAGTCTTCTCTAATTCTACCTAACTTGTCTTCCTTATTTCTTCTTGGAAAACAAGGTGCCTGTGGCTCAGTGGTAAAGCGCTAGCCTGCCAGGCGAGAGGTCCATATCTAGCTCGAGGGTTCAATCCCCCTTGCTCCCAAATTTTGCCATTGCTTCTCTTTTTCTCTTCTTCTCTACCCTAACTTGTCTTCCTTATTTCTCCTTGGAAAACAAGGTGCCTGTAGCTCAGTGGTAAAGCGCTAGCCTGCCAGGCAAGAGGTCCATCTGTAGCTCGAGGGTTCAATCCCCCTTGCTGCCAAATTTTGCCATTCCTTCTCTTTTCGGATATTTTGATTCGGATTAGTTTCTTGTAAAGTATTTTGATGAAAACCATTGATTGTAGATGAATGAGATCATTGTTTTGTAGATGAATCAAATGCAGACGTTGCACCCGATTGGTGGTCCTCCAATGCAACAACAACAACAGCAACAACAACCGCCACCTGCTCCACAGGTAAGCAAAGTGATGTCTAGGCTTGCCACAAGGAAAATGAAGATTTAAATCCATCAGAAAGTACAAAGTACACAAAAACACACCATTTCCTGTGCATCGAGGTCGAGAATTAGTCTAGAACTAGAATTCTAGCAATTAGAACTTCATAGGAGCAATTAGAGCATATAAAAAAGCCTTTTTTGAGCATTTTTGAACGATTGTTCGCACAACTTTGTGGTCTATTGGTTAACGTTGCTGTCCCTAGCCTTACTAGAAAGTAAAACCCACGGGTTCAACTCCGGCTTCAACTCCGGCTTCAACTCCGGCTTCAACTCCGGCTTCGACTCCGGCTTCAACTCCGGCTTCAACTCCGGCTTCAACTCCGGCTTCAGACAACCTAGCTGTATAGAGTCGGGGAAGATGTCTTGTGTCTAGGTCCAGTGCTGGACAGATCAGTCTCAGGCTGCAGCTCTGTCCAGTTCTGCAGCTCTGTCCAGTTCTGCAGCTCTGTCCACTTCTGCAGCCTGTGACTGATTGAATTAAGCTAAGCCAAAGCCAAAGTTCACTAGAGTAAATTGAGAAAAAAAAATCTTACTTACAGAAATTCCCTCACTAATGTATCCACTTTCAGCCACCCGCAAAACAAACGAAACGCTCGAAGAAGAAAGAAGCGGCTGCGGCTGCTGCTGCTGCAGCTGCACAACAGCAAGCACAACAACAAAACCAAATGGGAATGGGACATGGAGGTCCAAATGATCCAATGGCGAGTATGGCTGCCATGTCACACAATCCGATGCGACAACCCATTCAACCGATTCAACAGGTTTCCTTTTAAGAAATACTTTTGAAGTGAACTCGAATTTCTAGATGCCAATGGAGATGCAACGACAACAGATGATGTATGGTGCTCAGACGCAGGCGACACCACAGGGTACTTGGGGTGGCCCACAAAGCACCGCTTATCCACAAGGGCACCCACAACATCCACAAAGTGCTTACGGACGTGCGCCTGGGTACCCGGCGCAACCGTATCCTGGAATCGGCTATCCCGCACATCAGACACAGCAACGACCGCCTGGGTGAGGATTGTACTAGATGATTGTACTAGTTATAGGCCACTGTACTGTACTAGCTACAGGCTGTACTGTACTAGTTACAGGCTACTGTACTAGTTACAGGCTGTACTGTACTAGTTACAGGCTACTGTACTAGTAACAGGCTACTGTACTAGTTACAGGCTGTACTGTACTAGTTACAGGCTACTGTACTAGTAACAGGATGTACTGTACTAGCTACAGGCTACTGTACTAGTTACAGGCTACTGTACTGTACTAGCTACAGGCTGGACTGTAGTTCGTTTAAGCTCGTACTCGACTATCCTAGGAGAGATTACAGTAACAGACTTACTACACTACAGCACCAGGCTGTACCAGACTACAACTACAGTGCTGCTTACTTTTAGCTTTACTTTCAATTTACCAGTGTTGACGGCTTAATAACCTTTCAAATTGTAGCTATGGAATGCCGCCAACGAATCCGTATGGAGGCTATCCACCAAACGCATATTCCCAATATCCGGCGATGGGCCGATACCCGGCGCAACCCAATCAAATACCTTCACAATATGGATATCCCGATCCAGCTCATCAAACGCCACAAGCGTATGCATCGTATTCAACGCCGACCTCGAATGCACAGGTAAATACTGAAGGCTTAGGAAGGCCTAGGAAGTCTTAGGAAGGCTTAGAAGTCTTAGGAAGGCTTAGGAAGGCTTAGGAAGGCCTAGGAAGGCCTAGGAAGGTCTAGGAAGGCTTAGGAAGGCCTAGGAAGGCCTAGGAAGGTCTAGGAAGGCTTAGGAAGGCCTAGGAAGGCTAGGAAGGCTTACGAAGGCTTAGGCCAAGCTTAGGTGCGCCTAGAGGGCTCGGTGCGCCATTTAAAAGTGTTTGTTATGAACCGGCTTTTTTCTAATAGTAGTGCACCCCGGTGAGCCGAGTTGATGACTATTTTATCGCTTCTGAGCTTTCCCAGAAGCTCAAGAGTCTAATCCTCCACTAGATCTCGTCGTTAGCTACATTTTCCGATCCCACATCGATAGGTTCTGATAAGCGGTTCTCGAGATTGAGGAATTTAGGCAACGCTGCACTACTATTAGAGATCATGGGGGTGTTCTTGCGGTGTTCTCTATGCACACCCACAATCGCGCACTTTCTGGCATAGGGGGTTTAGTGATAGGGAGCCGAGGGGGATAGAGATAAGTGGTTTGTCCATCGGATTTCTTGGCGTCGTTTCGTGTGTCCATCGGATCCGTGCTCAAATTTTCGACATTTTCCCGATCATCGACATTTTCCGACCTCACATTGATAGGTTCTGATAAGCGCTTGTCGAAGTTGAGGAATTTAGGCAACGCTTTAGACTACTGCGCTTTAGACTACTGCGATTAGAGAGAATACGAGAGTTTTGTAACACATTTGATTGACAAAGATTGACAGTTATTTCTAATAAATCTTTTGAAAAGACTTTCTGATTCTTTCAGCTCTTTCTGACTCTTTCTGACTCTTTCTGACTCTTTCTGACTCTTTCAATCAAGCTCAATCAAGCTCTTCTTTCAAATCAAGCTCTTTCAAATCAATCTCTTTTCAGCAATCGATGAATTCAACGAATCCACCAACTTCTGAGCACTATCAACAGCAAATGCATCCTTATGCAATGCCACAACATCATCAATCGTCATTTAATTCACAGGTTTCTTTGCAATCATTTGATCAGCAATCAGATCAGTAATCATTTGATCGCTAGAAAGATTTGAAGAAAGTATTGGAGTTGATTTTTGGGGTATTTGAGGAAGAGAGGAAGAAGAGAAAATGTTTCTTTATCTCTTTCACTGCTATAGAAAAAGCTAGAGGAAATTTTTCAAAAATGAAAACGTTTAGATGATTGGTCAAATGCAAATGGAACTCTCACAACTGCATCAACGAATCCAGCAACTCTACCAACAGCAACGGACACCAATGATCGAGCAAGAGCTACACAAATGCGAGCAAAGAATCGCATATTTACAGGTGAAATCGAGATTTTGCAAATGATTTAAACGAATTACAGCTTTTACAGCTTTAGAGTAAACTCGAGTACGAACTTCGTTCTGTAATAGAGCCATTTTTAGTTATTAGAGCCATTTTTAGAGCCAATTTTAGAGTCAACTCTCCACCAGCACCACCCCAAACCCCTACCACCATTCTCAGACTTCACAAGCTTCTGGTAAGTGGGAATTTTCTTGAAAAATTTTATAGTTACATAAGACGATAGTCTTTTTAATTTGATATTGATTTAAACTTAGCCGGCGGTGCTCCTGGCGCTAATCCGATGTCGGGGATGATCCCCGGTCAACAACCCCAAAATCCTGTTTCCGTCACTCAAAGTGGTAGCCAAGTGCAAGTGGGTTTAGAAAAAGAAACAATTGAGATTCAAATCCAAAATACAATGGCTTTAGAAGTTCTAAAGCTTTCTAAGAACTCTAAAGCTTTCTAGGGCTTTCTAAAGCTCTCTAAAGCTCTTTAAAGGTTTCTAGAGCTTTCTAAAGAACTCTAAAGCTTTCTAAAGCTTTCTAGAGAATTCTAAAGCTCTCTAGAGCTTTCTAGAGAACTCTAAAGCTTTCTAAAGCTCTCTAAAGAACTCTAAAGCTTTCTAAAGCTTTCTAAAGCTCTTTAAAGCTCTCTCTAAAGAATCTTTCCAAATATTCTGTCAATTTCCGATAGTAATCAGACTTTAAACATCATAAATTCTTCTAAATACAATATTTTTTCTTTCTCTTTTCTTTTAATAAATAAAAAAACAGTTCTAGCTTTTGATTAATACCAAATAAAACCAAGTTGGCTTAGAGAAATCTCAAGTAATCAACTTTCAAGTTAATTAGAGAGCTTTAGAAAGCTTTAGAAAGCTTTAGAGAGCTTTAGAGAGCTTTAGAAAGCTTTAGAGAGCTCTAGAAAGCTTTAGAGAGCTCTAGAAAGCTTTAGAAAGCTTTAGAGAGCTTTAGAGAGCTCTAGAAAGCTTCTATTTAATAATAAATCGAAATCTATTTCTATTTAATAATAAATCGAAATCGAATAATATTTCAGGTAAACATCAAGCCAGATTTCCCAGGGAAAACCTTGATCTCTGTCTATCATCAGAACTATCCAGATGGTCAGTTTTTTAAAGATTTACGATTAAAAAGGCTTTAATTGTTTTAACAAATAGTAATCTGAAAGCTTTAGGTGGAGGAGCAAGCAATGGACAATTCGAACCACCAAAGGACTCAGTCCCACCCGAGCCTGTCCCATCAAGTCGATCTCCGCCACAAATCCAGCAAATTCAATCTGTCACATCACTGCAGCAACCAAATACGCAAGCACAGGTAATTTTTATTAAATGCTGTTCTAAGAAGCTGCTCTAAGAAGATATTCTAAGAAGCTATTATAAGAAGCTATTCTAAGAAGCTGTTCTAAGAAGCTGTTCTAAGAAGCTGTTCCAAGCTTTTCTAAGCTTTTCTAAGCTGTTCTAAGAACCTATTCTACTTGAGATGTTGCACTCTTTCGCCATTTAACTATTTAATTTCTAGATTGCACCAATCGCTGCTCCAACAACAGCTCCCTATCCCCTGCCAACTACTACTCAGCATCCACCAAACATGAATGGACATACTTCAACTTATGGACAACAACATAACCAAGTAGGATTTGATTAGCAATTTGTTTATGTGAATTTACAGCTTCTACCTCAACAAGTGGCAAATGAGATGATCAAGATTGAACAGATTGAGGCACCGATAGAAAAACTCAAGGTTGAGCAGACGATTGATCGAGATGCAACACCGCCAATGATACAAGGAAGTGGTGAGTGAAGGTTTATGACTATGATGATTACTTTAATGACTTGAATAGGATTACTTTACTGACTTGGATAGGATTACTTTACTGGTTTGACTATGATTACTTTACTGGCTTGACTATGATTACTTTACTGACTTGACTATCATTACTTTACTGGCTTGATTACTTTACTGACTTGATTACTTTACTTTGTGTTTATAAACATTTGATAGTTTGATAGTTTGTAGTTTGTAGTTTGGTTGAAGGTTGATAGGTTGATAGGTTGATGTTAGTTTTTGTGTTTATAATTTCAAATTGTTTCAATGATTGACTTATTTTAGAAAGAACTTTGTAAGAACTTACAAGTATTAAATTCTTTTTAGAACTAGATCGAAACAATTTGTAAGAAATTGCAAGGATTGAATTCTTTTTAGAACTAGATCGAATAGACGATCAACAAGAGGACTCAAGAGATGCACGACAAAGAGAAGAAGAAGAAGAAATTGATAGTATGATGGAATATCCACCGCGAGCACCATTACCCCAACCACCACCCGATGAAGAGGATGAGGGACAAGAAATCGGAGATGTCAATCATCAGGTAAATTATCAGTTATTGTAAAGTTTAGAGCTGAAATTGTAGGAGTTGTTGGTGGCTGAGCCGATTGTTGAGGAACCAGAAGAGCCAAATGAACCAAATGAAGCGAGCAATGTGCAAGAAAATGGACATCAAGAGGTAAGGTTTTATTGATAGAAACAAATCTGATATTGAATTCTTTGCAAAAAGAAGCTTTAGTATAGATCGATAAATTGTTTAAATTGTCTGAAATTTTAGGAAGAATTGAATGAAGTGGTCAAAGATGAGGGAAAAGATGAAGAGATTGAGAAATCGATTTTACAAGAAGAAATTCTTGAAGAAGGAAAAGAATTGGTGTTGGAAGCTGAACAAGAACAAGAACAAGAAGAAGGACAAGAACAGGAACAGGAACAAGAACAAGAACAGGAACAGGAACAGGAACAAGAACAAGAAGTGGTTGAAGAAGAGGTGCAGACGAGCAAGTTAGAAGAAGATGAAGAGGCTCAGCTACTGGTAACTTTTAAAAATAGCTACATACTCTGTGCTAATGATTGATTAAATAATTTCACTTTAGGAAGAAGCGGAAGAAGGGAAGAATGAAGAAGAGAGTGAAGCTGAGACTCAAGCTGAAGTTGAGGAGAAAGTCGAAGAGGAAGAAGAAGACAAAATAAAAGAAGAGGATGAGAAAGAAGAAGAGAAAGAGGAAGAAGAAGATGAGAAAGAAGAAGAGAAAGAGGAAGAAGTGGAAGAGGCAGAAGAGAAAGAAGAAGTGGAAGAGGCAGAAGAGGTAGAAAAAGAACAAACACCCAGTCAACCAGCTACAGAAGAAGCGACAAGGGACACGGTGGGAATTTGATTTAGCTAATGGATCAGCCAATTCTGAGACTTCTGTCAATCTAGCCTTGCTTCAGAATTGTCTGGCTCACTTGAATGTAGTTGGACACGCCAATCTAGCCAGTAGTTGGCTCGATTGACGCCGGGATTCGAACCCGCAACCTTTCGCTTACCGGACGAACGCTTTGCCAATAAGCTACACTGGCATCCCATTACCTTCAGTCCTAATAAGATCTGGGTTCTGGGTCTGCTTCTTCTACTTTACTAGCCTTAGCCTAACTTGTTCAGATCCAGGATCAACCCAGCTAGGTCAAGAAAAGTTAGATCAAAGTTTGATCTGGCCTTATTCCCCAAAACCAGTTAAAACCGTTGGAAGATCTATTCTCAGCTTTGAGACATTCATTATAAAATCTTTAGGATCAAGCAGAAAGCAAAGAAGGCGATGAAGAGAAAACAGAGCCGGCATTGGATGAACAAGAGGAAGAAGAGGAGGAAGAGATCATTCCACAACCATCAACTTCGAAAGCGGCTAAGGTTTTCAAGAAATTTTTCTACTTAATCAAAATCTTATAGCCGAAAGCAACGAATAAGAAGACGGGCCGAAAAAGCACTAAAAAGAGCAGCTATGTCGAGTATTGGGATGATGATGAACCGTATGAGACAACGACGAGGTGGGATTGATTGATTGGCAGTGCTAGTCTGACTAGAACACAGGCTTTCAATAAAAAAACCGTATTGGAACCGTATTGGATCAAAATAGGAACCGTATTGGAACCATATTGGAAACATATTGGAACCATATTGGAACCATATTGGAACCATATTGGAACCATATTGGAACCATATTGGAACCATATTGGATCCATATTGGATCAAAATATGAACCGTATTGGATCAAAATAGGAACCGTATTGGATCAAAATAGGAACCGTATTAGAACCAATAACCAATATATTTCAATAAAACCAAATAGAGCTTGATTGAAATAATTAATCTTGAGAAGATCAAATGAAAAGCAAAAGTTTGTCGAATGGGGGAGGATTCGAACCGCCAAGGATTTAGCCCGATCCGATCGCTAGACAAGCACAACCGCTAGACCATGAGCGCAGTTGAAATTTTGGCGCAAAATCGACTCAAAAGGCTCTCGCGTCGAACTCCCACGGTATTTTCGTCTAGCCAGATGACTCAGAAAGGAACACCTATCTATCTAGAGAGTGTGCTAGGAAGCCAGCGATTACGCGGTCGCATAAAGAACGCACATAGAGCACACAAAGAACACCCAGAAATTCTTTCTTTTGCTTTGTAGATTGAAGAAAAAGATATTCAGCTGTATTTTTGTACTATTCAGCTGTACCTGGGGTTTTCGGGGACGGGGAATCGATTGAAACTATTCATTTGATTCAGTTTACTTCGAATTTATGCCGAAATTAAGACCTCTTTTGTTTACAAACTTTAGCGCAAAGTACATCGAGAATTTAATCCTCAAAAAAACCTTTCCTCTTTATTGTTTACTCGAAAAATTTACAAATTTCTTTTTTTTTCCGTTGCTAGGCATTGATTTCTTTCATTTTACTATAAAAAAAAAAAAGAGAAAAATCCCGAAAAAATGCGTCTATTTTCGGGTTTAATGGGTCACGGATTTGAAGCATTTTTTTCTTTTCCTTTTTCCATTTTAATTTTACAATGAATCCTTTTTTTTCTTTAAACTCTCCCGTTTCCAAGGGGATTCAATTCTCTTTTTCCTCTTTTTTTTCTTTTACAAATCATCGAATTATGTGAGATATGTGAAATATCCAAAAATTTACCTCATTTTTTTTTTTCCAAAACTCTTTTCTCATCTTTTCAATCGATCTCTTCAAACGTTTTCGTCTTTTCTACAGTCTACAGTCTACCTCTACCTCTACCTCTACCATAATCCATTTCTAAATGCTAATTCGTTAACATGCAAATTTTTGAGCTTAACGAAAATCCCTTAGAGATGAGGTAAGAGATTTTTTTCTTGAAACCGATCTCGCAGCTGACATGCTGCTTAAGATCGGGTTTTTTCGGTTCTGAGCTCGTTGCCGCTGTGGCTCAGTCGGGAGTACGCTTGTCGACAATTAGCAAGATCCGGGTTTGATCCCCCCTAGTGCCGGAGAATTTTGTTTTTCGAATTTTTGATTTTCAATATCACAACTATACTTTAGTCTAAGATTTTTTAAACGAAGTTTTAGCTTTTGTTGGTTTGGTTGGTTTAAAAGCTTGATTGGTTTAAAAGCTTGATTTGGTATTCGACTGAGAAAGGGTTTCCGCTGAGGAAAAAGCCGTTACAGACGAACAGAGATTTACAGAGATAAGGAACCAAATCGGGAGATTCGTTTACAATAGATTTAAAAGATCTCTAGCTATAGAAGGTTTTAAATCTGAAAAAAACAAGCTTTAATTTCCATTCGATTCATTTCAGCTCAAAAAAGACGAAAAAAGCCGTATCGAGTAAGAAAAAAGCGACGAAAAAGGAGAAATACGTTGAAGAAGAATTTCCGACCGAATTTCTCGACAATGAAGTAAGAATTGAAGATAAATATTGAAAAATTAGAGTTTAAAAGTAAAAAGTATTGTATTGAAAAGAAAAGAAATTCATTTAAAACATTTAGAAACGTCGTTCCGGTCGTCGAGGAAATCAAAAAAGTTATGCTGAGCCGTCAATGGATGAATTTGATCAATTCATTATTCCAGGTTAGTTTTAATGTCTAGAGAAAAGCTTTATATATACCGTATTCTCTAGTGCATCCCGAGTTGATGACTATTTTATCGTTTCTAAGTTTTCCCAGAAGCTCAAAACTCTAATCCCTCACAAGATCTCATCGTTAGCTACATATTTTCAATAGATCAATAGATCAATAGGTTCTAATAAGCGGTTCTCGAGATTTCAAGCAATTTAGGCAACGCTTAGAGTGCACTATTATTAGAAAGCACTATTATTAGAGAGAATACGGTATTCTATAGAATTCTATTCTATAGAATATTATCTAATATATTTTTATTTATATTAATTTTAAGCATATTTCTTTTTGTTTTAGAGAGTGAAGGTGGTACGCCATTGGGTGACGAAGATGAGGACTCGTTACCGCTTGCTGTTCACATGCCACTTGTCGTTGAAAAGGTTTAAATCGATAGATAAACAATAAGATCTAAGATTAGAGCTAACGATAAAATAGCTACAATAATCTAGAGTCTTAAATCTATAGTCTTAAATCTATGTCTTGAATCTATAGTCTTGAATCTATAGCCTTAAATCTATAGCCTTAAATCTATAGCCTTAAATCTATGTCTTGAATCTATGTCTTGAATCTATAGTCTTAAGTCTAGAGTCTTAAAGCTATAGTCTTAAATCTATAGCCTTAAAGCTATAGTCTTAAATCTATAGTCTTAAATCTATAGTCTTAAGTCTAGAGTCTTAAAGCTATAGTCTTAAATCTATAATCTTAAATCTATATTCTTAAATCATATCAAAATCCTTGTATCTCTAGATTTTGGCCTTACGAAATGAAGGTGAAGAGAATGAGGAATTTTACGTGAAATGGAAAGGACGATCGCATATGCATTGTGAATGGAAAACACAAGTATTTTAATAAGAAATAAAGAAAAAATTATATTCAAATTCATTTAGATTCAATTGGAAGAACTTGATAAAAGAGTACTGGGAAAACTGAAAAGATACAAGCAAAAGAGAGCTTCGGGAATTGAGGTAAGTGCAATGACTAAGCAATTTACTCGATTTACTCGTTTAACCACGATTGTACTGAGTACCCTATTGTACTGAGAAAATCTAGGATGAAGAGATCAATGATGATTTCCTTGTCGTCGACAGAGTGCTGGCAATGGATTATCAAGATGATGGCGATTATGCTCTAGTCAAGTGGAAGTGAGTGCTTGTAGAGAAGATCTCAAACGAGCTTAAACGGCCTTAAACGAGCTTAAACGGCCTTAAACGAGCTTAAACGAGCTTAAACGAGCTTAAACGAGCTTAAACGAGCTTAAACGAGCTTAAACGAGCTTAAACGAGCCTTAAACGAGCTTAAACGGGCTTAAACTTCTTTAGAAAACCTTAGAATAAATTGTAGTTCTGATATTTAAAATAAAAGCAAAATTTCAAAGTTAAATGACACGACGGGGAGTCGAACCAGGACCCCGTGGGTTGTAGACCAACGCGCTCCCGACTGCGCCACGGTGACAGAACGGAGGCTTGCGAGAAAATCCAGAATAATCCGCCTAACGGAAAAACCCACCGGCGGTCTTTTGGCGGCAGATTATTATGGCTTTTCTCGCACGACAACCTGCGGTCGCCGTGGCGCAGTCGGAAGTACGCTGGTCTACAAACCACAGGATCCTGGTTCGACTCCCCCTACTGCCATTTTAATCCTGCCAATTAAAACTATACTAGAAACTATCCTATTTTTAAAGAATTCCAGTTTTTTTCTCCAAAAGATTGAGAAAACCGATACAGACGACAGACGGACGGACAGACACTTTTATATATAGTAAATAATGCTTAACTACCGTAAGCACAACCACAAATCGAACAAGAACAAGTTGTAACAGACATTAGTACGGTACAGTACTTAAAGAACAAGGAGTACAAACAGAAATACTGTATCCCAGTGCCTACGGTTAAATAAACTTTAAACACAAACAACAAAAAGACACACCGAAAAAAGCATCGCAATTAAAAAGCTTTTTCCTATTTGAGCATCTATTTTTATAAATATCATATAATTATTATTAAATTATACAGCCGTTATTTCGTAAATCTTGTAGTTGTAGAGTATCAAGTTTCCCCCCCCCCAATTAAAATAATTTTTTTTAAGAAATCTTCCTTATGATGAAGTCACTTGGGAAACGGTGGATGTTGTACCAGAAGAGAAAATCGAACAATGGACAAAATGGCAAAAGATTGATAAAGCAAAAGCGGTAGGGGAGATTTAAAAGATCGAAATTTATAATTCACTTTATTAATTTATTTCAATTTCAATTTCAATTTCAATTTCAATTTTAGAAAGAGAAAGCTCGTCCCGAAGTTGGCGGTTGGAAGAAATTACCAACGGATATCGAGTGGAAAAATGGGAATTGCTTGAGAGAATATCAATTCGATGGAGTGAACTGGTTGACGTATTGCTATTATCATCGGTGAGTGAATTCTCCTGTACTTGAGCGTACTAGGGCGTACTAGAACGTACTGGAACGTACTAGAACGTGCTAGAACGTACTGGAGCGTACTAGAACGTACTAGAGCCCACTAGAGCGTACTAGAGTCCACTAGAGTCCACTAGAGTCCACTGGAGCGTACTAGAACGTACTGGAACGTACTAGAGCCCACTAGAGCGTACTAGAGCCCACTAGAGTCCACTAGGGTCCACTAGAGCGTACTAGAGTCCACTAGAGTCCACTGGAGCGTACTGGAACGTACTAGAGCCCACTAGAGCGAACTAGACCGCACTAGAACGAGCTAGAACTTGCTAGAACGTACTAGGCCGCACTAGAGCCCACTAGAGCCCACTAGAGCCCACTAGACCGCACTCTACTGCTCTAAAGCATTCAAGCGAACTAGACCGCACTAGAACGTGCTAGAACGTGCTACAACGTGCTAGAGCGTACTGGAACGTGCTAGAGCGTACTGGAACGTACTAGACCGCACTAGACCGCACTAGAGCCCACTAGAGCTCATCTCTACTGCTCTAAAGCATTCATGACACTAAATTATCTTATATTCTAATGATATTGATAAAATAGATTTTAAAACAGGTATTAATAAATATTGAGCTGGCTATTGATCAAAAAAAAAAAATCACGTTTTAGACAAAACTGCATTCTCGCCGATGAAATGGGACTCGGGAAAACCGTTCAAACAATCACTTTTCTGTCAAGGGTTTGTTTTATAAAACAACGTAAAAAAAATAATGATAACAATACTATTCAGCTAATCACAACATTAACATTATTTTCTTCATTTGCAAGCAGTGATTAGAGAGCTTTATTTCAATTCAAAAATCAAGAAAATCAGAGCAAATCAAATCTGAGCAAAAAAAGGCCCTATCCAACTCTAGTGTCTTGTCGCCTTGTTTGTATGGGAAATGAAAAATCGAATTAACCTCTTTTTGGTATCATTTGAAAGCTTGAAATCTCCTCTGTACAATGATATAAAAAAGTTAGCAAAAATACGATCTCTGAACAAAGTTATTGGCGTTTAAAGCGTGATGAGTACCCGGAAAGAACGCAAGTGCCGAAGATTTTATTATAAATATAGATTTATATAACGAAATAATTTTTTTAAAAAAATATTTAGGTTTATGAGTATGGTATCCACGGTCCATTTCTAATCGTTGTTCCACTTTCAACCATTCACAATTGGGTCAGAGAATTCGAGACTTGGACTGATATGAATGCGGTAAGTTTTTTTTTTTGAATAGAATTAGAGCTGTAGCTGTAGCTGTAGATAGCTTTACTTTGTACTGTACTGTACTGTATGGTACTGTACTGTACTTGTGCTATACTTTGTACGGTACTTTGGACTGCACTGTACTTGTACGATACTTTGGACTGCAATTTTACTTTACTTTGGACTGCACTTTGGACTGTACTTGTACTGTACTTTGGACTGTACTTGTACGGTACTTTGGGCTGTACTGTACTTTGCACTGTACTCTACTGTACTTTGTACAAACTGTACTGTACTGTGCTGTTCTGTACTGTACTGTGCTGTTCTGTACTGTACTGTGCTGTTCTTGTACTGTACTGTGCTGTTCTGTACTTTTTACTTTACTTTGGACTGTACTTGTACAGTACTTTGGGCTGCACTTGTACGGTACTTTGTACGATACTTTGGACTGTACTTTATACTGTACTGTGTACTTTCTGCTTACCGGTAAACGCATCTTTTCTAGTGCACTGAATCCGTGATTTCCTCTCTCACAACAGCATAGAAAAGTAAAGAGTTCAGTGCAATAGAAAGGGTACAAATTTCCAGGCACAAAGTAAACAAAGCGGGATTTTGTGAAAGCTTGTACAGTACTTTGGACTGTACTTGTACAGTACTTTGGACTGTACTTGTACAGTACTTTGGACTGTACTTTGTACGATACTTTAGACTGTACTTTATACTGTACTGTGTACTTTCTGGTTGCATTGAGCGTTTTCAAAGAGACTTTTCAGGTAGTCTATCATGGGAGCTCAAATGGTCGACAAATCATTGAAAATAATGAGATTTTTTATTCAAAACCAGACGAAGAAAAGGATGCAAAGGTGATTTTTAAAAAAGAAAATCTTGAAAATCTCTTGAAAATCGAAGTTCTTTTTTTCTAGCTTTGGCGACGTAATCTTGTTAAATTTGATGCTTTGATTACGACTTTTGAAATGGTTGTGACAGAGGTCGAATTCTTGAGGAAAATCAATTGGAAGGTTTGGTTTTGAGAGTCAAAAAATGTTTTAAATGTTAAAGAATTCGAATTTAAACATTTTTTTTTCTAGCTTTATAAAGCTTTAGATAATAGAAATTGATTTCTAAAGAAGCTTTGGATGAAAAGCTATCGTAATCCGTCTACCGTAACCCGGCTACCGTAAACCAGTTACCGTAACCCGGCTAAATAGATTTAGACTGGGATATGGCGACTCTTTAGAGCCGAAGAGAGCCTTAAGTACGGTAGAAAGGGCGCTTAAAACTTTCTTTCCCAGGTTTGCATCATCGATGAAGCGCATCGATTGAAGAATCGCAATTGCAAGCTGTTAACGGGCGGATTGCTTTCATTACGAATGGATCATCGAGTACTTTTGACGGGCACACCATTGCAGAATAATGTCGAAGAGCTCTTCTCATTGCTCAATTTCCTTCATCCAGAGCAATTTGCGAAGTGAGCTTTAATGGATTTTTTAGGTTACTGTAGACCGAAGCAGGTTACTGTAGATCTAAGGTTACTGTAGATCTAAGCAGCTTACTGTAGACCTAAGCAGCTTACTGTAGACCGAAGCAGATTACTGTAGATCTAGGCAGGTTACTGTAGATCTAAGGTTACTATAAATCTCAGCAGCTTACTGTAGATCTCAACAGGTTACTGTAGATCTAAGCAGCTTACTGTAAGCCTCTAGTTTCAGCTCTTGGCTGGCTTTGTACTCATCTAAGAAACTTTCAGCTCTGAGGCTTTCCTTGAGAAATTCGGACAGTGCAAAACCGATGAGCAAGTCACGCAGTTACAGGTTTGACTAAAGAATTTGATAGAAAAGATATTCAGCTATAGAAAATAGGCTAAGGCTAAGGCTACAGTAGGATTACTGTAAGTCTCTAAAGCTTCTTGGTTTTTTTGTGTCAATTTACTATAGATAAAAGAGTCTATCAATCCGTCCGTCTGTACGAACAAGTTCCCGGCTCCTCGTAGGCCGATTTATCTGATTTTTAATTTCTTATGAGTAGAATTCTAAATAGTTGTGCATTTCAGATTTCATTTTTTAAAAAACAAAAGATATGGGAGAGTCGGGCGTCGAACCCGCACTGTGTGGGTTGTAGACCAGCGTGCTGCCGACTGCGCCACGACGGCATCTCGGCCGGGCTAGAAAAATCGGTTGTTAAGCGGGTCTTTCGGCTTCGTCTTGATGCGCATCCGGAAAACTCGTTCGGCGGGTTTATCAGGCTTTTCTTGCACAGCCTTTTATTGTCATCATGGTGCAGTGGGGAGGGGTCTCTTCCACAAGCCACACGATCCGGGTTCGATCCCGGGTAGTGCGGCTCGATCTCTATTTTTGACTATTTTGATTTAAAATGGTAGCTAGACAGCTAGATAAAGCTCTAAAACGGCTGCTAGGCTGATTTTTCGGCTGCTAGGCTAATTTTTCAGCTGTTAAGCTGATTTTCCAGCTGTTAGGCTTATATCCAATATTTCAGCAAATTCTTAAACCGATGATGTTACGTCGTTTGAAAGAGGACGTTGAAAAAAGCTTGCAACCACGCGAAGAAGTCATCATTGAAGTTCAATTATCGGATGCGCAAAAGAAATACTATCGAGCGATTCTTGAGAAGAATTTCACTCATTTGTGCAAGGTATTTTGAGAAAATAATGGGTTTTTTGGGTTTTTTAGATAAAAAATGATTGCTAAAAAGTTACTTTACTAGATAAAAATGATCGCTAAAAGGTTATTAAACTTTATTTTTTGCAATTTATTTGACTAAAAAAAAGATTTCCAAGAAATTTCGATTCAATTTTGACAAAGTTACAAAGTTAACGAGTAAAAAATGAAATTCGAAATGAAATTCGAAATTAGACACTTCGAAATCCTTTCGAATTGTCATGTGCATTCCAATTTGGATAAAATTGGCTGAAATAATAGCATCTTTTCTGAAAATTTCTTCATCTAGACTCACGAAAGCTTTTCACGCTTTTATCTCGATTTTCGCAAAATGAATTTCGACAATTTTTTGTAATTTTCTCTTTGCTGGAACGCACATGACATTTTGCTATTTACGGATTTCTTTTAAAATCAATTTACAATTTACAATTTTCTATTTTCTAGGGAGGCAGTGCTCCATCGCTGATGAATGTAATGATGGAGTTGAGGAAATGCTGTAATCATCCTTTCTTGATTCAGGTAATCATCCATTCTATAAGCTTTTATAAGCTATTCAGCTATAAGCTAAAGCTATAAGCTATTCAGCTATTCAGCTATAAGCTATTCAGCTATTCAGCTATTTAGCTATTTAGCTATTCAGCTATTCAGCTATAAGCTATTCAGCTATAAGCTATTCAGCTATTCATCTATTCATCTATATCTAAAATTTGCAGGGAGCTGAAGAACAAATCGTTTCCGAAGTTCGTCTTCTTCATCCAGAAATCGATGAGGACACAGCGCAGAAGAAAGCTTTAGTCGACGCATCCGGGAAAATGGTTCTCATTGAGAAATTGTTGCCAAAATTGAAACAAGATGGACATCGAGTGAGTGATTTTGAAAAGGCTAGGAATCTAAGCTAGGGATCTAAGCTACGAATCTAAGCTAGGGATCTAAGCTACGAATCTAAGTTAGGAATCTAAGCTAGAAATCTAAGCTAGAAATCTAAGCTAGGAATCTAAGCTAGGAAACTATGAAAAGCGAAATTCGTCATTCGAGTAAAGTAGAAAGACTATAGTCTAGAAGTTCCTCAAGAATTTTAACTATTAACTATTAAAGTTACTACAAAAAAGTTACCAATAAAGCTACGAATAAAGTTACTACAAAAAGCTACTAATAAAGCTTTGTTTCTAGCTTTAGCCTCTTTTATTAGCTCATTCAAATGATTCAAATGATTCAAACGATTTAAACTAGATTTTATTAAAAAAAAAAATAATGAAAAAAAAAAAAAAATAAATAAAAAATATTTAAAAAAAAAAAATAATAAAAAAATTTTTTTAAAAAAAAAAAAAAATTAAAAAAAAAATTTTATAAAAAAAAAAAACTGGATTTGATTAAAACGGCAATTTATTAACTGGATTTGATTAAAAACCATATTATTAGCTGATATTATTAGCTGATATTATTAAATTAACGATTTTATTAGCTAATGTATCACATCGTTACTGTAAATAATCGTTTTTTTTAATCGATTTTAGCTTTCCCTTTCGATATAATCAAAGATTTTTCAATTTTTCGATATTTTTAGGTCCTTCTCTTCTCTCAAATGGTCAAAGTGCTTGATTTGATTGAGGAATTCGTTACGAATATGGGGTTTGGCTTTGAAAATTTCTAGTAATGGATTAGGATTGGAAGATAGAGCTATTGTAACAAAGCTATTGTAAGAGAGAGCTATTGTAACAAAGCTATTGTAAGAGAGAGCTATTGTAAGAGAGAGCTATTGTAAGATAGAGCTATTGTAACAAAGCTATTGTAAGAGAGAGCTATTGTAAGAGCTATTGTAAGAGAGAGCTATTGTAACAAAGCTATTGTAAGAGAGAGCTATTGTAAGAGAGAGCTATTGTAACAAAGCTATTGTAACAATGCTATTGTAACAAAGCTATCGTAGTCTAAAGCTATTGTAAGATAAAGCTATCGTAAGAGAGAGCTATTGTAAGATAGAGCTATTGTAACAAAGCTATCGTAGTCTAAAGCTAAGCATAAGATATCTAAAGCGTAAGATAAAGCTATTGTAATTTAAAGCTGTTATAACAAAGCTATCTTAAGATAGAGCTATTGTAAGATAAAGCTATTATAACAAAGCTATCGTATTCTAAAGCTATCGTAACAAAGCGATCTTGATCTAAAGCTATCATAAGATAAAGCTATCATAATCTAAAGCTATCGTTACAAAGCTATCATAATCTAAACCTACTCTAACCTACCTTTCTAACCTACTCTAACCTACTCTAACTTTCTTTCCTTTCAGATATCTTTACGAAAGAATTGATGGAAACGTTCGCGGTGATTTAAGACAAGCAGCAATCGATCGTTTCTCAAGACAAGGTTAATTAGAATAGAATCTAAAAACTTTTACGAAAATAGAATACTTTTGAAGTGGTATGTCAGACTACAAACGCTTTTAACTTGCTTTAAATCTATTGGATTCAGATGTTCTATAGCTTAAAAGATAGCTAATCTAAAGGGCTTTTGAATGAAGAAAAGTAGATTGAAAAAGCTTGCTTCTAAAGAAAGTTACAGTTGTTTAAAGTCTGGTCAATTGATTCGAGTATGGTTTGTTTTAAAACCATGTAACTTTCTTCTGGATTAAGATTTTTCAATCGAAACTAGAATACTTTTAAAGAAACTAGAATACTTTTAAAGTAACTAGAATACGAAAATGAAGAAGCTTTTGGCATGATTGTAAAGATAAAGTTGTATAGAAAATTGTTGAATCAATTACATTTCAATTTTTCAGACTCTGATCGTTTCCTCTTCTTGTTGTGTACAAGAGCTGGCGGTTTGGGCATCAATTTAACCGCCGCTGATACAGTGATCATTTTTGATTCGGATTGGAATCCACAAAATGATTTACAAGCTCAAGCAAGGTAGGTATTTAGATCGAAATTTTATATTAAATAACTAATTGATCTTTTTTACAGATGTCATCGAATTGGTCAAAAGAAAATGGTGAAAGTCTATCGGTTGATCACGGCGAACACTTATGAAAGGGAAATGTTTGATAAGGTCAGTGTTTTTAGTGCAAAAAGTTTTTGAAAAGTCGACGAGCTCGAGCTTGAAGACGACGAGCTTGAAGTCGACGAGCTTGAAGCCGACGAGCTCCAGCTTGAAGTCGACGAGCTTGAAGTCGACGAGCTCGAGCTTGAAGCCGACGAGCTCCAGCTTGAAGTCGACGAGCTCGAGCTTGAAGTCGACGAGCTTGAAGTCGACGAGCTTGAAAAGTCGACGAGCTCGAGCTTGAAGTCGACGAGCCAGCTTGAAGTCGACGAGCTTGAAGTCGACGAGCTCGAGCTTGAAGTCGACGAGCTCCAGCTTGAAGTCGACGAGCTCCAGCTTGAAGTCGACGAGCTCCAGCTTGAAGTCGACGAGCTCCAGCTTGAAGTCGACGAGCTCCAGCTTGAAGTCGACGAGCTCCAGCTTGAAGTCGACGAGCTCCAGCTTGAAGTCGACGAGCTTGAAGTCGACGAGCTCCAGCTTGAAGTCGACGAGCTTGAAGTCGATGAGCTTGAAGCCGACGAGCTCCAGCTTGAAGTCGACGAGCTCGAGCTTGAAAAGCCGCCGAGCTCGAGCTTGAAAAGTCGCCGAGCTCGAGCTTGAAGTCGACGAGCTTGAAAAGTCGACGAGCTCCTTTTCAAAAAGGATTCTATTCTAAAAAAACTATTGTAGTCTCAGTTTGATTAACTGAATTTGATATGATTGCCTGAGCCTTTTGATTCCTCATCGAATGACACCAAAATGACACCAAAATTTCGCTGATCGAATGTAAACTTATAATTCTAGTAATATAGAAAATTCATTAGACAGATTTAAAACTGAAATTTGATCAGCTAGGCTAGGCTAAGCTAAGTAAAGATGGAAGGAAGGAAGGAAGGGAAGAAGGAAGTAATGAAGTAATGAAGTAAGAGAGGAAGTAGTGAAGGAAGGAATGAAGGAAGGAAGGAATGAAGTAATGAAGGAACTAAGGAGGGAAGGAAGGAAGGTAGTAAAGAATGAAGTAATGAAGGAACTAAGGAAGGAGCTAAGGAAGGAAGTAAAGAAGAAAGGAAGGAAGGAAGGAAGAAAGGAGCTAAGGAAGGAACTAAGTAAGGAACTAAGCTAAAGAAGGAAGTAAAGAAGGAAGTAAGGAAATAAGAAAGTAAGTAAGTAATCAATAAGCAATCTAATTTTACAGGCATCTCTGAAGCTCGGCCTTGACAAAGCGGTTCTTCAATCGACGACAGTAATGGAGAAAAAGGAACAACTAACGAAGAAAGAAATCGAGGAATTGTTGAAGAAAGGAGCCTATGGATCGATAATGGATGAAACAAATGAAGGAAGTAAATTCAGTGAAGAAGATATTGAGACAATTTTGCAAAGACGAGCCACAACAATCACGTTAGAAGCCGGCGCAAAAGGATCGACTTTTTCGAAAGCAAGCTTTGGATCGAGTAATAACACTGATGAAATTGATATTGATGATCCGAATTTTTGGACAAAATGGGCTGAAAAAGCGAATGTTGATTTGGAAAAAGTTCGCGAACGACAAAGCGGAAAACAGTTGATTGTGAGTGAGCCGAGAAATCGAAAAAAGCGATTTGAAGAGGACACGTTAAAAGAGGGTGATGTTTCGCCGAGTGATGACAGTGATGATGCGTCAAAGAGACGATTTGAGCGACGAATGGAAAGACGAAAGAAAAGACGAAGAGATGATGATGATGATGAGTATGTTCGGTATCGCCCGGATGAATTGGCGTTCAACAAAAGCGATTACTTTAAGGTGAGTAAACGGGGGGATGGGTAGAAAGACTAGAAACGCTTGTAACTTTTTTTTAAATCTATTGAATTTAGATGTTCTATAGCTTAAAAGATAGCTAATCTAAAGGGCTTTCTAATGAAGAAAAGTAGATTGAAAAATCTTAATCCTGAAGAAAGTTACATGGTTTTAAAACAAACCATACTCGAATCAATTGACCAGACTTTAAACAACTGTAACTTTCTTTAGAAGCAAGCTTTTTCAATCTACTTTTCTTCATTCGAAAGCCCTTTAGATTAGCTATCTTTTAAGCTATAGAACATTTGAATCCAATAGATTTAAAGCAAGTTAAAAGCGTTTGTAGTCTGATATACCACAAGTTTGTTTTAAAACCATGTAACTTCCGTTAGGATTAACATTTTTCAATCAGCTTTTTTTCATTCGAAAGCCCTTTAGATTAGCTATCTTTTAAGCTATAGAACATCTAAATCCAATAGATTTAAAACAAGTTACAAGCGTTTCTAGTTTCAATGTCTTTCTGTGATACTCAGTATGATTTTGCAAGAATTTTTAAGGCACAAAAGATAAGCTTTTCTATTAAAATACGATTTAGGTGGAGAAGTTGATTGGATCGTATGGTTGGGGTCGTTGGAAACTCTTCAAAGAACAAGGTGACATGGAGGCGACCGAGATCGACATCGAGCACTTGTCGAGAACTCTTCTCCTTCACAATCTACGCGATTTTCGTGGCGACGAGCGCACAAGAGAATACGTTTATGCCGTTATTGAGCCGAAAGATGCGCGAAATTATAAGCAAGATTCGAGGAATAAATTGACGTCTGGATGGGCGGCTTTACCCGAATACAATCCACCGAATTTCGTTCTTGACACATCATTTCAACGGCATATTCATCGCTACTCGAATAAATTGATTTCTAAAGTCGAAATCATGCATTTCCTCTTTGAAGGATTGCTAAAAGAAAGGAAACCAGAAGTGGAAGCGGGCAAGAAAGCTGAGGAAATCGATTTGGTCTTCTTGCCGCCAGTTGAACCGATGACTGTCGATGGATGGGATAATGCTTGTGATAAAAGTCTCATCATTGGCACCTACAAACATGGTCAGTGAGCTTTTTTTTTGTACTTTCGTCTTTGTAAAATTTACCTGTAACTTGTAACTTTACCTGTAACTTTTGGACTTGTAAACTGGTTACTGTAAGCAGCTTACTGTAGACGGCTTACGTAGACGGCTTACTGTAGACGGATTACTGTAAACTGGCTACTGTAAGCAGCTTACTGTAGACGGCTTACGTAGACGGCTTACTGTAAACTGGTTACGGTAAACGACTTACTGTAAACGGCTTGCGGTAAACAGCCTACGGTAAACAGCCTACGGTAAACGGCTTACTGTAAACTGTGCAGTAAGCTTTTGAAGTTTGGCTTTTGTTTTTTAAAAAACAAGCAAAATTAACGGTGAGCGGAATCGAACCAGGACCCGTGGGAGCCAGGGCCCAGCACACTATCCCCCAGGCCATCCGGTTGTTTTGGCAAGGGAAGTAATTTGACGTTATACCGTGGCGGCGCCGTTTTCCCAAAACGCAAACTTCTGATACGGTGCGGCCGTGATATAACGCCGAATTACTTCCCTTAAACAAGCACCCGAATGGCCTAGTGGATAGTATGCTATCCCCACGCCCCATAGAACCCTGGTTCGACCCCCCTCTGAACTCTTTTGCTTTTTTGTTCAAAAACAAAAACTGTACTTTAGTTAAAGTACTGTACTATACTGTAGTGAAGGTACTGTACTCTGTAACTAAAGTAGTGTACTGTACTGTCTGTAGCTAAAGTACTGTAGAAGACCTAATCTACAGACTAGTAAAAAGTGAAATCAATTTTCCTTTTTAGGCATGGAAAATCCGGATGCGATGAAAGCTGATGAGACTTTGTGTTTCATGGAAAAAGTCGATGTAATGCCGACGGGGAATGAGATATTCTTGCGATTGAAAAGAATCCAACAACGAACAGCACAAGCCATTTCAGAAGAGCTGGCCGCTAAACAACCGACAAAATGGCCGAGAAGCCAGGTGGGGAAAGGAGAAAGGCTAGATTGAGGCCTAGGTTAAGGCCTAGGTTAAGGCCTAGGTTGAGGCCTAGGTTCAGGCCTATGTTAAGGCCAAATAAGTTCCCGTACTCTTGAAATCATTTATCTCACTCTACTCTCTTAGGTTTTAGTTTAAATTGAAATTTGAAACTTTAGGAAGTGGAATTCGTGCGTCTAATCGCTACTTTCCCGATCAAAGACTGGGATGTCGACATCACGGCTGTTGACTGGAGTGCTGTGAGAAAGAGATCGCCGATGTTTGACAAGAAAAGCGATGCCGATCTACAAGCGCACATGTTCGCCGTGTTGGCTCAATGCTTTAAAGCAAAGGTAAGGAAGAAGTTGAGGAAGAAGTTGAGGAAGAAGTTGAGGAAGAAGCTGAGGAAGAAGCTGAGGAAGAAGCTGAGGAAGAAGCTGAGGAAGAAGCTGAGGAAGTGAGCTCTCTGGCTTAGAAACAAGGTAGAGACAAGCTCAAGCCTTAAGCTCAAGCTCAAGCTCAAGCTCAAGCTCAAGCTCAAGCCTTAAGCTCAAGCCTCAAGCTCAAGCCTCAAGCCTCAAGCCTCAAGCCTCAAGCCAGGATTCATCCCTGGTTTTGTCTGACCTTCGGAATCCACACAATTCCATATATGTACAATAGTAGTAATCCTATAAATCTTCTGAAATTCTAAAAATCGAATTGCAGGGTGCTGCCGCCGATATGCCGTCTGCTTTCGCTTCAGCAGCTCCGATGAGTGACGATCTTCTAAATGCAAACACAGCTCAATCAATCCTCAATCGTTTACAATTGCTGAAGAAGATCTCAATGGTTTGCGCGAATGGGAAGAATGGATTGGATGCGTTTGATGAGAAGATTGCTCTTTGTCCCAAAGAAGGACTTCCATCTGGATGGAGTGAAGAGCACGATAAGGAGTTGTTAATGGTTCGTTGAGAATTGGAAATCATCATGATAAAGAGTTGATATAGCTTGAGCTTAAGAAACATATTGTACTCTTTAGCAATAGCGATTCTAACAATTCTAGGAGTTTTAAAGCCAGCAATAGTGATTCTATTAGTTCTATTGATTCTAAAGATAGTAATAGCTATTCTAGAGCTAGCAATAGCTATTCTAGAGCTAGCAATAGCTATTCTAGAGCTAGCAATAGCTATTCTAAAGCCAGCAATAGCGATCCTCTTAGTTCTATTGATTCTAAAGCCAGCAATAGAGATTCTAGAGCTAGCAATAGCTATTCTAAAGCCAGCAATAGCAACTCTATTAGTTCTAAAGCCAGCAATAGCTATTCTAAAGCTAGCAATAGCTATTCTATTAGTTCTAAAGCTAGCATTAGCAATCCTATCAATCCTAAAGCCAGCATTAGCAATCCTATCAATTCTAAAGCTAGCAATAGCAATCCTTTCAACCCTATCAATCTAATCCCTTCAGGTTGCCAACGAGTACGGGATCAAGGACATTTCTGTAAATATTCTCGGGAAAACTCTCTTTCAAAAAATCATCCGCCCAACTGAATCAATCCTTTTCAAAAGAGTCATCGATCTTTCATCCACTCTACTCACTGGAAAATATTCCCCACAAGATTCACAAGAATATTTATTGGATGAGTTACAAGATGAAAAACAACAACAACAACAACAACAGCAACAGCAACAGCAACAGCAACAACAACAACAACAACCGAGAACTGATGCCGCGCAACAACAAATGCAACAATTGCTAGCTGCACATTTATTAGCTTCAGCTACCCCGTCGACGTCGACGAGTCAAAGAAGCTCGAATTCAAGGAGTAGAAAGAGACCTGCGAAAACGGCACAAGAGGTGGGTTCAAGAGAAATAATAGAACTAAATCAAGACTAGAATGGTATTATAGTATAAAAATTCAAAATTGAGTGATTGAAAATTCAAAAATCCACTACGGGGAACCGAACCCGGGTCCTCTGGGCTATGGGGAAGCGCACTCCCGACTGCACCACGGCGCCACTCCGGCCCGTTCAGAAAAACCTGGTCTTAACCGGGTCTTTCGGTTTCTTCTTGACCCGGAAGCCGAAAAAACTGGTTAGGCGGGTTTATGTGGCTTCTCTTGCAAGCTAGCAACGGATCGTCATGGCGCAGTCGGGAGCGCTGTTGTCTACAAGCCACACGATCGGGGTTCGGATCCGGGTCCGACTCCTCGTACCACTTATTTTGAATTTTGAAGTTTTTAGTCTAGTAGATATACAATTCACAGCACTTTCCAAAGAACTTGTTCAATTATTTCTTTCTAGACAGTCGCTGAGGCGGTAGTTGAGCAACTCCAAGCGGCAATGATCCAGCAAATGGTGATGGCTGCCGGGCAATCCGGATCCGGAAAAGATTCAGCTGCTGCACAACAACTCTTGCTTATATTAGCCCTTCAACAACAACAAGCACAACAACAGACAACGTCTAGATCAACGACTACTTCCAGTGCTGCCGCTAATAGTAAGTTTTAGATCCTCGGCTCCAGCCAAGCTTGTTTTTCAGGTGATCAAGCAGCTCAATTAGCGACAATGGCTGCATTGTTGGCTTGCGCGAGTCAAGAAGATTTAGCGGCTTTGGGATTGAATGGACAACAGAAGCAAGCTTTGTTGGGAATGTTGGCGGCTCAAGCTGGCTCAACTCCAGCATCAACACCGGCACCAAGCACTCAAACAACCAGACATTCAACAACGACTCCATCGACGTCAAAGGTTGATTAGCTGAAGAGATTGATCTACTTGCTGATTTCAGAACACTACTTCGAAAGCAGCCACCTCAGCTTCGACATCAGCTACAGCTACAGCTAGAGCCGCGAATTCTGAAGCTCAAGCAATGGCTGCTTTAGCTGCAGCTGCTGGACTTTCAGCAACATCACAGGGAGGAACGATGACCGAAGCCGAGCTTCTCCTTCAACTACAAGTCGCACAACTAGCCGCCTATGGATTAACGATTCAAGACTATGTTCTGTTGAGTAATATGCCCCCAGGTTCGTAGAAAAAGCTAGGATTACGGTAGTTTAGTTTATAGACCTATTGGTAGCTATAGAATGATTGAACTTCGATGTTTACTATGTAGATTTTAGATACAAAAGTCCCTTGTCGACATCGGACCACTAATGAGCTTCTACCTAATGATCAGCATCCAACAATTGCAACGTTGATTCAGTTCTTGGAGAAGAATACACAGTACAAGGTGAGGACTCTGACTGACTCTCTTTCTTCCTCTCTTCCTCTCTTCCTCTCTTCCTATCTTCCTTTCTTTCTTCTTTCTTCTTGCGGAAAGAAGCTCTAGCTCAGTGGCTAGCTCAGCGCCAAGCTAAGTAAGCAGAAGATCGACAGTTCAATACTTTTTAGGTGGACCTTCGTGGTGACTCCACTCAGGCAACTCCGCAACGCAGCAAGACAGCCACCCCAGCGGTGAGTATAGCTACAGTAAGCTGCAGTAAGATAGGAGCTATTGTATTACTGTGGTACTGTAGTACTGTAGTAGCTCTCAACTGTAACAGCTCTGAATCAAAGAAAACTTTCAGCTCTCAACTCCAAAACCAGCCGCAACACCAGTGCCTGCAGCTACGCCAAAGCTTGAGCAAATGATCGATCCTGGCACCTCGCTTGATCTCACGAAAAGTGATGAGGAGAAAAATGAAGAACCGAAAAAGGAGAAGAAACTCAGAGCCAGGCGAAATCCCGAAAGGTGTTGTTGTGGAGACGGAGGAGGAGAGGAAGAAGGAGAAGGAGAGGGAGAGGGAGAAGGAGAGGGAGAAGGAGAGGAAGAAGGAGAGAGGCAAATCACAGACACCGCCTGCTCTAATGGCTGGTAGTACTGTGGCGACACCGCAACCCGCAGCCACACCAACCCCGTCAGCTACTCCTGTTGCCTCTACTTCGTCTGCAAATGCTCTTGCGCAACAACAAGTGAGTAGAAGATTGATTTAATAGATTGATCTAGCTGTTCTAGCTGATATCTAGCTGTTCTAGCTGTTCTAGCTATTCTAGCTGTTCTAGCTGATCAGCTGATCTAGCTGATCCTTTTCTAACTTCTGATTCAGGCATTGGCTGCCTTGGCATCAGCCTCATCTCTCTCTACTCCAGCCTCGTCAAGCAATGCCAACGTTCAACAGCAAGCAATGTTATTAGCAATGATGCAAGCTGCGCAAATCCCAACCCAGGTAAACAAATCGCAAGATAGCGAATGAAAAGCGAAAACTTTTAGACAAGCACTTCATCAGCCGCCAAGTTGCAACAAGCGCAAATGGAAGCGCTACAGATGCAATCACTCTTGCAACAAGCTTTCATGCTACAAGCAGCACAGGTAACTGAAAAGGAAACCAGGCTACCAGGCTACCAGCCTATCAGGCTACCAGGCTACCAGGCTACCAGGCTACCAGGCTACCAGGCTACCAGGCTACCAGGCTACCAGCCTACCAGGCTACCAGCCTACCAGGCTACCAGGCTACCAGCCTACCAGCCTACGAGGCTATCAGACTACCAGGCTTATCGTCTAAAGTTTCTCTAAAAAGCTCTATATTTCAGGCCTCGTATTCAATGTCGAGTTTAAACGCGAGCACCTCAACAAAACAATCGCTTGAAGAACAGCAAACGGTGAGTCAATCAACCTTTCAGCTTTTGTAGATTGACTGATGTTGGCTTACCAGTTTACAAATTGAAAATTGAATCTAGGCTGCCTTATATCAGAGTCTCGCCTTGATGGGAATGGGTGGTGTGGTGAATGGAGCGCAGAACTCGTCCGCTGCTGCAAATGCAGCTGGTAAGTTGTTGGAAATGTTGGAAATGTTTGGCATATTTGTAATCTTTGACAAAAGACAATTGATTACTGTAAGACAGACAATTGATTACTGTAAGACAGACAATGATTACTGTAAGACAGACAATTGATTACTGTAAGACAGACAATTGATTACTGTAAGACAGACAATTGATTACTGTAAGACAGACAATTGATTACTGTAAGACTATAGCCGTCAATCTCTCCAATTTCTCCAATTTAGTCACTCAACAACTCGCCGCTCTGATGGCTGATCCAACGGCTTTAGCCGCTTTCGCTGCCGTTCAACAACAGCAAGCCCCAACCTCCAGTAAGCGGAGAAAGGAATGAACACAAATCCCCCAACAATTCCGGTGCCACCCCCAAATCAAGATCTCGTCTATTTGTGCGTATTCTTTGTTTTGCTGTATTTTTTTTGATCTCTGCTTCTTGTCTATTAAGTCCAATCTCGTGCAGCTAAACGTTCGTTTTATCTTTTTTTTTCTTTTTCGTCAGGTCGACATGTCTCTTTCAAATATTGTTAAGGTCCTCTCACTCACAATCTAGCTCTCATCTACGATACGGGCTCCCCATTTTATCCCCCGACCTTTTTTTTTTATTCTCCTTCTCGTTGATTTAATTTATTTTTGATTTTCTAGGTTTTTATGCCCGGGTGTAATAATATTTAAAACACTATCAAATTCTAAACTCTGCTCCAATCCTCTCATTCTCGCGAGTATTTTGCCCCCGAGCTTTGCTTTAGTCAAAAATCGGGATTGATTTTTTTTTCCATGGCTTTGGGTTATTGATTGTTTTGGCTCGCCCAGGCTCAAAATTTCTCAAAAGCTCAAAGTCACATTCCTCACTGTGTATTAGAAAAATGAAATTTGTTCTACTGCTCGAACACTTTTACACACTCCATGTTAAAATGCATAACCAACTCGAAATAGATTAAAATTTATTCTCTATTTTACAAATCAACACAATTTGCGCGTTGCGTACACTAACAAACAAAGAAATATGTAGGAATAAACCAAACTAAAGTCGACCCACGTCGAGAAAAAGGTTCGCAGAGGTGGTGCATACACTTCATAAAAATTTAAATAGCCGAAGCGATGGCCTCCTAAAACAGAAACATTTAAACAATCAAAAGAAAGTAAGACAAACCTTGTATTTCTTGATTTTGCTGGCGATGGAGAGGTCGACGTATTTGTCTCCGATGTTGACAATCAATCCACCAAGAATGGTGGGTTTCACCTAAAATAAACGATTTGTACTTCATTCTAGGGTGAACTTGGTAATCAAAGCACAAATAATGATTTGATTAACTTCAAGTATATAAATTACCTGATAAGTGACGGTAACCTTTTGTCCCTTCTTCGTGAACTAAAGAACGAAGAATTGCAAACTAAAAGGTTATTATAAAACCTGAGCAAGCACATCACTCAAAGCACTCTCGTTTCCTTTTGTAAGTGGCTCGGCGGTGGTAACCTGAACTAATTGATCGTGAATTTACATTCATAAAATCCACAACCGGGAACTGCTAATTAGTATGGACAAACCTGAACAAAAAGCTCGCCACGGTGAGCACGCATGATCGACTCGAAGGATGAAACAACAGCAGCCAGCTTGGACAAACGCCCATTCTCGGCAAGAAGTGCTAAAATCAAGATGTAATCCAACATAAATGAGATTCAATTACAGCGAATTAATTTGTAAATTTTCCCCATCTATTCCCCTGCTCTGATATACTCTTTTGTGGAGTAAAGAATTAAAAAAGGTAAATAAAGGATTTAAACTTGGTTCCAAAGATCAACGGAAAGACACTTACTCAAAAAGTTCCGGGTTTCTTGAGAAGTGCCAAGTGCCGCGGTAATTTCTTGTAATACTTGCTTCTTCTTTGCGGCCTTGAGCGTTGGATCAAGAACGAAATCCTGTAAAAGCAAGATCAAAAAGCAACAAACCAAAGTCAAACCTTGAACTTCTTGTTTTGCTCGAAAATCCCCTTCACTGTTTGCAAATCCTTGTCCACCTGTTCAAGCTTGTTCTGTTTGTGGGCTGCAGAGTAGAGTGCAGAGGCATAACGACCCTCGATCCCATGAGTCTAAAGAAGTTCTTTTTCGAATTGAATCCATGATTTGTGATCAAAGGTAATTTCATCACAACTAAAGTCTTCTCTTGCAACTCTACATTAAAAAAAAGAAAGTACGCGCTTTTCAATGAAGACACCATTTAAGCCTATTAACTAGGTATGGACCTCGAATCGAATTGAGTCGAATCAAACCGACTCGATTCGACTTTAAAAATCAATTCGATTAGATTCGAAAATTTCAAAAAGCCGAATCGATTCGATTCGATTCGATTCAAAGTTCCAAAGTCGAATCGCCATCGAATGCTAGTTATTCGTCTATGGATTGTTAAGAGATGTATTTGTTTTTATTAATTAAAATACGTGTTTTTTTATAAATATGTTTTTCTAAGTTTTTTGACCCAAGCAAAGTAATTTGTATGCTTTAACTATTTTGAATTTCAAAAAATCGATTCGATTTGCTCGAATCGAATCGTCGATTCAATTCGATTCGACTTTTTGAACTCGGATCGCCGATTCGATTCGATTCTATTCTACTCTACTCTACTTTAAAATTTGAATCAATTCGAATCAATTCGATTCTATTCTATTCTATTCTATTCTATTCTATTCTATTCTAACTTCTCTACTTTAAAATTCGAATCAATTCGATTCAATTCTATTCAAAAGTTTTGAAAACTCGAATCGATTCCTATGTCTATCAACGGTATATCAGCTTCGCCTTTTATGCTTTTATGTAAAAATCCATTAATTTCGTGGTACAAAGCAAGAAATGCGCATCGTTGACAACTTTTTTTAAAGAAAAGGCAAAGAAACCAAAATAAACGAACTTGAATTGGGACTTTCACAAGTTGTCCACTCCGGGCCACGGCCGACAACGACAGTGACCTTTTTAAGACTTGCGAAGCCATCCTGCAAACAAAAAATAACGTAAATTTTACAAAACATTAAAGATAAACAAGATAAAACAAGCGACATTTCAAAAAAAAAAAAATTTACTAGAAAACTTCGTGAAAAATTTTTGAGTCGGAAACGGAAGAGCTTTGCTTAAGTCCAAATATAAATGGGGATTAAGATATTCAGTTAAACAATCAACATTGTTTTGCTCAAAGACGATTGTGGCGGAAATTTTTCATTCATTTTCATTTGCCATTGGGGACTTTTGGTTGCGATCGGTGCGACACATTCTGCTCTAACAATTATCGTATTTCTGTGCGCTCCGGGACCCCATTTAAAACCTTACCACCCAAAGAAGTTTGCTCGTCGAGAAATCGTGAGCATTTTCATTGTGAATTAAATCTCTAAATCAAAAGTTCTTGCTTTTGCGTTGATTTAAACGTTTGAATTTTTTCCAAATTGCCTTCTCGCGTGTTGTAAATGCTAAGAAATCCTTTCCGCGCCCGTTCAAGTGAATCCGATCTGTTTAAAAAGTCAAAACCCGATTTCCTAATCTATCGCGGTCATTTCGCAACCTAGGGTCCTGTTTTTAATTCGCAAGCTTCATCCTACTCTTCCCAAATTTCGAAACATCATTTCTATAGTAGCTTCCTTGTTTTTGAAACTTTTTCCAACAAAAATATGAGTTTTTCCAATGTTGTGCAATATTGCTTTCAAGTTTTCTGGTCAACTTTGACTCGCATTCATAATCACTTCAATTTTTCTTTTCAGCAAGACTCAACTCGGTTCAAAATGCCTCTCGCTCGTGATCTTTTGCATCCCGATCCAGCCGAAGAGCGACAAAGGTATTTGTTAGTAATTTGGTGTTTTAAGGCAGGGGATTTGATAAGTAAACCCACGAAGTTTCAACTTTTGGATGGATGTTGGTGTGATTTAAGTCAAATTCTCAGCCTTAACATTCTAGCGTGATTTCAAACGTTTAAGAAGATTCATAGACCAAATCTACGCGATTGTAGTGACTTTTTTAAAGTTTATGCAGCCCACAACTTAAGAAAGAATGAATTGAAGTGTATTTATTTTTGAAGCAAAAGCATTGTAATTTTAAAACGTTTCCCTTTGCTTATCTAATAATTTTTCTTTCAGACACAAGTTGAAACGGCTCGTCCAACATCCCAACTCATTCTTCATGGACGTCAAATGCCCGGGTTGCTACAAGATCACGACTGTTTTCTCCCACGCCCAATCGGTTGTCGTCTGCGTTGGATGCAATACCGTCTTGTGCCAGCCAACCGGAGGAAAAGCCAAACTCACAGAAGGGTGCTCGTTCCGAAAGAAGCAACATTAAAGGCGTTTAATTGTTTCGTTATTGTTTATAAATTGTTTTTCACCTATATTCTACCTATATTGAAAAGCAGTTTATGTGATACACAAACATTGTTGCACATGTCTGAAGTTAAGTTGGATGGATTCATGTCGTTGATTAAGTGAGACTGTTGCGACTAATTGCTGCGCAAAAACAATTGCTTCGTGCAATGGCAAGCAAGAAGGTCAGTGAGTCGTTAGTTTTGTCGTAAGAAATCAAAAAGATTTGGTTAAGCATATTGTTTGCATAAATAGACCAAGCTGTGTATTTTTAGGCGAGTGATTCTACACAGGCTCGTGAAGGGGCGGTTTTTGTGCGCAAGGTTTATAGTGTTTTGTTTTTCGAGTGATATCAGTTAAGGATGGCAATATTGAGTTGCGAGTAAGAGCAAAACCCGGAGCAAAACGAAGCCAAGTCATGGGTAAAGCTTTCGACTCGTTAGCAATATTTGCGTGGCTAAAAGGGTACTTTTCTTTTAGAGGTTGGAACTGAAGAAATCGGTATATCTATAGCCGCCCCACCGAGAGATGGAGAAGCAAATGACGAGTTGATTCGACATTTGCGCACAGTACTCAATGTTTCAAAAAGCGATCTCTATTTCGATAAGGTGACTTGACATTGACTTTTTATTATTTCATTAGTTGAGCCATGCTTAATATTTTATCTTTTTAGGGTGCAAAATCTCGTTCAAAGATTCTGATACTTGCGTCAAAGGGGCTGACAGTCGAACAAGTCGTCGAGAAGCTGAAAAGCGATTCCTCGTAATTTTTTTTTCATTCTTTAGCAACTATGATTTGCGGGTAGATAAATTTGTTCTAAATTTGTTCAAAAAATGAAATGGAAGGCAAGGGTTACACGGAAAAGGCCTTTTTTTTTGCTTTTTGTTGGGGGCATCTCTGTGCGCTCTCTCATGGTCATCGCTCTCTTTCTCGAAGCTTTTTTTAATCGCAGCTGAAAATTTTTTTGTTTATATTGAAAAGGAAGAGTTTGAACTTTCAGAGTTCTTTGAAATGCGTTCACTCATTTTTGGAATCTTTCTTGGACTTTTTGAGGTTAGTTAGTTTTATGAAAGTTTAGTGTCGAAGATTTTTAGCAATTTGAAATTTTCTTTTAGTTAATAGGCGCAATTCTGCCGGGTAACTGCACAAAATGCGACGCGTACAAATGCTTTGAGGAGAAATTGAGTTGTGGACCAAAGGGATATTTCACCGCGTTCGGCTATCCAAATTGTCGTCGATTCAATGAGGACGGTAAGGGAATTATTTTTCTCTTGAATAGATTTGAGTTTAATTTTAAAGCAATGAAACTTTCTTAATCCTATCAGCTTTGTATACGATTTAGTGGGTTCCATTTAATTTTTCGTTGGATAACCTGTGGCTTTAGTGGCTATCGCTCGGCTGTCACCTACGGGAAAGTTGTGGGCAAACTGTACAACGAATTGCTTGCTAGATGCTATCGAAGGGATCTTTATGGTAGATTGCTTTAGTGTTGTTAAGCTTGCATAGACGACATTAAAAAGGCATGGGAAATTTTAGGCTATCTTTTAGCCTATCTTCTTATTGAAGGTTAAACTTTGAAACTAGTCAAATTGTGAATTTACGGCTTGCGATCTTATTGAAAGTTATATTTTAAAATTATCCTTTTAGACAGCACCAGCCACAACGTGTGATCAGATGAAGTTGTTGGCTTTCGACTCGCATGTTCGCTGCTATGTTCAATGTGGATTTTGTGATGTGTGCAAGACGGACAAATGGGCCCTGGCAAGGACGTATAATTATGTGAGTTTGGCTTGATTGGATATCGTTGGATTGTTGTTGTTGTTGAAGTTAGATATCGTTATCAGGCATTAATTTTCGATCCAAACTTGCAAAATATATTATTAGCTAGTTTTTTTTGTTCAACTTTAAAAAGCCGAACCTCCAGCTTGTGCTTTAGATTAAAACGCGATAACTTTGTCTAGTAAAAACTTATTTTAAAAAGCAATTCAAAGTGATTTTCTTTGTTTCTTTAGTGTGACTTCTTCTCAGTTGCCGTCCTGAAACAAGTGACCGCCATTGTGAAAACCTGTGGATTATTTTCGTGTTTTACTTGGTAAGGTAATAAATTTGTAAAATTTTATTTTATTTATTTTTTATTACATTTTTATTTTATTTTATTACATATGAATAAATATGACACACGAACAATCAAAAAGTTTTGGTTTAATTCGAAAGAATTCAACCAAAACAAAAACATAATCATTTTTGAGGTAAAGATTCTTTTAGCTACTCTTAAAACTGGCACTGATTCGGAGTTGAAAGATAAGGCAATTTTTGTTCAAAAAGGTACGCACAATAAGGCACAAATGAATAGGTTTCATTGTCTGAAATTTGAGGGTAATACTAAAATTGATTTCAATTGCTTGTCGGGATTTCGAGTTTGACTTTTTGAAAGAGCTCCGGTTCCGGGGAGACGTGTTCATCTGAAAAATTCGTTAGTGAAGGTGAACTGGAATCTAGCCTTGCCCTAAACCAGGCAAGGCTAGATTCCGGTAAGGCTTTTGCTGGGCTAAGGCTTAGGCTCACTCTGAAGCAGGCTCAGGACAGGAACTTCTGTCCTGAGCCTGCTTCGGATAGATTCCTTTTGTAAGAACTACAACTAAGAACTACGACAAAACGTTTACCTGTAGCATCCTCAGTGCCACACTCGCTGAAAGCATCGTGCGTTGTTGGCTCGAGCCCGGTGAATGTGTTCGTGTCGTCGGCCGACTGTGAGCGCGCGTCTCGACGAAAGAATTTCTCGGCTGGGGTACAATCTGGAGAAATGTTTTCGGTGAGCAATTTTTGGCTCAAATCCACTCGAAAGCTCACCCAATTCCCGATCCAGCTCATTGTTGTGCTCCATTTTTATCCTCGTTAATCGATCGGCCCATCCGTCGCGAATCCCGTGCTCGAAGAGCCATCCCAAAACGAGTTGCCGAAGAGTCGTATGATTTTGCCTTTAAAATAAGAATGGTCTTAAGCTTTAAAGGTTAAGCTTTAAAGCTTTAAAGCTTTAAAGCTTAAAGCTTAAAGCTTAAAGCTTGAGCTTTAAAAATTGAGTTTTTCTTTAAATTCTTATATTCTTAAGGCTTTATAAAGGTTGACCTTTGCTTTATAAAGGTTGACTTTTGATTACCTTTGCCTTTACAAAGGTAATCAAAGATCTTTACAAAGGTAATCAACCTTTATGGTATCAACGGTACCTTTGCGCTTTCGGATCCGTGTGAAAATCGATGATGATCGTCGGGAAATCTCTGTTTATCTCAAGTTCTAAGCCGAGCGCTGAAAATTTTCTTGTCTTTTTATGATGTTATTGCCTTGTTTATATATATATATGTTGTGTCCGATTTAGATTGAACTTATCGCGGACGTTCGATTTAGATTACAGTCTATATCGGACGTTCGATTTAACGTCCGATTTAGATTCAATCTAAATCTTATATAGATTGAACAATAATATAAAAATGCTTAATAGATTTTCTTAAGCGTTTTCTGTAGTTTTCTGCATTTTTCAAAGGTCTTTTATTGTCTTTTTGTGAAAAGAAAACTCAACTATCGACTGTAATCAATAAAAGACCTTTGAAAAATGCAGAAAACTACAGAAAACGCTTAAGAACATCTATTAAGCATTTTTATATTGGGTTGATGCATAATTATCCGGACTTCTTTTATAAATGATTTTATTTAACAAAAAATAACATAAATAGTTAGAAAAATATGTTTAATTGATTATTCTGGAGCATATTCACCGCCTACATCAATAACTGATTGCCATTTGCTTGGAAGACGATCGATTCCACGAGCGAAGAATAAACGATCTTTGGAGGCAATCCACGCTTTAACATCGTCTATCAAGTCATCCAAATCGTTGTAGATCTTATTTGTTTGCCAATTTTTGAGCGATCGATTGACGCACGACAAAAACTTTGACAAAAAAGATACAAGCACGCAAAAAGAAGTCCGGATAATTATGCATCAACCCAATATTATTGTTCAATCTATATAAGATTTAGATTGAATCTAAATCGGACGTCCGATATAGACTGTAATCTAAATTGGACGTCCTATATAGACTGTAATCTAAATCGGACGTCCGATATAGACTGTAATCTAAATTGGACGTCCTATATAGACTGTAATCTAAATCGGACGTCCGATATAGACTGTAATCTAAATTGGACGTCCTATATAGACTGTAATCTAAATCAGACGTCCTATATAGACTGTAATCTAAATCAGACGTCCGATATAGACTGTAATCTAAATTGGACGTCCGCGATAAGTTCAATCTAAATCAACATATAAAACAAATCAAATTCTCAACGAACTTTTCAAAATCGGATCGAAGCGAAGCCGCTCCGGTGGATTGTAAAGGTAAATCATTGTGCTCACGGCTTTCGTGACCTCTTCAAGTGTCGAGCCTCGAAGCGGCGATGCATACGTGAAATGGGAGTACTGTAAGTTGTCGAATCAAATCGAGAAATGGCTAGTTTAGTGAGGGATTATTACGGTAGCTTTAAAGCTTTAGAAAATTTCAAAAACAAATTTTCAATTCAAATTTCAATTCAAATTTCAAATCAAATTTTCGATTCAAATTTAAATTTCAAAAATTTTTAAAGTCAAAAAATTTTTTTGAAACATTTTTTCATCGATTCGTTGGCTGCTTTTTTATTCATTTTAAATTCAGAAATTTAAAAAAACCTACCGTACACCTTGCATGAAACATATGTGTGAAATCTCGATCGGAAACTCGCGAGAAATCCACCACTTCACACTCGACACATTGCCAAGGATGACCAGAATCCGATGGAGAGGGAGTTGACTGAAATTCTCGATTTCAGTTAGGGTTCTACCACTGTAGGCAGACTGTAGATTACTGTAGGCTACTGTAGAGTCCTGTAGACTACTGCAGAGCCCTGTAGACTACTGTAGAGCCCTGTAGACTACTGTAGACTACTGCAGAGCCCTGTAGACTACTGTAGACTACTGTAGACTACTGCAGAGCCCTGTAGACTACTGTAGAGTCCTGTAGACTACTGTAGACTACTGTAGATTACTATAGATTACTATAGACTACTGTAGATTAGTGTAGGCATTCTGTAGATCATCCTGTAAGACACTAGCTACTGTATGGCTTATTGTAGGATCGTAGCCACCAGAAATTTAGAGTAGTCAGTTTTTTAGATTCAAAAACAAAGAAATCAATCCTTACACAATTCAAAAGTTTGCTTTGCTCGCTCATTTGATTAAGAAAAAGGGCAAGTCCATCGGATGAGCCGGGCAACGGGTTCAGGGTGTTGATCTGGAATAGAGAGAGAAAATCAATAAAGCTCTAAATAAAGCTTTAAGCAGTGCTTTTCGAGTTAAACACACCCTTTTCTTGCGCACTCAATTCCGCATTTTCTTTTCGCATAACAGAAAACGGAAAGGATTGAGTGCGCGAGAAAGGGTTGTGTTTAGAATTTAGAGTCCAAAGTGTACATCTGATTTCTCAAAACTCACATTTACCAGAGCTCCCGGTTTCGTCTCACTCGTGACACTTGTCGACGGAGAAACTGGCTGAGCCGAGGCGCATAGTTGCGATGAGAGGAAAGCCAGCGATAGATCAGTGGTGGGTAACTGAAAATGAAATCGATAAGCTCGAGTAATCCTATAGTAAGAGTACAGCTAGAGTACAGCTACAATCAGCTAGTCAGCTAGTCAACTACAGTCAGCTACAATCAACTACAGTCAGCTACAGTCAGTTACAGTCAGCTACAGTCAGCTACAGTCAGCTAGAGTCAGCTACAGTCAGCTACTGTCAGCTACAATCAGCTAGTCAGCTACAGTCAGCTACAGTCAACTACAGATGTACATTATTGTAAAAGAAAGCTCAATGACAATCACGTTTACTCCATTGACAAAACACGAAAAAAGAAAATATCGATTGAGGGGGAAACTTACTCGAATCTCGTTTTATTGTGTGAAAAATGCTGGAAAATGATGAGATTTTAGCTTTAAGATCAATAGTTCAATAGATAAAATAGATTAAGATTAAGAAAATTATCGTTTAACACTTGAGTAATGAATAATCGAGCTTTTTCTTTTAAAAAACACTTACAAATGAGAGGCCAGTGTCGAGATTTCTTTTGATTAATGGTTTATCCAAATCGGTTACTGTTGGCTTTGGGCGTCTTCGTCTAAAGGATAAAGATTCGTAATAGGTTGTAATAGACTTCATAAAATTCAAATTTCCGATATCAAATTTGCAAATTAATGTCATTTAATAGCGACTATAGTAAACCAGAAAAGCAGTTATCAACTCGAGTAACTCTAAAAAGTAAAGTAAATGACTAGCCTCTAAACTCTAAACTTAGCAAAGTAAAGCCATAACTCTAAACTTAGCCTTAACTAAGTAAAGCCTTAACTCTAAACTTTGCCAACTAAATTAACCCAAAAAAACCTATAGTACTATAGTAAAACTACAGTACTAAAAACGCTTTTTTTTCTTTCACCTGGACGACGTCGAGTCACAGCTGTGCTCATTGATGTCATCGATCGAAACCTAAAAAAGCTAATTAGCTACTTAGTTTTCAAGTTTAGCTTATAGTGAAAGAGTTTCCTAGGTTTGAAAACGAAATACAATATCTTTCTACGGTACTTTAGTTTAGGTTTAAGACTGAACTCCTCACAATTGCGATGACAGCTAAATGACAGTAAGCAACTTGGTCCAAGCTAAGCTTAGATCAGCTTTGGTCAGCTTGGATCAGCTTGGATCAGCTTGAGATCAGCTTGGATCAGCTTTGGTCAGCTTGGATCAGCTTGGGTCAGCTTGGATCAGCTTGGGTCAGCTTGGATCAGCTTTGGTCAGCTTGGATCAGCTTTGGTCAGCTTGGATCAGCTTGGATCAGCTTGGATCATCTTGAGTCAGCTTGGATCAGCTTGGATCAGCTTAGATCTTGAGCCTCATGCACTTCGACTCGGTACGGTAGTCGGGGCACACTGATTTTAGAAAACCAAGGATCAGTTTTAGAAAACCAAGGACCAGTTTTAAAAAAACCAAGGATCAGTTTTAGAAAACCAATTGTTAGCTAGTTACTTTCCTAGTTAATTTCCTAGTTAATCTCCTAGTTATTCCCTTTTCTTTTTTCCTCGTAATCTTTAACTTATCCCTTAGTTAATCCCTTTTTTTTTTCCTTATTTTTCTTTATAAATTCCCTATTTAACTCCTAGTTAATCTCCTAGTTATTTTCCTAGTTAATCTCCTAGTTAATCTACTTTCCGTAAGGATAGTTGAAAGTTGAAAGTTGAAAAAGAGTGTCAAATGTGAATTCAAACGGGAATACGATAGCGGGAATACTATTTTTCAAGAATACAATAGTACGATGCTTACGATACAATAGTACGATGCTGTTTAAAGGTAATAAGCTTTTTAAGGTAATAAGCTAATATTGCTAAAAAACCTCAAACCTTAGCATCTTTATCATTCGGCACAATGACACTCATCTCATAACGACAACCAGACGAGCGCTGCACATTGCAATAGTAAACAATTCGCATTCCTTCTTTCATTTTCACTCGTCGCTTCTGGGAGACATTTCGATCGCCCAACAACTGAAAATAATCTCGATTAAAGGATTATTTTAATAAAAAACTTAACTATAACTTGGAAAACTTAACTATAACTTAACTATAACTTAACTATAACTTAACTTAACTATAACTTAACTAAAACTTAACTATAACTTAACTATAACTTAACTATAACTTAACTATAACTTAACTTAACTATAACGTAACTATAACGTAACTATAACTTAACTAAAACTTAACTATAACTTAACTATAACTTAACTATAACTTAACTATAACTTAACTTAACTATAACTTAACTATAACTTAACTATAACTTAACTATAACTTAACTATAACTTAACTATAACTTAACTATAACTTAACTATAACTTAACTTAACTATAACGTAACTATAACTTAACTATAACTTAACTATAACTATAACTTAACTTAACTATAACTTAACTTAACTATAACTTAACTATAACTTAACTATAACGTAACTATAACTTAACTATAACTTAACTATAACTTAACTATAACTTAACTATAACTTAACTATAACTTAACTATAACTTAACTATAACTTAACTATAACTTAACTATAACTTAACTATAACTTAACTATAACTTAACTATAACTTAACTATAACTTAACTATAACTTAACTATAACTTAACTTAACTATAACTTAACTATAACTTAACTATAACTTAACTATAACTATAACTTAACTTAACTATAACTTAACTTAACTATAACTTAACTATAACTTAACTATAACGTAACTATAACTTAACTATAACTTAACTATAACTATAACTTAACTTAACTATAACTTAACTTAACTATAACTTAACTTAACTATAACTTAACTATAACTTAACTATAACTTAACTATAACTTAACTTAGCTATAACTTAACTTAACTATAACTTAACTATAACTTAACTATAACTTAACTATAACTTAACTATAAATTGAAAAACTCAAACTCTAGCTCACCTGCATCGCTTCATCTCTCGTAAAGAAGCCGATATGATTCCAAGCTTTTCGATTCGCCATCCAAAGCTTTTCGTGATTGATGTAGAGAATTGGAGAGGTGGGTTAAAGGCTTCAACTCAACTAAACTAATAAAAGTAATGAAAGTAATGAAAGTAATAAAATTAAATTTATGAATCGTAAAAGAAAGCGTATAAAAGATTTCAATTCTTATAAATTCGATTAAAATCAAAAAAAATTCACTATTGCAAAGAAAATTTCTACACAAAATATAAGCAATTCGAAATTAGATTTGCTTTAAATTCTCTCCATAAATCAAGCCAATCAAGTCAATCAAGCCAATCAAGCGAATCAAGCGAATCATGTCAATCAAGCCAAAATATCCAGGGTATATCAAAAGTTAGCATTAATCAGAATTAATAGTAAGCATAGATAAAAACAAAACGAAAGCTAGGTCGAGTAGTGGGCGGAGAAATGAAGGAATGTTTGTGGCTCTGGGGGGGTGAAAGGAGAAAGAAAAGCGCCCAAAAGGGGCCTCTCAATCGATAGAGGCCGCTAGGGGCCGCCTCTTGTCCCGAAATTGAGAGATTGTGTGAGGAGAAGAGAGGTGAGTGTGGTAGAGAATTGTTGGGTGAAGGGGCGGAGATTGGATTCGAGAGGAGAGGGAAGAGATAGAAAGGCATAGAGGAGGTGTTGAGGGGGGATGGGATGGGAGTTGCGCGCCCATCCTCTCTCCTCCCTGTGTCTCCGCATTCTCTGTGAACTCTCTCCGCCCGCGAGTCAACAGCCCCTCACCCCCTTGTGGGAAAAGAGATAGACACGGAGAACAAAGGGCCTCAGGGTAGGGTCCGACGAAAGGCCGATCTAGCAGTTTATTTAGATTGAAGAAATTTTGAAAGTCAAGGATTAGTGGAAAAAAAAAAAGATTTAAAGTAACAGCTCCATTACTGAAGCTGTTAAAGCAATTTTGCATTTAACAGCTCCATTGCTGAAGCTGCTAAATGCAAAATTGACGCTAAAATTAGCTAAATGACAAATAACTAATATCCACTAAAAAATCGAGTCCAAATACAAAGACCATATTTCCCTTGAAGGGGCCGATGTGGGGAGATGTGGGGAAATGATGGAAGAGAGGAGAGGGAGGAAAGGGAAAGGTGTGTCCACCCGAGTCTCTGTCTTATCCATCTCCCCCTTCACCCAAGTCAAAAGGCCTCGTCCTGTAAGAGGCACGGGGCGGACAAAAGGGCCTCCGGGACGCGTCCGATCGGCCTTTCCTTTTCCACACACACAGAAAGGAAAGAGAGCAAAGACCGGTTGGAGTGGGTCTAGCTGGTGGTGGAGGACTGGACAGCGTCCCGGAAATCGTCGCCCCCTTCACCCCCACATGACTGGGCACCGGCGAAGGGCTTGGGCCATCCCCAGGAAGTGACCACTAAAGAGAAAGAGAAACCATCACGAATATTACTGAAAGTTGTTCCCAATTCACTTCTAAGTCATTGATTTAATTGGGATTACAGTAAAGCAAGATCACGGAGCCAGCCACGACCGGATATTTTGTTTGCCGTACGATTGAAAAGTCTTTTTATTTAAAGTTAAAAAAAAAAAAAGAGTTAAAAAAGTTAAAAGTTAAAGAGTTAAAAAAATCTTTATCTTTAGTATGCAAACAAACAGAACAAAACGTATAAATTTTGCAATTGAACACGTATAAATAATAAAAATAGGATAATGTAGAACTACTATCAATATTGAGTAAAGCATGTAAATACTGTAATACCTAATGACAACTGAGCGGAGCAAAAAGTGTGGCAAGGTTAACCTGGGAATATGGGTTTTTGTTAATATGTTGTCTTACAGTCCGCAGCATTTCAGTAAGCGTATCACACATCGGACTTGGAGGTGGTTGATCTAAAATAGTTAGAGTTAAGGATAACTGACGAATTAACCTTTCTCTTTGTTCTTGAGGCGCTCCTGAGCTCTCTTAACATCAACTAACATCTCGAAATACTTTTGCTGTCGATATAGTTGCGCTTCACCATACTAAAAAAATATTTGTTTAAGTAGCTTCAATGGAAAACCAACTACTTTCCGCGCAACTCCATCAAAACAATCTGGATTTTCACAAAGTGCAGTCCCATCCGGAGATACGCTTGCAGGGGAAACACTTTCGGTATCACAAATCTTAAAACGAATCAATTTCTCCAAAAATCAAACTTTACTCACGTCACATTTGAGTGGAGATTTCGCCATTTTGTCATCAAATTCATCAAGCTGGATTTCGAAAGAGTTCTTGATTTCCGTGACGGCTGAGGCAAGCGGTCGTTCACATTTGCTGCAGCTATCCACGCTTAATCGAACAGAACCATTGACCGTCTGTAAAAAGATTTTGAATTTAATATTAAATATTAAAAATAACCTTGAAAATTTTGTCGACAACATTCTCGGCATTGCAATGAGAGCATACAAACTAAAAACATGCCATAGATTGATACAGGACCATAACCAACCTTGAAAGCTTCACAACCATCATAAGACTCTTCGCTAAAGTTCAGCCACTCGCCATCTCGCTGAACAGAGCGATTCTTGAATTGAGCTGGATCAAGGCCTAAAATAACTTTATAAATATGCCATAATGCAAAAATTTCAACCTAAAGCATCAGCAATGCTAGCTGCATCCGCCTCCTCAATCGGCTCACATAGACGAGAAATCACCGGATGCAATTGATTGGCGAGATAATAATGCACATCTAGTAATCGGTAACCATTTGTAGCCAGGTAAAACCATTACCAATCTTCAAATTAGATCCCTCCGCGTCGAGTTCAGATAAGTGGTAAGCCCTTTGAGTAGCGGAATTTGAAGTTCCATCCTATAAATAAAAGTTCAAGTGGCATGAGTTCAAAACAACAAACCTCACAAATCACATATTTGACAACATCACCTTGTTTCAATTGGAATTTCCCGGTGCTATTCAATCGACGAGCAACCGTGACGTGTGGAAGCGCTTTGGCATCACCATAAATTTTTGGATCTCTCGTCAATTGCTAAAGCGGAAAAGATATACGTGTCCGACTATTTATCGTAAGCATACCTTTAAGATCTCAAAATCATGAATTGGCACTTCACTGTTGTCAATTTTTGTTCTCAAGCTTCGCAAAGAATCATGGATCTCGGCTACAAGTTCTTCTCGGCTCAACTTTGGATCCAAGATCAGATCGACTATCCGTCTAAAGTTTAAATTCGTTTGACTAAAAGTTATAAGCAGAAATTTTTAGTTTCACAAAATACCACTCACGTTCCCTCATGTCTGGCCAGATCTGACCAATCTCGTCGAACAATATCGAGACCTTTCATTTCCTTCTTTGTCTTTTCATCGTCGAGATTGATGACCAACGCCGCATACTTCTTTTTCTTTAACAGAAGCATTCGTCTAGATTGAACTTGAATTTCATATTTAGTTTTGCACATACTTAAAGACTCCATCAAGATCCAACTCGAGAAGTTTGTGACATTGATTGACTTGCTTTTTGATCTAAAGGAATATGTTTTTTTAAAGCCAAAATTAACGAACATCAAGTCCAAGTTTCTTTGCAAGTTGAAGATCCATTGTATTCGTGTTAATCATGATCGAATCTGTGTCACCGTAAATCACAGAATACCCGATTTTCTCCACCAATTCTTTTGTGTGCATGAGGATCTGTAAATGAACTTGTGAATGAACTTGTAAAAAACACTCACCTCACGACCCTTAGCCGTAACAAGAGCAGCCAAGGGTTTTGCATAAAACCGAGATTGTTGGAAGCCCAAGCAGCCGTACATACTGTTAGCAGTCAACTTCAAAGCCATTTGCCGAATATCAAACTAAAGCACAAGTGACCTTTTAGATGCAAATAATGTTTACTTGTTGTCTCTCTAAATCAGTCTTTGCTGTTTTGATCAATCCTTTGACTTGGCGACGTCGTTCGACCTATATTTAAATGCCATGTCCATCAACATCAGCACTACTTACCAGTCCTCGCAACTCTAATGGCAGTATACCCTCAGAATAACTGGAACTCGGCAGTGGTGGTAAATCATTTCCATCCTACAAAACAAAACTGTATATTCTCAGAAAATTACCTTACCTTATCCACATAGTTCACGGTGCTAAAGCAAATGTTGAATTCTTGAATTATTGATGGATAAAGTGAGTTGAAGTCGAGCAGAAGAATCAACGTATCGTATAGACCTAAAATGATAGAAGTCGTTAAAAAAGTCAACACTATTGAACCTTTCTTCGGATCTAGCACCAAGCCTCCAGAGTATTGAGCTTTCTTCTTTGCTTCCTGTTCAGTTTCCAAATGAGTATCGTTGATTTCACTTTCAGGATCCTAAAATCTATATCAAAAAGAACAAGCATCAAGCCTAACCATTGGTTCTTCTTTAATTTCAGTCTTCACTTTGATCTTTTCGGTGACTACACCTAAATTTTATTTATCAAATAAACCTAGATCAAAAATAACCTTTGTGTTTGAAATGTGATTGAAATTTATCGGGCGGAATCATGTCATTCTTGTAAAAAGCATGTAGCAAGTGAAATTCGTTTCTCTCCGATCGACCTCCCATAAGGGTGCGTGACTAAACGAACAAAACTTGCTGAAAAGACAAGATCACTTACAGCAACTCCACCAACAACATTTGTGATTTGAAAGGCGAGAGGGAGGGCGTTGAGACTGTTGGCAAGTCGAACAGCCAAAGTGGGTTCTCGGCAAGCAATCCCGATTAGCTTGAGTAGTTGATCAGAATTGCTAAACAAAGTAGTTTTTACGGTCATTAAATAAAAAACGTACGCGAAAAAGCTTGGAATTTCATTTGGATACACTGCTCGCATGCGATATTTGAGGAGATTCTCAGCAAGATCCTCCAAATCATAACTTTTGCAACGGACCAATTCCATAGCCGAGTTCCTAAAAACAAATAAATATTGCATTGAGCGTTAACCTACTTAATATCCAAGACCAATCGACCAGCTGTCATCTCCCATTGAGCCGTTTTCGAACTACCAACCTAAACTTTTTAAGATCAAGAACTTTTAAAAGTGCAATTACCTTCAACGGAATACTTCTCCTAATTCGACCCATCATATGCCAATTTGGGATTTTGAGTCTTTCAAGTCTCTCAATCAGTTTGCCAACTTTGCTAACAGCATCATGCCCCTAAAGAACCAAACATAATGAAAATGGGCAATTAACTCTCACAATGATCAAATCGACATCAAGTGCTTTCAACTTTGAGAGAAACATATTCAACAAGTGCTTTTCATTGGTTGCCTGATGAACAAATGAATCGAGTTTTTCCGCCACCAATCTTTTCCGAATATCCATAGGAGCAGCAACGCCTGGAGGTGGTGCAAAAACTGCAACTCAAAATTATTAACGCAATTTATTAAAGTCTTACAACATAGACGTTGCATTTGTTCAGGATTCACGTTTGTCGAATTGATGTTACACTTGTTGGTAATGCGACACGAGATCATGCTTATCTAAAAAAAATTGATGTAACCAAAAAAAAAGATCTAAAACTTCATTATCTCGATTGTTGTTTAGAGTTGTATAAACAGTCAACGCCAACATCCGAAGTGGAGGAGTTTGCTAAAATGTCTTTTTAATCGTAGCCAAGGATTTTATACCTGCGGTTGATCTTTCAAATACACGATGTTTTTCATTCGTTCCATGTCAACCGTAAACTCGTACTTACAATGAGAAATCCTTGCAGTCGCGGGAACTAAATGAAAAATGAGGTGGTTTATAACAAAAACTAACCAAATTGTGCAATGTTCATCCATCCAGGTCCCTTCATTTCGGTTTCAATGAGAAGACGTTCCATTGCGGTCGCTGTTGTATTGGCCACAAAACGGAACGTTTCTCCGTTTGTGTCAACAGGAATTTTCGCATAACTGCTCTGAAAAACGCAAATATACAAGTGTTAAAATTTAAACATACGCTGTAGTGGACTTCAAGCACATCCATCTTTTCACCGGGCATTCCATCGTTCTCGCAATTCATCAACCGTTTTTTAGACTAAAAACATTCAATTACTTTGTATCTTTTTAGACATAAAACAAACCTCTTTAGCGCATTTGAAATTGATAATGTCGAATTTATCTTTCAGTAAATCTTTCACTTCATTGTAGACATCCATTTTTGCGACAGGGATCTCCGTTAGTACGCCGTTCCACATTTTCTAAACTTCTAAGATTAAGGGAAGTTGCTAATTACAAACCGTATCTCTTGGAATGAAGTAAATCTTGCGGTAAATATTCTCCACGACAATGCAGCAACTCTCAAAGTGTTCAGAAGCCACCTCAACTTTTCCGAAGAGATAGACGGTGCCTAGATTTGTAAATTGATAAATCATAAAATCAAAAGCTAACCTGGTCTTTTGTTTGCATCCTCAAATGCATCAATCCAATAGAAACGAATAATTGGCGTTTGAGTGACGTTTCCTTGTGCATCTTTGTCTTCAAGAGCCTACACAAAAAAATAGAGAATAAAATTGAAAACAAGAGTACCTGATAGAATTTTTCTTCTCCCACATTTACTTCAATCGGTTCTTCGGGTGCTCTGTAACTTTGCGTTTATAAAAGGACAAAAACTCCCTACTCAGTTTCCTCTTCCACCGGCCACTCCATCATATCTTTCTGATTTTCGGTGTTTTTTTGAGTAGCAACTTCTTGTAAGGCAGGGGTAGGTTCCTAAAGATTGAATAACTTTTCTAACTATAGAAAATGATGATTTACCTGATCATCAAAAGAAGGTCCAGGATAATCATCCGAATCATCGAAACCTCCATCATCCATTGGAAGCGAATCCGGAATAGATTCAGGACAAGTCTAGGATTGGCGCTAAATAATTTTAAATTTCAAAATAGATATACTTTTTTCATTGGTGGTTCTAGTGCAAAAGATTTCTTGACTTGAGGTGAATCGAGGGATGATTGCCGGACAAGTGTATTAGAAAGTTGTACATTCCGAGTAGCAACAAGTTTTGGGGCAAGTGGTGGCGAGCTCTAAAGAACTCTTGCCGTAATTGATGATAGATAATAAATCTTGCCTCACGTCCTCTCTTGAATTGATTACGACTGACAAATGGCCTTTCTGCAACTACTTTTTGTTCCCAAAGCAATTAAAAAACAATACCTTCAACTGGTTCATCTTCGGAAAAGTCCGCTAACACGTCCATCAAATCATGATCAACGTCCAATGTAACTTTGGACTAAAAAGATTAACTAAATTATATACCTAACAAACATACTTCATCAATTTTCGGTTTATTTGTGTTTGTGAGACCAGTGAAAAAAGAAGTGATTCCGCCCTTTTTCGTCTTTTCTAGAAAAGTAAAGATTTTGTGAAGTTAAAAGCTTTAAAAACCTTTTTTGGCCTTCTTTTTTGCTTGCACTTTTTCCTCCTCCTCGTCGCTCTCCTCGAAGAAATCGACTCCATGATCCACGTAACCATTTCCATCTAGATAAAGTTTATTGTGGAACTAAACAGGTCAATTGCCATCATCTTCCACAAAGTTATCTTGTTGGCGATTCTTCAAAAGCTCTTCGTACTCGTTTTCATCCACCGTATAATACACGTCATTTACTTCAGAGCCATCAAGCTAAAAATCGTAAAAATTGTTTCTTCGAGCGTTTCAATAGCAACTCACATGTTTTCTGATCGAAGTTCCACTTCGGCGAGCCTCTTGAATGGCCTTCAACGTCTCGAGCTTCTTTGAATGCTAAAATAAACAAATGAAAAGTTCAAATGTTAATATTTTTAGATTTTAAATGGTTTCCCAAAAACTAATCTAGCGAAGTAATGCGAAATCAAGTAAAATTTTGTAAACCATTAAAGCTGTTACCTTGTTGTCGACTGCGGATCTCCGTGAACTTCTCCGCGTAATCCCATCATTCTCATCCATCTAAACAATTCAATAGTTTGAAAAAGTTTCATCAAAAAGTGAGAAAAAGAAAGAATTGAGAAAGTCTGAGAAAGTTGACCGGTAAAGAATTTTTGATTCGCGGGTATCTAAGGCGTTAATTGGAGGAGCACGGAAGGATGTTGAATGAAAAGGACGGGAATGAAAGAATCTGTTTCAGTTACCTTGCTTAGTCTTTTATACTCACAAATGAGCGCATTTTAGAATGTCAGTGACTTGCTTTCGGTAAAAATATAGGGATTTACATGAGGGTGGGGCAAAGGCGAGCTTTTTTTACACACCCGGCAAAAATCACACCTTTTTTTGCTGGAAAAGGCTTTAGGAAAGGCCGTAGAGCTTCAAAAATGTTTTCATAGAAGGGAATCGTATGCGTAGATTCCGAATTTCGACAAATTAGACCTCGCTGACACGTCAAATTTGGGTCAAAAGGCAAAAACTGCGGAAAAGCGTTAAGTTGCGTCAGCGAGGTCTAATTTGTCGAAATTCGGAATCTACGCATACGATTCCCTTCTGTGGAAACATTTTTGAAGCTCTACGGTCTTTCCTAAAGCTTTTTCCAGCAAAAAAGTGAGCTTATTGCCGGGCGCGCAAAAAAGGTAGCATTTGCTTCACCTCTTCTACATAATCAATTTTTTGCTTTAACCTATAGCATGGTTTGGATTGAATATCTTTTAATTCGCCAACAAAATAAAAGCTATTCAGTTTAGAATTTTTGGATATAATTCGCTGTTCCTTCGATTTCTGTATTTTCCTTCGAAGCTGTTGAGCTTTCAAACTTGAGCTTTGAGTTAAAAACAGCTTTCAAACGAAGCTGTTGAGCTTTGAGTTAAAAAAAAAGGTGCTAGCAAGGCGCCAAACTATTTGCGCCACGTGTCGTTTGCGTAAAATTTGCGCTTTTCAACACACTTTTTTACCAACTCTGATTCATCATTTATATTTTTTCAGTTTTTCTTCTATTCGCTATTTTGCCGCCTTCACCGGATCTGAAAATGGCATAAGATCGATATAGAGAGTAAAAAGCTCATTAGGGAAGACAAAAATGACTGTTTTTGGGATTTGTATAGGTATTTCAACGTTTTCTAAATGAAAACAGTGAGAACTAAAATTATGAAGAAGAAAACTGAAAAAAGTTGGTTAGAAGTTGGGAAAAAGTGATTTATTACAGTGATTTTCATAAGCTTTTCATTTTCATTTTCATTTGGCGCAAAAAACGCGGCGCTTTTTGCTAGCACTTCTTTCAAACTCATGTTTTAATTTTACTTCTCGCTTAATTCCAGAACTTCTCGCTTAATTCCATTACTTTAGATCAGAAGTCAGGCTGGCGACTCGTTCACGACTTTCAACAACCGTTCGAGCGTTCATCTTCGTCGAAGTGGCCATTTTTGGTGTGTTATTGCTTTTGACTCGAAATATCTCCATTTTTAGGTCTTTCCTACGCCAGTTTTGTTGCTCTTCGTCGCAGCGAAAGCAATCGAAGAAAAGTCTACGTCAACTTTCCAAAGGTTAGAGATTTTACATACATTTTATATATATATTATTTGAATTTAAATAACTTTTAATTTTAAAGCATTTAGCTATCGTCACTTTACTACTCTTGTGAAGACATCATCTCTTTTGGAGGATTATCAGGCACACGCCTACGAATACAAGATATTAATCGGTAAAGCATTTTATTGATTTGAAATTTATTACTTTTTTTAGTTGGGCCCAACTAACCGAAGAAGATAAACTTTCAGAGAGTGATTAAATGATTGTAAATGCTTCAATTTTGACGGAAATTAACATTTTTTAGCTTAAACGAAGCCAAATCCAACAGTGGACTTTGATTGCGGGTGCTTGTATGGCGTTGGCTACTGGGTAAGTTGCTTACAAGTTGTTTATTCTATTGGGTTGTCCAGTTATGAATGCGCGTTTTTACTATTTTGTAAATTTCTTAAGGTATCGAACAGATGTATATGAGTGTTATATATCATTCGAAAGCTGAAGATCTCCTCTACATTTTGGAATAAAAAGTTTTTGAATTTATTCAACTTTTTGGGAATTTGACTGCACAAAGGGAGAGATCGTTTTCGAAAAAACCCATTCCAGCTTAGCTATTCCTCAAGTTTTATGGTGTAAAATAACCGCCCAGAAAAGAAAAGAAAAGATGCTCTGAAATTGTTATATTTTTAAAAAAAGTTGTATTGATATATCTATTGGCCAAACATCAAACGGTTAACTCAATTTGAGCGGAACCAAAACTTGATCCAAAGGCACCTTTCCATTTTTTGGCCACCTTTTCTTCTGTGCCATCAATTTGCCCAAAAGCTGAACAAATTCAAAAACTTTTTATATCAAAATGTAGAGGAGATCTTCAGCTTTCGAATAATACTCATATCTATCTTTTTCTTGATTTCGGTATCTTGAGAAATTTACAAAATAGTAAAAAACGCGCATTCATAACTGGACAACCCAATATTTAGAGCTAAAATAACCATAATTTTGTTGCTACTATCAAAATCATTTTTTTTGACTTCCTACTTTTCAGTGCGATATACGAAAAATGGGAGAAAAGCCGTCCTCCACAAGATATGCCGGTACAAGCTTGGGATAAATTAAAACGATTGGAAGAAGAAAGTAAACAACGGAAACCCTAGGTTGCTTTTTGATAAATTAAATTTTAGTGATTTTATGCTCAATTTTAGATGTGTTAGTTAATAGATTGTTATTGGACTGACAATTATTGTCTTTTTTTTTTTGCTTGTAAATAAAAATAATACAATTCTTTTGACACGTAAATAAATCCTTTTTAGGATGCAATTTTTAAACAACAATAAGGTATAAATGCATATACCGTGATGCCTCTAATAGTAGCCCCCCGTACAGTCGCGTAGTCTGGCTTCTTTTTAGAAAATAATTTTTTTCTCAGCTTCTAGATTTTTCCCAACTACACTTTTAGTACCAAAAAATACTAGATTTCAAGGGCTATCATTTGGCACCCAAGCGCACGCTGTAGCATAAAGCAGCCCGGAGTACGGAGCGTGTAAAGTTAGACTGCGCGGCAATACCCCGTCGTTAGGGGAAGGGGGCGCTACTATTAGAGGTATTACGGTATTATAAAATGTTTTTCAGAAGTGTTAATCGTATTTGGAATTGTCGCTATAACGTATGGATCAAGTAAGGATTTTGGGCTTAAGAAACACAATTATCTTCTAAAAATCGAAATGTTGCTTGGGAGTTGTTTAGGCTGGGCCATTTAACCGAGTGAAATCGGTATCTCCGCCCTTAAAAGGATCCTTTCCTCTCGATCATGACAGGAAATGCAAACTAGAGATGCTAAAGTTAGTTTTTATTTGGGGTTATCATATTTTTCTTTAACTTTTAGGTATATGTGTTGTTTACACGAGAAAAAGCAACATAATTCCGAGTGCAGGGATCTCGCTCGTGAGTATTTTAAATGTCGCATGGATAATGGATTAATGGATAAAGGTAAATTTTAAAATCTTTAAAGCTAATTTATACTATTCTTTTAAAGGCTAAAAATAACAAAGAATTTAGATGAATGGGAAACTCTTGGATATCGTGATATCACAAAGGCGTAACGATTTCGAACTTGTACATGGTTAGAGGAATGGTTGATAGATCGGTTAATAGCTCGGAAATGTTTGACAATGTTTAATGTTTGACATATCATTTTATTTTGTGTTTTTTATTACTTAAATAAAAATTTACGAATTCTTATCTAACGTAAAAAGAGTTAAAAGCACTGGAAAATACCTTGTAGCATGGTGGCTAGTTTGTTTGTTCGTTTGTTTGTTCGTTTGTTTGTTTGTTTGTTAAAGATTCAAGTGTTAGTAATTAATTGTTAGTAATTAATTGTTAGTAATTAGTTGTTAGTAATTAGTTAGTAATTAACATCAGCTTAATTAACATCAGCTTAATTAACATCAGCTTAATTAACTTAATTACTTTGTCATTTGAAACCATTTCATTATTAATGTATTGCAGTCTATGTAACGTTATTTTACAGGATGGATGACTTGATTTCACAGCTTCATAGATGTACTTCAAGAGGAGAAACTCAAAGTGTAGCCAAAACCGCTCAAGATGTTTGTTTGATCTATCTTATAATGATAAAATCTTTATAGTGGATAAACAAACAACAGGATTCACATGAAAGGTACTTGATGATGCGCAAACTTTTTCTGGTATCCTTGCAGTTGGCTCGCTTTCTTCACAGTCAAGAAGTTGGTGATCTTACAAGAAATGTCAAGTTCAGTCTAGTCAATCTAGTCATTTCTCTTCTAGATTCAATCTTTATTATGTGAATGTACTTTTCATCAACTTGACGACTTTGAATTCACTGCATCTCTTCAAGTTTGCGCTTCAACGGTAGTTTAGCAATTTTTGCTTTTTCAAGCTTATTCATTTTAGAAGCCAAGTCTTGCATTGCCGATTGTTGAACGCCATTTGAGACAGAACATTAGCAATATTTTCACAAAAAGTCTGAAGCTCGATTTAACTGGTTAGTAGTAAATAGTAGTCATATACGTGGTCTTTTTAAGAGCAAACAAAACCATTGGAAAAAATGTGGTTAGATGGACTCCTCGCTGTTCACGATTTACTTCTGAGTTCCACAAAGCCTGGAGGTAATTAGGTTTAAATTTTGCTATTTTATTGTTCTAGAGTCGTCAAAATTGGCCTCAATTCGAAATATTGCTGACTGGACTCTTGACACGAGTTGTGAATGTCTTTATCAAGCGGAAAAGTTGCGAGCAGATGGTAAAACGGTTCACCTTGGCTTGGTCACTTATACGTTTGCTCGCTTGCGTAATCTTCAATTGTCGGTTTGTGTTTATTATTCATTCATATTTGCACACTAAGCCACGTTTTAATCTGTGATCACAGCAACTTTACTTTTAGAATGGGAAACTCTTTTTGGAATCTGTATGCGAAAAACTTTTGCAAAAGAACGAAAACTCTATAAACAGCTGGATATACGAATCAGTTAGTTTCTTTAAAAAAACTAAGCACGTTAAAAGCTAAGCACTTTAAAAATTAAGCTCTTTAAAAGCTAAGCACTTTAAAAGCTAAGCACTTTAGCACAAAGCTAACAAAAACGAAAAAAACTGACTTATTTTAGGTCTTTACCAATACATCTTTTGGTTTGCAATACACTGAAGCTTTATTTGAAGGGTTTCTTCCATTTGTGTCGAATCCATTAGAGCTAAAGGTTCTTCAGAATTATTCTTTTTAAATTAAACTGATGCTTTTAGAGATTTATTGGTTCCACTGGCTCTCGAATCAATAGCATTCAACATAATGGCATACGAAAAATTCTCTTTCAGGTCTCTTTCAGAAACGTCTCTTTCAATTGCTTATATTGCTTCAATTTTTTTAATTTTAGAAGAACATAAACAGTGGAAAATTGATCAAAATATTGGTTGCTTATTTAACGCAAACGATGAACAGAGACGACTTGCGGAAACTCATTGAGATAAGTTTGATTTGGTTTTTTAGAATCTAGATAAGTTTTAGGACTTTATTAGCATCTGGACGGACAATTCGGAGATTGCGACTGCGTCATATTTGGTCTTGGCTCATCGAACACGAGTGTTGTTGCAATTGGGAAATAGGTTTATTTAGGTGAAAGTTTAGGTGAAAGGTGATCACGTTTAGTTTATGGAAAGATGACGAAAAGGATTATTTGGAGCCTATTTTCATGCCAATTATATGTAAAATCGATCGTTACATGAAGCGACCCGAAAAGGAGATCATGAATTTGGGAATTCTGATGTTAGAGGAAAGCAGAAAATGGATGGGCGAGCCAGAAAATCAAATTCTGAAAGATCCCGAAATTGAGAAACTTCGAGATGAACTACGTGATGATTTTTTAAAGAAAGAGGTAGTTTTTTAGACTTTATTTATACGTAACTACCTATTTTACAAATTTAAGACTAATGCAGAGGCGAAAGAATCAAAGCTGTGCAATGTTCAACAAGCCAAAGTAATGATCGAAGCGACGGCGTTAGATAGTGATGATGATTTGGATTTTGCGGCCTATCAAACTCCCAAAGAGGAATTACTCAGTAATCAGGTATTTTCAAGCTGATTTGAGACGATGAATTTTTGTATTTGCAGTTGAACCAAGACCTTCAATCGAAACATCCGCCGCCATCTTATCTTCGAGAGTGTATCGAATGGCTTTATGGGGATAATCGTGAAAAATGGATTTCGGCTTTTGTTGGACTTGAACGTATGTATTACCGCTTTTCAAGATTTTAAAGAAACATTAATTCAGGCTTCTATCGTATCCATGATCATTGTGGGCTTAGTACAAGCGAGATAAATTTATTACGAAAACTCATCTTTCTTCAGGACAAATTCTCATATCCTGGATTTAACGTTGGTTTCTTCAACATTACAAGAAACTGATGAACTTTAGGAGCTTCGTTTAAAATACATTTCGGAGTTGATCGTGCTCTATCCTGAATTTGCTTTCAAAGCGGCTGACTATATATTTTCGGCGGAAGGAACAATGACGACGAGGTAACAATGTAATTTTATTTATCAAATGACACTTTATTCAAGGTACGAGCTACTAGAATGCATACATACTGCAGCCATCTCACTTGCTACGAAGACAAAAGTTATAGAAAAGCCAAAGACAACGAAACAACAACAACAAAATTTGCCGGTAATTATGGCTTCCTTATCCTGTTACTAAATGATCATTTTTAGGTATGGCGTCGAATTATCGATGAGCGAGTGCAAGCAAAGACGCGTTACATTGGGACTCGACTAACAAAAGAGGAAACTTTCGCCATAAACTCAACCCAAAATCGCCTGACTCCGATTCTCGACTATTTCACATTTCCACTTCTTCGAACAAATGCTGGCGGACTTCATCTTGATTTGCTCGGAAATGACTACCCATTGCTTGCCTGTTGTACTGTGACAGTATGCTCGATCATGCAATTGGGCCCCGGCTCGATGTCGATGCCTCGAGTTTGCAAGTGAGTATTGTTCCTGCGTATACAATCCAGTTTTTTAATTCAGCCAGCTTTCCTCAGTGGTGGATTCCTTTGCAACAAGACAAGAACCATACTTGTGTTTGGCAGCGTTGGTGGCACGAACGACGATTGCTAAAGTATTGCCAAGAGACAATTACATTCAAGTAAGATCTGTTCTTCGTTTTAATGCTTTAATGCGTCGTTAGGAGTATTCATCGGTTTTTGAATCATGGCTTATGTGGGCTTCGAAATTGGGAGATGATCCAGATTCGGAAGAGGTTGGCTTGTAGCTATAAAAATATCTTCACAAGGCTTTAGGAGGTTAAAAAAGCGGCAAGGGAATTGATCTCGGCATTGATTGATGTCACCAAAGAGAATGCTTCTTACATGTGAAGTCAATTTTCATCAGCTACTCGGTTTGTTGTTAAGAAAAAAAAAATCAATGTTTCTTGTGTCGCTGAAAGTCTATTTAAAGTTTTAGACTATCTACATCACGGGTTAGTGACACTGGTTAAAGGGAGATACGACCGACCGCAATCTATTAATATTTTATTTTAGCATTGTTACTTTTTTTCTTGTCTTTGGTTGTAAAAACGGGTATCGAATAAACAGGTTTGATTAATTAATTAACTTGGATAAAATCTGATCAGATCCAATAAAAACAAGCAATCTACTCGCTCACTCAAACTCAAATCACGATTGAAACAACCGTCAATTCAGAATATAATCAGGTAGATGAGGGCTGGGGACCAAGCGAAACAAAGAAGAAATTCAATTTTGAGCTGTGGATTGCCTCCAGCTTTGGTAGAACTCGCATCCAAACTTAGCAGTTATAGACGCGGATCACCAGTTTTTTTGAACGTTTATTTTTGATCAGCGATCAGCACTGGTGGTGAAAGATGTTTGAGCAGTATTGGTGCAATTTGAAATTAAAACTTTATCATAAATAACAATAAATTCAAAACGAACTGCGATCACTTTTATCATTGATCGGCGATCGTCACCTCAACATCAACTCCTGGCTCGATTGAGATGGCCGTAATCTGGCGGAGCATCTCGGAAGAAGAGTGCAAGTTGATGAGCCGCTTGTGCACGCGCATCTAAAGCAAAACTAGTAAGTGAGTAAGGTAAATGTTACATGCCACAGTGCAGAGAAAAGACTCTTACCTGATAACGATCCCAAGTTTTTGAGCCTTCACCGCATGGAGTCTTGCGAGTCGTGATGCGCATCGTCTTTGTTGGCATGTAGATTGGCCCTTTCACAATACATTCCTTAGCCTTAGCGCTCGAGACCAATTGTCCGCTCACTAAAATGATAAAACTAGCCAATGTAACTTTTTGGAACACTCACCCTTCTCCAGTGACTTGACATCTTGCGAAGTCAACGTGATGCGGATTCGGTGTTCCGCTTGATCAGTAGCCGGCTTGTCGGTCTTGTATGGCTCACTGGTCTAAATAGGAAAATTAGAAATTGAACAAATAGCAAACCTACTAAACTGCTATTTGGTGCTCTAGTAATTGGGGGGGGGGGGGCAATTTGTCAACACCGGTTTTTCGAACTTGCCACTAGTTTTAAAAACTTTCTCTGGGGTAATTAATTGCACTGAATTCATTGGAAGCATCTATCAAACCATTATGAACAACCTTTATGCCAGTTTGACCAACAATTCCGAGCCTACACGAGTGGCTCTATTTCCACTGGGTTTAGAGGTCCGGGGCTAAATTAAAAGGTTTAAAACCTCAGTAACTGCCTGAAATAGCTAGAAAATAGTTACTAACGCTCAAATAAATACCAAATTATGGATCTACGCCATTAAAAACCCTAGCAGCAAAAATTAGTGCGCCCTGGCTCATTAATGTAAACTGGGCCCCCAACTACTATAGCAGCAAAAAAAACTTACGATGGGCATGTTGAAAGTTGTGGTTGGATGGATTGTGTAGAGTTTCTGCAAATATTATCTTTTGATTCGCTTGCGATGCTCTATTTCCAGCTTGAACTAAAATAGAAACATTAGAAATGGCAAAAATAAAAAAATAAAGAACGCAGAAAAAATAAGTTGATTAAAAAAGTTTACTAAACTTCACAAATGACTGAAAAATTTTTCCCCGTCTGCGATAAAAGCGCGCAGAATAAAAAGCGACAATTTGTAAACTACGGTATAATTTTCGCGGAAAAAACTATATACAAGTTTTTTCTCAATGTGTTTTTTGGGAGTGGGACAAATGCGACCTTTTTTCGCGTTTTAAAAAAGCTAATATTAACCAATTTCTATTCCAAATGTTGTTTTTCTAGGTAATTTGAGGGTGTCGAATTCAAATTTTGACATAACAGAGCGTGTGGAACCAATTTGAAAGGCAAAACGGCTAGGTCAAATTACAGAAAATTGTCGACTTTTCTCTTTGGATAACTCCGTCCGTTTGTTTCCACAAGCTCTGTTATGTCAAAATTTCAATTCTACGCCCTAAAATTACCTAGAAAAACAACTTTTGGAATAGAAATTGGTTAATATTAGCTTTTTAGAGCTTTTTAAAACGCGAAAAAAGGTGCGCAAATGTCCGGGTGCGCAAAAAAAGGTCGCATTTGTCCCACTCCCTAGAAATGGCAAAAATCAAGAGAACGCAGAAAAAACAAGTTGACTAAAAAAGTTTACTGAACTTCACGAATGACTGGAAAAATTTTCCCCGTCTGCGACAAAATCGCGCAGAATAAAAAGCGACAATTTCTAAACTACGGTATAATTTTCGCAGAAAAAACTATATATAAGTTTTTTTCTCAATGTGTTTTTTTTTTCGTTACGACTGAATCTGCTCGTCCTTCCACAACATTTTAACTCAAAACTTTTCTAAATCCAATTGAACATCGGAAAGTTGACGTAAAAGCCTTGCGGAGAAAGAAGTTTAGTGAAATGGTTATGCATGTAAGGAGATCCGCTCAGATTCCCACGGTGCCCTCATCCCCTTTTGCACTTCAAAAGATAAAGGAGACAAAGGATGGGGCCATTTTGACGATCTTCAACTTTTGGAAAGACTGTTTTAAAAGTTGTTTCTTGAAAAGTTACTCTTAAACTAACTCTTAACTCTTGACATATTCACTTTGCAATGTTAAAAGCTGAGATTCCGTGTGTTGTTTGTGGAGATCGAGCCTCAGGTTGTTTATAAAGATGGACCATTTGAAAAACTTTGAACTCTATATATCCAGGTAGACATTACGGAGTTCTCTCTTGTGATGGGTGTCGAGGTTTCTTCAAAAGGTAAGCTATCAGTTTTCGACTTTCTTCGGTGCATTTATTCAATCAACATTAATAAAACAAGAGAAATGATGAAGTATTTATTGACTAAACTCTATTCTCCTTTCTTTTTGATAAACTTCTCGGCGAGTTTCGCGTATTCGTCCTTGAATTCTCATCTTTCGCGTATTCTCAGCTTCTTGCTCTTTTTGATTGTCCTGTTTAAAAACAAAAATAATGATTGTAAAGGCTAAAAGACTTACGCGGAGAAAGGCAGTAGGCAGACGTGGAGGAAGCAATATTGTGTGGCACTTTGAATCGACTAAACAAAGAAATTGCTTGAAGTTACACAAGAATATTGCTTACTCTTTCTCGTTGAGTTCGCATCTCTTTTATGTTGTTGCTTTCAATCAACGTCTGTCATATGTTGCTTCCAATCAACGAGCAAGCATAGTCGATTCCTAAAGTATAAAGTTAGAAGAAACCAAGTGCCGCAAACCAAGTGCCGCAAACCAAGTGCTGCAATAGTTAACTCGTACTTCAAACTGCAAGTTGAAGTCCGTTCAACGCCAGCTGAACAATACACAATTATTGGCTTGTCGTTCTTTTGCCGTTTCTGAAGCAAAGCATAAAGCATAGATTGAAATATAGATTATAGACTAAGCATGAAATATTTCACCAATCACCAATCATCGAGCTTCATTGCCCATGTGTGATGATTGTCGTAATCTCCAATCACTTCTTTTGTTTTGCTCAACGGTTTCACATTGATCTTCCTAAAACCATATTAATCAAGTTATCATGAAAGTAACACTGACGTCGTATTTGCATTGAATTCCGGATTTTGTAATGATTGTTTTCGTTTTTTCACTTCTTGCTTCATCCTTAGATTTCGTTTAGCACAACTGCTGCACTCGTAACTCAGCTGTTTCCGTTTCCTCAGTCTAAAAATAGAAAATAGCTTTGGAATTTGTGTAAACGTTAACAAAATATTAAAACCAAACTTGCAAAAGTCCTACCTTCAACGGTCCTGAGCTTACATCCATCCAAGAAGTGACTTTCACCGGTGGCTCATGTTTGAAAGACTTTTTTTCCCCCACTAAATGAAAAATAATGTTTTAGACTCACTTTAGACAAGAATTTTTACAAAATCATGCCTAAATAAAAGGAATTTTTAAAATTTAAATTTGACCTTTAGCAAAAAATCAAAGAAAAAGCAAACTCACAGCAGAAAAATCGGGATCGCCGTTAAGAAGAATAGAATTTAAAACATCATGACATGAAAATGAGAAAAGTGATGACCTACTGGGAAATTTGCGTTATTTTAAATTTGCGCTATTTTTAGGTACTTTTGCAATATCGGGGCTCCCCCCGATATTGCAAAAGGAAAATCGGGGAAGCAAATTTTGTCAGCGCTACAAATTGTGACGAACGGGAGCTTGCTTTATTGCAAAAAGTTATCGACTCGAATTCCTCTTGAATGCTTGGGGACCTTTCGCCGTGCGCAAGTGTCACATACCCAGCGAAATAGATCTTTTCCCTTTGAGCGGACTTTCATCGATTCGCCACAGTTGCAAATCCATGACTAGATGACTCCTTTGGTGATGAAATAATCGATTGCCATCGATTCCTTAAACGAAATAATCGATTGCCGTTGATTCCTTAAACGAAATAATCGATTGCCGTTGATTCCTTGAACGAAATAATCGATTGCCGTTGATTCCTTAAACGAAATAATCGATTGCCGTTGATTCCTTGAACGAAATAATCGATTGCCGTCGATTCTTGAACGAAATAATCGATTGCCGTCGATTCCTTAAACGAAATAATCGATTGCCGTTGATTCCTTGAACGCACAAATGTCGGAGAAGCGCATCGTCGTTAAAGTTTAAACGTTGCAGTTAAAATACAGTCCCGGAAATGCATTTTTCGAGGGGGCAAAATTTGCTCCTCGATTTTCCTTTCGCTCCTTTCGATTTTCCTTTCGCTTCTTTCGATTTTCCTATTCGAAAAGTATCCATTTTTAAAAGCGAATTTAAGAAATCAAATGCTAATTTGGTGTTTGATAATTTTCCCTTCATAAACTATGAATTAAGCAAACTAAGATCTGCTTAATGAAAATCAGAAAAGTGATGATCTACTGAGAAATCAAATCAAGTACAGTAAACGGTCATTTAGTGGCTTTTTCATATGGGTCAATTAGTGCGCCAATTAGTGCACAACTACCCTCAAGAAAGTTCTTTTTATATCCAAATTTCAGATCGATTCGCCGAAATCTTGTCTACGCGTGCAAAGAGGGCGGCAATTGCATTGTCGACGTTGTGAGAAGGAATCAGTGTCAGGTTAGGGAATTCTCCTGATCACAGATGAGAATTTGTGAAATGAGATCACAGATGATTTGTGATCACAGATGAATTTATTTGTTTTCTAGAACTCATTTTCGCTTAGGCTTAGGCTTCACTCACAAATCCAGTCATAACTTTTCGGACTTCTTGAGACTTTTTGAGCAAATTGAGGGTCTAAAGACTTGGTTTCTTTCCCGTCGAGAAGCTACGGTATCTCTTGGGATAATCTCCCCCAAAGTCGTGCCAAAGAGGCATGAGAATGGAAGGATTTTTCGAAAGGGATTCCCTCGACCCTCTCAAGCTGAAAAGTTAAACTTTTTGTGGAAAAGATTCTATTGAAAAATTTATACTAGAAGCGATGGGTTTACATTTTTGACAATTATAAAAACAACAATTGCAATTACAACAACAGCAATTGCAATTATAAAACCAACAATTGCAATTACAACAACAGCAATTAACCTCCCCATTTTAGTCCTGTCGTTTCGTTAAATGTCTGGAAATGAAGATGAATCGTCATGGTTTGATTCATTAATGAAAAATGAATTTGTTTCAAAGTTTAGCTGTCCAAAACGAGAGAACATTGTGCCCGATGAAACCACGGAAAAGTCAGGATTTCGGAATTGATGAGTGAGTGAGCGCAAGGACCAAAACATGTCTACAGAACAGTCCAAGCTGATTATAATGGACTTAATACACTCGTAACAATGTAGAATTATAGAATTATCCATTTTTAGTAACAAAGTAAATGAAACAAAGGAATTCGCAAATTTTGCCTCAATTCAGTGTCCCGTACTCGATGGTCACCGTGGCAAGGGATTTCTCAAAGGAAAACCTCGAAAAGGAGACTGGTTGGTTTCTGATAAAGCTTATTTTTAAACCGAATTCTAAGTTCCAATCTTTTGCTATTTTCTAAGTTTCAATCTTTTGCTTCTTAAAGATTATCTGGGACCTTTCCTAATAGCGGCGGCCCAAGGGAATTATCGGCGGCCCCATTTTTCGATCATCGGCGGCCTCATTAAATGTTACGCTGGTTTACAAGGCCTAAATGTTATCGGATAAATGTGTGAGAAACTTCAGAAGTAGTAGGCCGTCAATAATCTTGGGCCGCCGCTATTAGGAAAGATCCGATTTCTGACTAGAGTATCTTCCTCTCAAATAAGACATTCACCATCAATAAAAAATTACCTACCTTTGCATATTATTTAACAATAAAAAAAGGGAATGGCATTTCTTGATGGTATCTGTTGCTTTCCTGTCTTCTTGATGGTAGTTTTCTCACTCTAAAGCATTTTATCTATCAAAACATAACATTAAAAAAACAAACAATAAAAACAACAAATCATTCAACAAATAACATATTGAAAGAAAAGCCGGGGCTAAAAGCAACAAAGCGAGACATAGAAGTAACAGCTAATGCGATGTAATATGAAACAATAATTGAGACAAATGTAAAACATGAGAAAACAGTCGTGTCAGTTTCTTAAAACCGTAAGTCAATAGGAATCTAACTAAAGGATTCTTTGAGTCTAGGGCAGTTTTTGTTATAATGGGCGAAAAGGAGCGCAAATGTCCCGGGTGAGCAAGAAAAGTCCGCAAATGTCCCAGATGCGCAAAAACAGGTGAGGAAATGTCCGAGGCGCGCAAAAAAAGGTCGCGTTTGTCCCACTCGCATAAAAAAATGGTGAAAGAAGCACTCGAGAAGCCCTTTATATACAACTGTCACAAAAGCTATTCAGTCGTTTGACTGAATATTTTATTTGGGAAGGCTTTTATAAAACAAAAGCTGAAAGCAATTTTCGCCCAAAATTTTCGATCAAAATTTTAAGGCGCTTTTAGAGTTTGACTTTTAGAACGCCTTATTTGACGTTGATTACGGCAGTTCTTCAAATCGGCTTCCTATCATAGCAATTTCCAGCGAATCCTCACCAGAAATGACTTGATCTCCTCCACCGTAGGACGCCTTCAGCGCTTTTATTGGCACAATTAGGTCTTTTTTTTCATTTGTGGTCGATTTTGACTTTCTGTTTCGTAACATAAGCTCCCTTGGCTTCTCTGGACATCCTTGTCATAGTTTTTCCAATTGAGCGAATTCTCCAAACGCGACCTTTTTTGCTCACCTAGGACATTTGCGCACTTTTCTTGCTCACCTAGGACATTTGCGCACTTTTCTTGCTCACCTAAGACATTTCCTCACCTTTTTTTGCGCATCTGGGACATTTGCGCACTTTTCTTGCTCACCTAGGACATTTGCGCACTTTTCTTGCTCACCTAAGACATTTCCTCACCTTTTTTTGCGCATCTGGGACATTTGCGCACTTTTCTTGCTCACCTAGGACATTTGCGCACTTTTCTTGCTCACCTAAGACATTTCCTCACCTTTTTTTGCGCATCTGGGACATTTGCGCACTTTTCTTGCTCACCTAGGACATTTGCGCACTTTTTTTTGCCCACCTGGGACATTTACGCACTTTTTTTGCTCTCCTAGGACATTTGGGTTAAATTTATTTAAATGAAAACATTATTTAAGTAAATTTAGTCAAATAAAAACATTATTTAAATAAATTTAGTCAAATAATTATTTATTTAAGGGGAAGACATTCATAACCAATCAATCTATTCGACTCAGACTTTGCTTCAACAAACCCTTCCTTTCTGGTGCACTCGATTTTCTCCAATGATCGCTTTATCTTCTGAATATTCAGAAGATAAAGAGATCTGAATTCAGTGCACCAGAAAGATAGCGTTTCTATTTCAAGCTCTTCAGGTTTCTCCATTCACCGCCTTCTTTCCGTTGCAGGGAAAGGTGTGCCCATTCCGCAATCACTTTCCCTTCTCACTTCAATCATTCGATGGTGTGCTGTTGTGCCACCAATCTCTCAATTGAATCCACAAGATAAACGAGTAATCGAAACCTCTAAACCTCTAAACATCTAAACATTTTTGCATTAAATTTCATTTAGGTTCTCTTCTCAAACTCATGGCACTCTCTTTTTCTCATTCATGTTATACAAAAATATGGAACAAGTAAATTATCAGGTAATAAATAATTTAAAAAGATCATTTTCTATATTCTATATTTAGATTTGCCCTCAAATGAGCGAATTCGTTTAGTGGCAAAAGCGATCGATGAAGTGAGTTTGACTCCATTAGAGCAATGGACTCTCGTCACGATTATCATGTTCAGAGCTGGTAAGCGGCTGGTGTAGAATTCCAAAAAATAATGCTATTCAGTGCACTAGAAAGGGTGCCTTTTGAGTACAAAGTTAAATGATTTCAGAAGATGGACGTTTCGAAGATCCGATTTTGATTCGAAGTATTCAAACTCAGGTTTGTGCTGGGGATACTGTAGCTTGCTATGCTGTAGCTTTCTACTGTAGCTTGCTATACTGTAGCACTGTGCTATACTGTAGCTTGCTATACTATAGCTTTTGACTGTCGCTTGCTATACTGTAGCTTGCTATACTAGCTTGCTATACTGTAGCACTGTGCTATACTGTAGCTTGCTATACTGTAGCTTTTGACTGTAGCTTTCTACTGTACCTTGCTATAGCTACAGTATGAATCCTGCTTCATTCTACTCATCTTTAGGCAAGCCTGGTACTCTTAGAAACCTCAAAGTCGGATCTAACAAGACAAGCTCGTCTCGTAGCTCTAATAGCTGTCATAACAGGTTTTTTTCTCAACTTATTTCCGTTCTTAGATCGATAGAATACTGTAGAAATGGAATTTTATAGAAATTTTATAGAAATTTCCCTTTCATTTCCCTTTTCATTCCCTTTTTAGCTGTCACAGCTGATGACGTTCGTCGCACTTTTCTCACCTCACATTCACTCATCGAATTAGAGCAACTTTGTCGTTCAGCTTTATAATAAAGTTTTTTGTAATAAAGCTCTCTATGTATCAAATAAAAGAAGGCAAATCTCCGTTATAATCTTGAATTTTTTTTTTGAAATGACCCTCAACACCAGAAAATACACCAAAATACAAAATACTTTTTTTCTTTTCACACTTTTTATTTATTAGGTTGATGCATAAGTCTTTTCGTTTTCGTTCGTACTTCTGTTAAAAAGTAACAAATTCACGAATTAATAGGTACACCAAACACGAAGATAGGTATCTAGCACTTTCTAGCAACTTTAAGCGAACACTTTTCCAATCAAATTCCTTTTTTTGGCATTTATTTCTACTCAAACAGTTCTCCTTTTTATTCCATGCTTGTATTCGAACGCTTTTAACAAAACTCAAAACTACAAACTTTAAACTATTCCATCAGCCTTCGTAGCCGACCGGATAGGAGACTTGTCTGCTAGTCTTGTCTCCTAGCCTTGTCTCCTACTCTTGTCTGCTACTCTTGTCTCCTAGCCTTCTCTCCTAGGTCAAGGGTTCGATCCCGTCGGCTAGAAAGATTGATTCCTTTTCCCATTATTATGGGTTCCTTTTTCTTAACAACATTTGGGTAATAGGGGGAATTAAGAGTAAAAATTTGGAATTCATTCTTCCCTCCATTGCGTTGGAATTCATTCTTCTTCGTGTCGAATAAATCAACTTTTTATTCTAAAGGCCGGCTCAAATGAGTTTTCTAGCCAAAAAATACAGCAAAATTTGGGCATATTTATAGCTATAGATCGTAAACAAGATCTTATTTGGGATATATTAGGTTGATGCATAAGTCTTTTCGTTTTCGTTCGTACTTTTGTTAAAAAGTAACAAATTCACCAAAATAATCTATAGTTTGCTCTATAAAAAAAAGTGTTTTTTGTTTTTTTTTGTTCAATTTGCATCTTTTTAAATCAATTTCGGTTCACTTTCAAGCAAATTCGCTTCTATCTTTTATCTATTCACACGAAGATCGGTTTTCTTTAGCTAAGGTGTCTAGTCTATCTGTCTATCATCATTAGAGTGTGTTCCTTGCAGACAACGCGTTTTCTAAAAAGCGCACGCCAAGGATAAGCTACCGTAAGCCCATGCTTTGCATCAGCAAATTTTTCAAAATGCAAATGTACATTAAAATCTTGCGCTCTTTTTTTCTATTACTCTTTCCTTAACTCTATTACTCTTTCCTTAACTCTATTACTCTTTCCTTAACTCTATTACTCTTTCCTTAACTCTATTACTCTTTCCTTAACTCTATTACTCTTTCCTTAACTCTATTACTCTTTCCTTAACTCTATTACTCTTTCCTTAACTCTATTACCCTTTCCTTAACTCTATTACTCTTTCCTTAACTCTATTACCCTTTCCTTAACTCTATTACTCTTTCCTTAACTCTATTACTCTTTCCTTAACCTATTACTCTTTCCTTAACTCTATTACTCTTCCTTAACTCTATTACCTTTCCTAACTCTATTACTCTTTCCTTAACTCTATTACTCTTTCCTTAACTCTATTACTCTTTCCTTAACTCTATTACTCTTTCCTTAACTCTATTACTCTTTCCTTAACTCTATTACTCTTTCCTTAACTCTATTACTCTTTCCTTAACTCTATCACTCTTTCCTTAACTCTATCACTCTTTCCTTAACTCTATTACTCTTTCCTTAACTCTATTACTCTTTCCTTAACTCTATTACTCTTTCCTTAACTCTATTACTCTTTCCTTAACTCTATTACTCTTTCGCTAAAACTTAAAAATTTTTAAATGGCATTTAAAATGAAAGAAAACATTTAAAATGGGAAAAGTTAAGAAACACTATTAAAAAATGATATTATTTACGAATTTACCAGGCCTATTGTCTACATTTGCACTAGAATCATTCCAAAAAAAAAATTCCACGCCCTAAAAAACCTAAATCCTTAAATAAAACTATCCATTACTATATTTTAAGAAAAGCTTGCAAATTTTTATAGCTTTGCGACCTTTATAGTGACCTTTATACCTTTGCTTAAAAAGCGCACCTTTTAGAAAACGCGTTGTCGGAAGTTTGTCGGATCAATTGTCGGACAAAAAAGCTGTCAATGAAAATTTGTCTGACAAATTGTCTGTCAACAAGGAGCACACTCTAATCATCATCGAGTTAGCCCTTTTTGACGACCCCGACTTCATACTCTCAAGAAAATCCAGGCATAAAATATTTTTAAACCCGTTTTAATGTTATTTTGCAGAAAAATCAATTGGTTTTTCTAATGAAAACAACCGTGGGTTTAATTGGTGCATTTGTTGGCTTGAAACGGCAGACGAAAAGGAACGAAAACACTTATGCATCAACCTATTAGCTTACCAGGGAACCTTCCCCAAGTTACCCGCGAGTTACAATATGAGGTAGGTGCTAAAAGAAAGGCCTGAAAATGTATGTTCAGTACGAACATGTACGAAAGCGAACATGTACATGTACGAAAGCGTTTTTCAAAAACCGCTAATCGGCAAAACGCACAAAGTTATAGCCATTTGAATTTCGAAAAAATGAAGGCTTTTCTCGAATTTCTGGCACACTGATTTTTGCCGTTATTAGTTGACAGTTATTGACAGCTATTAGTTCACTTGCCTCGAATCCTGAACATACGACGGGATTGCTACAGTAGGACATTGTTACAGTAAAAGCGAGTGGTTAGCGCGCTCGTCTCCAACGCCAGCGGCAGGGTGATGGGTTCGGGTTCGACTCTTGCAAGAGTTCTTTAAATTTTTTAATCAAAATTTTTGATGGAAACACACCAATCTCTACCGCTAACGCTAACCGCTAACCACTCGGCCATGCCGTTATAGAACGGCTTAGGCTTCGGGGTTCGAAGATAGCTTCGAATTTCGAGGCGGGTGTGGTAGAAGGCCTTAGATGATCAACCAACGTTGAGGCACTGATAAGCCGCCGCGAGCTGGCTCTTATCAGCTTGCGAGTAAAATAAACAAAATGTTACGCGATATTTAGATAAATAAGAAACTTGGGAAAAAATATGTAAACAATAGCAATAGCAAAAAGTTGAGCCGGATCTGAACCAGGGACAAAAGAGCTCTCGGCCCTATCCAGATCTGAATCAAGGACAAAAGAGCTCTCAGCCCTATCCGGATCTAAACCAGGGACAAAAGAGCTCTCAACCTTCTCCACTACGCCATGAACTCATGTTTACAAACCCTCTATAGAAGCCTTATGACTCGTGGGCTCGTGGATGCATGGATGCTCATTTTTGACGTAAGCTTTGAAGCGAAATATCGAAATTTGAAAACCATCATCCCCAAACGACATAAACGATCGGAATCAGCTGAACAAGATTTGCTAAGCTCAAAATTGAGGTGTCCAAAAGCTCCAACCCAAAAGCATCCCTAGTTAGACAGCTTAAAGCAAACTTTAGCTTTTACTGTAACAATGTCCTACTGTAGCAATCCTGCTGTAGAATCTTATTACAGACAAATCCTACTGGTTCTACAAATCCTACTGGCTCTACAAATCCTACTGGCTCTACAAACCCTACTGGTTCTACAAATCCTACTGGCTCTAGTCCTAGATTTAGACTGTTGGCCTAACCACCAGCCTTAGACTACCAGCTATTTACTCAAATTTCTAGTTTTTCTTTCAAATTTCTACTCATTAATTGCTTTAATGGCTTTTAAATTAATTTAAATTAATCTAAATTAATTTAAATTAATTTAAATTAATTTAAATTAATTCAATCTCAATTTATTTTGCAAAAAAAAAGGAACTCCAATCTATAGAGAAAGGGCTGCTTCGTGTGTCATCTGTCTACGGGCCAGAAAGGCTCTTTGAAGTCCCTGTAATTGTTCGAATCTCTTTTTTCTCCTTTTTTTTCTCTCTTTGTGTCAACCCACTGTTTGTCTCGAGGCGCGAAAAAGCCCAAAAAGCCGAAAGTCGATTTTTCGGTGTTTTCTCAGGAAGAGAAGTGGGACTGAAGGACAGAAGGACTGAAGGACTGAGGGACTGAAAGACTGAAGGACTGAAGGACAGAAGGACAGAAGGACAGAAGAACTGAAGGACAGAAGAACTGAAGGACAGAAGGACTGAAGGACTTCCCTTGTATCCCAACACAGGGAAAAGGGTATTCGGTAGGACAATAGACCTAGAAATGTTATGTGTTCCAATCCAATTCTCTTTTTAAACCCTCTTCATGTTTTATTTATGTTTATTTCTCTATTTTATTGCTATCATAAAGCTCAAGTTTATAGGAATTTTATAACTGCTCGGCCGCGGTGAGGCCTAGAATTTGGCCTAGCATGATAATCTCCTGCACTTTGTGCTTATCACAACACACTCTTTCTAATGCACTAAATTGAATGAAAAAGTTTCCCTCTAAATTCTCTATTGAGCCTATAGCTTTTATAGCTTTTATAGCTTTTTTTAAAGGCTATAAAAAGCTGAAGTACGGTAGATTACAAAGATTTACTTACAAAGACTTACAGATTAAAAGATTAAAGTATTCTTTTGAGAGTCAAATCTCTCTTTTACTATAAAAGTTACAATAAAAGCTATAAATCTTTACTGTAAATGTTTACTATAAAACTCTAGGTATTCTTTGAAATACCGTAATCCCGAGAATTTAAAGGAACTAAATAGCAGCTATAAAGGAACTATAAAGGAACTATGAAGGAACTATAGTGGAACTTTAAAGGAACCAAATAGCAGCTATAAAGGAACTATAAAGGAACTATAAAGAAACCATAAAGAAACTATAAAGGAACTTTAAAGAAACCATAAAGAAACTATAAAGGAACTATAAAGGAACTATAGAGGAACTTTAAAGGAACTATAAAGGAACTATAAAGGAACTTTAAAGGAACCAAACAGGAACTATAAAGGAACTTTAAAGGAACTATAAAGAAACCATAAAGAAACTATAAAGGAACTACAGTGCGGAGCAAAACCATACGCCACCCCCTAAATTTCAATTTTCTGCGGCTTCCGTGCCACTAACAAAAAAACTGAAAACGTAGTTAGATTCAGGACCAAAAATATCCCTTAAACCCCAAAAATCTTCGACATAGCATGAATAGGGAAAATGTAACAGCCAAAAAACGAAAATTCACCCGGTGCAAAACCATACGCCACCCCCCAAATTTTGGTGTCGTTGTTGCATTTTTATTCAATTTTTATAATAACAAGGTTTATTTATAACAATAACAGTCTAATATTTTGTTGCTTGTCCCTGGCGACTGATCACGTCAAATATTCGACTCGGCATTCTGTCAACTAGCTTCTTGATGATGCTTCTTGGAATGGCATTCCACTCGCGGATAATGGCATCTTTGAGTGCTTGAACATTTGCGTATTGTGTGGAATTGTGATAAACTCGACGAGCAATCATTCCCCACAGATTCTCAATGGGGTTGAGATCGGGGAGCACGCAGGCCAATCCAGAAGAGGCACTTGTTTTGACTGAAGCCATGACTTGGTTGCTCGGCTGACGTGGATGCTGGCGCTGTTTGCTGTAGGGTGAGTTGGTGTTGTGGAAGACTTTGCAGAATATGGAAGAAGGTGCACATCGATCTTGTGAGTTCATCTTGGACGTGACAAAGACGATTTCCAGTTTTCCATGAGATGAGAAGGCGCCCCAACACATCACCGAACCCCCGCCGAAGTTTCGCTTTGAGAACCGTAATGGATTCTTGCGCAAGTCACGCCAATAAGAGTGTCCACCATCAGGCCCATCCAGGTTGAACTTTTTCTCGCCTGTGTAGATGATCTGAAACCAATAAAATTTGTTTTCTAAGTTTAAATACCTGATTCCTGTCAGTTGCCATGTTTGCGCGAGCAAAGAGCAACCTGTTCTGTTTGTGGATGACAGTTAAACGAGGTGCTGGCTTCATCACCTGACGTGCGAGATGTGGCGAAGAGTTGATGGTTCTCAGAACGGTCCACTTTGACACTGGAAGTTGCAAATCACGCTTGATTTCATCTGCCGATCTCGTAGAGTTTGAGGCTTTGTTTCTGATATGGCGTTCGGCCCGTTTGTATAGCTTCTTGTGACGACCATGCGCATTTGAGGTACCATATTTGAGTGGAGCTTTGAGGTAACGGTTGATGCAGTCTCTTGAGCGATTGGTTCGACGACTCATCTCGGAAATTGACAATCCAAGTTGCTGCATGAGGTCGAGTTGAGCTTGCTCCCCGTCAGAGAGTTGAGTTGCTTTCGGCATTGTTTTTTTTGAAGTTGAAGTAAGACAAAGTAAGCTCTTTAGGCCTCCTTATAAGGAATCTGAAGTGAAAGGGCGGGACTTATGTTTGCCAGAGGCAGATTTAGCTTTTAAACTAGAAAAAAAAGTATGAAATAACACCAAAATTTGGGGGGTGGCGTATGGTTTTGCACCGGGTGAATTTTCGTTTCTTGGCTGGTACATTTTCTCTACTCATGCTATGTCGATGATTTTTGGGGTTTAAGGGTTATTTTTGGTCCTGAATCTAACTACGTTTTCAGTTTTTTTGTTAGTGGCACGGAAGCCGCAGAAAATTGAAATTTAGGGGGTGGCGTATGGTTTTGCTCCGCACTGTATAAAGGAACTATAGAGGAACTTTGAAGGAACTATAAAGAAACCATAAAGGAACTTTAAAGGAACCAAATAGCAGCTATAAAGGAACTATAAAGGAACTATGAAGCAACTATAAAGCCAGACTTTGCGTTTCCATCACCAAGCAAGTAAAGTAAAGATTTTGAAATTCCAACTCTGAACTCTACTCTGAAAGGTAGCACATAATAAAGAATAATTCTTAGAGAATGATTTCGAGAGACTTTCATGTTAAAGTTGAATTTCTGTCGCAAATTTTAATTGTTAATTTTCGCGCAACGTCGCATTCCAATTGACGTCGCCACCATTTGGAGGTAGTCGATGGGAGCGCCGCGTCGTCGTTTCTTTTTCATTTTCAAATCATTTCTTTCTCCGTCGCTTCTTTTTCATTTGCAAACCGCTTTGTTTTTGTCAGTGATTGAAATTATTGTTTTACGCGATAAATTTTGTGTTTCTCTTTGAAATAAGAAAGAAATCGATTTCCATTGTGATTCTATTCTATTCTATTCGATTCTATTCGATTCTATTCGATTATATTCTATTCGATTCTATTCTATTCGATTCTATTCTATTCGATTCTATTCTATTCGATTCGATTCTATTCGATTATATTCTATTCGATTCTATTCGATTCTATTCGATTATATTCTATTCTATTCGATTCTATTCTATTCGATTCGATTCTATTCGATTCGATTCTATTCGATTCTATTCTATTCTATTCGATTCTATTCGATTCTATTCTATTCTATTCGATTCTATTCTATTCTATTCGATTCGATTCTATTCGATTCGATTTGATTATATTCTATTCTATTCTATTCGATTCTATTCGATTCGATTCTATTCGATTCTATTCTATTCTATTCGATTCTATTCGATTCTATTCGATTCTATTCGATTCGATTCTATTCTATTCGATTCTATTCTATTCTATTCTATTCTATTCTATTCTATTCTATTCGATTCGATTCTATTCTATTCGATTCGATTCGATTCGATTCTATTCTATTCTATTCTATTCTATTCTATTCGATTCTATTCTATTCTATTCGATTCGATTCGATTCTATTCTATTCTATTCTATTCGATTCTATTCGATTCTATTCGATTCTATTCGATTCGATTCTATTCTATTCTATTCTATTCTATTCTATTCTATTCTATTCTATTCTATTCTATTCTATTCGATTCTATTCTATTCGATTCGATTCGATTCTATTCTATTCTATTCTATTCTATTCTATTCTATTCTATTCTATTCGATTCTATTCTATTCTATTCGATTCTATTCTATTCGATTCGATTCGATTCTATTCTATTCTATTCTATTCTATTCGATTCTATTCTACTCTACTCTAGTCTATTCTATTCTACTCTACTCTATTCTACTCTATTCTACTCTATTCTATTCTATTTCCATTTCCGAGTGGAGAATCCGAAACTTTTCGAAAGCCAGAACACAAAGGCCAAAAACACTAATTATAAGATGGTTTCAGGGAATTGAATGGAAATAACGGAAGCAAAGTTCATTTCCTTGACCGTTATAAAACTACATAAATAAATTTTTACCACAAATCTCCCTTTTCCGCTTTAAAATCACGATCGTTCATTGAGCAAAAAAACCCGAAAAATAAACCATTCTTTGGTTTTTTTTCTTTTGTTTTCCCCGTTCTCTTTTTCAGAAGAAAATCCTTTCCACAAATACTTTTTCCGTTTCAGCTCCATTTCTGGAATTGCAACCTTTCCCCATTTCTTTGTCTTTATTTTTAGAAGGTTTATAAATCCCAAATTTTCAGTTAGAATTCAGTTATTGAACTGAAAAATAATTGATTGATGATTTTGCGGATATTATTTATCGTTTACTGTCTATCGTTTGTTTCCGCTGATGATGAAGATGATCCGAAAAATTATAAAGAGTCAGTATTGTTTGATTGTTTGTTTGAAAAATTTCGCCAATTTTTCAGCTTCAAATTGATTCGAATCAATCCGGAAAGCGAGGATAGTCTCTCGTATTTGAAAGCTTTATATGAAGGCGAGTCACCGTATTCACTCGATTTCTGGCAACCACCGACAAGAATTGGAGCTCTAGTGAGTGAAAAATCATTCACTTCATACCAATAGATTCAGAAATCATCCACTTCATACCAATAGATTCACTTAAAAAAAAATCCATTCAAAATTCCCCAGGTTGACGTCTCCGTTTCCCCCTTAGATGCCCCGATTTTCGTTCGAGATCTCACCTCGAAGAATCTCAAGTACATTGTGGCGATCAATGACCTCGATCAGTGAGTTAGATAAAGATTACTAGTCTTAAAGTTAAAGAGAAAACAATCTAAACCTAATCTTCTAAACCCAACCTTCTAAACCCAATCTTTCCTTCTAGAGCCATTCAAAACGAGCGTTCTACCACGGCTTGGCACCATCCGATTGACGGGTTTTCGTATGACAAGTAAGTCAGTCAAATATTCGGTCATTACCCGTTTTTAGATACAATTCATTGGTTGATATCCATGATGAGTTGAAAAGACTGAAACGAGAGCATCCAGATTTGGTGACGCTCATTGATATCGGCACATCGCACGAGAATCGAACGCTTCTCGTTATCAAGGTAAACACAGTTACCGTACAGATTCTAATAGGAGATAGAAAAAAAAATCATAGCCAAAAGATTCTGAAAAATCATAACACTAGGGATGATGAACATAAACGGCTAGAGCTTTCAAGCTATCTGTAGAAAAAGAATTGAGTTTTCTACTAAACACAGCTAAACACGGCCTTGCCTAAGGCCTTTTCCAGCAAAAAAAAAGGTGCGCAAATGTCCAGGTGCGCAAAAAAAGGTCGCATTTGTCCCACCCCCGTAAAAAAACAGTAAAAAAACGATAAAAAACAATAAAAAACAGTAAAAAACAATAAAAAACAGGGGGTGCACATCCGCGCGAAATAAGGCGAAAAATCGTTTTCTATCCGTTTTCCATGTTTGAATAGCCATTCAACGCAGAAAAATGTGCTGATTTCAATGGTGAAAAAATTATCAAAATCCGTCTGATACATTTTCTAAAAATCGCGTTTTATCGAAAAAATCGCACTTTTACAAGCAACTCGCTCGCAGCGACCAACTTTCGGCGGCTCGTTTTCAGCGTGGTCGAAAGATTGCGCCCTCAAAACCGATAACTTTTGTGTGGACGTTTATAAAGATCATTTTGATACCAAAAAAATAAAAATTGATCAACTCTGCGAAGACTTGATGCCTTTTTAAGTTGAAAATGACGTTTTGCGACTTTCTGCCCGCTAAAACGTGGGCAATCGCCAACAACCTATTTAAAGCAGCCAGACATTTATATTACTCTATTTGAATTTGTCGTTTTTCCCAGAGGCTTTTAACTTATATTTAACTTATCTCTATTTAAATTGTTGATAAACAAACTCCTAGTAAGCTTTTTAATAGGTTCGGTATATTTCTTGTTCACAAAGAGACGATTAACCAACTACCAGCAACTACCGTATTGGAAGCGTTGGAAAAGGCAAAAACTGCGGAAAAGCGTTAAGTTGCGTAGTTTTTGCCTTTTAGCCCAAATTTGACGTGTCAGCGAGGTCTGATTTGTCGAAATTCGGAATCTACGCATACGATTTCCTTCTATGAAAACATTTTTGAAGCTCTACGAGCTTTCCTAAGGTCTTTTCCAGCAAAAAAAGGTGCGCAAATGTCGCAAAAAACAATAAAAAAACAATAAAAAACAGTAAAAAACAATAAAAAACAATAAAAAACAATAAAAAACAATAAAAAACAGCAAAGAAAAAGGAAAGTGAAAAATTTCGAAAATGATTTTTTTTTTGCTCGCTGCATTTTCATTTGAGACAGTCTTGAGACAAGTATGCAAATTTTTCTTCATTTCAGACATTTTTTCAGACAAGTATGCAAATTTTTCGTTATTTATACGAATTTTGATTTTCACATACAAAATAGAGAAAAAGTTATTGCTTTTTTTTTTCTTTAGTTAGCTTTAGTTAGCTTAAATCTTTCAATTTTAGCTTAAATCTTTCAATTTCAGCTTAAATCTCTCAATTTTAGCTTAAATATCTCAATTTTAGCTTAAATCTTTCAATTTTAGCTTAAATCTTTCAATTTCAGCTTAAATCTTTCAATTTTAGCTTAAATCTTTCAATTTCAGCTTAAATCTCTCAATTTTAGCTTAAATCTCTTAATTTTAGCTTAAAGGACGCCGCAACGTTGTCAGCGAGAAGCCAGCTTTTTGGATTGATGCTGGTGTGTTTTAAAGAAAAGAGAGCGATTTACATTCGTACAATGTACAATGTACACTGTAAAATGTACAATGTACACTGTAAAATCTACAATGTACACTGTACACTGTACAATGTACGAATGTACGTATGTAAATAGCATTTTACGACTGTACAAGACTATTTACAAAGAATTATAAAGCCTTTAAAGGTATTCATGCTCGTGAATGGATCGCTCCAGCCACGGCAATGTACACGGTGAGACAGCTGATTAATGGATACGACACCGATCCACAGGTTTCTTTTCTTTAAGCTTTTTGCTAAGTTTAAGCATAAAAACGAGAATAATATTGAAAATTAACAGATTACGGTTTTAATGCCTTTTAAAAACCAAAAGAATTCGATATTTCTAGATTCAATCTCTTCTCGATTCGGTTGACTTCTATGTGTTGCCTGTAATGAACCCAGATGGATATGAATACTCAAGGATTACGGTAGTTATCTAAAGATTATCTAAAGATTATCTAAAGATAAAGATCATCTAAAGATTTGAATACCTTTTTTGCTTCAGAATCGAATGTGGCGAAAGAATCGTCGACCGGCTACTTGCAAGCGAAATCATTTTCACACGATTTGCTGTGCAGGAGTGGATCTGAATCGGAATTTTGATTGGTTCTTTGGCTGTAAGTTAAACTTTAAGTTAGTTTGTAAGTTAGACTTGGCAGTTTTCAAGCTCAAGTTAAACTAGGCTTGGTTTTCCTGGTTTCTCTGGTTTGCAAAAGGTATCTAGATAAGTCTGAGTGGCCTAGGCCTAGCTTAGCTCTAGAGCTATCTAGAGCTTTAGAGCCAAGCTAGGCCTAGAAAATCTAGCCTAGCTTTACTAGGTTAGATTATCTAAGCCTAGCTTTACTGAACTGGGCTCTACTGAGCCTGAGACTTAGCCTGGATTAGAGTCTAGTTTGAACACCAGCTTGGCTGGCTGGTTGGTTGGCTGGTTGGCTAGCTAGCTGGCTGGATAGCTGGCTGGCTGGCTGGCTGGATAGCTGGCTGGCTGGATAGCTGGCTGGCTGGATAGCTGGCTGGCTGGATAGCTGGCTGGCTGGATAGCTGGTTGGCTGGCTGGCTGGCTGGTTGGCTGGCTGGCTGGCTGGTTGGCTAGCTAGCTGGCTGGATAGCTGGCTGGCTGGATAGCTGGCTGGCTGGCTGGCTGGCTGGCTGGCTGTTTGGCTGGCTGGCTGGCTGGCTGGTTGGCTGGCTGGTTGGCTGGCTGGCTGGTTGGCTGGCTGGCTGGCTGGCTAGCTGGCTGGATAGCTAGCTGGCTGGATAGCTAGCTGGCTGGCTAGCTGGCTGGCTGGCTGGCTGGCTGGCTGGCTGGCTGGCTGGCTAGCTAGCTGGCTGGATAGCTGGCTGGCTGGCTAGCTGGCTGGCTAGCTGGCTGGCTGGCTGGCCGTCTGTCTGTCTGTTTGTCTGTCTGTCTATCTGTCTATCTATCTGTCTATCTATCTATCTCCCTGCCTGTCTTATCTTCAATTCTACAGATTACGGTCTCTAATCTCTATAAATCCTTATCTTTCCAGCAAGAGGGACCTCAAACGATCCTTGCCATGAGACTTACCACGGTCCACAAGCTTTTTCCGAACCTGAGACGCAAGCTGTTCGTGATTTTCTCGAAGCACACAAACCAAAAGTGAGCTTAGACTTGAAAATGAGTACAGTATACAGGCGAAGGACTGTATTCAGGCTCGAATAGAGTACCGTCGTCACTAGAAGAATACAGTAGCTTTTACTTTAACATCTAAAAAGGGTTACTAAGATTACTGTAATTGAGAAAAGTTTCAAAAACATTGCAGGCTTTCGTGACGCTTCACTCCTACTCCCAAATGTGGCTAATCCCATTCGGACATCGAAAACGAAGCTACCCTCAAGATTACAATACAGCTTTGGTTAGTTTTTGGATAGAAAATAGTAGCTAGATCGATTTTCCAGCGTCCATTGGCTTTACGAGCCACCAAGGCTCTCTACGATCTTTATGGAACAAAATATCAAGTCGGAACTGGCGCTGATCTCATGTGTTTGTGTTTTCATTGATTGGCTGGCCGATTGATTTATCGGATTAAATCTATTAAGATACTTATTCTCTAATAATTCTAGATGAAGCCGCTGGCGGGTCGCACGATTGGGCAAAGGGAAATCTGAAAGTGAGTGCGGTGCTTTTCTTGCTTTCAAAGCAAAGAAGGATTACGGTATTGGGATTATGGTAGCAGGACTACGGTAGTGGGATTATGGTAGCAGGATTACAGTAGCAGGATTACAATAGCAGGACTACGGTAGCAGGAATACGATAGCAGGCTTATGGTATCAGGATTACGGTAGCAGGAACTACGATACCAGGATTACGGTAGCAGGATTATGGTAGCAGGATTATGGTAAGAGGACTACGGTAGCAAGGTTACGATAGTAGGATTACGGTAGCGGGATTACGGTAGCAGGATTACGGTAGCAGGACTACGGTAGCAGGATTACGGTAGTAGGATTACGGTAGCAGGATTACGGTACCAGGCTTATGATAGAACTACGGTACCAGGATTACGGTAGCAGAACTACGGTACCAAACTTATGGTAGCAGAACTACGGTACTAGACTTATGGTAGCAGAACTACGGTAGCAGAACTACGGTACTAGACTTATGGTAGCAGGATTACGGTAGCAGAACTACCGTACCAGACTTATGGTAGCGGGATTACGGCAGCAGGATTACAATATTTCCAAGTGTAACCTCTTATTCATCACTCTGTAAGACAAACGACTTCTGCAGTATCTACAAAAACTGTAGCCGATCTCTATCTTTCCCTAACTCTTTCCCTAACTCTTTCCCTAACTATTCCCTAACTCTTTCCCTAACTCTTTCCCTAACTCTTTCCCTAACTCTTTCCCTAACTATCCCTAACTATCTTTCCCTAACTCTTTCCCTAACTCTTTCCCTAACTCTTTCCCTAACTCTTTCCCTAACTATCCCTAACTATCTTTCCCTCAGGCATCAATTAAAACTCAAACTTATTCAATTTCAAATATTTAAAGTCTATTTAGTATAGAAAACGATGAAATTCAATTTCTTAGGTTCCCTACGCTTATCTCGTCGAGTTACGACCGAAAAACACAATGTTCGGCAATGGTTTCCTTTTGCCTGAAAGAGAAATCCCATCAACAGGCCTTGAGACATGGGAAGCGATACGGTAAATCCCTTTGAAAGTACTTAATAGCTGTAATTGAATAGCTGTAATTGAATAAGGTAACTGTTGGGGGAAAGGCTCTCACAAAAATGTTTTCTATTTTGCACTCTCGTTGTTGCCTTTTGTTAGCGTCAACTGAAGCGACGCGTAGTCGTCAGACTTATCCTATATCTATAAAAGCTTTCAAAACAAACTCACAGCTCATTTCCCTTTATTTCTTCAATTACAATCGACTCTCTCTCCAACAGAAAGCTTATATATGTCGTAGCCGCTAACGAATGAGGGTATTTCCGGGTATCCAATCAAAAAGTCACCAACATAAAAAATGTTCATAATACATATATTTTATAATAAATTTTTCAAATTAGCTCATTTGGCTCAGTAGAAAATTTTTTTTTCAGCCCCCAAAGTTTAGGTTCAAAAATGGCTATAAAAAATTTTCTACTCAGCCAAAAAACTTGCTTAATAGCTCATTTTGTAGCCAATTTGATGTAGATTCTTAAAGTAAAGCTAGATTTAACATTTGTTTTTCAAAGCTAGGAGAAAGAGGGCGAGGAACGACTTCAGTTGAACTCGGTCGCTATTTTCACATTTGAGAATTGCCCTGAATTTGTTCCTCGCCCTCTTTCTCCTACTTTCAACGAAAAATTGTTTTAGAGGTTTATAAAGGATTCTAAAGGTTTCTAAAGGATTCTAAAGGATTCTAAAAGATTATAAAGGATTCTAAAGGACTCTAAAGGATTCTAAAGGACTCTAAAGGATTCTAAAGGACTCTAAAGGATTCTAAAGGTTTATAAAGCCTCCTTAAAGCTTCTAGAGCCTCCTTAAAGCTTCTAGAGCCTCCTTAAAGCTTCTAAAGCCTCCTTAAAGCTTCTAGAGCCTCCTTAAAGCTTCTAGAGCCTCCTTAAAGCTTCATAAAGCTTCATACTTCATAAAGGAATCAATTTTTCAATCCCAATTTCTCATGCCAGATTCCTCGCGTCCTCGGCTATTAGGGGCTAATTTTTATGGGGTTTTGTGGCGCTTTTCTGTGCCATTGCCTATGTTATGCAATGTGTTTCCAGTCGTTTTAAAACTTTAAGCTTAAACCCTTGTCAGTAAAAAGCCAGTTTTATCTAAAATTTTCATTTTTAAAAAGAAAATAGCTAGATTGATCGTTTTGAAATTTTATTATTTTAATTTTATACTTTTATACTTTTTACAGGCATATAATCAAATAAGCTTTATCTTTTTTGACTTTGGTATCAAAGTTTGCATTAAAGAAATTGTTCAAATTGTTCATTAGAGCAGTTTTGTGAGCTCGCGTCTTTAAAAACGTCTGCTTACCAGGCAGAAGATCGTCTGCTTATCAGGCAAAAGATCGTCTGCTTGCTTTGCTCTACCTATCGACGCTTTATAGCTTTATAAAGCTTTTCCCAAGAAATAGGAAAGACAAGGAAGAGAAAGAAGGAAGAGAAAGAAAGAAAGAGAAAGAAAGAAAGGAGGGAAGAGAAAGAAAGAAAGAGAAAGAAGGAATTCAAGATCATTCTAGAGTTGTCGCCGACGAACTAGTGGGACAATTCGTTCAGCCGGTCATTCGCAATAAAGTTGTCACTACAACTGGTTTGATTTAACAATAATAAATCTGTAATTAGGTTTTAATATTAGTTATCTGACAACTTTATTCTATCTGCTACAGTAATTATATTATTTATTACTATCAGTCACTTTTTAAGCCTCAACACCAGCTCATTTACGCAAATATCGTAAGTGTCAGCTTAATGAGCTTAATGAGCTTAATGAGCTTAGCGAGCTTAACGAGCTTGATGAGCTTAACGAGCTTGATGAGCTTAATGAGCTTGATGAGCTTGATGAGCTTAACGAGCTTAACGAGCTTGATGAGGTTGATGAGCTTAACAAGCTTAGCGAGCTTAATGAGCTTAATGAGCTTAACGAGCTTAACAAGCCTTAGAGAAACGTTTTCCTAGCTTTATTGAATCTTTTAAACTATAAAATAGTCTAAGATTAAAGCTAGATTAGCTCTCACTAAACCTTAACAAAAAAATCTTTGCTTAACAGTTTAACAGTTGAATAACAATGGTAATAACCAGGTTTTACAGTACTTGCTGTACTTACACTGCTTACTGTACTTACTGTACTTACAGTACTTACCGTGCTTACTGTACTTGCTGTACTTACAGTACTTACTGTACTTGATGCACTTACTGTACTTGCTGTACATGCTGTACTTGCTGTACTTACAGTACATGCTGTACTTGCTGTACTTACAGTACATGCTGTACTTACTGTACTTACAGTGCTTACTGTACTTGCTGTACTTGCTGTACTTACAGTGCTTACAGTGCTTACAGTGCTTACAGTGCTTACAGTACTTACAGTACTTACAGTACTTACTGTACTTGCTGTACTTACTGTATCATAAATAGATCTTCCTTGATTTTGAATCATTTTTTTAGCTGAACCTGAAGTGAAATCGGGAGAAAGACGAGGTTACAAGATAATTGAAACGACAAGGAAAGAAGAAAGCACAAAAACATTCCCCACAACCACTGCTGAAACGTCGTAAGCCTTTACTATAGCTTACCCGTTTAACCCAAAGGCTTTTCTAAAAGTCACCCTTTTAAAAACGCTACCGTATACGGTAGAGTTATAGCAAAAATATCTGTCTTTCCTTTTTTGCCAATGACAATTTAATATTTTTCCTGTTTTTCTCAGCATTAACCTTTTAATTTTCTTTATTTTAACTATCATTCGATGCAGAATGAAATTTTGCGTCGAATGACACAAAAATGAGCTTGAAATATAGTATCCATGCAAAGTTATGGGGCAATTTAATATTTTTCGTGTTTTTCTCAACACCAAACCTTTGATTTTATCTATTTTAACTATCATTCGATGCAGAATGAAATTTTGCGTCGAATGATACCAAAATGAGCTTAAAATATAGTATCCATGCAAAGTTATGAGGTAAAAGGTTAAGTCCCACCTGTAATAAACGGGTTTTAGGTTTTTAGCCAATAACTTTGCATGGATACTATATTTTAAGCTCATTTTGGTATCATTCGACGCGAAATTCGATTCTGCGTCGAATGATTGTTTAAATAGATAAAATAGAAGAATTTGTACTGAGAAAAACTTTAAATTGCCTCATAACTTTGCATGGATACTATGTTTTAAGCTCATTTTTGTGTCATTCGACGCGAAATTTCATTCTGCATCGAATGATAGTTAAAATTGAGAAAATCAAAAAGTTGGTGCTGAGAAAAACACGAAAAACCTTTAATTGTCAATGGCAAAAGGAAAGACAGATATTTTTGTTATAAATCTACCGTATACCTAGCTGAATTTCTAGATTTACTGTAACAATTGTGATTTTTTGTTGATTTAAACCGTTTTCTAAAAGATGTCTTTAGAAATAGCTACCGTAAGCATGGATAAGCTTGCTTCTAGTTGCTTCTAGTTGCTCCTAGTTGCTCCTAGTTGCGTCTAGTTGCTTCTAGTTGCTCCTAGTTGCTTCTAGTTGCTTCTAGTTGCTCCTAGTTGCTCCTAGTTGCTTCTAGTTGCTCCTAGTTGCTTCTAGTTGCTTCTAGTTGCTCCTAGTTGCTCCTAGTTGCTTCTAGTTGCTTCTAGTTGCTCCTAGTTGCTCCTAGTTGCTCCTAGTTGCGTCTAGTTGCTTCTAGTTGCTTCTAGTTGCTTCTAGTTGCTTTAGGTTACTTTTAATCACTTTTAATCATTTGATTCATTTCTGATCATTCAGTTCTAGGTTACGGTAGCTTTACGGTATGCTAAGCCATAGATTACGGTAGCTTTTCCTATTGTCTTTTAGAAAAAGTCGAGTTACAGTACTTACCGTACTGTACTAAGCTTACAGTACTTACAGTACTCTTCCAACGACTCGCGCTTGGACAAGATGGAGAACGAAAGGCGCCGAGTTGACGAAATCGTCGACGAGTTCAGCTGGGCAAACGACTGGATACAGTATGCTTTCTGACTCTATTCTGTCTCTATACAGTACTCTATACAGTACTCTATCCAGTACTCTATACAGTAGTTAATGAGTAAAAATGAAAGGAAAAGTACAAGTACAGTAAAAGTACATTTTCACCCTATTCAGACATCAAAATCTGTGGCCCCGGTGGGCGCACATTTCAAGTATTTATTTGCGGATTGAGAGCAAGAAGTCGGGGTAAAAGAAAAGATTGATTTCTTAGAATTAGATTTAGAAATTTTATTAACTTTAATTTTTCGCACTGCACGTTAGTTTTAGCTATTGTTTTCACTATTTTTGTTTTGTTATAGCATGCTTTTTTTATTTTCTTTGTTTAGTAATCAATTTTTAGGCACTCAATCTACAACAACAACGTCTACAACGTCTACAACGTCTACAACAACAACTACGAGCTCGGTAATGCTAAAAATCTGTGTTATCTCAAAAAAAATCAAACATTTACTTTAATTACCGTAAATACTTTAATAGTACCCCACCCCCATAATTACGGTGCGGAGTGTTGCGTAGTCTAGCTTTGAACGAGTTTTTCTCGACACTGGTTTATGCTACAATGTTCATTTTGGTATCAAAAAATAGCTGAAATTCAGGGCTATTTTTTTGATACCAAAGACGCATTTTTTGAAAGTACGGGTGCTTTGAAAAAAAATGAAATACGAAAAAACTTTTGCGACTACGCGACTGTACGAGGGGGGTGGGGTACTATTACAGTATTTACGGTAAGTGCACAAAAAGAAACGTACTGGTGTCAAGATATGAGCGTTTCTTTGAGAATAAACAGACTACGCGACACTTCTATAGGGATCTTCTGTTAGAGGACTTCTATAGGGACTTCTATAGGGACTTCTATAAGGACTTCTATAAGGACTTCTATAAGGACTTCTATAAGGACTTCTATAGGGACTTCTATAGAGACTTCTATAGAGATCTTCTATTACGGCTGATACTTAACTTTCTCAGACTACCACCACAACAACGACAACAACAACCACAATAACGACAACACGGCCAACTCTAGTAACTACAACGACAAGTCCAACCACAACCACCACTGAATCGGCCACAAGTGTATTTTCTATGTAAGCTAGATTAAAAAACTTCATTAAACTAGTCAAATTTAGTCTGAAAGGCCGTCAAACGACTACTTGGAGATTGGTCACGCCAAAGGGTAGGGAAAATGATTTCTGAAAAACAAAATCAAAATCAAAATCAAAATCAAAATCAAAATCAAGATGAAGATTTCTATAAGAAATCGCAAATTTCAGAAATCGGTCTTTCAATCTCATCTGAAGTGCGTATTGGCTCAGATACAACAACAACAGAAAAAGTGGTGGGGGAATGGTGAAAACCGCCGAAAATGAAGGCTAAGGCTGAAGGCTTCTCTTGATAAGCATATCCTACAGTACCTCTTTCACTCTAAAAATCCTATAAACAAATTTTTCAGCCATCCTCCACCATCACTTCACCAACGACCACACTGAAAACGCTAAATTGTGTCGATTACGGTAGCTATTGTCAATTATGGGGAATTTTGCAACTCTGCGACAAGCGCTCAGTGCAAAAGCTGTGCACAAAGACGTGCCATTCTAAATGTCGCTATGCAACGTTACAGTAAGACTCATTACTGTAGCCGATAGCCCTCTACACAATTATAGCCTTCTAGTCCCAAGTGGGACTTTTTTTTATGTATGGCATATTGTCAAACTAATACAGTCGACTCTTAATTTAATGATTCTAAAAAGCGCTCCGTTCTCCATCTTGTCCAAGCGCGAGTCGTTGGAAAGAAACCAAATCTGTAGAGAAAAGGAACCAAATCTTTACCGAAAAGGAACCAAATCTTTACCGAAAAGGGAACAAATCTGTAAGGAAGAGGAACCAAATCTTTACCGAAAAGGGAACCTGTAAGGAAGCGAACAAATCTTTCCGAAACCAAACACCGAAAGGAACCAAATCTGTAGAGAAGGGAACCAACTTTCCAAAAGGAAACTAGTTGCCGGAACCAAATCTTTACCGAAAAGGAACCAAATCTGTAGAGAAGAGGAACCAAATCTTTACCAAAAAAGGAAACTAGTTGCCCTGAAAGGCCAACAATTGCTTTTGGCTGGGTAACTATGCAGAAATCAGAAATGTTTTAGAATTTCAAAATCATTGTTTCCTAGAGTTGTTAAATCGAAAGTCGACTGTATTTATTGTGCTATTTAATCAATAGACTTGTTTACAAACGCTCGTGTAAAATAGAATACTAACTTTGTTTGTAAACGAGTCTATCAGCTCTAAGTTCTAAGTCTATCAGCTCTAAGTTCTAAACAAATCTACCAGCTTTTCCTGTCCCACTTACTCTAATCCTAATTTATCTAATGACCGTCAAAGTCCTGTGATACGACAAAACCCAATCGACTCTTTCATTTCACAAATTCCAATGAAATGTCACCAATTTATGATTTTCTCATAAAGCCAATAAAATAAAGTGTCACTGATCTAAATTTTTCGTTTGCTCCAAATAAATGTTTACATCCAAGCAAAAGCTTTATAGTTACAGTACATGTCAAAGATATTAGGCTATCCAGAAAGCCTTTTCGTTCCTTTTCATACTTCCGTTTAAAACCAACAAAACAACAAATGAACTACGGTTTGTTTCATTAAAAAGGCCAACTATTTTTCTGCAAAATACATTAAAACTGGTTTAAAATGTCTTATGTCTGGATTTTTGACGTTATTCAATTCGGTATTCAAAGACGGGTATTCAAAAATGTTTGCTCGATGACGCAGTTTAGATCTTTTAGCTAAGGAAACCTATTTTCATGTCAATAGATAAAAGAAGCTAGTGTCTAAGCGTGTCTAAGCTAGATAAAGGAAGCTAGTGTCTAAGCCGCGTCTAAAAACTTCTGCACAAAAGCAGAAGTTTTGTGTTTAAATTTTAAACCACACCAATTACACCAAGGATGAGAGTCAAAAGTTGCATGATCAAGTTCGTCACAATCATCGCACTCGTCAAATATTCCCCTCGTTTTCATGGCTGATCGATTTGAGGCTCTAAAATGAAAGATTATTCGATATGGAGCTAAAAAAGTTAAACCAACTAAGCCGATGTCTAATTCCAGAAGTATCTCGAGTATATCAGGTTTCGGCTGATAAAAACGGTCAACATCGGAGTTGAATCTCGGCGGGCAAGCGGGTAGACAAAGCTGAAAAAGATCTAATATCGAAATAACTGTAATAGCCGAAATAGAAATATAGCCAAATCTCCTTAACTAAATTTCACAACTCTGCCTTTTATTTAACTTTTGATACCTAAATTACTAGAAGCTCAGGAATATTTTTGTTAAATTAACAAATTAATTCTAATTCTAACAAATCAATTCTAATTCTAACAAATCAATTCTAATTCTAACAAATCAATTCTAATTCTAACAAATCAATTCTAATTCTAACAAATCAATTCTAACTCTAACAAATCAATTCTAATTCTAACAAATCAATTCTAACTCTAACAAATCAATTCTAATTCTAACAAATCAATTCTAACTCTAACAAATCAATTCTAATTCTAACAAATCAATTCTAACTCTAACAAATCAATTCTAATTCTAACAAATCAATTCTAACTCTAACAAATCAATTCTAAATTAACTAATCTAAATCTAATTCTAATTAACTAATTAACTTACAATCACGAGTTGCGTCTGAATGGTGTAGTGCTTGCATTTGCGGCATTGACTCTTTTTATCCATTACACAAATATCTTCACATTCGAGATCACAATTCAGGCTCGCTTCTCATCTATCGCCAGCTATTCTCTTCTAAAAGCACTATTCTTTTTAGTTGTAAACTATGTATGTCACTAACATTTTCTTTGTAATTCCGGGGCACACATTCCTGTAAATTGTTCAGCGCCGTGCGTACACTTGCCACAACAAACAGCGTCTTTTTCAGCACTAAATCAAATAATTTTGCAATCTATTAAATAAAGTAAAACCTCGCATTTCCAGGGACACTCCATAATCCAGTCGCTGTCGCTAGTCGCTTCAACGGTCACGTCAGTCGATGGCCTTAAAGTGTACATTTTAAATGTAAAATGTACAACGTAAGACTTTATAATGTACTCGTTTATCATTTACTCATTATAAAGTCAAACTTACTTTGGTATAGGTGTGCATTAGACACAACGATCGATTGGTCCAGCTTGCCGAATGGTGGTTCTCCCCGGTGGAGGTGGCTTTCACTCATCTGAATCAAAGAATTTGAATCAAATTAAAAACAACTCACAAGCTGCCATAGTGGAACAACTTTTGCAATTCGGATCATGACATTTAATGCAACAATTGTCTTTCAAGTTCAAGTTTAAAGTCATCGTAGCCTCTAAAGAATTATAATCGAGAAAATTGTTTCAAGCACTCCATTTAACTTACTCATCACAAATCTCTTGGCATTTCTTATCGGAACCCATCATATAACGACTCATGCAACATTTGCTACAGGCAATTTCCTAAAAGCTAGATTTTATTGGGCTGCAAAAGTTGTTCCACCATGGCAGCTTGTGAGTTGTTTTTAACTCAATCATCAGATGGTTACAAAATGAGGAAAAAACTCACCAGTGATCATTGAGGCTACATGTGACACAATCGTGTAGACATTTCATCGCTTTAGCCGCCCAATCACTAAAAGTACATTATCGTTAAGAACGAATGATCGTATAAGTTCCACATAAACTACATTTAAAAGGTTAATGCTATAATCTAAAGAATAAAGGTCAACAACAGCTACAGTCATGTGCAAAAGTCTTTTCACATTCAATTTTCTAAAAAGTTTCATCGATTTTCCTTGATAAAGTCCACGGCGCTCTTTAAGCCATTAATAGTTTTAGTTACACAAATATATGTACAATTTATTTACACGAACGTTATCGGTATACAACACTTATTCATTGAGAAAAAAAGTATAATTGTCAAAACACCCCTCTAAAATCGCGGTGCAAAAGTCTTTTCACATTTGTAAAAATTTTTATAATTTCCGTTCGCTTCGTATTTACTGGTACTATTTTATTTGTTTTTAGATGCCAGGAGCGTACTTGTCAACTCTGGATAAAGAAAGGATCGTCGAGGCAAGGAAGGAAGGAACGCCACGACAAGACGTTGCTCACCTCTTAGGATGTACGCCCAGAACAATTTCTCTTGTTATGGCAAAAATGAATGCGTCTGGAAATGTGCACAGATGTAGGAAAAAGGGACGGCCGAGGATTACAACAAAGAATGAAAACCGATTCCTTACGGAAGCTTTCAAAAAGGATCCGAATTTGACGTTGAACGATGGAGTCATTCTTTTCAAGCAAACTTCAAACAAGAATATTTCCCGCTGGACCTTGCATCGACGCTTGCTTCAAGCAGCATTGTATACTAGAAGACCTGCTTTCAAGCCTATGATGACAGCCAAACACAGTAGGCAACGCCTTCAATTTACTCGAACCTATTCAAATTAGACAATCAATGATTGGGCCCGAATGATTTTTGTTGATGAAACAAAAGTTGGTATTTTTCCTTCAAATCGAAATCATCTGATCCGACGTCCAATTGCAAAGCGATATCAACTCAAGTACTTGTAACCCACGGTGAAAACAGGCGGAGGATCAATTATGAGTTTCGGTAAGGATAATTTTCTTTTTATACAGCTCAAAATGATTTCTTTAGGTGCGATGTGTAAAAGTTCAACAGGTCCGCTGGTCCTCGTAAAGTCAACAATGGATTCCCGCCAATATAATGAGATATTGGACAGATGTCTACTTCCATTTGCGACTGCTTCGATGAATCCAGGATGGTTTCTTTATCAAGATAATTCGCCAGTACACAAAAGCAAACTTTTGATGGGCCGCGTTGTGACTCTTTCGAATGGAGGAAAAGCACATTTACCGGGATGGTTTGGAATCAATCACGTTTCTTTTATCAAGGCCCCACCATTCTCACCGGATTTAAATGTTATTGAGAATTTATGGGCTTATTTGAAATCAAAATTGCGAGGAAAACGATTCAATTGTAAAGTCGAGCTATGGTTTTACATCAGAAAAATTTGGAGGACGATTGGACCTGGCATTCTTGATGAATTAATTGCATCGATGTCTACTCGTATTAAAGAAGTACTTTTGGCAAAAGGAGGAGCGACTAAATATTGATTAAAGCTTAATTTCGTTTTATGTGAAAAGACTTTTGCACCACGATTTTCAGGGGTGTCTTGACAATTATACTTTTTTCTCAATGAATAAGTGTTGTATAGCGATAACGTTTATGTAAATAAATTGTACATATATTTGTGTAACTAAAACTATTAATGGCTTAAAGAGCGCCATGAACTTTATCAAAGAAAATCGATGAAACTTTTTAGAAAATTGAATGTGAAAAGACTTTTGCACATGACTGTATTAGCTATGTTAGCTATTCGCTATTCTCTGACAGCATATTAGCTATGTTAGCTATTCGCTGACACTTTACGTCGTTTCCTTCGGGTTTTTAAATGCCTAAACATGCCTAAACAAAAAAGTAGCTATGAATGGATCAAATTTTTACAATTTCTAAGTTTAACTTCAAAGCAAAACCCACCCCGGTAACATCAATAAAACCATTCTCCGGATTTTTGAGTTGTAATGTCTAGAAATAAAAGTGTTAAGTGAAATTTTAAAGCTTTTTAAATTACTAGCAGAGTTTGAGACGGAGCTTTCGGCGTAATCCACACACTTTTGACAGCTTTTCACTTCTGCATCGTAAAATTCATCAGCTTCACCTCTAAAAATAAACTGATTTTGAAAAAGCCTTCATGAAATAAGGAGCTATCATATAACCCATCATATAAAGACTCATGCAACATTTGCTAAAGGCAATTTCCTAAAAGCTAGATTTTATTGTGTAAATGACTCAATCATCAGATTGTTATAAAATGAGGGAAAAAAAAACTCACCAGTAATGGAAGCGAACGGACGGAGTTATACCAAAGAGAAAGATCGACAATTTTCTGTAATTTGATCTAGCCAAACGGCTAAATCTTTCAAATTGGTCTTTCAAATTGGTTCCACACGCTGTTATGTCAAAATTTGAATTCGACACCCTCAAATTGCCTAGAAAAACAACATTTGGAATAGAATGGTTAATAATTTGGAATGGTTAATATTAGCTTTTTAGAGCTTTTTTTAAAACGCGAAAAAAGGTGCACTAATGGGCAAGGTGCGGAAAAAAAGGTGCGCAAATGTCCGGGTGCGCAAAAAAAAAGGTCGCATTTGTCCCACCTCCCCAAAAATCAAAATAATGATAAAACCGTGGCAACGTTGCGAAATGTAATAACAGTTGCGCAAATGAGCCTTTGTAAACGTACTTGCGCAATGACCCCTGTTGCGCAATAGGCGGTGCCCCCTTTGCTTGAATTGCTTAAAATTGCTTAAGAATTGCTTAAGAATTGCTTAAAATTTAAATACTTAAAACAAGAAATTAGCATCTGTAAGCCGAACATTGTTTAAGAAATGTTCTCGGAGAAATCATTTCATTCAACTCTTCTTCTCGTCGTGTTGTCATTTCTTGTGAGTTTTTTTTGATATTTACTAAAGTTTTGCACTTGTTATTTTATTGAATATTCATTCAACACTTAACAAACGTTAACTATTCCGTCTTTTAGAGCAAAGATGCCGACATATGAAGAAATGGGGCCAGCGAATGAAGCTCCTCCACCACCGCCGCCTAACCAAAAAGGAGAATATCCGTTCGTTTTTTTTGCTTCTCTGTTACTTTGTGGGTTGGGGCATCTATATTTTTGCTATTTTTCACTTTTCGGGTAATGCGAGCATGAATTTGACAGTTTTAGCATAGGTTTTCAAAGTTTCGACATTTCGACACGTTGAAAATTATTCTAGGCGTTAGGGAGCACTTTTTTTGGGATAGTTTTATGCGTAACTCTCGAAAAACACAACGAGAATTTGGGAAAATGCGTTTTAAGCCAAGTTTCGGGGCTACTGATTACGTTTTTGATCAAATTGAAGCAAAATAAGCAATCAAATTGAAGCAAAATAACAAGAAAAAATTTGTTTAAAACTTTCGACCATGTGGTCCCCCACATGAGCCAAAATCTCAAAAAACATTTTTTTGAATTTCTTTTACCTCTACCAGTCAATTTAAGTTAGAAAATGAATATTTAGTGGTTAGAAATGGTTTTGGTTCTTGTTTTGTTTTGTTTTGACCATGAAAAGTGCCCCAATAGTATGTGGAGCCCCTGAGCTTGATATAGTGAAGTACGCTATAGAAGCGCGCACTTTGAAGCCCCGAAACTCGACTTAAAACGCCTTTTCCCAAGCACTCGTTGTGTTTCTCAGAATCTACGCATAAAATTAAAGAAAGAAAAGTGGCCCCTAGCCTTAATACCGCCGAACTTTCTGCGAGCTCACAACTTGACGAAAAGAACACTCGAATGCGATTGAAAAATATTTTGACGCTAAAGTTCATGAAAAGGAAACGCATTACTGTAGCAAACTTCAGTCAAAGACAAACAAAAGCGTAATTTCGAGTGCGTATTCCATTTTCAATCTTGGCAAATCTTTGAAGCATCTTTTAAATCAAACGCAAAACAAAGTCAAAGTTTTCAAGACGTACAGTGAGATCTAGAAAAATCTGTGACCTCTTTAAAAAACCAATTGCACTAACGTTAAATGAAAAGCTATATTTCTTGGCAACGACCTTGAAAAGTGCCCCAATAGTCGATAGCTTGAGTACACAAATTCATAAACAAACACAAATTTAAAGTGCAAAGTGTGATTTTGTGTCGAAATGGCGGTTTTTCTGTTGAAAATCTATGCTAAAACTGTCAAATTTGTGCTCAGCGCCCTCGATTACCCCTAGAAAAGTGAAAAAAAAATCAAAATATAGATGCCCCTCAACCTACTTCTCTGATTAAGCGGTACTAATAAGCTTCAGGGGAATCACTTTGACTAGAAGTCTCGAAGTCACGAGCCACTTTGACTCGTCCTCTATTCTAGGCGTGTTTTTTCTAATCTTGTTTTATATTTTCTGGGGTAAACAAATAGATTACTAGACATTTGATAACCAACATTAGTGCATTTGACTTTTAGAGCTAAATAAATGTTTGATTTATCAATTTGATGGGACTGGGACAAATGCGACCTTTTTTTTGCGCACCCGGACATTTGCGCACCTTTTTTTGCGCAACGTGCCCATTAGCGTATCTTTTTTTCCGCACCTTGCCCATTAGCCCATTTTCGCGTTTTAAAAAAGCTCTAAAAAGCTAATATTAACCAATTTCTATTCCAAAAGTTGTTTTTCTAGGTAATTTTAGGGCGTAGAATCGAAATTTTGACATATCAGAGCTTGTGGAAACAAACGGACGGAGTTATATAAAGAGAAAAATCGACAATTTTCTGTAATTTGATCTAGCCATTGCTTTCATTTGATCTAGCCTTTCAAATTGATCCCACAAGCTCTGATATGTCAAAATTAGAATTCGACACCCTCAAATTACCTAGAAAAACAACATTTGGAATAGAAATTAAGAAAGAAAGAAATATTAGCCTTTTAGAGCTTTTTTAAAACGCGAAAAAAGGTGCGCTAATGGGCTAGGTGCGGAAAAAAAGGTGCGCAAATGTCCGGGTGCGCAAAAAAAAGGTCGCATTTGTCCCACTCCCCAATTTGATATCAAATGTCCAATTATCAAATGTCCAATAACCAATCAAATACGCTTAATCGATTAACGATATTTATAGAATATTTTGAACAATTTATCACTTTGTATTTTGCCTCTATCTTCATTTTTAAGCTTTGCAACACTGCAGAGGCAAAATTTCAGCCGGTTTAACAAAATATTAATAAAAATTGTTCAAAAGTTTCTAAAAATATTATCAATAGATTACTAAAAATATTATCAAGCATAATGACATGCTTGATTACTCCAGAAAAAGTAAAATAACGTTGGTAAAACAGTCAAGAAATATAATCGGATGGCCAAAGAAATATTATCAAAGTGGCCCCCTCTCGGAGTTTATTAGTAGCAAGCTTTTTACATTCTACAAAAGCACAGCCGTATTGGAACCGTATTGGAACCAGCTACTTGTTAAAGCCAGCTACTTGTTAAAGCCAGCTATACTTTAAGTCTCGTATTAAAATACTTTTGGCTTGTAGAATTTGATGACTTGTGGACTGTAGACTTTATACAAATCACTAGTTTCAAGATTTATGCCTAAAGCCTATTTCTCAGCAAGATAAAACAAAAACTCACCGATTTGGCTTCTTTTCAAGCTCAGCTTTTCCCTTTTGAAGCTCAGTTCTATTTTTAAATAAAAGCTGTGTGAATTTATTGAAATTTCAGGCTTGCAGCAGTTGCACCGTTGCGCGAAGGCGATGAGCTGAACCTTGACTCGACAGATACCGCATTGAAGGAAGCGAAAGAAAAAGCAATCGAGATGGTCAACAAGGGAAAAGCTGAGCTTGAAAAGAAGCCAAATCGGTGAGTTTTTATTTTATCTTGCTGAGAAATCGGCTTTAGGCATAAATAGGCATAAATAGGACTGTAGGCATAAATAGGCATAAATAGGACTGTAGGCATAAATAGGCATAAATAGGACTGTTATAACACTGTTATAGCACTAATTACTGTTTCATTTGCATTTTTAGCCGTGACGAGATCATCTTGGTGGTTGTGGTCGGTGTGTTTTGTGTTGTTTTGACGATTGTGGCATGTAAGTATTTGTTTCTGATAGACAACTTAAAACAATAGACTTTAAGTCTGGTTTTTGAAGCTATTTGAAGCTTTTTGAAGCTATTTGAAGCTTAATGTGATCTATTTGATATTCTACAATACTTATAATGTTTGTTTTAGTGATAGCGCTCGTGTTCGTGGGTCTCATCGCCGCGAAAGTGATTTGATTGATGAATGGCACTCGACTCAAACACGCTCAAACACGCTCAAACACTCAAAACGAAAAAAAAATCGCCACTTTTGCAATGAATAAACGATTTCTCTATTTTCTGTACTGTATTTTTAGATATTTCTATATCTATATTCTTATTTTATGATTAAAAATGTATTTATTCAAAGAATTCGAGTAAAAACACAGCCGAAAATTCTAACGTTTCTTTTTAGGGGAATGGACATCCGTCAACGATCACCTAAAAGCTTCGTTTATGTTATGTGACGACAGTACATACTAGTACTTTGTACACTATGTATTAGGTTGATGCATAAGTCTTTTCGTTCCTTTTCGTCTGCCGTTTCAAGCCAACAAATGCACCAATTAAACTACGGTTGATTTCATTAGAAAAATCAATTATTTTTCTGCAAAATAACAATAAAACGGGGTTTAAAAATATTTTATGCCTGGATTTTCTTGAGAGTATGAAGTCGGGTAGTCAAAAAGGGCTAACTCGATGATGCGGTTTAGACACCTTAGCTAAAGAAAACCTATCTTCGTGTCAATAGATAAAAGATAGAGAAAAAAGTTTGATATTTCGCCAAAATTTCAGAGAAATTCATTCAGCCAATTTTTCCGTAGAGTTTTTTTATAGATTTTTACGAAAAAGGCGTTTTTCACTCTCGAATTTGCTTGAAAGTGAACCGAAATTGATTTAAAAAGATGGAAATTGAACAAAAAAAAACAAAAAACTTTTTTTTATAGAGCAAACTATAGATTAATTGGTGAATTTGTTACTTTTTAACAGAAGTACGAAAAAAACGAAAAGACTTATGCATCAACCTAATACATACTAGTACTTTGTACACTATGTACATACTAGTACTTTGTACAATATGTACAGTACGTAGTACTATAGCTATTTCTTTCCAAACTCACCTTGTTTATTTTAAGTGCATTCTCAAAGTACGTGGCTTTTCCGTTAATCGTCACGTAGCGGACACAACCCGCCAACGAAGACCTCAACTCAGCCTCTCTAGCTGCAGTAGCTGAAAATAAGCTCTATTAGAACATGCAGTAATATAATATAATACTAGTACTTTGTACAATATGCACAGTACGTATTATATTATATTGCAAATTATATTATATTACTAGTCAAATAGGGAACCAAATTTAGAGAGATTGGGAACCAAATTTGAAGAGATAGGGACCAAATTTAAAGAGATGATTTTTCACCTGACACTCCGGCTACGTTGAGCGGCAATTTTGTGAAAAGATGGCGCACGGTGGGCGTGAGATAGACCATCACCTCGTGACGTTCCTGAGATTTTCGATGAATTCAGAGGATTACGATAAGCAGGACTCATTTTAGAGTCCCTTCCATCGAACTCACCTCATCAATCTGTACAGCCAATCGATCTGCGTGCAACTCGACCTTGATCGAATGCCAACGTCCATCGCAGATTGGACGAAGCACCGGCAAAACGTCTCTCACTTCGACATTTGACTCGGAATGGAGAATGCTCACGTGAAGCTGGAAATGGAGTTAGAGAAATCTGATTTTTTAGCTCTTACCGTTTCTTCTTTTAATTCAATCGCCAGTCGATCTCTTGGATTCGAATTTGAGAGCAATGCGACGATCGTTCCGTTTGAGGCGATCGGTCGAATGTCAACCTCGAACCATGGGATTCCCTCCCATGGCACTTTGCTTAGCGGTTCTAAAATTGGTGATTGGTGTCTTTTAGAAAGCTTTAAAGGAGGACTGTAGCTTGGTACTATCACTTGGTACTTAAAGGAGTACTCTAATTTCTATTGCCACTCACCGAAGACAGCGTATCCCTCATTGTGAATGTAAGCGGCTTTTGAGTGAGTTGACCCACACGGGATCACGTCGCGAGATGTTTCCGTCAACAATGGATGGACTCTAGAAATTTGGGGATTATGATTACGGTAGTCGAATTAACGCACATATTGTCGACGGTGAACTGTCGAATGCATCCTTGCAGTGATTGGGGTAGAGGGAGACCGAGTTGGCGATGAGCTGAGATCACTCCGCCCACGTACATTCGTCGGCGCATCACTTTTGGATGCGGACAATCGCGGATGACGAGCGGGGAAAGACCCTCGTCCACCTGGAATTTTTGAGAATCGTTTGCGAAAACTGGCAGCGTTTTCTAAAAAGGATGAACTTGGCTACGATTCAGGCTCGGGAAAGCTATCCTGGACTTCTAGATGATTCTAGAGATGATTCTAGAATGATTCTAGATGATTCTAGATGATTCTACCGTAATCTTAGAGCTTCTAATTACTTGAATGACTTCTCGATCGACTTCTACTTACCTGAATGATGACTTCTCGGTCGGCTTTACTCAAGCGAATCAAATGCCATTGTCCGTCATCGATTCGACGATCAGAAAAGACGACTCGTTTTGGTTCACGATGACCTGAGAATTGATTTCGTTAAGCACAAGCAATACTATTTGCATGCAAGAATACTGTAACTACAAGTAGAGCTAAGCTTTGCAATCTTTGGAGTGCATTGCATGCTGTCTGTCTGTCTGCATTGCGTCTGTTTCTCGTGTCGTGTCTCTTTATCCTTTCCAAACCAACCTCGAACTTCGAACGTCAAAAAGCCTTGATCCAGAGTCAAGGTGAAATACCTCGTGTAGTTCTTGTAATTCGCCCAGGTCCAGAGGATTCCACTTGGGGAATCAGTGCGAACTTCGAATTGCACAGTGAATCTAAATTGAGAATTTTGAGATTTTCAGCTACCGGAAGCTGTTACAGTAAGAAGTTCCAATATGGTTCAGATACGGTTTCAATATGGTTCCAATATGGTTCCAATATGGTTCCAATATGGTTCAGATATGGTTCCAATATGGTTTCAATATGGTTTCAATATGGTTTCAATATGGTTCCAATATGGTTCCAATATGGTTCCAATATGGTTCCAATATGGTTCCAATATGGTTTCAATATGGTTCCAATATGGTTCTTAAAAAGCAAAAGTGGGGATCGAACTCTCGCGGTCTCTCGCTCAGGAAACGAGCGCTGTACCACTTGTCCATGACTGCACCAAGTCCGGACCGCAAGGTGGCCGTTAAGGAGCCCGCTAAGACCCAAATGACCACAGTCCCTAACAAAATTTTAGACACTTGTAACTCCTGACAGATTGTCATTTAGCAAAAACCGAATATCGATTCGGAATCAGCGTAAAATTTGCGTCAAATGGTATAGGTCGCATAAGATTTGGCTCAACCAATCCCTTGTCAGATTGTTAACTCAAATTGTTGGCTTTTCAACTCTTTTCATGGCTTTTTATTAAACTAGGATTACTGTATCATGTTGAACAATTTTCTAGAACTTTTCAAACATACGATTGAATCTCTGGAGCTTGATCTCTGTTGAAGTTTAACCGTGAATGGGAGGATTTCGCGACGCCGAATCGTGTCGCATCGGCTCCATCAGAAATGGCTGACGAGAAACCGATACACTAAATGGATATTTACAATAATCAAGTACAAAACAGTATTGTACTTTGTTTAGTAATGTACTTTAGTATTTAGGCTATTAAAAGTCTTAAGTTCTTTAGCCAAACACTCACCGATCCCTTTGCCGGCTCGACTTCATTGGAGAGCTCGATTGGACCAACTGGAATTTGAGTTAACTTTGAATTTTAGGGTTAAATTTTAAGTTTAAACTTTAATTTTAAACTTTAATTGACAGGTTTACTGTAAGTTTTTTTAAATGTTATTTAAAATTTCGCTCTAGATTTAGAAGTTTAGATTTAGAAGTTTAGATTTAGAGCTTTAGATTTAGAGCTTTAGATTTAGAACTTTAGATCTAGAGGCTAAAGCTCTAAAACTAAAGCTCTCTAAGCTAAAGCTCTCTAAGCTAAAGCTCTAAAGCAAAAGCTCTAAAGCAAAAGCTCTCTAAGCTAAAGCTCTCTAAGCTAAAGCTCTCTAAAGCTAAGGCTCTCTAAAGCTAAAGCTCTCTAAAGCTAAAGCTCTCTAAAGCTAAAGCTCTCTAAAGCTAAGGCTCTCTAAAGCTAAAGCTCTAAAGCTCTCTAAACTCACTTTGTGGATCGACGATCACTGGAGACTTTTTCCGCTCAGATGGTGGCGCTTCCAAATCAACACCTTGATCTAAAAAATGTGTTTAAACATCTCCTTTCGAAAGGCTACGATACTTTTGGGAACAATCATCCTTTCAGTTGATTGTTTTGAATCAACTGAAAGGATTATGGTACTAAAAATTACCCATCAAAATATGCGGTGCTTCGAGGGAGCAAGTGCCTAGCTGAGCCTTGTGCTGCTGAGGAACAAGCGGGTGTCTCCTAGAAAAAAGAATTTTAGAATTTTGTCTAGAAAATCTACATCTCTAGATCTCTAGATAAAAAGATAGAATTCAATGTTTTATATACTGTACTTAGTCTTATTGAAGAGCTAAGTCTTCAATTTTTCAATTTTTCAATCATTCTCCCATGATTCTTCTTCGTCCTCTAGGTAGATGCCTTCTTTTGAAAGGAATACCGTAATCATTAGATATTCAATAGCTTTATCTATTCTCTGTTCTCTTTTCTCTGTTCTCTTTTCTCTATTCTCTTTTCTCTATTCTCTTTGTTCTTTTAACTTAATTCAAAGCTCGTACTTGAAATTATGTGTGAGATCAGAGATACAGCCGATCAACGGCGCTGCCGACGGGATCTCTGTGGATGGCGGTTGAACTCCGGATGGGAAACTAAAGTTTTTAAGTTTATGTCTAATTAGAGGTCTAAGTCGAAGTCTAAGTCTGTCGAAGTCTAAGCCTAAGCCTAAGCCTAAGCCTAAGCCTAAGCCTAACCCTAAGCCTAAGCCTAAGCCTAAGCCTAAGCCTAAGCCTAAGTCGAAGTCGAAGTCTAAATCTAAGTCAAGGTCTAAGTCGAAGTCTATGCCTAAGTCACTAAAGTTTCACGTCTACTCCTGTAAAACTAAACAAATCGCAACTCACCCTCCCAAATAAAGTGCCAAACTCGCGCCACCAATCGGCGCCTCATCAACGAGCGCGTCAGCACCCACCTCTCGGTCATCAACTCGTAATCGGACACTAAAATCTTTCAATCTTCAATCTAGATCAAAAATCAAAAGGGATAAATCGAAATTTATATCTATAAAGGCAAAATTTCTCATAACTTCTGTGATAAATTGGTTAAAAAGGTTTTCTATAGTTATTTCAATAGCTATTTCTACAGCTATTTCTATAGCTATTTCTACAGCTATTTCTATAGCTATTTCTATATCTATTTCTATCACTTACTTGTCCCCGTCTCTCACAAAAAACACAGAATGAGGATTTCCATCGTTGTAAGTCTAAAGAAAACATCGTAATGAGGTAAATGCTAAGATAAAGTTGCTTATTATTTTCACTATCGCTCACTGAAGTGCTTCGAATCGTGATTGCACTCTGGCGTTGGATCGGATCGAAACCAAAATACGTGACGAGATAGCCGCGGAAAAGATAAATCGAGAGAAAACCCTGAAAGCGAGATTTGAATTCAATCGATTTTCAATATCCATCGATTTCAATATCTATCGTTTTTAAACGAACCAATGCTTGAGTTTGTCGTCGATTTCTTGAATTAGCTGACAACCCGGCTGACATATACGCGAGAGTACCGTTTTCCTCTTTTGTACGGAAAGTGAAGGATAGACTGAAAAGAATGTAAATCTAGCTATTGATATCTATCTATCTATAGCCAATAATTCATTCTATAAAGCTAGAAAGCTAGAAACTCAACGAAATTCCATTATTTTTATCGAAAATTTCCTAATCCAACTTTAACCTCAAATATCTTCGTGTTCAGCTATCCGATTTCGATATTTTTAATACCATTGGATGCGCCAAGTCTTTCTCTATTGATTGGTAGGAAAACTATCGAAATTGGACAGCTCAACGCTGAGAAATTTGAGCTTAAAGTTGGATTGCCAATGGCAAAACTTTGAGCTCAAATTTCTCGGTGTTGGGCTGCTCAATTGAAATAGTTTTGGTATCATTAGATGCGCTAAGTCTTTCTCTATTGATTGGTAGAAAAACTATTGAAATTGGACGGCTCAACGCTGAGAAATTTGAGCTTAAAGTTAAATTGCCAAAGGGCGCGGTGGGGATTGGCAAAGGGGGCTCCAAAGGACCCACGATCTTTAAAGACCCGTTTGAAAGCGAGACCACCGGTCACCCCGATGGCCGAGTGGCTAGCAGCCTTGTCTCTTAGTCGAGAGGTCAAGGGTTCAATCCCGGTAGCTTCATTGGCTTGCTTCTTTTTTTCATGACCAAAAGACCCACGATCTTTAAAGTGACCCGTTTGAAAGTGACCGCACCAATCGCCCCCATGGCCGAGTGGCTAGCAGCCTTGGCTCTTAGTCGAGAGGTCAAAGGGTTCAATCCCGGTAGCTTCATTTCCTTGCTACTTTTTTCATATAAATGGAAATTTTCTTTCCTAGATTTAGAGCTCCTTTGTACTACGTTTTTCATTTAAATAAATGCATTTTAAAATCAATTTTAGACAATCAATTTAGACTTACGACGAGTTCGTCGTGATCTCAACGCCATTTGTCACCAAATATCCTGGTGTGGTGAAGCCGATTAAACGATCGGCCGCCAGTCGCCCGTTCACAATTCGACAACCCGCCGAGCGACGAAGCGATCGAGCTGGCGACGCCACGTTCAACTCGTTTACCTGAATTTTGAATTGGATTCGATTTTCTGAGTACTATGTGACAATTAAGTAGTATTAAGTAGCACTTAAGTAGCACTTAAGTAAGCAAAGTACCTGAGTTGGCTTCACTGAAAGAATGCAGCCGGTGAAGCCACGCCATTGAATGCCGAATTTCGAGAATTTACTTGTCGGGAACTCTGGCGGGACACCAGCCACGAAATGCTCGGCACCTGGGAAATTGAGATTTTAAAAAGAAAGCATAGATCTAACAAGCCTCGACAGTTACAGACTTGTCTAGGGAAAAGCCTAGGCTTGCCTGGACCAGCTTAGGCTTGTCTGGACAAGCCTAGGCTAGCCTGGACAAGCTTAGGCTTGCCTGGACCAGCTTAGGCTTGTCTGGACAAGCTTAGGTTGCCTGAACAAGCTTAGGCTTGCATGGACAAGCCTAGGCTTCTAATCCTAGCTTTGGTCTTGATAGGACAGGTGTAGGCTCGAATTTAAGGCACAAGGGATCCCAGAGAGGCTCATCTTGAGCTGTTATGAGCCTCTTTGAAGCCTCCTCTGCGCTTATAGCTCAGTGGTTCGCTCGGAAAGCGAACGGGGGATTGAGCTCGAGTTCGATCCCCCGATCCGCATAGAGGGTTCCTTTAAGAGCTCATAGAACTCTAATCAGGCAGACAACCAGAGCCAGAGGTTTTGCCAGGTCTAGGCTTTGATCTGAGCCTGTTTCAAGCCTGGTTCAAGCCTGGTTCAAGTCTGGTTCAAGCCTGGTTCAAGCCTGTTTCAAGCCTGGTTCAAGCCTGGTTCAAGCCTGGTTCAGGCCTGGTTCAAGCCTGATCAAGTCTGGTTCAAGCCTGATCAAGCCTGATCAAGCCTAATCCAAGCCCGATCAAGCTTTCAGGTGCTAGATCCAATTGAAACATCTTTAAAACCTTACCTTGTACATTGAGCTGCGTATTCTTTCCAGAAATCACTGTGCTTCGACGATCAGCATCCGAATCAACCTAAAGAAAATGAAAAATAGATAACTAGATAACTAGATAACTAGGTAACTAGATAACTAGGTAACTAGATAACTAGGTAACTAGATAACTAGATAACTAGCTAACCAGCTAACTAGCTGACTAGCTGACTTTTAAACCTAATTCCTGAGCGATACTGTATCTGTATATATCTGCTATATCTGTATTTTATTCGATAAATCGTTTAGAGTTTTAGTTTTAAAGTTCTAGTTTTAAAGTAGTTTTAAAGTATTTTTCAATTTCTCTCTTTTATCTACTTGTAAATGAAGTTCATTTCCGTTTCGAATCGCTTTCGCTGTGTGTTCTTTTCCATCCGCGTAAAGGGACGAGGAGCGAATCTCAGCCACAGAACCCTTTCCAAGATTAATCTAAAATATCAAAGATTAAAAGATCGAGAAAAATGTGCTTATAAAGAAAAAGTATAAGAAGATTTATAAAAGAAAAAGTGAAGAAAAGAGAAAAACGCGAAAGAAATCTTGCTAATCAAAATTTTCATGTTTTTGATTGAATTTTTGATGTTTTAATGCAAGTTTTCTTCAATTTCTATATTCTAAAATATCAATTTTCTATTTAAATCCTATTTAAACACTATTTAAATTGATTTAAATTGATTTAAATTGATTTAAACACTATTTAAACCGATTTAAATCTATTCAGACACTATTTAAACCGATTTAAACCGATTTAAACCGATTTAAATCTATTCAGACACTATTTAAACCGATTTAAACCTATTTAAATCTATTTAAACACTATTTAAACCGATTTAAACCGATTTAAACCGATTTAAACCTATTTAAATCTATTCAAACACTATTTAAATCGATTTAAACACTACTTAAATCTATTTAAATTGATTTAAATCGATTTAAACACTATTTAAACACAGAAAACTATATAAAAAACAAACTTTGAAGACCAGAAATCCTTTCTCTAGATAGAGAGCGATGAAATCTCGACTTTCTTCATCACCTCGGAAATAAAGAAGCCCTAGAATGGGGATTAGATTTCTAGAGGACGAATTGAAACAAATCCCAATCTACCTTCAGTTGAATGTGTGTTAAAAGCGACAGCTAACGATGAAACTGTTCGTTCACTAACAGCAAGATTCACTTGAGCGAAACCGTCCCTAAAATCATTCAATAAATAGCTAGAACACTCAATAAATAGCTAGATTCAAGTTAAGCTTTAGCTTTAGATCTTTAGAGCTTTAGCTTTAGAGCTTTAGATCTTTAGAGGTTTAGATCTACTTGAAATGCTGAGCGATTGGTGCAGCAGCTGGTGGTGCAGTGGCTCCCTCGCACTCCTTTGTTGACTCGTGGAAAGACCACAGCTCGACTGGAGTCTAGAAAACGGGATTTGATTGGACTTGAATGGATTTGAATGGGTTTTATTGGATTTGATTGACTTCTGTACCCCCTTTGGTCAATAAACTTTACGATTTACTGTACTGTATTCTGTTCTAGAAGTCGTAGAAAGGTTATTAAAGGTTCTTAAAGGTTTTTAAAGGTTTTTAAAGGTTATTGAAGCTTATTAAAGGTTATTAAAGGTTATTAAAAGCTTATTAAAGCTTATTAAAGCTTATTAAAAGGTTTCAAAAGCTTTTTTCAATAGCAAACAAACCTCGTCAACTCGTAAACCACCAACAACACCCCGGAATTGACCAGTTTGAAGACTCATCTCCTGGAAATAAGAAGCCTTTAAACTCGTGCTTCTAATCTAGCTATCGTCAATCCCCTAAGCCTAAGCCTAAGCCTAAGCCTAAGCCTAAGCCCAATTTTATGATCTACTAAAACAAACCCTAGCTTCATCATCGGAAACACCGAACGAGATCAGTGTCTCACCGGGAACTGTATTGAAAATCGCATCGTTGTTGCTTGCGTGTCGACCAGCCGAAACTGAGATTGGATCGGATCGAAGTGGAGCACCTGAAAACATTTTCAAAAACGTAAGCTATCTAACAAAGAAGCGATCTAAACAAAGAAGTCTCAAAGAAATCCAAAAGAAACCCTAAAGAAGCACCAAGAGGAATTGAACCCTCGACCCAGCCTTTACCACTCGCTTGACAACCAAATGCTTTACCACTGAGCTATTAGCCCTTTCGTTACCCGAGGAAAAATAGGAAAGACAAGGAAAGAGAAAGGAAATCTTTATGCAAGCTTGATTTAGCTTGGTTTAGCTTATAAGCCTCTCTGAAGCAAGGGCGATCGAGATGCGTTGTGGTGTAATGGTTAGGACGCTTGGACGGTGAGCGAAAGGTCGGGGGTTCGACTCCCGGTGGTGCAAAAGTTTTGATTTTCTTTAGTTTCAACTCCTGGAATCGAATTGGAATATTTGGAAGATCATTTCTACAGAATAAATCAATTTAATCTTCAATTTCAATTCTTTCAATCCATTTTTCTTCTCTTATCTGATTTGTCTGATTTTCGATATTAAAACAGAAAATTAAGATGAAATTTGATGTAATTTTTCTTCAATTACCTTCTCCAATCGTGTTTTCTCTCAAAGCAACGGTTAGATTGAGAAAATCGCCACTCCTTTCCACATCAATGTGATACCAAGTGCCGGCAGCCGATCGATCATTGTGCGGGATGAAATAGATTTGATGCGTATTTGTTGTCTTTTTCTTTCCACTTCCAATATTCCAATGAGCGATCACGCGACGGCCAACGATCTAAAATCAAACTAGTAAAGTAAAGAATAAGAAAGATTTCTGAAAAGAGATTGAAAGAAAGATTGAACCTTCGATCTTTCTCTTTTGGGAAATGATTTAATGATTAATGATTAATGATTGGAAATGATTTGGCATCTTCTTGCCAAAGAAAGGGGGAATATAAGGGAAAGAGAAAGGAAGGAAGAGAAGAGAAGAGAGAAGAGAAAGGAAGTAGAAGAGAGAAGAGAAAGGGAGGAAGAGGAGGAAGAAAGAGAAGAGAAGAGAGAAGAGAATGGAAAAAAGAGGAAGAGAGAAGAGAAAGGAAGAAAGGAAGAAAGAGAAGAGAAGAGAGAAGAGAAAGGAAGTAGAAGAGAGAAGAGAAAGGGAGGAAGAGGAGGAAGAAAGAGAAGAGAATGGAAGAAAGAGGAAGGAGAAGAGAAAGAAAGAAAGGAAGAAAGAGAAAGATGCTTTGATGAGATGCTGATGTCTGTAAAAGTCAACCTCAACAGCTACAAACTCGCTAGCGAGTGTGCGACGACTCTTTGTCCTTGTCGCAAAAACGATTGTATCGGGAACACCCTAGAATTGAAAAATGAAGAAAAGAGATGTTGATTTAAACCTTGAGTGGACGAAATTTCACATGGAAAGAGTTTGATGATGATGGAGCGGCCGGGGAGATAAAACTTCGACGACAATAGCCACGCTCGTCTGCACGGAGAGCTACTGGGATCTAAAATTGTTGGATTGATTGGGTTGGGTTGGCTAGGCTTGGCTAGGCTTGGCTAGGCTTGGCTAGAAGTGCTTGGGTTAGCTAGAAGTGTTTGGCTAGAAGAGAAAGCTGTAAAAGAGAGTCTAACACTTCTACAATAGCCTAGAAAGCGATAGTAGAAGACAGTAGAAGACAGTAGAAGACAGTAGAAGACAGTAGACGACCGTAGACGACCGTAGAAGACCGTAGACGACAGTAGACGACAGTAGAAGACAGTAGAAGACAGTAGAAGACAGTAGAAGACAGTAGAAGACAGTAGACGACCGTAGACGACCGTAGAAGACCGTAGACGACAGTAGACGACAGTAGAAGACAGTAGAAGACAGTAGAAGACAGTAGAAGACAGTAGAAGACAGTAGACGACCGTAGACGACCGTAGAAGACCGTAGACGACCGTAGAAGACCGTAGACGACAGTAGACGACAGTAGACGACAGTAGAAGACAGTAGAAGACCGTAGACGACCGTAGACGACAGTAGAAGACAGTAGAAGACAGTAGAAGATAATAGACGATTACAGGAAGACATTGAGTACAATTTTCCCCTACCTGTTGTGCTCTTTCTCTTGCTTCTCCAATCTTTTCCTTTAGCAAAGCCACTCTTTTCTGAATCTCTTCAATTCGTTCACGATTCGCTAGAATCAATGCATCCGCTTTTGCCAGAGCTCCAGAAGCATTCGAAAGTTCTTTTCTTGCTTCAATAATCTAAAAAAGATTCTTGATTTCTTTAGAATTCTACTTTAGAGTTTAGACTTTAGAATTTAGATTTCTTTAATCTATTTAACTTGTTAGCCAAACTTGTTAGGCAAACTTGTTAGCAAAGCTTGTTAGCAAGAATTCTGTGATATCACTGGCTCAAGATGAAGCTATTGAACCTGTGAAAGCACAGAACTCTATCACAGAATTCTATCACAGAACTTGTGCAGCAACTACAGTAATACTTGTTAGCACAAGAATTCTCTGATTTCACTGGCTCAACTAGCTTCATCTTGGATAAAACTAGAGTATTACTTGCGCTGAAAGTAATACTCTAGTTTTAGCTCAAGATGAAGCTAGTTGAACCAGTGAAATCACAGAATTCTTGTGCTAACTAGCAAGCTAACAAGCTAAGAAGCTAGCAAGCCTGCAAGCTAACAAACCAGCAAGCCAACAAGCTAGCAAGTTAACAAGTTAACAAGCCAACAAGCTAAGTTTTCTGAGTTCTTTAAAAGATTCCTATTATCTCTTCCTTTTATCTTTTCCTTTTATCTATTCCTTTTCACCTTTTCAATCTCCTCGCGAATCCCTTGCGCAGTCGAGTTAGCCAATTTCTCTGTGAAATCTCGAATCTAGAAGTGTTTACTTAAAGATAAACTATGAAAAGACAATATTCTAATAAAGATAACTAAGTAATAAAGACTCCTAAAGACTACTAAAGGCTCCTAAAGACTCCTAGAGACTCCTAAAGACTCCTAGAGACTCCTAAAGATTCCTAAAGACTACTAAAGACTCCTAAAGACTACTAAAGACTTCTAAAGACTTCTAAAGACTACTAAAGACTCCTAAAGACTCCTAAAGACTTCTCAAGACTCCTAAAGACTCCTAAAGCCTCCTAAAGACTCCTAAAGACTTCTAAAGACTCCTAAAGACTCCTAAAGACTACTAAAGACTCCTAAAGACTCCTAAAGACTACTAAAGACTTCTAAAGACTCCTAAAGACTCCTAAAGACTCCTAAAGACTCCTAAAGACTAATCAGACTTGTTTACCTTACCTCAGTCACTCCTTTCCTTATCACCTCCGCCGTTCTCTTGACATCAGCCGCTTTCTTCGCTCCTTCATCAGCCATTTGTTGCAATCCACTCATTCGCTCATGTTGATCGTCGAAATTATCGAGTTGCGCTGAATCACTCTTCTTACTGAACTTTCTAACTAACTTACGCTTTATCGCGTCTCTTCTTCTCGTCATATCGATTATTTGCTCATTGACGAAACTCAAGCGCTCCTTTAGCTTCTCGTTCTCTTTTCCCAAACTCTCTTCCGTCCAAATTGTCTAGAGTTTTTAAAAAAGATTATCGAAAAGAAACTCTAGAGGTTTTAAGTCATTTTTGATTAGTTTTTAAGGAAAAATAGAGAAAATCAAAAGAAATCAAAAGAAATCAAAAGAATTGCTAAGTCTGGATCGGACAAGCTGACCGACTATAGAACTATAGACCCGAACTATAGAACTATAGAACTATCGAACTACTATAGAATGATAGAATTGAACTATAGAATAGCTCTATGCATGACCAGGTAAGACAGCCAAGAACTGTTGAAAATCCATTCAGAAAAAGCTCTGATCTGGCCTAGCTTTACCTGACTTTGATCTAGCTGATCTAGCTCTAGCTATGGGGGTTAGGCCTAGCTTGACTTGATCCTGGTTTGGCCTAGCTAGCTAGCTAGTCTAGTTGATCTGGCCTAGTCTAGCTGGCCTAGCCTGATCTAGTCTAGCTGGCCTAGCCTGATCTAGTCTAGCTGGCCTAGCCTGATCTAGTCTAGCTGGCCTAGCCTGATCTAGTCTAGCTGGCCTAGCCTGATCTAGTCTAGCTGGCCTAGCCTGATCTAGTCTAGCTGGCCTAGCCTGATCTAGTCTAGCTGGCCTAGCCTGATCTAGTCTAGCTGGCCTAGCCTGATCTAGTCTAGCTGGCCTAGCCTGATCGAGCTGATCTGGTCTAGGCTATTTGAAGCTTTTAAAATCACTATAATACTTCTAAACTTTAAGATAAAGTTTTTGGACAACGACAAAACGAACATTGATTGAAAGAGCATCGTCGCTCAATGAAAGACTTTTTTGTTGACTTGTTGAGACTGTATCCGTTAGTGAATCCTCTGAGCTGTCGGTGCCGAGTGCTTGATGAAAAGCGTTTTCAGCAGCTTGCTAAAGGGTTAGTTAATAGTAGAGATTGCAGTAGAGCTTTAGAGCTTCTAGTAGAGCTCTAAAGCTTCCAATAGAGCTTTAGAGCTTCTAGTAAAGCTATAGAGCTTCCAATAGAGCTTTAGAGCTTCTAGTAAAGCTTTAGAGCTTCTAGTAAAGCTTTAGAGCTTCTAGTAAAGCTTTAGAGCTTCTAGTAGAGCTTTAGAGCTTCTAGTAAAGCTATAGAGCTTCCAATAGAGCTTTAGAGCTTCTAGTAAAGCTTTAGAGCTTCTAGTAGACCTCTAAAGCTTCCAATAGAGCTTTAGAGCTTCTAGTAAAGCTTTAGAGCTTCTAATAGAGCTTTAAAACTTCCAATAGAGCTTAGATCCCTACCTGTGCCTTCTCTGCAGCTTTACTCGAATTCCTTAAACCGCCAACAATCTCATTATATGCTTGAGAGGCTTGCAAAGGATTCGCCGCCTCAGCTCTCGTTGTTCTAAAGGCAGATCTAAAGCCAGAGCCAGAGAAATCACACTTACTTAAAAGCTTCAAGAACTCTAGCTGAATGGGCTTGTAATTGTTTCGAGTGTTTGTTTGTTGGTTCCACAAAACTTTCATCGTATTCATCTGTGAGTTGAGCGTATCTGAGAAAGAAAACATTTGAGAATTCGCTTTGAAAGACTTACTTATTCGAAATATTCGTTAAATCGATGGCTAACTCGGCTGCTTGTGTAAGGCTTTCTCGAATTTTCCCATAACTATCAAAAGCGTCTAACAATTGCACTTCTTTTGCTTGAGCGACATCAGAACGAGCACCACTAGAAAGGAATTATTTGAGCTATAGAACTAGAACTAGGACTAGAGAACTAGAACTAGAACTAGGACTAGAACTAGAACTAGAACTAGAACTAGAACTAGAACTAGAACTAGGACTTGAGCTAGAACTAGAACTAGGACTTGAGCTAGAACTAGAACTAGAACTAGGACTAGAACTAGAACTATAGATCTACTAAAGAACAATAGAATAGAAGAACTGAAGCTAAAGATCTATAGAACTAGATCTATAGAACTAGAACTATAGATCTCTAGAACTATAGAACTATAGAATAGAACTAGTAAACCTAAGAACCCAAGAAACCCAAGAATCTATAGAACTATAGAATAGAAATACTGAAACTAAAGATCTATAGAACTCAAGAGCTACTATAGAACTATAGAATAGAACGACTAAATCTAAAAAGCTATAGAACTATAGAACTATAGAACTACTATAGGACTATAGAATGGAACCACTGAATCTAAAGATCTATAGAACTATAGAACTATAGAACTATAGAACTATAGAATAGAACTAATAAATCCAAGGATCTATAGAACCATAGAACTGCTACAGAACTATAGAATAGAACTAGTGAATCTAAAAATCTGTAAAACTATAGAACTACTAGAGAACTATAGAATGGAACTACAAAGTCGAAAGATCTATAGATCTATAGATCTATAGTATAGATCTATAGAACTATAGAACTAAAGAACCACTAAAGAACTATAGAATAGAGCTACTGAATCTAAAGATCTAAAGAACTAAAAAGCTATAGAACTATAAAACTATAGAACTACTAAATCTAAAAATTTATAGCTCTATAGAACTAAAACAAAATCCAAAAATCTCGCAAACCTTAACCCGTCCTCAGCTTCGGCTTTCAACTTCTCAATCTCGCTGATCACTTCCTAAAAAAGAACTTTATCTAAAGTAATGTTTAAAATCTAAATAACTAATTATAAAAGCAGCTCTTGGCAGCTCTTGGCAACTTCTGACAACTCTTGGCAGCTTCTGACAACTCCTGACAACTCTTGGCAGCTTCTGACAACTCCTGACAACTCTTGGCAACTCTTGCCAACCTTTTCTGATGCTCCCAGTCGAAACACACCCTTTCTAGCCCACTGAATTCTTCAATTCCCCTTTTTTCATGGTATTCAGTGAATGAAAAGAATTCAGTGCCCCAGAAAGGTTGTGTTTAGGCAAATTTTCAAAACTAGACCTTATATCGATCGATTCTTTTGGCGACAACTGTACTCATTCGACTCGCGTCTCCTCCATCTCTTTTCGCTTTTTCGTAGATTGTTGTCCGGAAATCTTCCACCAAAATCTCGAGATCAGCGAAACGCTAAAATTAATTGCTTTGCATTTATTGCTGAAATCTCCAGTAGCTCTTCGGATTATTCAAGTTTTAATGAAAATAATGAAAGGAAATTTACCTTCTTGATGTACTCGAAAGCCGTATCGTTTAGCTTCAACTGGGTTACTTTTTTCGCCAAATCGTCTGTTTTTCCCTAAATTTGGCCATGTATTAGAGTACTGTAGACTACTGTACAGTCCTCTAGACTACTGTAGAGTCCTCTAGACTACTGTACAGTCCTCTAGACTACTGTACAGTCCTCTAGACTACTGTAGAGTCCTCTAGATTACTGTACAGTCCTCTAGATTACTGTAGAGTCCTCTAGATTACTGTAGAGTCCTCTAGACTACTGTAGAGGCCTCTAGATTACTGTAGAGTCCTCTAGATTACTGTAGAGTCCTCTAGACTACTGTAGAGGCCTCTAGATTACTGTAGAGTCCTCTAGACTACTGTAGAGTCCTCTAGATTACTGTACAGTCCTCTAGACTACTGTACAGTCCTCTAGACTACTGTACAGTCCTCTAGATTACTGTAGAGTCCTCTAGATTACTGTAGAGTCCTCTAGATTACTGTAGAGTCCTCTAGATTACTGTACAGTCCTCTAGACTACTGTACAGTCCTGTAGAGTCCTCTAGACTACTGTAAAATTAGCGACAAATGAAACCTTTGTATCCTCGACTCTGTCATGCCGCTTCTCAACATATTCTCCTCTCTCAATCGTCGCATTCATATGAGCTTCGGACTCAGCCGCCCACATCTCGATTTGACTCGAGCCGACCGTTGTTCCGCCTAAGTTTTCCCTTGATATTCCCCTTTTATATTCAACATAGCACTGTTTTCTATCCTCAAGCACTATCGGGGATCGAACCCTCAATGAATCGCGTTAAAAGCTAACGTGCTAGCCACTCAGCCAAACGGTCATCAGCGAAGAGGGGGAAAAGAGAGAGTTTTAAAGGAAGAGAGCCATCTTGATCTAAGCAACGTGATTTGCTAGCAACTTTTCCTGCTAGCAACTTTTCCCCTCCTTACCATATCTCGAGAAATATTTGAGGAATTGCGTTGTGTTGAAAGAGTCCTTGTAGGCTTTTTGAGCATTTAATGCGATGATTTCGGCTCTTTTCGTAAAGTTAAGAATGTCATCTTCAGCTCGTTCAGCTCGATCCAACATGAAATTCGCCTGAAATTGATTTTTCGAATCTCAGCTTTCAAATCACTCGCTAAATTTCAAAATGTTAAGTCAGGGTGGTAATGGACATTGGCGTATTTCTCTCCAACATCCGACCATTTCCCTCCTAGTTATTTGCGCGGTTTTCGGCCCATGACGAGTAAAGTACCCGTACTGGTTCCTATCCGCAAACGACTTTCCCGAAGTCAGTGGGTGGGGGTCGAACCCTCGATGAGTGGCGGCGAAAGCGAGCACGCTAACCCCTCGGCCAAATGAGCATTGGGGGAGGCGGGGGAAAGAGGGGCTCTTAAAGGAAAGGGAGAGGAAAATCGATAGAGGATAGAATTTGATTTAATTGTTTTTATTCATTTAAAATCAATTTTTGATAGATTAAATTGGTTTTCTTTATTTAAAACGTTTATTAGATGATTCTAGATCGATTTTTAGCTAGATTTTGATGGGTTTTGATGGTTTTTTTGATGGTTTTTGAGGTTTTTTGGATAATTTTTGATGATTTTTGATGGTTTTTGATGGTTTTTAAAGATTTTTGATGATTTTTGATGATTTTTTGATGATTTTTGATGAATTTTGATGGGCTTTCGACGATTTTTAAAGATTTTTGATGATTTTTAATGATGCACGCCGCCAAGCCGAGTTGGTGACTATTTTACAGCTTCCAAGCTTTCCCAGAAGCTCAACACTCAAATCCCCCACTAGATCTCATCATCAGCTACATTTTCCGACCCCACATCAATACGTTCTGATAAGCGGTTCTCGAGATTTCGAGGAATTTAGGCAAAGCGAAGGATTCACTACTATTAGAGCACTACTATTAATGATTTTTCGATGTTTTTCGATGATTTTCAATGTTTTTCGATGAATTTCGATCATTTTCGATCATTTTCAATGATTTTCATCTATTTGTCGATGATTTTTAAGCATTTTCGATGATTTTGGATGATTTGTAGCTATTTTACAACGATTTCTAAGCATTTTCGATGATTTTTATCTATTTTCGATGATTTCTAAGCATTTCCAATCATTTCCACTCATTTCCACTCATTTCCACTCATTTCCACTCATTTCCAATCATTTCCACTCATTTCCACTCATTTCCACTCATTTCCACTCATTTCCACTCATTTCCACTCATTTCCCTCATTTCCCTCATTTCCCTCATTTCCACTCTTTCCACTCATTTCCACTCATTTCCACTCATTTCCACTCATTTCCACTCATTTCCACTCATTTCCACTCATTTCCACTCATTTCCAATCATTTCCAATCATTTCCAATCATTTCCAATCATTTCCAATCATTTCCAATCATTTCCAATCATTTCCCCTTACCTCATCAATAATCGAACCAGCTTCTTTTGCATATTTCGTTTTCCCATCGAAATCCAAAACATTCATCTCATTTGGATTCATTTGAAGGCCACCAACGAACGAAAAGAGCACTAAATAGAAAGAAGATAAAAGAAAAAGAAGATAAAAAGATTTTCGAGATCATTTTCTTGATTTTCTAGATTTTCTAAAAGAAAATCCAAGAAAAGAAACGATTTACAAGAAAGATTCTCTCTTGTACTTTGTACTGAACGCTGTTAAACGCTTGTACTTTGTACTTGGCGCTGTTAAACACTTGTACTTTGTACTGAACGCTGTTAAACGCTTGTACTTTGTACTTAACGCTGTTAAACACTTGTACGTTGTGCTGAACGCTGCTGAACGCTGCTGAACGCTGCTGAACGCTGCTGAACGCTGCTGAACGCTGCTGAACGCTGCTGAACGCTGCTGAACGCTGCTGAACGCTGCTGAACGCTGCTGAACGCTGCTGAACGCTGCTGAACGCTGCTGAACGCTGCTGAACGCTGCTGAACGCTGCTGAACGCTGCTGAACGCTGCTGAACGCTGCTGAACGCTGTTAAACGCAATCACAGCTTTCTAGTGCACAGAAAGCTGTGGTTTACTGAAGAAAAAGATGAATTTCTGATGAATTCAGTTCATTGTTTGGCTTATGTTTATAGACTTTAAACAAAAAGTACAAAGAAAGGCTAAAAACTGGGTTTTTTTTTCTTTCATTTCACTCACATTTTGTATTATTTTCGATTCGAGAAATTCGTTTCCATGGAATTGGACGAAGATTTGTGAAATTCTGAAAAGAAATCTAATAATGAAGCTAATAATGAAGCTTCCTTCCTTCCTTCCTTCTTGATCTTTCCTATTTCTTTGAAAAGAAGGCAATAGCTCAAGACTGGAAAGAAGAAAGGAAGCAGAAAGAAAGCAGAAAGGAAGCTGAAGAGAAGCAGAAGATCGAGGTTCGATTCCCCTTGGTTTCTATCTTTCCAATTCTTTAAAATGCTTAAAGATTACCTGTTCAGCTAGTGTCTCTTCCAAATCATCAATATCCAACATCAATGAGAGATAACAACCTTGATCGCATGATGTACACTTTCTGTTAATAAATGCGTGTCGCTCTTGACAACGGGAACAGTCACGACCGGTCACACCAGGTCTAAAATATCGTTTAGATAAAAGGATCTAGAGATTGTCCAGGGTACAGGGAAGTAGTTGATCTACAGTACAGGACAGTACGGTGTACGGTACAGCAAAGTACGGTACAGCAAAGTACCGTACAGTAAAGCACAGTACAGTACGGCCCAGTGCAATACAGTACAGTACAGTACGGCCCAGTACAGTACAGTACAGTGCAGTACAGACCAGTACAGTACACTACAGTACAATACAGTAGAATACAGTACAGTAGAGTACGGTCCAGTACAGTCCAGTACAATACAGTACAGTACAGTAGTACAATGCAGTACGGTGTAGTACAGTACAGCAAAGTAGAGTACAGTACAGTACAGTACAGCACAGTACAGTACAGTCCGGTACAATACAGTACAGCCCAGTACGGTCCCGTCCAGTACGGTGCAGTACAGTACAGCCCAGTACAGTGCAGTAGAGTCCAGTCCAGTACAGTACAGTACAGTACAGTACAATACAGCACAGTACAGTCCAGTACAGTACAGCACAGTACAGTGCAGTACAGCCCAGTACAGTGCAGTCCAGTCCAGTCCAGTACAGTACAGTACAGTCGGGTACAATACAGCACAGTACAGTACAGTACAGTCGAGTCCAGTACAGTCCGGTACAATACAGTCCAGTCCAGTCCAGTCCAGTCCAGTCCGGTACAGTACAGTCCAGCACAGTCCAGTACTTTCTAAGCTATAGTACTTCTCGAGTTACAGTACCCTTAAGCTAAAGCGGAGTAACAAGCTACAGAGCTACAACAAAGAACTTTTCAAGCTTCAGTACCCTTATAGACTACAGACAAATCCAAAGCGATTTTCTTGTTTCCAAAGTCTTACTTGCATTCACAGGCTCCAGTCAATGGGTGACACGATCCATGCAGAGATCCATCAGGATGACAATCACATTGCACACACTGTCCACCAACTGCTGACGGATCACCATAATAGCCAGCAACACAGCTGAAAATAGAGTTGACTACATGATTTGATGAGGCTAGATCACAGATTTGGTTCTGATTTGGTTCTGATTTGGTTTTGATTTGGTTCTGGTTTGACTCTGGTTTGGTTTTGATTCAGTTCTGATTCAAATCAGCTTCAATTCTGATTCAATTCTGATTCTCGATATCATTTGAATGATATCAATGAGTAAATCGGCAATGAGCTAATGAAATTGTGGATTAAGGTGCTTTCTTGGTTTATCCGATCTTTTTAGATTATAATAGTTTTCTAAAGTTGATCTAGGTTGATCTAAGTTGATCTAGGTTGATCTAGGTTGATCTACGTTGATCTAAGTTGATCTACGTTGATCTAGGTTGATCTAGGTTGATCTAGGTTGATCTACGTTGATCTAGGTTGATCTAGGTTGATCTAGGTTGATCTAAGTTGATCCGTTACTAAGTTGATCTACGGATCTAGCTGATCTAGGTGATCTAGGTTGATCTAAGTCGATCTACGTTGATCTAGGTTGATCTAGGAGCTAGGTTGATCTAAGTCGATCTATTGAACGATCTATTCAATCTATTGAACGATCTATTCAATCTACTCAATCTATTCAATCCATTCAACAAACCTCTCACAATATTGTCCAGTATATCCAGGCTTGCAAGCATCACAAAGATATCCACGACCGTAGTCAGTTTGTACACACGTTTCACTGAAAAAGTTCTTAAAGATTAATTCCCCCTCTAATTTTTTAAAAAGGGGGGGGGAGAGCTTTTGGGCCCGGGCTTGGCCCTGGCCCTGGGCCTGGGTTTGGCCCTGGGCCTGGGCTTGAGCTTGAGCCTGAGCCTGAGCCTGGCTAAAGCTGCCGTAGTTCATTGCAGTATTTAAGACATTCATTTAAGACAATATTCAGCTTTCAGACGACTTTAAAAGGACTAGAATGACTTTAAAAGCAGAAAAAACGTAGAGCTTTCTATTAGGAATTGATAAACGATCGCTTGTTCTGATTTGGATCTGATTTGGTTTTGATTTGGTTTTGATTTGATTTGGTTTTGATCTGATCTGATTAAAAAACCCGAGAGATTCAGATTTTGACACCTGAACGAGTTTTCCGTTAACGGACAAGCGCATTTCGTACAAGCCGCACTGCCACCACGAGTCGCGTCTCCGACAAAGCCTGGCTTGCACAATTCACATCGATCACCCCATGTATTGTGCTCACAATCCTGTAAATGCTTTATAATACGCAGGAAGAGCTAAGCTTGAGCCTGAGCCTGAGCTTGAGCCTGAGCCTGAGCCTGAGCCTGGGCCTGAGCCTGAGCCTGGGCTAAGATTTACAGATCTGCTAACTGCTAAGTAACTGCTTACCGTGCAAAGACAAGTCTCTGGATGGCAAGTCGTTGTGTGAGCATTGCAAGCGCACGGTTCACTCCATCCAACTGGCGCCAATTCGTCGACTTTATCCAAGAAATTGTTGGCTCTTCGTCGGCAAAAGCCTTCAGCTGGATCTTGACACGATGCGCCACCATAGCTGGAAAATCGATTGGATAATGATTTGATTAATGAGTTGGATAAGTATCGTTGCCTTTTATCCTTACAGCTCCTTGGTTACTGTAGTTGAGAGGACTGTATCTATGACAGACTGTAGCTCTACGTAGGGATACTAGCTCTAAGTAGGGATACTAGCTCTACAGGATACTAGCTCTACCGAGAGATACTGTAGCTCTACCGAGAGATACGGTAGCTCTACGGGATACTAGCTCTACGGAGAGATACTAGCTCTATCCAGAGATACTAGCTCTACGTAGGGATACTGTAGCTCTACCGAGAGATACGGTAGCTCCATCCAGAGATACGGTAGCTCTACGGGATACTAGCTCTACATAGGGATACTAGCTCTACGTATGGATACTGTAGCTCTACGTATGGATACTGTAGCTCTACCGAGAGATAGGGTAGCTGTAGATACTGTAGCTCTACGTAGAGACACTGTAGCTCTATCCAGAGATACTGCAGCTCTACGTAGGGATCCAGTAGCTCTACTGAGAGATAAGGTAGCTCTACGGGATACTAGCTCTACGTAGAGATACTAGCTCTACCCAGAGATACAGTAGCTGTAGATACTGTAGCTCTCGTAGAGACACTGTAGCTCTATCCAGAGATACTGTAGCTCTACGCAGGGATACTAGCTCTACGCAGGGATACAGTAGCTCTACCGAGAGATATAGTAGCTGTAGATACTGTAGCTCTACCCAGAGGTACTGTAGACCCTCCTATAGATCCTGTAGATCCTGTAGACCATCCAGGGGTAGTTCTAAACCCACCCATCCGGGCATTGATGACACTGCTCAACTCCAATTGCCGGTGATCCTTGAGTGTCCTTTGTGGCCACATCAAGGGAAGTCTATAAAAAACTCAGACATACAATACTACTGAATAACTACGCCGCCTATAACTATCAAATGAACGCTATAGTACCTCTGAAATCGAGATCGAGTCACCACGCGATGGATAATTGTACGAGCCACGAATGTAAACGGCCTAAAGATTTAAAAACGAGTTTTAGGGAGAAAATTTAGCTTGTTTTCGATAGAAAGAAGACTATTTCTGATACCTGAACGTTTTGCAGAGCCACCATTAGAAGCTTTCGTGTCACTGGGACTTCAGGAGAGAGTCGACTGCGCCACTCGGACTCGTGGATTCGAATCTATGCAAATTTTGCTATTAATATAGAGAGATTTAGGTTAGATAGATTTGACACTCGATTAGACGCACTTTTACTTCAAAAGACAATTCAAATCTGATCAAAAGACAAAAGACAAAATCAAAAGTCTAACGCATCCTCTGAATTCTTCATTTAAAACATTGTATGAAGAAAAATGAAGAATTTAGCGCTAAGGGACGGGATGAGTCAGCTTCTGATTTGCTTCGGATCTTCTGAATTGATGAGCTGATCGATTTGGATGAGCTGATCGATTTGGATGAGCTGATCGATTGGATCTTCTGACTTGATCCGGATCTTCTGATCAATTGGATGAGCTTTTCATCTCTGGCCATTCCCTTGCCATCCCCTTGTCATTCCCTGGCCATTGTCGCCCCCTAGAAACCGACAAAATCGAAGCTTTTCTAAATGTCATCCCCTTGTCATTCCCTTGTCATCCCCTTGTCATTCCCTTGTCATTCCCTTGTCATTCCCTTGTCATCCCCTTGTCATCCCCTTGTCATCCCCTTGTCATTCCCTTGTCATCCCCTTGTCATTCCCTGGTCATCCCCTTGTCATTCCCTGGTCATTCCCTTGTCATCCCCTTGTCATTCCCTTGTCATCCCCTTGTCATTCCCTTGTCATTCCCTTGTCATCCCCTTGTCATTCCCTTGTCACGGATGATCTGATCTATTGGATGATCTGATCAATTAGATGATCTGATATATTGGATGATCTGATCAGCGCAAAATCCACGACTTTATAGCTTTTTTTATTACCTACCTTGTACTTTCCGTCATCAGCGATTTCAAATGGAATATGCTCGAGTTCGATGCGATTGTTGCCAACAAGGACTACCTAAAGATAATCAGATCTTCAGTTGTTGGATCTGAAGGGTAGATATAGATATTTCATAGGTAGATAGATAGATTTGGATAGATGTTGATAGAACTAGATAGATTTGGGTAGATCTAGATAGATGTAGATAAGATGTAGATATTTGGTTGGGGACTATGACTCGGCGCCAAACTTTAAAGACACTTTTTGCACGCATAAAGCCTTCTTTAAATATACGTTTTCTTTCATCAAAAGGATCCACTATTTCTCTACAAAATCACTTTTGAGAGATTCGACAAAGCTTTTCTTTCGTGGAGTTTATGAACATCGAAACGCAGCTGATCAAAATGGCAAAGAGTCTGACTCATCGTTTGAACAGTTTCTTGCACATAAACCCTCTTTGGTGTATATGTAAAAAAGATAGAGTATATTCAATTACATAAGTTGCCGAATTTGCAGGAAGAGCCCTCCAACCGCCTTTTCTAGATGACAGTTTGTAGTTTTTGTGAAAAAATGGCCTTTTCTTGAGCTGAGGCGCTGTTTGAGTTTTCTTTTAAATGTCATTTTGTAGAGAATTCGTTAACTTTTCTACTGATATTAAGCGCGTATTATTTGACGAAGTCGAATAGAAGTTTTAGGAGTTTTTTTGATTTTTGGCGCCGAGTCATAGTCCCCAACCCAATAGATAGCCAATAGCTAGATCTAGATGTAGATAGATCTAGATAGATATAGCTAGACGTAGATAGATATTCAATAGCTAGATCTAGCTGTAGATAGATATTCAATAGCTAGATCCAGTTTTGGATAGATATAGATAGTCAATAGCTAGATCCAGATAGATCTTCAATATCTAGATCTAGATTTGGATAGATATAGATAGCTGGCCATAGATAGCCATAGATAGCCATAGATAGATCTTCAATATCTAGATCTAGCTCTAGATAGATCTATCTTGATCTAGTTTTCCACGAACTTGAGGGAAATATCGGAAAACTTTTGGATTCGGACGAACTCCTTGAATTCCCAGCCGATTGTCGTTGTTCGCGATCTAGAATTCGAAGATAAACATTTAAATAGAAAAAAAGCTATGAGATGAGCTATGAGTTCTGAAAAAGAGTGATCACCTTAAACCTCAAAAAACCATTGTAAGATCCAGTGCGATCACCAAGGAAACTCTTCGGGAGTTGCCAATACAATGGAGTGTCATCAGTGGGATACGAGTTGAAGTTACCCGTGTGTTCCTAAAGAAGATCTCTAGATGATCTGGAGCTAGATCTGGAGCTAGATTATCTAGATGATCTAGCTCTAGCTCTAGATCTAGAGCTAGATGATCTGGAGCTAGATCTAGTTCTAGATGATCTGGAGCTAGATCTAGATGATCTAGCTCTAGTTCTAGCTCTAGATCTAGATCTAGACGATCTGGCTCTAGATCTAGATGATCTAGCTCTAGTTCTAGTTCTAGATCTAGATCTAGATGATCTAGCTCTAGTTCTAGATGATCTAGCTCTAGTTCTAGCTCTAGATCTAGATCTAGATGATCTGGCTCTAGATCTAGATGATCTAGCTCTAGTTCTAGATAATCTAGATCTAGCTCTAGGTGATCTAGATCTAGCTCTAGACGATCTAACTCTAGATCTAGCTCTAACTAATCTAGATCTCATTTCCAATACCTGTAGCAGTCTAACATTGTGCTTTTGTGTGTAGTATTCCCAAGGTTCAACAAAAGTCGCTGATTGGTCCTCGGCATAGACTTGTTTCCTTAAAAATTGGATTAACAAGATTAATATTGGACTAATAGCTACAATAGCCTGTAGCTACTATAGCTACAGTACCCTGCATCCTGTAGCTACAGTACCCTGCATCCTGTAGCTACTGTAGCCTGCATCCTGTAGCTACAGTAGCCTCCAGACTGTAGCTACTGTAGCCTCCAGACTGTAGCTACAGTAGCCTCCAGACTGTAGCTACAGTAACCCTGCAGCTCTACAAATCTTTGCAACAAACCAAACAAGTTTCCCTTGCTCACAAGAGGTGGATCGATTAAAACAAAAGCATTCCGTGCATCCGAGTAGATTCGATAAATCCAATGAAAAAGACCCATCTTTGCACATCTCACATTTCTCTCCAACCACGTTTTTCTAAGAAATCTTATGATTTCAAAAAGTTTAACACAAACCTTGCATGGACATTTCCCTTTTTCATCGCAGAGACACAAGCCTTCACGACATTGAAGTGGATCTGTGCCTTCTGGTGTACAGGCACAAGGCTCACAAGTAGGGAAGTTGAAGAAGCCTAGAAGTTGATTGATAGAGAAGACTAGGAGTTGATTGGGCTAGAAGCTGATTGATCTAGAAGACTAGAAGCTGATTGGTCTAGAAGATGATTGATCTAGAAGCTGACTGATCTAGAAGCTGTTTGATCTGGAAGACTAGCAGCTGATTGATAAGGAGGTCTAGAAGTTGATTGATCTAAAAGTCTAGAAGCTGTTTGATCTAGAAGCTGACTGATCTAGAAGCTGTTTGATCTAGAAGCTGATTGATTGATCTAGAAGCTGATTGATCTAGAAGCCTAGCTGATAGCTCTGAGGCTAGCTCCAAGACTTATAGCTCCAAGACTCCAAGACTTATAGCTCCAAAACTCCAAGACTTATAGCTCCAAGACTCCAAGACTTATAGCTTCAAGACTCCAAGACTTATAGCTCCAAGACTCCAAGACTTATAGCTTCAAGACTCCAAGCCTTATAGCTCCAAGGCTTCATAGCTTCAAGACTTATAGCTCCAAGACTTCATACCCCCAAGACTTATAGCTTCAAGACTCCAAGACTTCTATAGAAACTAGACTGAAAGCACGATCGTCTAGCTAAGCAACAGGAAAGGCTTCAAACTTGAAGCCGGCTCGATTTTCTTCATCAGAAAAGCTTTTCATAGCTACAGTAGCCTGCATACTGTAGCTACATAGCTTTTCACCAGATAGCTTTATATTCAAATCCAAAATCGCCTTTCTAATAGATTATTTAGCATAAAAGTCTTTTGCCAAATTTGATTTAATCAACTGTTTAACCGCCTATTGAGACTCTAATGAGACAATGAGACAATGAGACTCTAACCAACTATTGAGACAACTATTGAGCTATAGGTTTAGAGCTTAGAGCTAAGCTCTAAACCTATAGCTCTAAATCTGATGTAGAGAGGAAAATAGCTCTAGCTACCCATAGCTAGCTACGAAAATAGACGAACTCACCGTGAGAGCATCGATCGCATTTCAATCCGACAAACTCCTCTTTGCATTCACACTAGAATTGGGGGATTTGTTTCATTGATCGATTGATTGATTTTCTTCCTCACCTGTCCTGTTCTTGGATTGCACTTGCTTGAAGCGGCTCCAACATCTGAGCACTCACACGTTTTACATCTAGATTTTCGTTTGATTTTCGTTTGATTCTGGATTTTGATTTCTGATAATTTCAGGTATGACGGCTAAGACTACAGTGAAGTACGGTAACTAAGGGAATACGGTGGCTAGAGGGAGTACGGTAACTAAGGGAATACGGTGGCTAAAGGGATACGGTGGCTAAAGGGATACGGTATCTAGGGAAATATGATAACTATGGGAATACGATAGCTAGGGGAGTACGGTAACTAAGGGAATACGGTGGCTAAAGGAATACGGTATCTAGAGGAGTACGGTGGCTAAAAGAATACGGTAACTAGGGAAATATGATAACTGTGGGAATACGGTGGCTAAAGGACTATGGTGGCTAAAGAAATACGGTAGCTAAAGGATTACGGTATCTAGAGGAGTACGGTAGCTAGAGGAATACGGTAGGTAAAAGAATACGGTAGCTATAGGAATACGGTAGCTTAGAGAATACGGTAGCTAAGACAACACGGTAACTAAAGGACTACGGTAGCTAAATAGCATTTTCAAGGCTAAATCCTCTTTTCTAAGTCTTAAACAAACGAGGATACTCTAGCGTTTCCTAAAAGCTGAATAATTTGGAAAACTACCGTAAGAAAGGATTACGGTAGCTTCCTAAACACTCAAACTTCTAAAAAACGAATTCTGCTGAGAAGGCTGAAGTTTGGAGAATACAGTGATTCTATAGGAATCACTGAATCAAGACTACCGTATTTCTTCGAATAGAAGACCGGGTAAAGAGTATGATCGCGTACTGCTGCGTAGCAGCCCTTATAGGATTACTGTAGTTACTCTAGAAGCTCTGTAGAAGCTATAGAATGTCTGTAGAGACTATAGGATGACTGTAGTTACTCTAGAAGCTCTGTAGAAAGTCCACCCCTCTCTCTTTCCAACCCAACATCTCCCCTGACCTCCAGCTTGACCCGTGCTTTCATCAGAATAGCTCTTTTTCTTCCCATTGTCGCCATTTTCTCTCATTCTCAACCATCCTCACTATCGGCTCCTCCCCTCGACGTCCACCCCTCTCTCTTTCCAACCCAACATCTCCCCTGACCTCCAGCTTGACCCGTGGCTTCATCAGAATAGCCTTTTCTTCCCATTGTCACCATTTTCTCCCATTCTCAACCATCCTCACTATCGGCTCCTCCCCTCGACGTCCACCCCTCTCTCTTTCCAACCCAACATCTCCCCTGACCTCCAGCTTGACCCGTGGCTTCATCAGAATAGCTCTTTTTCTTCCCATTGTCGCCATTTTCTCTCATTCTCAACCATCCTCACTATCGGCTCCTCCCTTCGAAGTCCATCGCCGATCTCTTTCCCTTCAACATCTCTACTGACCTCCAGCTTGACCCGTGGCTTCATCAGAATAGCTCTTTTTCTTCCCACTGTCGCCATTTTCTCCCATTCTCAACCGATCCTACTATCGGCTTCTCCCCGCGAAGTCCACCCCCTCTCTTTCCAACCCAACATCTCCCCTGACCTCCAGCTTGACCCGTGCTTTCATCAGAATAGCCTCATCTCTTTTCCAACTCTCTAATTCCTCCCATTCTCAAATCATTCAAGCCCATTTCCATAATTTTCGCTCTCTCTAACAGATTTGTTGAGCCATTTTCCAGCTCTATAACACTTGATTGAAAGCTAAAAAGGGCTGCTACGCAGGAGGGCTGCTACGCGATCATACTCTTTACCTGGTCTTCTATTCAATACGATAAATCCTACAGCAAATTCTATCACAAACCCTTCCAGCGGATGATAGTCCCAAGCGTCTTCCGTGCACCTCTCACACAGCTCACCCACAGTATTCGGGGGACAAACGCACTCACCCGTCACCGCGTCGCAGACTTGACCAGCAGCTGGACAAGTGGCACATTCTGAAAGGATTTTAAATATACCTTTTATACTCCTTTTTTTTGTTAGAATTTTTAGTTTAATAGATCCTTGTTAGCATTAGCGGAAGACAGGGTTTTTTATTCCTTTCGAGACATGCCGGAACGCAGGAAAGATGTTGAAGGGGAGAGAAAGGGGAGAAAGCGAAAATTATGGAAATCGGCTTGAATGATTTGAGAATGGGAGGAATTAGAGAGTTGGAAAAGAGATGAGGCTATTCTGATGAAAGAACGGGTCAAGCTGGAGGTCAGTAGAGATGTTGAAGGGAAAGAGATCGGCGATGGACGTCGAGGGGAGAAGCCGATAGTGAGGATGATTGAGAATGGGAGAAAATGGCAACAATGAGAAGAAAAAGAGCTATTCTGATGAAAGCACTAGCTAAGCTGGAGGTCAGGGGAGATGTTGAAGGAAAAGGAAACTGGCGTAGATGTAAAAAGCGACGGGGTGCTTTTGGTACAAGGTTTTATTGCAAAAATGTGCCCACCTTTGCACCCGCTTTCGGAGAGTCCCCAATGATTTGGCGCACATTGGTCACATTTTAAGCCGGTCACTCCAGGTTTGCACTCGCATTGTCCGGTGATTAGATCACAGCCATCACTTTCAGCGCCTACCTCGTCACAGTTACATTCCTGAAGATTTAAATACAGCTAGAGTACAGTTTTCTGGAAGAGTACAGTCTTCTGGAAGAGTACTGGAAGCTAGAGTACGCCTAGTTCAGTACATAGCTGTACATAGTACATAGCAGTACATAGTACATAGCAGTACATTACCTGACATCCCAGCCCTGACGTGATATTGAAATAGCCGTGCGCGCACTTCTCACACATTTGTCCCTCAACAAATTGTCGACACTGACAGGCTCCAGTCACGTTGTCACACTGGAATTGATTGAAAAATGAACAATAAAGTACAAAAAGTACAATAAAGTACAATAAAGTACAATAAAGTACAATAAAGTACAACAATACAACAACAATATTGTACTTTTCCGTCCTCAATCGATCCATAGGTGTTACAATTGCAAAATTGACATCCCGAGTCAGAAAAGGCGAAATACGAGGGACGGCATTGATCACATCTAAAAGCAAAACAGCTTTTAAATCTCTTTAACTGGATGTCTAGCGACTATAGGATTACTGTAGCTATTTCTAAACTGTACTGTACCTTTTCCCGAAAACACCCTGTTTACAGGAGCATTGCCCAGAGACGGGCTCACAATCGGGACCAAGGGAGCCAATGGGGTCGCACCTGAAATTGAGAATTATATTTGAATCAATTGGTTACTTTAGCTGCTATAGAATGTCTGTAGAGACTATAGGATTACTGTAGCGACTATAGAATGTCTGTAGAGACTATAGGGTTACTGTAGCCTCTATAGGAGAACTTTAGCTATTATGGGATTACTGTAGCTACTATAGCTTGTCTGTAGCGAATAGAGGATTACGTTAGCGACTATAGGATTACTGTAGTTACTCTAGAAGCTCTGTACAGGCTATAGAATGTCTGTAGTGACTATAGAATGCCTGTAGCGACTATAGGATTACTGTAGTTACTCTAGAAGCTCTGTAGAGGCTATAGAATGTCTGTAGTGACTATAGAATGCCTGTAGCGACTATGGATTACTGTAGTTACTCTAGAGCTCTTAGGGCCATAGAATGTCTGTAGTGACTTAGAATGCCTGTAGCGACTATAGGATTACTGTAGTTACTCTAGAAGCTCTGTAGAGGCTATAGAATGTCTGTAGTGACTATAGAATGCCTGTAGCGACTATAGGATTACTGTAGTTACTCTAGAAGCTCTGTAGAGGCTATAGAATGTCTGTAGCGACTATAGAATGCCTGTAGCGACTATAGGATTACTGTAGTTACTCTAGAAGCTCTGTAGAGGCTATAGAATGTCTGTAGCGACTATAGAATGCCTGTAGCGACTATAGGATTACTGTAGCCGCTTACTGTAGCTAATTACTGTAGCTAATTACTGTAGTCACTTCTTGTATCTTTCTTGAATTCACCTGCACTCCTCACACCCATTCTCTACATCGCCGTGCCCTTCTTTGCAACGATCACAATGTCGACCAATGTAGTTCTCTTTACACTCGCAGACACCAATTGCTTAAATGTTCGAATACTGTAGATTGTTGTAAAGAGATTACTGTAGACTACTGTAGACTACTATAGACGACTGTGGATTACTGTAGACTACTGTAGCTAACTGTAGTCTGTAGATTACGGTAGAACTAGTCTAGTTACAGTACTAGCTTAGGTTTTTCCATTGTAGAAAGCTATCTAAGCTTAGCATTTGTCTACTAAAGGGCTACAATTACTCGAAGCAATTCAGAGGACAATTCAGGCAATTCAGGCAAAGCTAGAGCTAGATCTAGAGCTCACCGGTGTCACACTGAAGTGAAGTGGCTCCTTGTCGATGACAATCACACGGATGACAAGTGTGAGTGAGCGCCGAGCCATAGTGATGGGGAAGGCATTTCTGGAAGAAGATTTCAAGTAGATAGATAGCTTGAATCTTACTGTAAGGTTTTGATTAGGTTTTGACTAGTTCTTGAGTTGTTCTTGAGCAGTTCTTGACTAGTTCTTCCCTTGTTCTTCCCTTGTTCTTCCCTTGTTCTTCCCTTGTTCTTCCCTTGTTCTTCCCTTGTTCTTCACCAGCTCTAGTTCTTTTCCCTTTTCCATCATCCTCACCTCACAATGGACGCCTGTTGTATGCCCAATGCATTTTAAACAATCACCCGTTCGTGTATCGCAGTTACCAATCGCCTAAATTTGTGTTGTTATCTAAATTTTGGATAACAACATTGATTTCATGGGATCTAAATCGAAAAATTAGCTAGCTAGGCTGGGATCAAGCTTTCTAAATGAATCAATGGTATTGGTTAGACCAAGGTAATGGTAGACCAAGGCTTGAGTTAAGCCTTGGTCTTATCCTGAGCCAATCGTTGGTTTTAATCCGGCTTTATTAAATCTCTAATCCTAACCATTTGATCGATATTCCCATTGCAAACACACTCCACACATGTGCCGTTTACTTCAAGCGGATCTCCAAAAAAGCCATCAGCACACATCTATAAGAGCTTTGAATAACTCGATAAGTTTAGATCTAGATAGCTAGAGATCTAGATAGCTAGAGAGCTAGATAGCTAGATAGCTAGATAGCTAGATAGCTAGAGATCTAGAAATCTGGATAGCTAGATAGCTAGATAGCTAGAGATCTAGATAACTAGATAGCTAGATAGCTAGATAACTAGATAGCTAGAGATCTAGATAACTAGATAGCTAGAGATCTAGATAACTAGATAGCTAGATAGCTAGATAACTAGATAGCTAGATAACTAGATAGCTAGATAGCTAGATAACTAGATAGCTAGAGATCTAGATAACTAGATAGCTAGATAGCTAGATAACTAGATAGCGAGATAGCTAGATAGCTAGAGATCTAGAGATCTAGATCTCTAGACCTCTAGACCTCTAGATCTCTAGATCTCTAGATCTCTAGATGTCTAATCTCTAGATCTCTAGATCTCTAGATCTCTAGATCTCTAGATCTCTATACCTCTAGACCCTAAATATCTAAAGCTGAAACCCTACCTCACACTTATTCCCTTCATAACCATTCTCGCAAGCCGTACACACATAAGCGTCTTGAGAAGAAGCAGCTGAGCCGGCAACCACCAACTAATTTTTTCTGTACTTTCTATAGATTACGATAGCTTTTTACTATCAATGGCTACTCTATGGCATGAACTCTATCAAGAAGAGAGAGAGAGAAACTCTACTCTACTGTAGAAAACACCTAAATGATGGAAAAGTACTCTAATCAGTGAATAGAGAGATCTTTAGACATAGGACTCAAGGTGACTGGCTATATTTTAAACTTAAAACTACTGTACTTAAGGAGTACGGTGACTAAAGAGCTCTATTCTACGGTAGGACTACGCTAAAATAGCTCTATTCTCCACCTACCTGAGCCAATGCACACTCAGGTGAGCGATTGTTGTCTAAAGATGGACATCCACATGGTTTACACGAGCCAAACTCTCCACCCAACGATGGATTTCCGTAATGCCCAGCTATGCAAAGCTCGCAACGAGAGCCGGTCGTATTATGCTAGAATTCGAGTTATTTATTTGGTAGTCACTTTAAATCATAATTTTATGATCAAATGGCTGAGCCAAATGCTATCCAACGTATCCCATTCGACGCAGAATTTTATGCTGATTTCGAATCTATATTCCGTTTTCGCTAAATGACAATCTATCAAGAGTTATAAGGGTTTAAAGTTTTGATTTTGTTTTGTTACTGAAAATGTGGTGGGTCTTAACGGCCTCCTTGCGGACCAGCTGGCCAACAGAAGCGCTAAAACCCTAGCACTTCAGCACAAAATTAAAAGTTCAAAGCCGGGGTCGAACCCGCGAGGTCCCGCTCTGGAAACGAAAGCTTTACCACTCGGCCACAGCTGTAATGAGTCGAGACTGCAAGGAGGCCGTTAAGTAGGTCGATAGGACTCAAATGATCCGTAAACTCAAGCCCCTTAGCGGTCTTAACGGCCTCCTTGCAGTCTCCAATCCATGCAGCCGTGGCCGAGTGGTAAAGCTTTCGTTTCCAAAGCGAGACCTCGCAAGTTCGATCCCGGGTTCGGATCTTTTTCCTTTTTTTCTTTAGAATTTAGAATCTTTTCGATTCTTAACTAGTTCCAGTGCGCTAGAGAGAGTGTGTTTACTTCTTTTAGCACAAAGTACACATTCACAACGAAACGTTCTAACGAAACGATCCAGCGAAACGATCTAACAAAAAGAATTTATTAAATATTTTGACGGAGTGACAGGCTACGGGGCTTCCGGGTTACGGTAGCTGTCTGTCTGTCTGTCTGTCTGTCTGTCTGTCTGTCTGGTCTTACGGTGGTCGGTAAAAGACGAATCCTTTTCAAAACTCACCATGCAATTGGTGCATTCGCCGGTGAATGGATCACAAGTTTGCGTGTGATCGTTGCAATCACATCTTAAATTATATAATCATTCAAATCGATCAATTACAATAATCCCTATCATTTTACACAACTTTCACTCACTTCTCACAACGTCCATTGAAAAGCTGACTCTCGACACGGCGATAACCTTTTGGACAAGACTAAAAGTATTGTAATTTTTTGATTAATTGATCATTTTTTGATTAATTGATCATTTTTTGACTAAAGATTGTTTATTTTTGTGATTTCTAGATAAATAAAGATCTTTTATTCATTTATAACATTTATAACAACTATTTTTAACAATTTACCTCACAAGAATACCCAGAAGTCCCTTCAGGACAATCGCAGACTTCCACTCCTCTCATCAGAGTATCTTTAATCGGCACAAGATCAATCTTGTTTGATGATTGAGTCTTTTCCATTGCTTTGTCTAGTGAGAAGCCGAAGATACTGAAATTAAATGGAAATTAAATGGAATTTGAATGTAACTCTTTGTAGATAGTGAGCTGGATTGGATAGAAATGTGAGAGCTTACTGTGAGAGCTTACTCTAAGATCTAACTCTAAGATCTAACTAGTACAAGCATGGAGCTAACTAGTACAAGTACTGATCTAACTAGTACTGATCTAACTAGTACAGATACTGATCTAACTAGTACAAGCATTGAGTTTCGATACCTGCTTTGAAGTTGATTCTTGTTGTACATGGCTCGTACCATGAATAGGGAGACGTCGGCAAGTGCTCTCATCATGTCAGCCTGGAAATTAGTCGATTAGATTTGGTAGTTAAGTCTAGAGTCTAGAGTTAAGCCAAGCCAAGCCAAGCCAAGCCAAGCCAAGCTAAGCCAAGCCAAGCCAAATCAAGCCAAGCCAAGCTAAGCCAAGCTAAGCCAAGTCTAGCTTTGAAAAGAAGCTCTGAGAAAAGTTAGATTAAGCTAAACTGGTTAAGTTAGATTAGAAGCTAGATCAAGATAGAACAGAAGCTAGATCAAATCAGAACAGAGCTAGACTCGTAGTTGGGGGAGCTAAGGGAGCTAAGAAAGGTCAGCTAGGTAGCTGGAACCATTTTGTACTAAGAATTGTACTAAAAGTCTCAATCTTAGTCTAGTCTAGCTCTAGCTCTAGCTCTAGCTCTAGCTCTAGCTAGCTCTAGCTCTAGCTAGCTCTAGCTCTAGCTAGCTCTAGCTCTAGCTCTAGCTCTAGCTCTAGCTAGCTCTAGCTCTAGCTCTAGCTCTGGCTCTAGATCTCTGGAGATCATCTTAATCAAATGAAACAAACAAACCTTATCCGCTGGTTTCCTCGTTTGACTATTGTACCAATTTGATCCCTCTCTCAACGCGATTTGCACTGTCACATTCTCTCGTGGATGGAAAGCGATCCGAGAGTGTTGCTCGAGTTTCACCCCATTACCCTATTATAAAAAGTAATTGAGAAAAGAGTAAGTCGAAACCTCAATCACTACATCCGACACGTGAATCGTCTCCGAGCTATCCGTAGGCACAAAGTACACAAAATAGTGTAAAAAGCCACCATAACTTGTTAGCTGAAAGAATAGAAATCGATTATGATACAAAGGAATACGAATTTTGAACTATTGGGTTAGTGGGGTTGGCTAGTCGAGCTTGAGTCTAGCTTGGCTCAAACCTGACTCAAGCCTGACTCAAGCCTGACTCAAGCCTGACTCAAGCTTGACTCAAGCCTGACTCAAGCCCGGTTTGTTCCGTTCTGTGGATGAATCTTCGAAGACAAAGATCATCCAGCAGTCTAGCTGGATGACAAGTTCCTCGAAATCTTTCAAATCAATAAAAGACTTTCTTTTAGAAAAGTGAGAGAAGAGTTATCTCGATACTCGAACATGGCATACACTTTGGATTAAATCCTATTAGGGACTTGGATTCCAGATGATTTAAGAGACAAAAATTGCAGAAATCAGTGCCACTTATCTTTCTTGGAGAGTAAATCTTTTAATGACGTATGGGGATGAAAATGGATTCTAGCTGGCTTGAGTCAAGCTTGAGTCGAGCTTGAGTCAAGCGTGAGTCTGGCTTGAGTCAAGCTTGAGTCTAGCTTGAGTCAAGCTTGAGTCTAGCTTGAGTCTAGCTTGAGTCTAGCTTGAGTCTAGCTTGAGTCTAGCTTGAGTCAGGCTCGAGCCAGGCTAGTCAAGCTTGAGTCTAGCTTGAGTCGAGCTTGAGTCTAGCTTGAGTCAGGCTTGAGCCAGGCTAGTCAGGCTTGAGTCAAGCTTGAGTCGAGCTTCTCTACCAGGCCTTTTATTCTCTACCAAATCTCCAGTGAACTTCTTTGGCGCTTTCCAATAGTAAAGTGATCGATCTTTATTTTGATTCGCGTTGAACATCAAGACTTCCCCGTTCTCAGTCTCCGGTTTCACTTCTCGTCCTCCACTCAAATCACTCAACATCCAACCACGATTTTGTTGAATCTAAAGATTCGATTTTACAATGGAAATCGATTTTACAGTCTTTTCCCCCACCTTTCCTGTCACCCATTCTTTCTCGGAGCAGTTCTGCGAGAGTCCAAAGCAGAAACAAGATTGGCAACCCTGGGGATTCTCCTTTGATAGATGAATTGTTCCAGGACGACATCGATCACAATAAAGACCTTCAACATTCGCCTTGCAGATGCATCTAAGGATTACAGATAAAGAGAAAGGATTGCAGATAAACAGGAAGCTAACAGATGAACAGGAAGGATTACAGATGAACAGGAAGTGCAAGGAAGCCTGATTCTAACTCTAGGACAAGTTCAAGTCCTCTAGAACAAGTTCAAGTCCTCTAGAACAAGCTCAAGTCCTCTAGAACAAGCTCAAGTCCTCTAGGACAAGCTCAAGTCCTAGAGTCTCACTAGATTCAGTCTTCTGATTGAAATACTCACTTCTCATGTTCACAATGATCAAAGTTCAATGATCCGGCTTGGTTACACGGGCATGGCTCGCATTGAGGATAATTTCGAAATCCTGGAGCACACTTGTCACATTGTCGACCGCCGAATCCTGGTTTACAGCGACAATCGCCTGGTGCCTAGAAATAATGGCTTAGGATAAGCTAGAGCATGATGACAAAGCTGACAAAGCTGACAAAGCTGACAAAGCCTGTCAGCCTGTTAGCCTACACTTACAAGTACAAGACCAAGTACACGACCAAGTACAAGGCGTACAAGACCAAGTACAAGAGGTACAAGACTTACAAGACCAAGTACAAGTCTTACAAGACCAAGTACAAGACTTACAAGTCCATTGACAGCACTCTGATCATCTCGGATGCACTCCTCACTCTCCGATCCAACCGTATTACAATCGCACGCTCGACAAGCATCCGCACGATAATGTGAGAGTCCAGATGGACGATAGAAACCCGTCTTGCAACGCTCGCAATTCACTCCTTCAGTGTTGTGCTGGATATAGGATAGTTAGAGGAATTGATCTTGATCCACACTCACTTGACACTCCACACATCGACCTCCACCCTCGAAAACCCCTTCCGGCGTCACGCTTAGCTGATTTCTTGCCAACTCCTCGTCATAAACACAGTTTTCCGCGTGATTGAAACATTGGCATTCTAAAGGTTTAAAGATAGATTAGAGTTAGGAATTGTTCAATCTGGCCAACCGTTAGGTCCAGCCAGGACAGCTTGACCTAATGGCTAGGAAGAACCAGATTAGAGGACTAAAGTTGGCTTAGATTAGGCTTTGATCAGACTAGTTCAAAGCTGGACCTAATAGTTTGATCTAATGGCTTGATCTAACAGCTGGTCCAGCTGTTAGATCAGCTTGACAGCGTAACAGCTTGACCTAATGGCTGGACCTAGCAGCTTGACCTAATGGCTGGACCTAACAGCTTGACTTAACAGCATGACCTAACGTCTAGACCTAACAGCTTGACCTAACGTCTAGACCTAACAGCTTGATCTAACGTCTAGACCTAACAGCTTGATCTAACGTCTGGACCTAACAGCTTGACCTAACAGCTTGATCTAATGGCTGGACCTAGCAGCTTGACCTAGCAGCTTGATCTAACAGCTTGACCTAACGCCATGCCAGGTAGGCCATACTTACAGCAAAACCTCAGCTCTCAGATCTCCCAGATCGCAAAACCAGATCTAACACCTTTTCAACCAGTAGTTATATCAAGTGAGTCTCTGGCTTAGTTGTAAAGCTTTAGAGTTGTAAGGCCTTAGAATTGTAAGCAGACCGGGCCTTAGAATTGTAAGCAAAGTCCAGAGCAGGCCATACCAGTAAAGCTCTGGTATACCAGACTAGATTAGAGAGTAGAGTAGTAAAGCTCAAATCTAGCTCTGATCAGATTCCTTGGAAGAAAAATGATTTAAAACCCTTTAACACTCACGTTGACAAATATTCGGCTGTGTATTTGTGCCCGGTTTCCACGGGAGTTGATTGAAAAGTGGACAACAACGATTGCACGACTCACCGCAAGTGTTATGCCGACATTCACAACGGAATTGCTGAAGGAATAGTTCTGATTTAAGTCTTGGAATGATCAATGAATGGAATGACTCTCAAAGCCTACCCCAGTCACTGGATCAGCTGGACAACTCTCAGCGTGACCATAACAGATACATTGGCCACCGATTGAGATATCAGAGATTGAGTAGAAATATCTGAATTGACAAGAATGAGAGCTTGAAGCTGGAGAGCTTGAAGCTGGAGAGCTTGAAGCTGGAGAGCTTGAAGCTGGAGAGCTTGAAGCTGGAGAGCTTGAAGCTGGAGAGCTTGAAGCTGGAGAGCTTGAAGCTGGAGAGCTAGAAGCTTAAGATCTTTTCTGTGAAATCAACCTCATTGTCACACTTTTATCCAATTTGTGACTTTTCGAGTTGACAACGAGAAGATCAGCGTTTAATGTTTTTAAATCGATCATCCGCATTCGTACGTAGCGAGCTCGTGTGAATTTCTGAACTTTGTCAAGTTTAGCTAGACCTCAGCATCACTCAGAACTATGCCATTGACCTTCTTGGCCTTGATCTTGGCCTTGATCTTCCCCTTGGCCATGATCTTGATCTTGGCCATGATCTTGGCCTTGACCTTGGCCTTGATCTTGGCCTTGAGCTTCCCTTTGGATCTTCCCCTTGATCTTCCCCTTGGACCTCTCCCTAGCATCTACCCTCACCAACCTGTAGCTCCATTGATGGCCCTTTCGATCCAGGTCTTCCATTCACAAGCGAAATGTGGATCTCTCCATGCTCCAGTGGGGTCAATTTCGAGTACTCACTGGTGCAATGAACCTAAAGAAAGCTATTCGACTTAAACTTACGCACCTATTTAGTCATCTATACTGTAATTGTCCTTTCCCTCACCTCATCATCATTTTTATAACGTGGCACACCGGTGGTTGCAGGGATTCCAAAGAGACGAACACATTCTGCATCGTTTGTTGCAAAGAATTGCCAAGCTTCCCATCTAAATGAATCACATAGAAAAGAGATGAGAAGATCTCGGAATGGCTCTGAAGCCAGCTCTGAAGCCAGCTCTGAAGCCAGCTCTGAAGCCAGCTCTGAAGCCAGCTCTGAAGCCAGCTCTGAAGCCAGCTCTGAAGCCAGCTCTGAAGCCAGCTCTGAAGCCAGCTCTGAAGCCACTCCTCACTTTGCACAAAAAGATATTGAGCTTTATTTTTGTACCCTAGGGTTTTCAGGGACGGGGAATCGATTGAAGATCTTCATTTTATTGAATACAGAATATTCAAGCTCACTTTTGTCCGTCCAGCGATTTGTCGAGTACCCACGAGCCAGGTCTCGGCGCATTTCCCATTTTCACGACAATGTACGCGACTTGGTACTCCTAAAGATACAGATTTTTGACTTCTATTGCATTATATTCTATCTAGAGCTATCTAGATCGATCTACAGTAACCGAAACCTGTCTCAAATCGATCTACAGTAGCCCCAACCTGTCTCAAATCGATTTACAGTAACCCAAACCTGTCTCAAATCGATCTACAGTAACCCCAACCTGTCTCAAATCGATCTACAGTACCCAAAACCTGTCTCAAATCGATCTACAGTACCCAAAACCTGTCTCAAATCGATCTACAGTAACCAAAACCGGTCTCAAATCGATCTACAGTAACCCAAACCTGTCTCAAATCAATCTACAGTAACCAAGACCGGTCTCAAATCGATCTACGGTAACCCCAACCTGTCTCAAATCGATCTACAGTACCCAAAACCTGTCTCAAATCGATCTACAGTAACCCCGCCTGTCTCAAATTGATCTACAGTTACCCAGACCTGTCTCAAATCGGTCTACAGTAACCCAAAGCTGTCTTAAATCGATCTACAGCAACCCAAAGCTGTCTCAAATCGATCTACAGTAACCCAAACCTGTCTCAAATCGATCTACAGTACCCAAAACCTGTCTCAAATCGATCTACAGTAACCCCAACCTGTCTCAAATCGATGGTGATGTTCACTTTGTCAAAGTCGAGTCCATTGTGCAATGTCGGACTTTGCCACCATCTAAAGTTTGTTTAAAATTTGCATAATTCAATATTAGATGAATAGAATTAATAGAAATAATAGAATTAATAAAATTAATAGAATTTAGAATACTTTGAACCTTTTCGTCCCATCAATAGCGAACTCGATGGGATGACGCTTTCGGACATCGTTCGCATCACAAATGTCACATTGCGGAGAGCTGAAAGACTCTTTTTGAGCTGAATTACTGAATTGCTTTACTTGAAAGTTAAGATTTATCTAGTTTCATGCTTTTTATGTCTTCTTTCCTATCTTCCCCTTATCTTCCCTTTTCCCTTTACTTTTCCCCCTTTTACTCACCCATTTCCGGGAGCTTTCTTCTGAATGACATGCTCGACGAGTTTACAGTATTCCTCTGGACCTCGCTCGCCGCATGTTGCCGTCGAATTGATCAAAGCATTCGTCGCCAAATTGAAGATTGATGGGAAAAGTCCGCGTTCTAGAAATTCGACTTTAAAATGAAAAGACTAACTTCTCAGGGTTAGACCAAAAATCTGAACTGAACAGGGAAAAAGAGACTAAAAAGGGAAGGTTAAATGGTTGAACCAAATCCTCTACGACCATTCGATGCAGAATTTTATGCTGATTTCGAATCTATATTCCGTTTTCGCTAAATGACAACCTGTCAAGAGTTATAAGGGTTTAAAGTTTTGTTACGATGTTTTGTTTTGTTTTGTTTTGGAAAAGTGGTGGGTCTTAACGGTGGGTCTTAACGACCTCCTTGCGGACCAGTTTCAGAACAGAAACGCTAAAACCCTAGTCAGCACTTCTTAAAAAAAGTAAAAGTTCAAAGCCGGGGTCGAACTCGTGAGGTCTCGATCTAGAAACGAAAGCTTTACCACTCGGCCACGGCTGTGTTGAGTCGAGACTGCAAGGAGGCCGTTAAGTAGGCCGATAGGACTCAAATGACCTCATTTTCAGAGTTCTAACAAGCCGTTTAGCTTCTTAACGACCTCCTTGCAGTCTCGACTCGGTACAGCCGTGGCCGAGTGGTAAAGCTTTCGTTTCCAGAGCCGGACCATGCAAGTTCGATGTCGGCTTTTAATTTTGTTTTGGAAACCAAAGAATAACAGATATATCTTCGGAATCAGCATCAAAATCTGCGTCAAATGGTATAGGTTGCATAGGATTTCGCTCAGCGAGTTGACCAGTAAGCGACCAGTTGACCAGCCAGTAAGCGCAAACTACCGTAAATACTCTAATAGTACCCCATCCCCCTCGTACAGTCGCGTAGTCGTAAAAGTTTTTTCGTATTTTATTGTTTTTCAAAGCACTCGTACTTCCAAAAAATACGTCTTTGGTATCAAAAAATAGCCCTGGAATTCAGGGCTATTTTTTGATACCAAAACGAACATTTTAGCATAAACCAGTGTCGAGAAAAACTCGTTCAAAGCTAGACTACGCAACACTCCGCACCGTCATTATCTGGGTGGGGTACTATTACAGTATTTACGGTAGGTGAAAATGAAGTTTCTCTAGAACTAGAAACACTTTATAAGACAAAGCTTTCTCTAGATTAAAATCTAGTTTTATAGAAAACATTTTGTGGTTATCTTTCGGATTCTGTTTGGGATTATATTTGAGATTTAAATAATATAAAATAGAAATTGATTGGAGTACATGATCAAGAGAATCAAGAGAGAGAGAGAGAGAGAGAAAGCTCTAGTCTCATCTCTTGTCTCAGCTCTAGTCTCAGCTCTTGTCTCATCTCTTGTCTCAGCTCTTGTCTCATCTCTTGTCTCAGCTCTTGTCTCAGCTCTTGTCTCATCTCTTGTCTCATCTCTTGTCTCAGCTCTTGTCTCAGCTCTTGTCTCATCTCTAGTCTCATCTCTTGTCTCAGCTCTAGTCTCAGCTCTTGTCTCAGCTCTTGTCTCATCTCTAGTCTCATCTCTTGTCTCAGCTCTAGTCTCAGCTCTTGTCTCAGCTCTTGTCTCATCTCTAGTCTCATCTCTTGTCTCAGCTCTAGTCTCATCTCTAGTCTCAGCTCTAGTCCCATCTCTAGTCTCAGCTCTAGTCTCATCCTGTCCTCTCTGTCTCAGCTCTGTCTCATCTCTGCCCTTGCTCGCCTTGTCTCAGCTCTTGTCTCAGCTCTCTGTTAAGTACTCACATTCTAAAGTACTTAAGTGTTTACTTTTTAAATATTATTAAGTAATCCAATCAAAAATAGGGGAATTTGCCCCAAAATACAGCCAAATTTAAGAGAAAATTAAGGGAATTGACGAATTGACGAGAAATTGACGAAAAATCGACCAATCGACGGAATTGAGAGGAAATCGATGTAATTAACGCCAAAATTAACAACCTTTAAACGACATTCAATTCAGAATTCATAAAACGACATTCAATTCAGCTAATCTTCTCACTTCTATTATTTAACTTTATTTCCTTAATCCTTAAGGATCTTAATCCTTAATCCTTAATTTAACTTTATATTTCCTATTTCCTTAATCCACACCAGATTCTGTAGTGATAAACTCGGCGTATCGCTCGTCGTACTCATCGAGTTCATCGAAATTTTGTGAGCCAATCGATTGAAAGAATAAAGAGATGAGTAGGATTCGCAGCCAAGGCGAACCCCACCAGCGGACATCCATCTAAAATGTTGTTGATAAAGAAAAAAATGGTATAAAGCAAATTATATAAAACGAATGATATAAAATGAATTATACAAGCAAATTATCTAAAACAAATCATATAAAACAAATTATATTAAAAAAAAACACTCAAAACTTGATCTTTCCTAAATAGAACACTTAAATGTTAAAGAAAAGTTGAAAGAAAGAAAAAAGCTTTATCATTTTAGAGTGTTCACCACATCAAGAGAAGAAAAAAGAAAAGAAAACGGAAAAGAAAACAGAAAAGAAAAGAAAACAAAAAAGAATTGGTCAATAAGCCGGGGAAGAAGGGGAAAGAAGGATTTTAGAAGAATCTTTGAGATTACTAGCTAGAATTAATGGGTAACTAAAAAACCTTGACTCTGATAGCTTGGCTATCACTACATAAACCCAATCTTTCTAGTGCACTCAATTCTCTATTCATAGTCAGCTTACTGCGAAAAAAATGAAGCATTTCACTAGAGAGAGAGCTTAGAGTAGAGAAGAATCAAAGAAGAAACAAGTTGTTAACAAGCCTTTGGGTTTACCCTGAAGCCTAAGTCTAAGCCTAAGTCTAAGCCTGAGCCAAGCCTGAGCCAAGCCTGAGCCAAGCCTGAGCCTAAGACTAAGCCTGAGCCTAAGCCTGAGCCTAAGCCTAAGCCTAAGCTCAAGCCAAGCCTGAGCCAAGCCTGAGCCTAAGCCTAACCCTGAGCCTAAGCCTAAGCCTAAGCTCAAGCCAAGCCTGAGCCAAGCCTAAGCCTAAGCCTAAGCCCTAAGCTCAAGCCTAAGCTCAAGTCAAGCCAAAGCCTAAGTCTAAGCCTAAGCCAAGCATAAGTCTAAGTCTAAATCTAAGTCTAAATCTAAGCCTAAGTCTAAATCTAAGTCTAAGTCTAAGCCTAAGTCTAAGCCAAAGCCAAAGCCAAAGTCTAAGCCTAAGCCTAAGCCTTTTGTTTTACTGTAACATTCTAGAATACTATAACACTACTTGCTCGCTTGCTATAGCATTATTTCTTTACTAGTCATGATATCATAATACCAATGACAAAAAGTAAGTCATATCATTGAATAGTAGAACTTGTAGACTGTAGCACTTAGATGCATTAGAACAGCAACAGAATAGAACGGAATAGAACAGCAACAGAATAGAACAGCAACAGAATAGAACAGCAACAGAATAGAACAGCAACAGAATAGAACAGCAACAGAATAGAACAGCAACAACAGATTTCTAAATGTTGGTGTAAAACAGACTATAAAACATTGAAAAACTCTTTTACGAACACTAAACAATTTACAGTCTTTTTCGTATAAATAAGAAAAGAAAATTAGCACTTTTTGGGAAAGGAAAGGGTGATTGTGAACTGACTAGCGCATAGAGAAGAGGCTGGGGAGAGGCTGAGAGGCTGAGAACAGGCTGATTCATCTTTGAACGATACGGCCCAATCCCTTTCAATTCTTTACCCCCCTTCAATCCTCTTTTCAGAAAAGCATTTAAAAAAACTCTTCTTCTCTATTTCTTTCGTTTTAAAACACTTGCCAGCTGTGAATAGATCGAAAATGAAACGGAAAAGTTCTAGATTCTTGTTCTATATTCTAGTTCTTGTTTAGTTCTTGTTTAGAGCTTGTTTAGAGCTTGTTTAGAGCTTGTTTAGAGCTTGTTTAACTCCTGTAGCAGGATCTATCAATAATGATTTATTGGCAAATGACAGACTCTAGCTAACTATAGCACTATTTGGCTCAAAGTCAAAGCTCAAAGTAAGGTCAAAAAATCAAAAAGCAATAAGCTTTGATAACTTTAAACACAAAAGTACAAATATAAAGCTGTAAAATAGTGATAAGTGATTGGATAGGGAGCAGTAAGTTGCATGGATAATGAATAATGTTAAGCCGAGCTTGTCAGCTTGCTTGTCAGCTAGTCAGCTTGCTTGTCAGCTAGTCAGCTTGCTTGTCAGCTTGTCAGCTTGTCAGCTTGCTTGTCAGCTTGTCAGCTAGTCAGCTTGCTTGTCAGCTTGTCAGCTTGCTTGTCAGTTTGTCAGCTTGTCAGCTAGTCAGCTAGTCAGCTTCCTTGTCAGCTAGTCAGCTTCCTAGTCAGCTCGTCAGCTTGCTTGTCAGCTTGCTAGCTTGCCAGCTAGTCTAGTCAGCTTGCCAGCTTGCCAGCTTGCCTTAGACAAAACTTGAAGTCAATGGAAACAAAAGCGATTAGTCGTAAATGTTTGATGATGGCTGTGTTCCCCATTTGACCTTTCTCCCCGTCGATCCATTCCCCATCCATCCATTCCCATCCATTCCTATCCTTTCACTCTAGCCATCTCTATATTCCTATCGATATGATCTTATCTCCGAGACGAATCTCAAGATTTTCTTGCATAATTGTGGTTGAGAGAGAGATTCTATTGATTGGAAAAGAAGTAGTGAAGAACATCCAACTCTAGATAATAGTTTTAATTTGGATTTTGAGACATTTGATACTCGCCCTGCCCCTTTGTCATTGGCAAAACTTTGAGCTCAAATTTCTTGGTGTTGAGCTGTCAAATTTCAATAATTTTTGTACCAATCGATAGAGAAAAACTTGACGCATCTAATGATGTCAAGAATATTTCAATTGAATAGCTCAACACAAAGATATTTGAGCTCAAAGTTAGATTGTCAATGGCGAAAGGGGCGTATCAAATGACCGATGGCCTAATTTGAGTCCACTTATCACTCAGAAAGTCGATGGTGGTTCAAGGAGAATCTCTGAACGAGGGTCATGGTTCTGGTTGGATCCGGTTTTTGATCTGGTTGGATCCGGTTAAGCCTGGCTTGGATCTGGCCCTGGGCTGGAACTGGCCCTGGCTTGGATCTGGCTCTGGGCGAGATCTGACCCTGGCTTGGATCTGGCCCTGGCCCTGGCTTGGATCTGGTCCTGGCTTGGATCTGGCCCTGGCTTGGACCTGGCCCTGGGCTGGATCTGGCCCTGGCTTGGATCTGGCCCTGGCTTGGATCTGGCCCTGGGCTGGATCTGGCCCTGGCTTGGATCTGGCCCTGGCTTGGATCTGGCCCTGGGCTGGATCTGGCCCTGGCTTGGATCTGGCTCTGGGCTGGATCAGAAGCCAGGTTTGGATCAGAAGCCAGGTCTGGATCAGAAGCCAGGTCTGGATCAGAAGCCAAGTCTGGATCAGAAGCCAGGTCTGGTTCTGGTCTAGTTCTAGGTCCGGTCTGAAACCTACCTTGCTACCTTGAAACCCTGAGTGCACTTACTTTCTTATTCTTCAGAGCTTGCCTTTACGACTTACTGGTTAGAAAACATGACTATAGCCAAAACCCGTTGGAAACTATAGATTGAATAATTGGAAACCGTAAGATTTAAATCCTGGTATACGGTGAAGCAAAATACTGCAGCAAAATAGCAAAATAGCAAAATACAAAGAGAAAACAGGGATATTGTAGGGATTGCCGTATAGGAATGCAACCTAATTCATGTTATCAACACCGTTAACTTTAGCTTCCTTCGAATGAATCGTGCAGTGACTAATAAATCCAAAATAACTACCATAATCCTTCTTCTATAGCTATTAAAATACGAAAATAAGTTTATAGCGATTGAATGAAGAATGTGAGTGAATGAAGAAGCTCTCAAAGAAGTGGAAGGGTCAGTGAGGGTCAGTGGCTAGTCAGTAGAGGACCATTGCCCCATTCACGGCATTCCTCTGATTGGTCTCTCTCGTTCGTTCAAGAAAAGACAAGAACTGGGTTAGCCAAACAGAACAATATGTCAACAGCGATCACAGCAGGAAAGCACACCCAATCATATTCTTTCGAGAAAGGGAAAAGATTGATTAACGAAAGCGTCTCTCTCAATTGACCCCAAGCCTCAGGGAAATGGTAGGAAATTGATTATCAGGAGTCAGGGTTGTTGGAAAAGTAATTGTGGGCAAAGTCAGATCATCTGGCTTGCTATAGACTTGGTTCTTGAACTGTTAACTGAGATAAAATCTTATTTTCGAGGTCTGGGGCTGACTTTTGGTTGTTATAGTACAGGCTTTGTTAACCAGATCAAGCTAAACCAATCAGAATGTAGCCACTTCAATTACGCTAGCTATGCTACACGGGATTACGCTAGCTACGCTACACGAGCTACCCTACGCTAGCTATGGTACACGGGATACCCTACGCTAGCTACCCTACGCGAGATTACGCTAGCTATGCTACACGAGATCTACGCTAGCTACGGTACACGGGATGCCCTACGCTAGCTACGCTACACGGGATTACGCTAGCTACTGCTACCACGGGATGCCACGCTAGCTATGCTACACGGACTACGCTAGCTACTCGCTACACGGGATGCCCACGCTAGCTACGCTACACGGGATGCACGCTAGCTACGCTACACGGGATGACGCTAGCTATGCTACACGAGATTACGCTAGCTATGGTACACGGGATGACGCTAGCTATGCTACACGGGATTAAGCTAGCTACCCTACGCTAGCTAACAAATTATAAATCCTAAGCACTCCAAGCAACCTAAAACTAGCAATCAGCAATCAAATCGCGAGAAGCAAAAGCAAAAGCAAAGCTGCTATCGAGGCTAAAAACTTCTTACAAAATGAGCGTAATCAATAAGAAAAGCATAAAATCGTAATAAAATTAGAATCGTAAAGGTTTTGAATGTTTTACTATCGAACCTCTTTGAGAGTTAGGGGGATTGGAGTGAATCAAGGGCACTTTTATGGGTTCCCCTTCTCCATTCTATAACCCTTCCCTTCTTTTACTCCAATATTTACCCAAGAAGATCAGCCGCAATTCGTGGTCAGCCACCACGTTTGCATAACCAAACTCGATCATTTCTGAATGGTTGACACGGTTTTGAAAGGCAAAATGCGAAATTTACACTTTTGATAAGTGCATACTCGTCACAAAACTGTTGAAAGTAAATAAATTTGCATTTACCAGTTCAAGAAAAGAATGGCTTCCTGGCAAAAATTAATTTTTCTATCCACCACTCTAAATCGGTCCAGAACTATATTAAAAGAGCGCCGTTTAAAAGAGCGCCGTTTAAAAGAGCGCCGTTTAAAAGAGCGCCGTTTAAAAGAGCGCCGTTTAAAAGAGAGCCGGGGGGTGGGACAAATGCGACCTTTTTTTTGCTGGAAAAGGCCTTAGGCAAGGCCGTAGAGCTTCGAAAATGTTTTCGTGTAAGGGAATCGTATGCGTAGATTCCGAATTTCGACAAATCAGACCTCGCTGACACGTCAAATTTGGGCTAAAAGGCAAAAACTGCGGAAAAGGGTTAAGTTGCGTAGTTTTTGCCTTTTAGCCCAAATTTGACGTGTCAGTGAGGTCTGATTTGTCGAAATTCGGAATCTACGCATACGATTCCCTTCTATGAAAACATTTTCGAAGCTCTACGGCCTTGCCTAAGGCCTTTTCCAGGGTCTATCCCAAAACAGCGCCGCCAAAACAGCGCCGACCAAAACAGCGCCGTACCCAAAACAGCGCCACCCAAAACAGCGCCAATGCAAAAACGCCCAAAACAGCGACGAGCAAAAAAAATTATTTTATAGATTTTTGCTTTTTCTTTGCTGTTTTTAACTTTTTCTGTCCACTTTTTGTGTTTTTAGGGTAAGAAAAGGCGGAGAATCCGATTTTTTTAAAGCTTTACGCATAGAAACCTGCGATAGCGTTTATAAAATTGGTTTTAACCAAAAATAACAATTTTTTTTCCTTTTACGGCCTGTTTTTTAACATTTTCACTAACTTTTTATTTCTACTACGGATCACTTGAAAGCTCTAGCCGTTTATGTTCATCATCGCTAGTGTTATGGTGTTTCAGAGTCTCTTGGACTATTAATTTCATGCTATTTTAATGTTTTTTATGCATCGTTTAATTGTTATCGTTTATTGTTGTTGGTCATGCTATTTTTAAATAAATTATCAAAATTAAAAGCTGGTAATAAAAAAAATGAGTGTACATTGTAAAAGAAAAAAAACTTTGTTTTGCATCGGCGCTGTTTTGGGTACGGCGTTGTTTTGGTCGGCGCTGTTTTGGTCGGCGCTATTTTGGCGGCACTGTTTTGGGATAGACCCCTTTTCCAGCAAAAAAAGGTCGCATTTGTCCCACCCCCATTTCCGGGACTGTATTTTACCATTTTTAAAACTTAACGACGTTGCGGTTCTCCGACATTTGGCGAAGGAATTTCGCCAGGAGGGTCATCCTGGCGTTTACTGTGGCGAATCGATGGAGGTCCGCTCAAAGGGAAGGTCCATTTCGCTGGGTGTTAGTTTTAAGTCTTTCTAATATAAAGGTTGTGAGAATAACGGGTAATTCGCGGATTTTATGGCGATAGTTTGTATAATATAGGACATATTAGCGTAGCGCTGCCAAAATTTGCTCCCTCGATTTTCCTTTCGCTCCCCCCGATAATCGGACCGCTCCCCCGATATTGGAAAAGTACCCTACTTTTTTATTTGTAACTCATTAAACTAGGTTAAATAAGCGACGCGAACCATGAATTGACGTGCTAACACGATGGGATTCAATGTTTGCGATGCTTTGTGACTACATTGACAGCGACAGCGAGATTGACAGCGTTGGTTACTTTAGCTCTGTTTATTTAGTTAATTTTGAATTTAGTCTGAAATCATTGTCGAACTTGATGCACACTTTGCAATGACTTCTTGCTAGCGTGTGTTGTGTTTGAGAGCGCTGCGAGCAATGCTGTCGATTTTCAACTACACGATAATGGAAATGGTGTTTGATATTTACTAATTAATGGTTCTTTGTTTAGTTGTTTGTAGAGGATGGCCACATAAGCATAAGTCTGGGACTTTTTAAATGACATTGAGAGCGCTGCAATGCTGTCGATGTTCAACTACATGACGAAAATGGAAATGGTATTTGATATTTACTAATCAATGATTCTTTGTTTAGTTGTTTGTAGAGGATGGTCACATAAGCAAAAGTCTGGGACTTTTTAAATGAGATGAAGATCGTGAAGATGAAGATTAAAGGGTCCGTTTCTACTCGCATTATGTCACTGAAATTTTTGACTCCGATATTACTCCAAAAGTGGAACTTGAGATTAATTTATAATATTTATTTAACAATCAAATTTTAGTTACCTACTTTTGCGGCAATTGTCACTTCTGGTGTTGCTAGCAACGTTTCTTTGCTTTATTTTGCTTTGCTTTGGATAATGCAACAAGAGGATCTCCCCAATCTTCACAAGAATGGCTTTCTGTGATGCCCTATTTCTGGCTCGTCGGTGTCCGTTGAACGACTATTCAGGTTTATTGCATAACATTCCTGTATTTAGTCGGCTTGGCATCGTTTATGGTAAGAAAAGACTAGGATGTTTACTACCTTCTATTCTTGAATCACTTGTTTCGATTCACGATTCAAGTCTTGGCGATATTGTTGCTAGGTATTTTGATAAAGTGTTTTATTTATTCTAGTTTTCTTTATAGGAAGCTTATAGGAAGTTTCCTCGCGCTACACGCAGAGGTACGCTGAGAACGCCTCTGATATGGGTCGACTGGAGACGTTCGATCCGATTGGGAAGCCGTGCCTCTTCGATGAAGGCGACGTTGATGGAGATTCGGATGCTGAAACTATCGCTTAAATTTGTTTTTTGTTGAAAGTCTTCATTGTACAGTTTACATTGTTACTTTTTAAAGAAGAAATAAACTTTCTGCATGTGCATCTAAGCTCTATCTGATAAGTATAGCTCTATCAAGCTCATCTAAGCTCTATCTGATAAGTCGATAATTTTGAAAAACGCTTAAAAAAGAGAAAATGCACAAGCAGAACACTTTTGGAAAGATCTAAATTAGACTTTACAGTTAATTTCTCATTTTCTTAAAGCATCACCTCGCTCTTGATACGTTTTCTTTTAAGTGAAACGCTTCTTTCGCGTGTTTGTCTGCACAATTTCATGTCTTAAGCGTACACAGGATGTCCACGTATGGAACCCCGCATTTATTCGCCCTCCAGTCCCCCGCCTGACTTCCTCTTTTCGAGAAATTCTTTTTCTAAATTCGAAATTTTCCTTGTTTCAATATCCTCGATAATTTTTCTAATTGTACAGATGGAAGAGAAAGACGATGTGCCGCAAAGGCCCCAGCCGAAGGGCCTCCAATCGTCGGATGTGGCCTCGATCTTCGATCTACAGAATGAGCTCATCAAACGAAAGAATGAGGTGGCCGCTCGGGAAACTGCATCCGGCACCGGAGACTACGCGAGAGTTGGGAAACCGGTTTGTTGTTTTGTTTGGATAAAGTCAAATCTAGTCAACGATACTTGATTTGGCGCTATTGAGTTTTTCCATCAAATTGAAAGAAGAAGTTGCTCGATTTAATGACCCTAAACGTTAAATTAAAGTTCCGATTGTTAAATCAGAGTCAATTGTGATTTTTATAGCATTAACAGGCTTGTAGAATTTTGAAAACGGATAAAAGTAGTTGATAAAGTAGATAAAAGTAGTAAAAGTAGTAAAAGTAGTAAAAGTAGTAAAAGTAGTTGATAAGTAGCCGTTTCTAAATAGTTAACTTCTGCACCAATTCTTTTAATTTAGGGTGGCGTCCTAGCGGTGAACAAGAATGAACGAGATCGCCTCAAAGGAGAAGCCTACGAAAGAAAACGAAAAATAGAAGAGTATGCACGCGCGATGAAAGCCGAAGACGAACAACTTCGAGCTAAACAAAGAAAAATCATGCAGGTCAGTCTTGAACTATGACTACTTTAAGTAGTCTTTTTATATGATGTTAATTTTTTTTCTTTAGGAAAAAACGGAGCTTTATGAGAAGCTACACGCTGGAGAAGTTGTTTTAACGCACAAAGACGAGACGCCCGTCGAATTCATGGTTGATTTTCACATGAAAATGAAGGAGCTCGATGATAAAGCGGACAAGTAAAGTTTAAGTTGTGTAAGGATAACTCATGACTTTTAGGAGATTTTCGTCGTTTGATGATTATGCAGAAGCTGGTCCCTCAGTGAAACGCGATGTTCAACCGGAACGATTTAACCCTGATGAAGGTTTATGACCTAATGAATACTTAATAATTCTCCTTTTAGAACAACGAGTCTATGGTGCATCGCATTTACGCCTCTCACAAGACGAAGAAAAACGAAAAGAACAAATCAAGAAGCTTTACGAATTAAGCGATCAAACGGATAAGTGAGTTTTGAATGAAATCTCGAATCGAATCGAGTCGAATCTCTAAAAATCAAATTTAGGTTACGAGATAAACGGGCAGAGGAAAAGCGCAAAAGGGAAGAAGCTAACAAAGCGAAATTGGCAAGACTACGAAAACGTTTCAATTTACCAGGTTAGTAAAACAGTTGCTTAAAATTTAACTTCATTTTGCTTTAGACGAGGACGAGCCTGCACCAGAGCCAGAATATTTGGACATACCCTTGCCAGCGGTTGAAACCGTTGAGGAAAAGGTTTGTTGAGAAATTGATTAGATTAAGCTCACATGGTCTGTTTGTTGTTTAGACATTAACTTCTAAAATAAATATCTTTTAAACTTTATTACATTGGTGTGTTTAGTTTTCTAAGCGAATCAAAAATGATCGTGAATGGGATCGCGGCAAAGGCTCCTACAACACTTGGATTGAGAAAGAGCGATCGGAAAGAGATGATGAATTCGCTCCACCGTCATCATATAAGCGATAGAATATTTTTGTTTTACGGGTATCTTTGTTTAAGGTTTTTATGATGTTTTCTATGTTGTTTAAAATGTAAAATAAAAGATTCAAATGTACAAAGTTTTATGCTGAATCAATGTTTGCAAACATTTTGCATATTGTTATTGTTTTTTGACTGTTTACCTGTTTTCATTAATGTAATTCGAATTTTTAGCCAAATGGCTCCACATGAAGCGACTCCTCCTTGGAGAAAATCGCCAACACCTCGTTTAAGTTGGGCTCAATTGTTGGCTCATTGCAAGGCATGTAGAGGAGAGGTGAAAAATTTTGACAAAATAGTATAAGAATGAAATGTTATTGTAAAAATTCAGAAAATCGATCTAATTTGATTTCAGGTTCGGTCTTCTGTTGGTGTACCGTTTTCTCGTCTTTCTATCGCAGCCAAGCCTAATGGAGATTGTATCGTTTACGCTCTAGGTAAGCGGTCTTTACAATTTTTTCATCTTTTTTTTGCCTAGGCACACCATCATCATCTTCTCAACAAACTGTTCTGTCAGTAGATATCAATCATAGCGTCGGATCTACAGCTCAATTTCGACCGTTACTTGTTTCTGAACAATTCAGAAATAGTACAAGGTATTGTAGAAAAAAACGTTGTTTTAACTTGTTTGTTTTAACTGATTGTTTAGTGCTGAGTTTTCGTTGTTGTGTGAAAGACAACGCGTTTCTACTGTTTCTGGAATTTCGGATTTCTCGATTCATCGAGATCATTCTGTATTGTTGACTACGGGTGCTGAGGTATTATCCAATTTTATCACACCTTTTAGAATTTTTTTAGGTTTATCGATACGAGCCGAATGTGCCCAGATTGTCGTGTGTTTGGCGAGATGCAAATGGTTCTTCGTTTGTTTCGGATGCTCAGCCCTGTCCTTCGGATTCCGATTTAGTAAGATTATAGTTTTCTATTTGAAATTAGATCAAACTTTTAGGTGGCTTTTGTTGCCGAGCGACAAGTGCATGTGGAACGCGGCGGAAGACTAATCTTTTCGACTGAATCTCCAAAAAATACAATATTGAACGGAGTACCTTCTTTTGTCACACAGGTTAGTTGTGAACATTGTGCTATTCGCATTAGCTTTTAAAATGGGCCAGGCTTTTTGTTAGTGATCATATTTGATCATAATAATCATGTTATTTTGGGAAGAACTCGATCGCTTTACTGGAATTTGGTGGGCTCCTACTGGTTCTCGCTTACTTTATGAACAGGTCGATGAGGAGAATGTCCAAGTGTTGTCGTTTGATTGCCCAGGAAAAGAACCAGCCGGTAGTTTGATTTTTATTGTTAAGTTCTTGACTTTGATTTAGATCCAATGCGTTATCCAGTCACCGGAAGTCCCAATGCAAAAAGCTCACTCAGGATGCTTTTTATCGAAGGGGATAAGGTCTTTTGATTTTAAAAATTAGCTCATCTTTTTTCTGTAGGTTCAAGATATTGGATTGAGAACACCGCTGCAAGAACGGTTTCCGTGGATTGAATACATTACCCGAGCAGGATTCCTCTCTGATGGGAAAACGTGAATGAGATTTTGATTATACTTTCAAAAAATTTTAAATTTAGGGTTTGGGTACAAGTCGCAAATCGAGCTCAATCACGCATTTGTCTAATATTATTACCGGAACATGAATGGGGTCATACTGGTGTACGGGTAAATTTTACTGGCTTCACTTCTTGCATTCCTGATTCTTTTATAGTCTTTGGACGGGATTTATTGCTCGACATCAGTAAGATTGACAAGCCCGCTCATCATTTTTGACGAGTTCAGTGAAACGTGGATCAATGTAAAGTTTCAATAAGCCGTATAACGTCATGCTTGAGTTTAGACACACAACTTGATCGAACCACTCCCACTTCTTGACGATAGGCGGATATCTTTTATTTATGCAACCGAGGTGATTAGGCATCTGTTCTTTGTTGGTGAAACTTAAGTTTTAGGCCTCTTCGGATTGCCATCTTTGTCGTCTTGATTCGGAGCTTCGACCAAATGGACAATTGCAAGCAACAGTTGAACGACGATTAACCCACGGATCTTGGTAGTTCACTTTATAAACTTTTCATAATCAAATGAATTTAGGTCTGTTTGCAAACAAGCTGGTTTGGTGGTGGATCGACAACGTGAACATGTCTTTTTCGTTGCCAACATCAATAATCCATTGGAGATGACTTTGTAAAAAAAAAGCTAGCTAGTGGAGTTATTATTCATCATTTAGATGTGTGACTGGATATTCCGAGAAAGGGCCTCGAGCCATTGAAAGACTTACAGAACAAGGATGGACGTACAGGTTTCAAAATGTAGCCAACAATTTTATTGTTTAATTTTCAGAAACGAAAGGGTTCCCTCTGCTTTGGCAGTTGTTCCGGGACTGGGTTTTACGTGTTGGCTCACCAACTTATGCAATCCTCCGCAATGCAGGTAGCTTTAATTTATTTTTCGTTTAGTGAGGTTTTAGGTTCTATATCTTGAACTACCCACATGATGGTGGATTGCCTACCTCTTGTGTTTTGTGTCAGGTAACTTATGGAATCGTCTTCCCGTACTCTTTCCATTTAGTTGGAGTTACCCGGATGCACTTTATCAGCTCGATTCACGTCGGTTGATCGACCAATTCTCTTTGAGTATAAATCACGAAATAGCGGCTATGTACATTATGCACTTTTGGTGAGTTTTGGGCTTCTGGCGATCATGGATTTATTCTTTTTTAGCTTCGACCGCCTGATAGCATTCATGATCGAGATGGAACCAGATATCCAGTTGTTCATCACGTGTACGGTGGACCGGGGATTCAACTTGTTCGAAGCGATTGGGCAACGTAATTTGTTTGCATGCGATTTCTTGGCTTGCTCTTTTCAACATTAAACTATTGATCTAGATGGGTTCAATTACTGAAATACTCCTACCTTGGCTTTTGTGTGGTTCTTGCCGATGGACGAGGTTCGCATAATCGAGGTCGAGATTTTGAGGCACCTATCAAAGGATCATTTGTTAGTTGATTTCTTGTTTGAGTAGTTTATTGTGAAATCTAGGGAACGGTTGAAGTGGAAGATCAATTGGAAGCACTCAACGAGGTTGGTACGCTTAAAATTTTGTGAAGAACTTCTTTAAGGTGGCTCTACGATCTTCTTGTATGGATTTGACTCGGGTTGCCGTTCAGGGATGGAGTTATGGAGGATATCTTTCACTTGTCGCTATCGCAAAATACCCGGAGGTGATTATTCAGTTTATGGAATGTTTTAAAGAAGTAGCATTTGCAGGTTTATCGAGCTTGTGTCGCTGGTGGTGCTGTGAGTTTCATTTAACTTTATTATCACATGTTGTTAATCAGTAGGTTGTTGTTTGTTCACTTTTAACTAACGGATAAATTTCAGGTGACGGATTGGCGCCTTTATGATACAGCTTACACGGAGCGGTAATTTAATTGGACTTTTTAGCATTACGTTTTTTAGTTATCTTGGATACCCGCTGGTGGACTCGATCTTCAAGAACTCGTCTGTTATAGCCATGGTGGATCAGTTGCCCGATGAGTGAGTTACTCTAACCACGAGTGGTTTATCATTTTAATTCTAGACCTGGACGAGTGCTCATCGTGCACGGGCTGCTTGATGAAAATGTACATTTTCGACACTCTGAGTCTTTATTGGAAGCAATGTTGCGCGCGGGAAAGCCATATCAATTACAAGTAATTGTTAATGAGATACTGTAGATTTTCGTGTTTGTTCGGTTTTGGTATTCAAATTTGAACTCTACCTCTTACTGAAAGTGTGTATTTTTATTGGCTATTTTAGATTTTTCCATCAGAACGTCATGGTATCCGTTCTTCCGAGTCGGCCGCTCACCTCGACGCCACCTTGATCAATTTCGTTTGCAACGCGTTTGGCACTTAATTAATTCCAATATTTTTTTTTCTTGCTTTTGTCTTTCACTTTAACGTTAGCTCTTTTCAAGAGTATGTCATATGTATATCCAATTGTGTACTCAAATTTCTACTTTCACAGAAATGACACAGCTTCCTCAATGACACAGACACATCTACGTAGCCAAAATTTACTAAAATCTTTACTCGATCTGGTCAAAAGTTCTTTTAGTTTAAATGAATAAACTTTTATCGAAATACGAGTGTTCGTTTTACGACCCAGCCAGTTCACCTCAAACTGGTGAGGTTAGGTGGCGAAGCTGTAAATTGTGCTCTCCACCCGCAATGGGCTTTCGCCTCCCATTCAGTTTCTATCAAACGCCTTCCTCCATCAAAAAGCTATCTATTTGTGGGGGATGGGCTCCTCCCTGTTATCAGCTGTCAGCACCGAAGCCAGCTTATGGGCATACCCGGCGGTTCGACCCTTTGATCGTTCCGCCAGCAAGCACTCATTAGGTGAAATGTGGAGGGGAGAGACGAGCCGAGAAAGCGGCGGCGAGATGAAAGGCGAAAAAGAGGGGGTGACGGGGCGAAATGGGGATCAGCTCTCGATGAATGAGAGCTGATACCAACAAAAAGACTGTATGTGTCCGAGAGAACACACCGTATTTCATTTTCATTCCTCGCACAAATTTCTATTTCAATTTCTTCTTGTTTTCACAGCTCTAACGGTTTGAATTATGCCCATTTTTCGACCATGGGAGGATCAAGGTTTGTGGAAGTTTTCAAATAATCAATTTTAATGTCAATTGGTTTAGTCCCATCTTCAACCAAACTCTCCACCTCGATAAGTGATGAGGCGCTCGAGATTATCGTCGTCGATGATGAGGTTGAGAGTTTTTTTTTTAAGATTTTAGAGAAGATCAAAACTCAAAGCTCAAAAAACTGTCTTTTACACGATAAAAGTTTTGTACAAGATGAAAGGTAACGATGATTCTGTACAATTTTTACGATTATTCTCTACAATTCTTTGAGTTCAGATGGATTTCTCTGCCTCTTCTTCTTCTTCTTCATCGTTTTCGTTAACCCCAATTTCGAGCAATTCTTCAGATGGAGAGCATTCCTTGGTGAGTCAGAAAGGATTTCTTTAAATATTCGTTTTTCCTTTTTGCTAATAGTTCAAATTCAAATACTTTCAAAAAGTTCAAAAATTCAAAAATTCCAAAAAATGAATTTTTACTTTAAAAAGTATTAGTTTAAAGTTGTATTAAATTATTTCTTTAAAAAGTTTGAATTTGAATTATTTGAGATAAAAACTCTTATAGTTCTTTCAAAAGTACACAGTTAGACTAAAGTAAATTATGCACTATTAAAATAGTTTTCCAAAAAGATACCTTTTTAAGAGAAAGCTACCGTACTCTGGTTTTTTTGTAATCCTCTTGAATAAGAGCAGTTTTCTAAAAGGTGTGCTTAAGCTTTAGAAAGAGTAGCATCTTCTTTAGAAAGAGTAGCGTCTTCTTTCTCGAGTACGGTGGCTTTTAGCATCTTTTAGAAAACGCTTTAAGTCAAACTCTTTAGTCAAACTCGAACCTGGCACAAAGAAAGACAAGATTATGGTATCAAATCTTGCAAATACTATTTATTTGATTTATTTATTATACTATTTATTTATTATACAAATACTATTTGATTTATTATATTATTAGTATTTCTAATTCTAGGAATCACCGCGCACCCAAAACAATCGTCAATGCACTCGATGTGAATGCCCAAATTGTTTGAATGGGAAAGATCGGAGTCCGACTGGGATTAGAGTACATGTTTGTCATTACAATGGATGCACAAAGAAGTACAGAAAAACGAGTCATCTCAGGGCACATTTGAGGTTTGTTAAAGCTTAATGATAGCTTAATGATAGCCTAATGATTGCTTAATGATTGCTTAGTGATTGCTTAATGATTGCTTAATGATAGCTTAATGATTGCTTAATGATTGCTTAATGATAGCTTAATGATTGCTTAGTGATTGCTTAATGATAGCTTAATGATTGCTTAATGATTGCTTAATGGGAGCTTAATAATACTGTAAAGTACTGTAACGAAAAAATCTGATTTTTTGACAAGAAAAACCTTAAATTGCTAATGGCATAGACAGATATTTTTGTTACAACTTTGCAATAAAGTACTAGTACTAGCTTGGACAAAAGAAAGAATTTTTCATGTTTTTTTAGATCACATGAAGGCTGGAAACCGTTTGTGTGCACTTTTCATGGCTGTGATCGAGCCTTTGGCCGATCCGATCAATTGCAACGACATATGAGAGCGCACACCGGAGAGAGGAAACATTTGTGCGAGCATTGTCAGCGAAGGTTTGTGACAGATGTGCCCGCATTTTCTACCGTAATCTTCTCTATTTTATTTTATTCAATACGAGTTTTTGCTATCTTTCGATTTCTTTGATCAGTTATCGGACGCGCAATTGAGCAATTGAGCTATTGAGCAATTGGCAATCTAACTCTGAGCTCAAATTTCTTTTTTTCTTTGTGTTGAGCTGTTAAATTGGAAATATTCTTGATATCATTCGATGCGCAAAGTTTTTGTCTATCGATTGGTATAAAAATTATTGAAATTTGACAGCTTAGCACAAAGATATTTGAGTTCAAAGTTTTGCTAGTGGCAATGGCGTATCAAATGTCCTACAATCTTTGTGAACATATAGAATCAGATCAAAAGTGGATAGATTCAATAAAAGTGATAAGATTACGGTAGAAAGAGGAAGGGGGAAACACTTTAGAAAATGGATTATAGTTCTAGACACTTTCGAATTGCGAAGATAATGCCTGTCTGTCTGCCTAAAACTCGTTGTAAAATAGATTATGGTAGAGAATTCCAAACGATTTTCAAGGAGTACTGTGTCTACACCGGTATCTAGACTGTATCTAAAGTTAAGCTTGATAGAACCACCGTAACTCAGCCAAAATCTACGGTAAACTGGCCAAAATCGACAGTAACCTTGCTCAAAACGACCGTAACCCGATCATTTTCCAGATTCGCTCGCTCGGATCACTTGCGACAGCACATCGCCCGTCAGCACCTTCAAGCTGTCCCCGCAAAGCCGTTCACTCATCCACCGGTCCCGGCTCAACCGATTTTTTATCAAATTCCTCATTTTTACCCACATCCTCATCAAATTTTCAATCCGAATTGGAATAGTCGAATCTTCCTGTCACCCTTTCCAACAATCACCATTCAAGCTTTGTAAAGTACTTTGACTTTGTACTCAAAAATTGTCAAAGAGTAAACACACCCCTCCTGGTGCACTGAATTCCTCGTTTTTCTCATGATAATGCTGTGTTTTCAATAGAAAAACTTGAAAAATTCAGTACACAAGAGAGGGTGCGTTTAGAAGTGAGCACAAAGTAGGGCTTGCAAAAAAGTCTACTGGGCTCTAGTCATAAATTAAATGATAATGATACCGTAATCTTTTCCAGACACTTACTGTAATTCCAGCTACTGTAATTCCTTTCAGACATTTATGAGATTAAGGTAATCTTTCTGCTTTGGATTACGGTAACCTTTCCGCTTTGGATTACGGTAACCTTTCTGCTTTGGATTACGGTAGCCATTTCGCTTTGGATTACGGTCCTTTCTGCTTTGGATTACGGTAGCCTTTTCGCTTTGGATTACGGTAGTCTTTTCGCTTTGGATTACGGTAGCCATTTCGCTTTGGATTACGGTAGTCTTTTCGCTTTGGATTACGGTAGTCGGAGCTGCAGTACTTTTCCCATGAATTACGGTAACTATTGCTCTTTTATTTTCTCGACAACTTACAGTACCTGTCGACAACTGATCAACTGACAGATTACGGTAGAAATTGTGTCTTCAAAAATTCCGGATAATTTACTGTACTTTTACAGATTACGGTAGTCTATTTGCTGTACATTTATGGCGATTACCGTACTTTGTCTTTTTCGTCGATTACGGTAGCTATTGCTCTTCGTTTTGTGCATAACTTTGAGTAATTTTTGAGGTTTTCCTTTTGGATCACGGTATGGGTATTTCGTTAGCTGAATATCTTTTGTGTTAGAAATTTTTTTTGTTTTGTTTTTTTGTTTTCTTTTTTTTTTTATTTCAAAACTCGTAGCGAAATTTTGATGAAAAAAAGACTTGATTGAAAGGTGATTTTACAGCAAAAATGATATGTACAAAATTTGAATTTAAAAACTCTAATCTAAGACTAAAAATATTGAGAAAAAAGAGACACTACTGCTTGAGCACAACAAAAAAAAAATAGGAAACCTTTTTTTTTTTCTTTTTCTTTTCATCACCATTTGATTATTTTCACCAATTTGTGCCTTGGATAGCGACGAATTAGCAATTTTCGACACTCGTTGAAAATCAGAAGATAAAGACCGATGAATGGAGCGAAAGCCCAAACGAAACTGAAAAAAAGGAATGGTTTTTTGGGTTCATCCCCTCAAACTATCGATATTCTATCAACTTAGAGACATTTTTGACAAAATTTTTGGCCAAACTGGAAGTCACAGCGCATTTTGGTGGTCTAGAATAGGAATAAAGGCAAAATTGAGGAAAGTTTCGCCAAACTGGAAGTCACAGCGCATTTTGGTGGTTTAGAATAGGAATAAAGGCAAAATTGAGGAAAGTTTCGCCAAACTGGAAGTCACAGCGCATTTTGGTGGTCTAGAATAGGAATAAAGGCAAAATCGAGGAAAGTTTCGCCAAACTGGAAGTCACAGCGCATTTTGGGACCGTGAAATGAGAGAAATATTGAATTTTTTGTTTTATTGCTTCAAAATCAGCTTTGAAGCGTTGAAGTGAGCTCCAGATTAGCGAAAAATGAGAAAATTAGCAAAAATTGGCTTTTAGGAAACGCGTTTAGTTGAGAGACTAGAGATCCGAGCAGATTCTAGAGCTGATTCTAGAGCTGATTCTAGAACTGATTCTAGAGCTGATTCTGGGGCTGATTCTAGAGCTGATTTTAGAGCTGATTTTAGAGCTGATTTTAGAGCTGATTTTAGAGCTGATTCTAGAGCTGATTTTAGAGCTGGTTCTAGAGCTGATTCTGAAGCTGATTCTAAAGCTGATTCTAGAGCTGGTTCTAGAGCTGATTCTAGAGCTGGTTCTAGAGCTGATTCTAGAGCTGTTTTCTGGACTTGAAGTTCTCTAATGCTTGCAAACGATTTGTTTGAAAGATTCGAACAAACCCAGGCGGTGAGCGAATGTCCATCACGTATTGAGCGGCCGGCGTATAAACAAACATGATCAGCATTAGCACCTGAGTCGAGATTTTAGTTGGATAATCTTTGGGGATTTTGTTTAGTCGTTATTTAGTCGTTACTAGCCACAAGAGGCTTATTTTTTTTATTTTAGCCTCTCTAGAAAGTCTTTTCGGTCGTTTTCCTTTTGAAAAATAGCAAATTCAACAATTAATCGAAGATTTCAGAAATTTCTAGGCATTAATCGATAAAATTTCTTTTTATTAACGAATTGTTACTTCTCGTTTTCGGCGAAAATCCTCGATTGGCGCTTTAAAGCGTGGTAAAACTACCGTACCCCTCCCCAGCGCGAAATGTCTTTTTTTCATTCTTGCTCATTTCATTTTATTCTTTTTTCGTTTTTCTTTTGTTTTTTTTTGTTTTTCTAATGTTTCTTTCGTTTTTCTGATGTTTTTTTTCCTTTTTCTGATCTTTTTTCCTTTTTCTGATCGTTTTTCACGTTTCTTTTTGTAGGAAACAAAGAATAAAGCTAAATTACGCTTTTAATAGCATTTTCTATATCGAAAGCTTTGTTTAGGGTTTATCAAAAGCTTTGTTTAGTGTTTAGGGTTTAGGGTTTATTTAGACTCAATTAATGCCCTTGATGATCTGCTTCTCAATGACAACTAATGTTTAGTTACCCTAAAGTCTCGAGTATAAGTTCTGCCTTAATCTACATTTAAAGGGCTCTGATGGAAAATTTTCTTATTTCTTTCATTTTTGTTGTTTTTTTTATTTTACTAACGTTTTTTCACTTTAGATACGATGAGGAGAAAGTCGTACACCGCCGAAACGAAGCTCGAAGCGGTCAAATTTGCGAGGAAATTTGGAACGAACGCGGCTGCGATCGAATTTGAAGTCGCCGAACAGATGATTAACCGCTGGAAACAAGCTGAGCCGGCACTGATGACTTCACCAAAAAATAAGCGAGCTTTCCGAGGATTGAGGGCAAAATGGCCGGATGTGGAGAAAGATCTGTCGATCGTCGACGTGGGACTTTGGCCGGATGAAGAGGCCAGGGAGAGATCCATAAGACTGAGCACCGGAGAGGAGCAGGGCGGACGCGCCGAGCCACGCCCGGAGCAGCATAAAATTGCTATAACCCTCAATAAAATTCACCAAAAAATAAGCGAGCTTTCCGAGGATTGAGGGCAAAATGGCCGGATGTGGAGAAAGATCTGAAGGCATGGGTTCTGGAGAGGCGATCGAAACAACGAGCTGTAAATGGACCGGCAATGAAACGAGAAGCCATCAAGATTGCAACTAAACTTGGGATTCGTCCGTTTTCACCCAGCAATTCGTGGATTCAAAATTTCATGAGGTGGAATGGTTTGTCGATGCGGCGGAGGACGAGCGTTGGACAACCACTTCCAAAGGACTGTCAAAGCAAGAAATCATCTTTTCGATCGTTCTGTCGAGAATTTTATGATGTTTCACCAAACAATTTCGGAAATGGAAATTTAGACGAGGTTCCGGTTCCATTCGACATTGTTTCCAACCGAACAGTCGAAGTAAAAGGAAAGGATGATATTTCAATTGCTTCAACGGGAAATGAGAAGACGAATTTCACAGACGAATTTCACAGCTTCTCGATGCCAACTAATGTTAAGTTAAGTGCTTTTTATCATTTTCTATTAGGTTGATGCAAAAGTCTTTTTCATTTCCTATTTTGCACTCTACGAAAACAATTAACGGCAGAGTCAATTATCTGTCAATGTGGTCAATTACTAGTAAACATCTGCTCTACAGATCATACTTCATCATCCTCCTATCAGTTATTATTTACAGCAAAAATGGCGACTTAACATCACCTAATTCGAGCTGCTTTACTCTATGACTACAAACAAGGCAAGTCCGCTGCGGAATCTCATCGGATCATTCTGCAAGTATTCAAAGATGAAAGCTATACACTTGCCAATTGTGAAAAATGGTCTCGACGTTTCCGAGAAGGCAATGAGGATCTTGAGGATGAGCCCCGATCCGGACGCCCCCATGCAGGAATCGACGACGAACTCTTGGATGCCATTGCCCGGGATCCAACGCTGACAACTCGAGAATTGGGAGAAATATTTGACGTAGATCAATCTACAATTGTACGCCATCTTCATGCTTTGGGCAAAAAGAATCGATCCGGGAAATGGGTCCCTCATCAATTGTCTCAGTCAGACAAGCTTTCGAGGATGAACATCTGCACTATTCTTATTCAGCTATCGAAAGGACGGGATTTTTGGAAGTCTCTTCTGACTTGCGATGAAACTTGGATTCTATACGATGATCCAAAACTAAAAAAACAGTGGCTTTCACCCGGACAATCGCCGATTCCAACACCCAAACCGGATATTCATGGACGGAAGATCATGCTCTCGATGTGGTGGAACTACCAAGGCTTGATCTATTACGAGCTGATAAATCCACAGAGGACTATTACTGCATCACTTTACAAACAACAACTGGATCGAGTCAATCAAAAACTGGATCGAAACACGCCCAAGGTCAGATTCATTCACGACAACGCCCGACCTCATACGGCAAACATTTCGCTTGACAAAATTGATGAAATTGGCTGGAAGCTTCTCCCTCATCCACCTTATAGCCCTGATCTTTCACCATCTGATTACCACTTATTCCGGTCGCTGAAGCCATTTCTGGGCGAGCGACTGTTCGACAATCATGCCGACAAAAAGATCGACGAGTATTTTGCTTCCAAAAACCCCGCGTTCTTCATGGATGGCCTCAAGGATCTAAGCAGAAGATGGCACAAGGTCCTCGATTACAATGGAGATTATTTTGAAGATTGATTATTATTATTGTGTACTTTTTTGAATAAAGAAGTTTTACCAAAAATGAAAAAGACTTTTGCATCAACCTAATATATCCAAAGCTTTGTTTTTGTGACTTTTTCACGCTATCTTTTATACATGCAAAATCGGTACGAGTTTTACCACGCTTTAAAGCGCAAACTCAGGATTTTCCCCGGAAAAAGCTAACATTTTCACACCTCGATAATGACGGCAAAGAATGAGACAACATTTGTGATCCCGTGACGAAAAACCGAAACGCGACGAGTCGTGCAATTGCACAAATGAAACACCTGAACATTTCAAAGTGTACAGAGTGAAAAAGCTTGATTCTCGATTATCAAATTCAGCATTAAAATAACAGAAAAAAAAACTATCAAACACTGGATTTTCTTATTGAAATTATTGAAATTATGCGTTAAATTTAAGCAAAAATCTAGTCTTTTAATTGCCAGAATCAATCTAAATGTATATTGCAAAGTTTTGAAGGAAAAGAAAGCGGCAAGAGGAGTCGAACCCAGGACCTCTCTCTCTTCCGTTCGTTTTGTGAGACGTTTGATGGACCAATCGGCCACCCGATAGCGCAACGCGAGCGCACTTGTCTCTAGCCCACACGACGGGGGTTCGACTCCCGCCTGTGTCAGCATTTTTGGTTTTTTTGGGAATTTAAAAACATTTTTCACGACTGGATGGAATTCTAAGCTAAATTAGCTATAAAAGATTGAATTTAAACGTTTGAAAAGGCTGAACACTTGCCCATAAAAGAGAAGCTCATTCTTGATCCTTCAACTGCTCTTTCTCCATTGAATTACTCAATTGTATGACTTTTTTGATTCACCTGACTCATCACCAATGTGATTTGCCATGCAGCGGCTGCTTGTCCCTTGATATGCAATTGTTTTTCTTCGGTGTACGTCACATTGTGCACACTGTCGCCAATTGTTAGCGGTTGGGCGCCGACCTTAGTATAAGAGGATTTTTGAGAGGGGATTTTTTTTTTCGCTTCACAAACCTTCCAATGGTGTTCGGCTGTGTAGATGAGTTGCGAGAGGGGGATTTCGTTGTACCTATTCAAAGATTTTCTTGCAAAACAGTCACAAAAACAGCCACAAAAACCACAAAAACAAGGCCAAAGTCAAGTCCAAAGTCAAGCCCAAAGCCAAGCCCATAGTCAAGCCCAAAGTCAAGCCAAAACAAATTCCCATCCATTTTAGCCTTTAGAAAACGCCAGGGTCGCTATTTTCAGTTTACTTTTACTATACGGTGCAAGGATAAGAGAACTGAATCCCTGAATAGTTGAATAGCTGAATAGTTGAATAGCTGAATAGTTGAATAGCTGAATAGTTGCCCCCTACGTAAAACCAAAAAGCGTTAAAAAATAGCTGGATTCAGGGCTGATTAGCTGAATAGCTGATTAGCTGAATAGCTGAATAGCTGAATAGCTGAATAGCTGAATCGCAACTAGCTAAGCCGGCCAAATCCTATGTGAAATGGTCAGCACTTCTTGAAAAATGAAAATCCAAAGCCGGAACCGAACTTGCAAGGTCTCGCTCTAGAAACGAGCACTCTACCATTCTGGGGGCAGATGTGGCCACAGCTAGGCCACAGCTGCAACGAGTTAACTCCGTTGCATCGAAACCGTTAAAAAGCTGCAAAACCCAAATAATCACAACTCTAACAAAACTTTAACCCTTATAACTACTGACAGATTGCCATTTAACAAAAACCGAATATAGATTCGGAATCAGCGTCAAATTCTGCGTCGAATGGGATAGGTTGCATAGGATTTGGACAGCTGGATAGCATTCAAAGTTGTTGTTTAACTTAAAAAGTAGTCAGCTTTGGCTAGCTAGCTTGCTGTAGCTTATTGTAGCTTACTATGGCCCACTGTAGCTTATTGTAGCTTGCTGTAGCTTATGTAGCTCACTTTAGCTTAGACCCAGCTTCTTAAACTCACCAGTAAACGGATAGGAAAGCCAGGACGCATCCAACAGTGATCCCGCAGCCAGCAAAGAGATACGAGTACAGGATCAAGCCTAGACTCAAAGATGCAGCAACCCTTTATTCCTCAAAAATATGCACTTGCAAAGAAAACTCACTTTTACTCAACAATTTGGCACTTCGACTACGCGGAGGGGTGTGCATGATGTCTCTGAAAGCGGCCAACATCGTTGGAGATTATTCGAAAGGCAATTTTATTGAGCAAGGACAAGGGCAGGCTAGGGCCAAACCAGAAGCCAGGATCAAGGCCACGATGAAGACCAGGACCAAGGCTGCGATGAAGACCAGGATAAAAGCCAGGATCAAAGCTAGGATCGAAGCCAGGATCAAGGCCAGGACCAAGACCAGGCTAGGGTCAATGCCAGGGCCAGTCCAAGGGCAGGCCAGGGCCAGTCCAAGGGCAGGCTAGGGCCAAGGCCAGGATCAAAGCCAGGATCAAGGCCAGGCTAGGGTCAAGGCCAAGGCCAGTCCAAGGGCAGGCTAGGGCCAGGCCAGAAGCCAGGATCAAGCGCCTGTCCTAACCCTGCCGAACCTGACTATTCTCAAATTGTGATACCTTTCCGGTTGCTCATAAGCCAACGAGATCGCTGGTGGCATCTCAGAGGCCAAATCAACAGATAAAATCTAAAAAAAGCCATTCAAAAACTTGAAATATTCAGCCATAGAAATATTGAGCCATAAATATTCAGCTTTGATATAGAATTTGATATAGAATTGATGCATTTTGCAGGCTTTCCCGGGCCTCATATTTTCACCTGCAACGGGGACAATCCATGCGGTAATCCGAAGAGAAAAGTGAGCATAATCGGCACAACTTCGGGCCACAAATGAGCGAATGTGTAGGCGAGGGAAAGTCTGTAAAGGAAAGGTCATTTTCTCAGTGATTTGTCTCAGTGATTTGTCTCAAAGCTTCACTCCAGCTGAGCGTCTCTTTAATACCTCAAATTATCGAAGAGTAAACGCCCTTCTTCGATTCCCTGAACGATTGAGGCGAAATTGTCGTCGAGGAGCACGATGTCGGCCGTTTGTTTTGCGATATCACTGCCTAAAAACTTTCTTTTATCAAAGCCAGAGCCAGAGCCATAGAGATCAAAGCTATAGAGATGAATTAAAGAATTTCAATCTCAAACCCACCACTAATCCCAGTCGCAATGCCGACATTTGCGTGCGCTAATGCTGGCGCGTCGTCCACTCCACCGCCTGTCACTGCAACAACCTGAAGTTAGAGATTTGATTTGAAAAAGGTGCTTTAGTATTCAGATTGTACTTCAGATTGTACTTCTGTACAATCTGAAGTACAATCTTAAGAAATAATCTTGTCAAAAACGAGATTGAGCAACTGGGATCGAACCCGGATGGCCGAAGAGAGAGGGTCGAGCGAGAGACCGACGCACTGCGCCATGCTGACAGCTTGATGGTCTGCTTTTCCTCGTTCTTTGATCCCAAGGGTGGTTGAAAGGGTACAGCATCTTTAGCCTTGTCCAAAACGATCGAAAAGCTGCACGCGGGATCGAACTTGGATGGTTGGCACCCGAGAGATCCGCGTTCTGGCACTGCGCAAGGCTGAGACTTTGATGGGCTGCTTTAATCTCAAGGGTGATTAAAAGTATACAGCATCTTTAGCGCTAAGCTTGTCCAAAATGAGGTTAAGAGGCTGCATGCGGGATCGAACCCGGACGGCCGATGGGAGGGGGAGCTAGAAGCCGGCGCTCTGGCACTGCGCCATGCTGACAGCTTGATGAGCTGCTTTTTCTCGCGTTTTGACCTCGAGGGTGGTGTACAGCACCATTCTCAGTACTAATCTTGCCAAAAAAAGATCGAAAAGTTGTCCGCGGGATCGAACCCTGATGGCCGAAGGGATGGGCCGGAGCTAGAGGCCAGCGCTCTGGCACTGCGCTATGGTGATAGCTTGATGGGCTGCTTTTTCTCGCCCTTTGACCTCGAGTGTGATTGAAAGTTTCATCTTTTTTGAAAGTGTCATCATCTTCTAAGCTTGTCCAAAATGAGGTTGAGAAGCTGCATGCGGGATCGAACCCGGACGGCCGAAGAGCGAGGGTGGAGCTAGAGGCTGTCACTCTGGCATTGCGCTATGCTGATAGCTTGATGAGTTGCTTTTTCTCGCCCTTTAATCTTAAGGGCAATCGATCTATCCAAAATTAGCCAGAGGGCCAAAATTAGCTTTTGACTTAGATTAGGCTTAGATTAGACTTAGATTTTGATTGGTTTAAGTACCCGATCTTGCCAAAAGCAAGTTTACACGAGAAAGTGTGCGTTTAGACTCAAAAGTTCTGTTGGGTTGTTTTCAGGAGGATCTTCAGGAGAATGCTAGCTAGCCAACCAGCCAGACAGCCAGCCAACCAGCCAGAAAGCCAGCCAACCAGCCAGACAGCCAGCCAACCAGCCAGACAGCCAGCCAACCAGCCAGACAGCCAGCCAACCAGCCAGCCAGCCAGCCAACCAGCCAGCCAGCCAACCAGCCAGCCAGCCAACCAGCCAGCCAGCCAGCCAGCCAGCCAGACAGCCAGCTAGCCAGCCAGACAGCCAGCTAGCCAACCAGCCAGACAGCCAGCTAGCCAACCAGCCAGACAGCCAGCTAGCCAACCAGCCAGACAGCCAGCTAGCCAACCAGCCAGACAGCCAGCCAGCCAACCAGCCAGACAGCCAGCTAGCCAGCCAGACAGCCAGCTAGCCAACCAGCCAGACAGCCAGCCAGCCAACCAGCCAGCCAGCCAGCCAACCAGCCAGCCAGACAGAATTTTATCATCGAAACAAACCTCTCCCCGATTCTGACACTCTCGCACAATGCTCAGCTTCTCATCGGAATTCGTTCTAGAATCGACAAAAACCTTTTGCTTAACAGCTTCTCAAAAACAAAACCTCGCAAAAACAATATATTTATGTGCGAGCAGGTTGTCCCAATCTTCTTTCGAGTATTGCCCGAGTTGATCCCCGGTTACAACAGTCCAATCTTTCGTCCCACTTTTGACGCTTTTTGTTGAAAGATGCTAAAGATATAAAGGTATTTAATAGAAAATAATATAAAGCAAATTCTCAAATCCACTCCAACTTCTTTATAACTTCTACAATCGAACATAACGATCGATTTCTAATTAACGATCGATTTTGAGATTCTAAGATACCCTTAACTCCTGCGTAGCTGCCCAATTAGGTACAATCATTGCCCGCACAAGAGCTACGCAGCTAGAGCCCGCACAAGAGCCCGCACAAGAGCTACGCAGCTACGCATAGCTACACAGAAAATGTACTTTCTAGAATCGTTATATAGAAATTTTTGGTCCATTCAATATCGTTATAACTGTATTTTGTTTGTTTATTATCTTTTGATCACTAAATACATGTTAAAGCTTGCCAAATCATCGCCTTTTAGCTTGCCCAAACCTCTAGCCTGCAACTACCCTACCTCAGCTACAGTAATCAAGAAAAACTTGAGCAAATCTATGTATAGAGAGGTTACGGTAGCTCGGGAAAGCTCAGGCAAGCTCGGGCAAGCTCGGGCAAGCTCGGGCAAGCTTTAGAACAAGCATCCAATCGATTTTATTCTATATCTCGATGCTTGATCTCATTTTCTTTATTGTTAACGGCTTAGCGATGAATTCCTGCATTCCCAAGTATTTCTAAGTACTTTTAAGCACTAAATTCAAAGCACCAACCGGGGTATTCGTCTCGGAAATCAACCCAATCTGAATGGCGATTGCGGTGGCGGTGGTTGGATGATCGCCGGTGATCATGAAGACCTAAAGTTTAAATGAATCCCCTTATGCGTTTGGAAGGCTGTAAATGAGCTTGGAAGGCTGTAAATGAGTTTGGAAGGCTGTAAAGTTTTTTTAAAGTTTAGAGTTTTTAAATTTCAAAACAAGTGTTTTTAAAATCGATCTGCAGTAGGGTTTAAGCGTTTTTGATTTTTTGATGCAGCAAGGAAAGAAGGGAAGAAGGGAAGAAGGGAAAGAAAGAGCGCCGCCAAAACAACGCCGAGCAAAACAGCGACGAGCAAAACAGCAAAATTATCTTCTAGATTTTTGCTTTTGCTTTTTCTTTGCTGTTTTTAACTTTTTCTGTGCACTTTTTGTGTTTTTAGGGTAAAAAAAGGCGGAGAATTCGATTTAATTTTAAAATTTTTAGCTTTACGCATAGAAACCTGCGATAGCGTTTATTAAAGTGATTTTAACCAAAAATAACAAATTTTTTGATACAGCAAGGAAAGAAAGGAAGAAGGGGAAAGGAAGAAAGAAAGGAAGAAAGAAAGGAAGAAAGAAGGGAAGAAAGAAAGAAGGGAAGAAAGAAAGAAGGGAAGAAAGAAAGAAGGGAAGAAAGAAAGAAGGAAAGAAAGAAAGAAGGAAAGAAAGAAAGAAGGAAAGAAAGAAATAGGGGAAGAAAGAAAGAAAGGAAGGAAGAAAGGAAGTAAGGAAGAAAGGAAGTAAGGAAGTAAGGAAGTAAGGAAGGAAGTAAGGAAGGAAGTAAGGAAGTAAGGAAGAAAGGAGGTAAGGAAGAAAGGCGGTAAGGAAGAAAGGCGGTAAGGAAGAAAGGAAGAAAGGAAGTAAGGAAGAAAGGAAGAAAGGAAGTAAGGAAGTAAGTAAGTAAGGAAGAAAGGAAGTAAGGAAGTAAGGAAGGAAGTAAGGAAGTAAGGAAGTAAGGAAGAAAGGCGGTAAGGAAGAAAGGCGGTAAGGAAGAAAGGCGGTAAGGAAGAAAGGAAGAAAGGAAGTAAGGAAGTAAGGAAGTAAGTAAGTAAGGAAGAAAGGAAGTAAGGAAGTAAGGAAGAAAGGAAGTAAGGAAGAAAGGAAGTAAGGAAGAAAGGAAGAAAGGAAGAAAGGAAGTAAGGAAGAAAGGAAGAAAGGAAGTAAGGAAGTAAGGAAAGCGTAAAGAAACCAAGTTTCATCTGAGAAAATGAATTTTTTGGGGTGGTTTAATTACCCAAGTCAACCGATACTTCACCCAGGCCACTGTGCCAGATGGCACTTTTCCTTACGATCGACATGGAAAGAACGCACAACGTTTCCCCTCAGCAAATCTTCGTCGACAAAAAAATGCGATAACTTTTTTCGAATTGAATATTTTCTCAATTTTTTTTTCAGATCTTTAATCTACATTTATTTTGGAATATTTTCATATAAAAACTATGCAAATTATTTAATTAAAAGACTCTTTAAAAGCCGTCTAAAGATTGATAATTGATAAAGAGGAAAAAGAGTTAAAAACTCACTTTTTTTAGGTTTTAAAGTTATCTAGATCTTTATTAGAGACTATTAGAGACTCTTTTCTTTATTATAAATCGTTTAGAAACGTTAGAAAGTGTTTTTAAGGCTTTTAACTAGCGTTTTAAGCCTTTTAATTAGCATTTTAAGCCTTTTAACCCTTTTAACTAGCATTTTAAGCCTCTAAACTAGCTATTTAACCCTTTTAACCCTTTTAACTAGCATTTTAAGCCTATTAACTAGCATTTTAAGCCTCTAAACTAGCCTTTTAAGCCTTTTAACCCTTTTAACTGGCATTTTAACCCTTTTAACTACCATTTTAAGCCTCTAAACTAGCTATTTAACCCTTTTAAACCTTTTAACTAGCGTTTTAAGCCTTTTAACCCTTTTAACTAGCATCTTAAGCCTCTAAACTAGCATTTTAACCCTTTGAACTAGCCTTTTAAGCCTTTTAACTCACTTTTATCCCAGCTTGTTTACATTGTTGAATTGCTGGCGCTGTTTCTGGTCTAAATTCTTTATTTTAAACATTCTAAACCTTCTAAACAGCCATTTTAAACAGCCTAATTATCTAAAATCGAACCTAGGCGGATCCATAATTGCTGCCATTCCGAGAAACTCCAAATCTTCTGGCCATTTCTTTTCTTTCAATGATTCTGGCGGGAAAACTGAGCTCGTTTCGGCGTTGAAATGAATCTAGAGACTTTTTTCTATTAAAAAAACCGATATCTAGATATTTTATATATTAAACTATCAGTTTTATGTCTATTTTTCGAAAAAAAAACCTGCGCAAAAGCGATCACCCGACGTCCAGCGTGCCCGAATTGCTCCCAAGCTTCCTAGAAAAAAAACAACACTCTTTAAAAGCTTGCAAAGTTTAAAAATATAGAATATAGCTATAGGAATAGAAAAAACCGATTAATTATCGGGTTTTCTAGCTTTGAGCCTTTATCCCTGTCGTGCAATCGGGAGCGCGCTTGTCTACGGCCTATACAGCTGTCTACGGCCTATACAGCTGTCTACGGCCTATACAGCTGTCTACGGCCTATACAGCTCGTCTACGGCCCATCCAGCTCGTCTACGGCCCATCTAGCTCGTCGACGGCCCATCTAGCCCGTCTACGGCCCATCCAGCCCGTCTACGGCCCATCCAGCCCGTCTACGGCCCATCTAGCTCGTCTACGGCCTATGGAGCCCATAGAGGTTGACTAGCTAGCCAGCCAACCAGCCAGCCAACCAGCCAGCCAACCAGCCAGCCAACCAGCCAGCCAACCAGCCAGCCAGCCAGCCAGCCAACCAGCCAGCCAGCCAGCCAGCCAACCAGCCAGCCAACCAGCCAGCCAGCCAGCCAGCCAACCAGCCAGCCAACCAGCCAGCCATACCGAAATATCTTTGGCTCGAATCAATGCTAATCTAGCTCGAATGAATGCTAATCTAGATCGAATCTGGTACTAAACATTGACCTAGTGCTAGACCTAGATCTTGAAGTCCTCGAGTCTTGAATCTCGAGCCTTAACCCTGACGTCAGACTGAGAGCACGATCTAGCAATTGACCAAGCATGGTATTCTTTACAAACCTGAACTTCTGCTTTGAACTCATCATCGATCTCTTGTAGCCCATCCTTTGTTCGAACTCGGCTACAGTGTGAGAGAATCAACTCAGGCGCTCCTTTCATCAAAACGACAAAACGGGATTCTCCCTAAAATAATAAAGCTGAATCTAATAACTGCAATCTAATAACTGCAATCATTAAGCTATTCTATTGTAAAAACAAAACAAAACCTCAGCCGGTCTTTTTCCTTCGTCTTCATCCAACGTTTCAGCCAAACAACGAGCCACAACGAGTTGATATCGACGAACAGAGTTGAAAGGAACCTCGTGAACAACCTAAGAATGATATAGTAAGTTTTATAGACTCTGGTGTAGGCTAAGAAGAGACTAGGCCAGTCAACAGCTGTATCTAAGGCTACTAGAGTCTAGGCCGATCAGCAGCTGTATATAAGGCGGCCAACAGCTGTATCTAAGGCTACTAGAGTCTAGGCAGACTCAGAACTTGCAGGGAAACTAGCTCCGGACCTAGCTTCTCCCCTCTGCCTTTATCTGCCCTCTGCCTCTGTTCGATAAACCAGATCTAATAAAGTATTGTCACTTTAAAAGCACTTACTAAATATCTTTGTCGTATCGCTTCAACAGATGCTGTCAATTCAACGTATTTAGCCAATGCAACGTCTGAAGGGATTCCGAAAATATCTCCTCGTTTCCTCTTTGAACTCGCTTGCTTGGAAATTGTCTCCGATGGGGTCTAGAGCAATCAATGTCTAGAGCAAGCAATTCTGTACAATGTAGGCTTTCTGGCCGAACGCTTTGGCCGAACGCTTTGGCGCAACGAAAAACAAGAAGGAATAAGTTATTAACAAACCTTTTGCTTTACCCTTATGATGATCTGATCAATCCATTACTCATCAAATATCTTCAAAGCTTTCTCCTACTTATGCGCACTCCAGAAAGCTGAGGATTATTACCTCCAGAAAGCTGAGGGTACCATTGCTAAGGACCAGACGAGATTGTGATCCGATCACGTGATCGGTTCTCAATCTGGTTCAGCCACCTCCAAGTGAAATTCAGCCACTTCCAAGTGCTCAAAGTTGTGCAGTTGAATTACAAGTTGCAGTTGTGTGCAGTTGAATTTTAGAGTTCAGCCACCCAGCCTAAGCCTAAGCCAGCCTAAGCCTAAGCCTGCCGAAGCCAGCCTAGCCAGTCTGAGCCAGCCTGAGCCAGCCTGAGCCAGCCTAGCCAGCCTAGCCAGCCTAATCCAGCCTAGCCAGCCTAGCCAGCCTAGCCAGCCTAATCCAGCCTAGCCAGCCTAGCCAGCCTGAGCCAGCCTAGCCAGCCTAGCCAGCCTAATCCAGCCTAGCCAGCCTAGCCAGCCTAGCCAGCCTAATCCAGCCTAGCCAGCCTAGCCAGCCTGAGCCTGCCTAGCCAGCCTAGCCAGCCTAATCCAGCCTAGCCAGCCTGAGCCAGCCTGAGCCAGCCTAGCCAGCCTAGCCAGCCTAATCCAGCCTAGCCAGCCTAGCCAGCCTAATCCAGCCTAGCCAGCCTAGCCAGCCTGAGCCTGCCTAGCCAGCCTAGCCAGCCTAATCCAGCCTAGCCAGCCTGAGCCAGCCTAGCCAGCCTAATCCAGCCTAGCCAGCCTAAGCCAGCCTAAGCCAGCCTAGCCAGCCTAAGCCTAAGCTAGCCTAAGCTAGCCTAAGCCAGCCTAATCCAGTCTAATCCAGTCTAATCCAGTCTAAGCCAGCCTAGCCAGCCTAGCCAGCCTAAGCATTGCAATTACTGCAATTGTAAGCTTTTAAAGTATAGTTAATACAAATAAGAATCAAAATGATATCTTTGTTTGTTTAAAACTTTAAAACTAAAACTTTGTTTTGTTTAAAACTAACAGATTCCTCAGTCTTTCCCAGAGCTTCTAAATCAGCGGTGGAATTGCCAGCAGTGTGTAAACGAGGCGGCTGCGATTCGACACCAGTTTTTGGATCACTAAAAAAATCGATGACCAAAATCGATTAGTAATTTGGATTTTTTTCAATAAAAAATCCTTTATTTGCTGTAAATTTGGGTCAAAATTGAAAAATCTAAAAAAGAAGACGATCCCTTCATTTCATTTCCTCGTTAGCTCAAGCACTAGATCTTATTTCTTCTCCTTTACAATTCCCTCTTCTGTTTAAAGTTTAATCTATCGTTTAAAAGCTCTGTAATCAAAGCTTGAACACTTCTCTATTCTCCAAAAAAAAAAATCCCTAGCTTCTATAGATTATTGAAAACAAAACTTCTCAAAAGCTTACATAATCACAAATTTTTTCTTCATCGGCGCCATATAAAGTGCTTCAGAAGAAGCTTTTTCGAGAGCTCTTAGCGTTGAGACACGATACATTTTAGTCCGAGACTAAATTAAGGTTATAATGATGATGATGAGGATGATGATGATGATGATGATGAACTTCCTCTTCCTCCTCTTCCTCTTCCTCTTCCTCTTCCTCTTCTTCTTCATGATGATGATGATGATGATGAACTTCTTCTTCTTCTTCTTCATCATCATCTTCATCATCATCTTCATCTTCTTCCTCTTCTTCTTCTTCATGATGATGATGATGATGAACTTCCTCTTCTTCCTCTTCCTCTTCCTCTTCTTCTTCATCATGATGATGATGATGATGATGATGAACTTCCTCTTCTTCTTCTTCCTCTTCTTCTTCATGATCATCTTCATCTTCATCTTCCTCTTTTTCCTCATCCTCTTCCTCATCCTCATCCTCTTCCTCATCCTCATCCTCTTCCTCATCCTCTTCCTCATCCTCATCCTCTTCCTCATCCTCATCCTCATCCTCTTCCTCATCCTCATCCTCTTCCTCATCCTCTTCCTCATCCTCATCCTCTTCCTCATCCTCTTCATCATCCTCTTCCTCATCCTCTTCCTCATCCTCTTCCTCATCCTCTTCCTCATCCTCTTCCTCTTCCTCATCCTCTTCCTCATCCTCATCCTCTTCCTCATCCTCATCCTCTTCCTCATCCTCTTCCTCATCCTCATCCTCTTCCTCATCCTCTTCCTCATCCTCATCCTCTTCCTCATCCTCATCCTCTTCCTCATCCTCTTCCTCATCCTCATCCTCTTCCTCATCCTCTTCCTCATCCTCATCCTCTTCCTCATCCTCTTCCTCATCCTCATCCTCTTCCTCATCCTCTTCATCATCCTCTTCCTCATCCTCTTCCTCATCCTCTTCCTCATCCTCTTCCTCATCCTCTTCCTCATCCTCTTCCTCATCCTCTTCCTCATCCTCTTCCTCATCCTCTTCCTCATCCTCTTCCTCATCCTCTTCCTCATCCTCTTCCTCATCCCTCTTCCTCATCCTCTTCCCTCATCCTCTTCCTCATCCCTCTTCCTCATCCTCTTCCTCATCCTCTTCCTCATCCTCTTCCTCATCCTCTTCCCTCATCCTCTTCCTCATCCCTCTTCCCCATCCTCTTCCTCATCCTCTTCCCTCATCCTCTTCCTCATCCCTCTTCCCTCATCCTCTTCCTCATCCTCTTCCTCATCCTCTTCCTCATCCTCTTCCTCATCCTCTTCCTCATCCTCTTCCTCATCCTCTTCCTCATCCTCTTCCTCATCCTCTTCCTCATCCTCTTCCTCATCCTCTTCCTCATCTAAATGAAGACTCAAAGCTTTCTCACTTGATCAAATTGAGCCCGATTACAGACACTCATCACGGTGAGCATTTCAAGCAATGGAGACTCGACTTTTCCCTAAAAATTCCTATAAATATACTGTAGTTTTAGTAGTATTTAGGAGAAAATTGAATCAAATCAAGGATCGAATCAAATTGAATCAAATCTAGGATTAAATCAAAATCAAATCAAAGAGCAGACTCAAATAGTATCAAATCAAATAGTACCTTTCGAATAGCACGAATGTGTGGATTCTTTGAATCAACCATATTGCCTAAAGATTCACTTTTAATAGAATTCTATAGAGTTTCTAGAGATTCTATAGAGATTCGATAGAGATTTTAGGCTTGATGATCTAAAATAGAGCTAATGATCTAATGATTAGATGATCTAATGATCTGATGATCTAATGATCTGATGATCTAATGATCTAATGATCTAATGATCTAATGATCTAATGATCTAATGATCTAATGATCTAATGATTAGATGATCTAATGATCTAAAATACAGCTAGATTCGATTGAAATAAAGAATTCTGAGAATTGAGACAAAAAAGTTTCTCCGTGCCGCGAGTGGGAGTCGAACTTGAGGAGACTGAGGTGTCACCGCTTTTCTAGCCTAGCACACTAGCCATTCGGCCATGCAGGCAGTTAGAATGCTTTGAAATTATTTTCAGAGCTTTTTCTTTCAACTCCACCTGGTACATATTTCCCGTTAAACCACAAATCGGTGACAACCATTTGATTCTGCGTTAGTGTCCCAGTTTTATCGCTACAAATCACTGTAGCCGCGCCAAGCTCATCTAGAAAAAATCTTCTCGAAATTTCGAGAACAATCAACTCACCAATTAAATCCAATTTCTTTATATAAATGTTTTTTTGAGCGCAACGACGAGCAATGATTCTAAAATTTGATTTGATTGCTGGAGAAGTTTGAATGTAGTAGTCTAGCGTAGTCTAGCGTACTCTAGCGTAGTCTAGCGTACTCTAGCGTACTCTAGCGTAGTCTAGCGTACTCTAGCGTAGTCTGGCGTAGTCTAGCGTACTCTAGCGTAGTCTGGCGTAGTCTAGCGTAGTCTGGCGTAGTCTAGCGTACTCTAGCGTAGTCGGGGGTAGTCTAGCGTACTCTAGCGTAGTCTGGCGTAGTCTAGCGTAGTCTGGCGTAGTCTAGCGTACTCTAGCGTAGTCGGGGGTAGTCTAGCGTACTCTAGCGTAGTCTAGCGTAGTCTAGCGTACTCTAGCGTAGTCTAGCGTACTCTAGCGTAGTCTAGCGTACTCTAGCGTAGTCTGGCGTAGTCTAGCGTAGTCTGGCGTAGTCTAGCGTAGTCTGGCGTACTCTAGCGTAGTCTAGCGTACTCTAGCGTAGTCTGGCGTAGTCTAGCCTAGTCTGGCGTAGTCTAGCGTAGTCTGGCGTAGTCTAGCGTACTCTAGCGTACTCTAGCGTAGTCGGGGGTAGTCTAGCGTACTCTAGCGTAGTCTAGCGTAGTCTAGCGTAGTCTAAAACCCTATCTTACTGTAGGCCGTCATTCTGTCTGTTTTCTTCGTTATGGCGTAGTCTAGCGTAGTCCAAAAGCCTGTCTTACTGTAGTCCTACTGTAGGCTTACTATAGGCCGTTATTCTGTCTGTCTTTTTCCGTCTTCAAAAAAAGTTTGACGTGAGTCGGATTCGAACTCGAGTGGCCTGAGAGGCTTGTGGTCTTGTAGCCTAGCAGACTAACCACTAGACTATCAAAGCACTTGGGAGGGAGCTTTTGAAGGCCTCTTAAGGAGTCTAAGGGTCGGTTTAGACCAACCAGGAAGCCTGGTCTGGTTGGTTTGTGTTAAGAAGCTGTCAAAAGCTCCCTTCCCAACTGCTTTGATAGTCTAGTGGATAGTGAGCTTGTCTACAAAACCCATCAGCCCTTTTGTCCCTCAAGTTCGAGTCCAACTCTTGTCAAGGGGGCTTTGAAAAGCCAATTTGACTCGCCTTTCCCTTTCTTTTCTCAGCCGCTTTTCTCAATTGTTTACCGACTTTCCTCCATTTCAGAATAACTTTCTTTCTTCGAACTTCTTTCTTAACTTCTAATAACTTTCTTTTTACCTCAATTGCGAGAGAACTGTAGCTGGTAAACCCTGCGGAACATTGGCCACAATAATCACAAGAAAACCGGTTACAAAATGATCCAAAACGTTTTCAAATCTGAATTTATGACTTTTTTTCATAAAGTGTTTGCTAGGAAAGGTTTTTAAAGGTTTTGAAAGGGTTTTAAAGGGTTTTGAAAGGGTTTTAAAGGGTTTTAAAGGGTTTTAAAGGGTTTTGAAAGGGTTTTAAAGGGTTTTGAAAGGGTTTGAAAGGGTTTTAAAGGGTTTTGAAAGGGTTTGAAAGGGTTTTGAAAGGTTTTAAAAGGGTTTGAAAGGGTTTTGAAAGGCTTTCAAAGGCTCTCCGAGGCCTTTAAAGGTTTTCAAAGGGTTCTAAAGGCTTTTAAAAGCTTTCAAAGTCTTTCAAAGGCTCTCCGAGGCTCTCCGAGGCTTGCGAAGGCTTTGGAAAGCTTTCCAAGGTTTTCAAAGTCTTTCAAAAGCTTGCAAAGGCTTGCAAAGGCTTGCAAAGGCTTGCAAAGGCTTTCAAAGTCTTCACAAGGCTTTCCAAGGCTTTCCAAGGCTTTCGAAGGCTTTTTAAGGGTTTCAAAGGCTCTCAAAGGCTTTTCCGGACCTTCAAAGTCTTTCAAAGTCTTTCAAAAGCTTTCCAAGGCTTCCCAAGGCTTTCCAAGGCTTTCAAAGTCTTCCAAAAGCTTTCCAAGGCTTGCAAAGTCTCTCAAAGTCTCTCAAAGCCTTTCAAGGACCCTCAAAGTCTTTCAGCGCCTCGATTACCTCTAAATATTATCAAAAATTCCCGTAATCTTTCTTCAACACTATAGAATCTTTAGCTTAACGTTTAACTAATATAAAACTCTTTATAAAAGTTACCTAGCCACAATGCATCCAATAATGAACACCGCAGATGCCATACAGATTCCCAAAATGCTAATAAAGTCGACAAAACCGCTAAATTTTATATAAAATTCTTGAAATATAAAATGAAATCTCTAATTTTCGATATTTCTTTTAATTTTAGCTTTTTAAACATTACCGTAATTCTTTTTGTAGCTTTGATTGAGTCGGCGGGTGTTGAGAGTGCATTTCAGCGATTTCCCCAAGTACCTATTCTTTTAATTCTATCCAAAAAATACATAAAGATCGAATAAAATCATGAAAAAACCTTTATTTTTGAGTTTTTAAAGTAAAAAAGGCTTTTAAAGGCTTTTTAAAAGTTTTTAAAGACTTTAAATGTAAAGCTAACCGTGAATTTCCCTGTTCGAATCGCTACTCCAAGTCCATCGCCTTCTGTACAATAAGAGCCCTGAATTTTTTCGAGATTTCTTAAATGAGTGTTTAATTAAAAGGTAATTTAAATACATGTATGGCGTTGACGTTTACGAAATTCTGCCTTTAAGCAAAGATTTGTTAACAGCTAGCTGATAATGAATGATTAGCAGCTAGCCGTCAACAGCTAGCCGTTAATAGCTAGCCGATAATGAATCTTCGTTAACAACTAACCATTAACAACTACAGCTAGCCGTTAACAGCTACAGCTAGCCGCTAATAGCTACAGCTAGCCGTCCACAGCTAGCCGCTAATAGCTACAGCTAGCCGCTAATAGCTACAGCTAGCCGACCACAGCTACAGCTAGCCGTTAACAGCTAGCCGACCACAGCTACAGCTAGCCGTTAACAGCTAGCCGTCCACAGCTACGGCTAGCCGTTAATAGCTAGCCGTTAATAGCTAGCCGTTAATAGCTAGCCGTTAATAGCTGGCCGTCCACAGCTAGCCGTCCACAGCTAGCCGTCCACAGCTAGCCGTCCACAGCTAGCCGTCCACAGCTAGCCGTCCACAGCTAGCCGTTCACAGCTAGCCGTTCACAGCTAGCCGTTCACAGCTAGCCGTTCACAGCTAGCCGTTCACAGCTAGCCGTTCACAGCTAGCCGTTAACAAATGATTCCTTAACGACTAGCCGCTAACGAATCATTCGTTAACGGCTACGACATACATAAAATCCTTTTATTGACCTTAAAAGCGATATTTTTAGCGTCAAAGGCTGAAATATGAGCAGCTGCCATCATTGCTGTATATTCTGAAGCATTACGATGACCTGGAATTTGTTTTTGAAAGATTTTGGAAAGATTTTAGCGTCTAGAATTTTTTTGTTTAATATTATCTAGAGATTAGAGGTTCTAGAGCCTCTAGAGCTTCTAGAGGTCTAGAGATCTAGAGTTCTATCGGTTCTAGAGATTCTAGAGGTTCTAGATCTTCTCTAGACCTTGAGAAGCCATAAACTGAAGAAAACAGCAGACCTGTCACTTCGGAGGACTCGATCTTGAGACAATGCGCTTGCAAAAGTCGCACATCTGCCGGAATTCGTGACCCGGCTCTGGATTTAGCATTAGAAAGTGAAAAACCAAACGAAAACAGATTTGAGCCTTTCAGTTGATCACCTTATCAAAATGCCCCACCAAACCATTTCACTTTCGCTTAAATCTTTATTTTTAAAGCTTTAGTTGAACAAATCGTTCACAATAATGCAATTAAAGCAAGCACCTAAGCCCTTAATCTATAAAAAAACCCCATATAAGAAAAAACGAATCAATAATCGAGCTGACGGGATTGAACCCTTGACCTCTCGACTATGATACAAGGCTCTTAGCCAGTTGGCCATGAGGACCGAGCGGGCCCCTTCATGGAAACCGATCCTTATCTCAAGCTCTCTAGAAAAATGAAGATTAAGATTGATAAGATGTACTAAAATCCATCCATGATAAGATGTAACAACATCATTTTTCACGCTTGACCTTGGATGGGATCGAACCCTCGACCTTCCCCTCTTCCTGCTTCCTGCTCTAACCGACTGAGCTATGCGGTCTCGGTTTGCCGGAGAGGAAAAAGAGAATACAAGGGAAAGAATGGTAAAGAAACATTCAAATGCTCGATCTTGGATATGATCGAACCCTCGACCTCTCCAAGGCCCTTTCCGCTTCCCAAGCTGATGCTCTAACCGACTGAGCTATGTTTGCGTCTGTTTGCCAGGCAGGAAAAAGGGAATACAAAGAAATAAAGAATGGATGGAACCATCGACCTTGGATGGGATTGAACCCTCGACCTCCCCCTCCCCTTTCGGCTTCCTAACCCGGTGCTCTAACCGACTGAGCCATGGGGTCTCCGTTTGGCAGAGAAGAAAAAGAGAATAGAAGGGGAATTACAAGGGAAGTAAAGAATGGATCGAATCCTTGACCTTGGACGGGATTGAACCCTCGACCTTCCCGCCTTCCCGCTTCCCAAGTTGATGCTCTAACCGACTGAGCTATGCGGCCTCTGTTTGGCAGAGAGGAAAAAGGGAATACAAGGGAAATAGAGAATGGATCCAACCATTGACCTTGGACGGGATTGAACCCTCGACCTTCCCCCTCCCCCTCCCCTTCTGGCTTCCTAACCCGGTGCTCTAACCGACTGAGCTATGCGGCCTCTGTTTGGCAGAGAGGAAAAAGGGAATACAAGGGGAATACAAGGGAAATAAAGAACGGCAAAGAAAGGATCGAACTCTCCCTTGGATGGGATTGAACCCTCGACCTTCCCCCTTCCCAATTCGATGCTCTAACCGACTGAGCTATGCGGTCTCTGTTCCCCAGAGAAGAAAAAGAGAATACAAGGGAAATAAGTGACCGTATGACGACGATGTCCCCGACAACAACTTCGACCAAATCGATCTCTTTCTCTTCACAATCTCTGATCACAAACGCATTGATAGGAAGCAATTTTTTGAAATTTTGTTGTACCTAAATGAAAGTTTGAAAGTTATCACAAACGAATCACAAACAATTCGCGTTTTTCTTTCTTGATGAATTGACAGAGCTGACATAAAGAAGATAACGCCGAGAAGAATCGCGGCACAATAAAGATTGAGTGGTTCATTGAAACCGTGAGCCAAATGCACAAAATAGGTGATCACTGAGAGCATTGCAGCGCCTGGAAATCAGAATCTCTTTCTCTTGAATCAGTGCGCTAGAAAGCGTGCGTTTAGTAGCTTCAAAGTACTTACAAGTCTTTCAAAGTACTTAAAAGAAAGATCAGATAGATAAAGTAACACTTGCTAGATATCATTCGACGCAGAATTTCCCGCTGATTCCGAATCTCCTTTCCGTTTCTCATTTGAAGCACTCTATCAAAAGTTATTCGAGTTTAAAGTTAAACTCGAATAACTTTTGATAGAGTGCTTCAAATCAGAAATGGAAAAGAGATTCGGAATCAGGGGGAAATTCTGCGTCGATTGGCTTTTGGCTGATGTCATTTCAGTGCTATTTGAGCTTCTTTTGGAATTTCTTTTCACCTGTAAGTAGAACCCAGAATTTGAAGTGAAATTGAGAGACGAATGATCGAATCAGACTCGTCTCTTTCGGCGGATCGATCACATTCAAACCCCCATCTTTCAAACGTTTTCTAAAATCTCTAGAACTTTTAAAGATACTAAAAGCTTTTCTTTTTAATTTGTTAAATAATTCTAGTCTTGAAATGAAAGATCGAGTGAATTGAGTGTTATAGAAAGGAAGCTCTGACGATAAACGAGATGAGCAAGAAGATGTGAGAGAGGATCAAGCGCAGAGAATCCAGAATCCTGAATCCTGAATCCAGAATCTAGAATCCAGCATCCAGAATCCTCAATCCTCAATCCTGAATCCTGAATCCTGAATCCTGAATCCTCAATCCTGAATCCTGAATCCTGAATCCTGAATCCTGAATCCTGAATCCAGAATCCAGAATCCAGAATCCAGAATCCTGATTCCCAAAGCGAAAGCTTTTAGAATATATTAGAAGATAACAAAAGATAACAATAGCTTTTGAAAGTCGAGTTTTTAACTTTTCAAAAATGCACCTAGCCTCTTCTGACGTCAATCCATCCGAGCGAATCGGATCCGGCGCATAGATGAACGAATCCGGGTAAACATCCTGTAAATTGAATGTAACTTTAGATTTTACTTTAGATAAATATCGTAGAAGAAGTAAAAAGACTTTTGAAAACAAAATAGACTTTTTTCTTTGTTGTCGCGTAGGAGACGGACGGACGGACGGACGGACGGACGGACGGACTGACAGATAGACGGACGGACGGACGGACGGACGGACGGACAGATAGACGGACGGACGGACAGACAGATAGACGGGCAGACAGACAGACAGACAGACAGACAGACAGACAGACGAACGTTTTATTTTTTGTATATAGTAGATTAACTTTAATGGAAAAAAGCAGAGGGCGGACTCGAACTAGAGATGCTCCGCCTTGTATTCGAACGCACTGCCACTCAGCCACTACTGCCACTTTATTACTTTATTACTGTAGTATATTGTTTAACGTTGTAGTTTTATGATAAAAGAGATCTGATTTTATGCCTTAGGTAGACTCAAACCTGGAGCTGATTGATGGACAAATGATGTTCGACAAAAGAGCTCATCACATCGTTTCTAGCCTAGAATTCGGAGTCAGATTAGAGTTAGATTAGAGCTGAAGCTAGAGCTAGAACTAGGACTAGAGAACCAGAGCTAGAGCTAGAACTAGAACTAGAGCTAGAGCTAGAGCTAAAGCTAGAGCTAGAACTAGAGCTAGAACTAGAACTAGAGCTAGAACTAGAACTAGAACTAGAGCTAGAACTAGAACTAGATCTAGAACTAGAACTAGAGCTAGAACTAGAACTAGTCTTGTCAAAAGCGACGTCTTTTTGCAAGGATTGCTTTTATCCTTGTAAGGATCCAAGCTCTAAATTGCTAGCATTCGTGCTGGAGACTAACATCCGTAGTGGGGACTAAATCAGAACCAAATCATTCAAATTCCGCTTTTCAGTTCTGGTTCTCTGCTGGAGCTAGAGCTAGAACTAGAGCTAGAACTAGAACTAGAGCTAGAACTGGAGCTGGAGCTAGAGCTAGAGCTAGAGCTAGTACCTCATTTGCATCATGAGTATCGTGCCGAACTCTTCGACGTCGCGAGAAAAAGCGACTGATTCCGGACGATTGAGCTAAAGATTTTGTTATGCAAATCGATTTTAGAACTCGATTTTCTATCCTTATACAAAGATTACATAAGAAAAAAGAAAATCCAGTGATTTGAAGTTTTCGAAATCGTTTTAAAAGCCAAAATCCCCAACTTACCGTCATTTTTCGGCGTTGAAACGCTCGCCTTTTGGAAAGCCTCATTTCCGGTATCTAAAATTTGGAAATAACAAGGAAATAAGAGTTTATACAGTAGGCGAGAGCTTTGTTCAGCTCTCTACACGCTAGCACGAACAGCTGAAGCTACAGTAAGCTACAGTAAGCTACAGTAAGCCACAGTAAGCTACAGTAATCTTGTTTTACAGTGATACTGTAGCCTGTTTCTAGACGGATTTCTAGACAGATTTTCCAGACAGATTTTCCAGACGGATATGAAGATACGGTAAAGGCTCAGCTTCTTCCTGCTTCCTGCTTCAGCCCATGAAGCCCAAATGAAGCTTTGGCTATAAAGGTGTGCTTTTAGGGGTTACTGTAGCTATTTAAATAGCTTTAGCATAGCTCTAGCATAGCTTTATAGCTCTGGCATAGCTCTGGCATAGCTCTGGCATAGCTTTAGCATAGCTTTAGCATAGCTCTAGCATAGCTTTATAGCTCTGCTAGCTTCATAGCTCTGGCATAGCTCTGGCATAGCTTTATAGCTCTAGTATAACTTAACTAATAACTAATTCGTCTTCTAAAAGCGCCCCTTTTCTCTCGACTACCGTAATCAAGCCGCCTACCGTAGTCTAGACAAGATCGACTACCGTAATCAAGACGTCTACGTAATCCAGACAAGATCGACTACCGTAATTTAGACGTCTACCGTAATCAAGACGCCTACCGTAATCCAGACGTCTACCGTAATCCAGACAGGATCGACTACCGTAGTCCAGACGCATGCCGTAATCCAGACAAGATCCACTACCGTAATCCAGACGTCTACCGTAATCCAGACAAGATCGACTACCGTAGTCCAGACATAATCCAGACGCCTACCGTAACCCAAACATCTACCATAATCAAGCCATCTACCGTAATCAAGACAAGCTTACTGTAATCCAGTCGTCTACCGTAAACAAGACAAGATCGACTACCGTAATCCAGCCGCCTACCGTAAACAAGATAAGGTCGACTACCGTAATCTAGCCGCCTACCGTAAACAAGATAAGATTACCGTAATCAAGACGTCAGCTGTTTAAAGAACGTCTACAAGAAACGGATTGGACTCGTTAAACTTTGAAAAGACTCACCCAACACCATGACGATCAATGGGCGTATTTCATCTCGAAGCCAATTGAGTTGAAGCTGTAAGCCAATTGAGTTGAGTCCCAGCTCGAAAACTGGGACTCAACGAGAGCTGTAAGCCAGTTGAGTCCCAGCTCGAAAGCTGGGACTCAAAGAGAGCTGTAAGCCAGTTGAGTCCCAGCTCGAAAGCTGGGACTCAACGAAAGCTGTAAGCCAGTTGAGTCCCAGCTCGAAAACTGGGACCCAACGAAAGCTGTAAGCCAGTTGAGTCCCAGCTCGAAAACTGGGACCCAACGAAAGCTGTAAGCCAGTTGAGTCCCAGCTCGAAAGCTGGGACTCAACGAAAGCTGTAAGCCAGTTGAGTCCCAGCTCGAAAGCTGGGACTCAACGAGAGCTGTAAGTCAAACTCTTCAAAAAATTCAAAATAGCAAAGATCAGTGATGATTTTTGCGAAAATTCCCGATCAATTTTTAATCCTTTGATCTTTATTCGTTTATTCATCTTTTCAAACGAAAGTGATGTGATTTTTTTTGGGGAAAAATAATCCCTAAAGAGGTTTTTGCTAGGCGAGAAACCTTTTCTAGAAAGTTTTAAAACCTTTTTTGATTTCAACTAGCCAAAGAAGTTGTCAAAAAAGTTGTCAAAAAAGCTGCCAAAGATTAGCGACTTGTTTGGCTTTCAAACTAGACCAGTGACGACTTCTTCTTTGTCAAAAAAGCTGCTAAAAAAGTAAAAAGTCTAAAAAAGCTGCCAAAAATAGAAACACATCTCTTCTAGTGTACTGAATTTCTTTCTTTTCCAAAAGAATCAGAAATCAGTGCACTAGAAAGCTAATGTTAAAGCGGGGTTTTAGCGCTTAAAGTCAAAAAGAGATCGATTTAAAATCGAGGATTTGGCAGTGGTGGTGGGGTTTTGTGACGCGGGACAATGAAAGGGGGATTTCGCTGAGCTCAGCGAGTGCACAGACACTCAGCTAACCGCGTTACGCATCATTTATGGCATCATTTATGACAAAAAACGATCGCGATGCTGTTTTCTCTGTTTTTTTCTGTTTCCTTATTCGAAATCACTGGTCTATTTTGAAAATTCGGATAGTTAATCGCTCGAAATTCGTCACTTTTCGCGTTTTATCTCTAAAAAGCCATCAATTTTTGTTCAAAAACTAGCTCAATCCTCTAGACTAGCTCTATCCTCTAAACTAGCTCAATCCTCTAAACTAGCTCTATCCTCTAGACTAGCTCAATCCTCTAGACTAGCTCTATCCTCTAAACTAGCTCAATCCTCTAAACTAGCTCTATCCTCTAGACTAGCTCAATCCTCTAGACTAGCTCTATCCTCTAAACTAGCTCAATCCTCTAAACTAGCTCTATCCTCTAGACTAGCTCAATCCTCTAGACTAGCTCTATCCTCTAAACTAGCTCAATCCTCTAAACTAGCTCTATCCTCTAGACTAGCTCAATTTAGTCTAATTCTTATATCCAACTAAAGCTAGCTGATTCCCTTATTAAACAAAAAACAAAATTCGGATATGGATGCCTTTCGGAAAACGAATTAGACAAGAGGCAATGATTAGGGAAATTTAAATTGATATTCAGTTAAGATAAGAGAATTACAGTATCCCTGGATTTCTCTGGGATATTCAAGGATAGGGAAAGCTCGAACCCGACGTCAAGCCAAATGTGTATGGGAAGAAGTTTATGCTCTCGGTGCTCTGGGATTTGGAAGAGCCTATATACTGGGGACTTTTGGATAGCAAGCCAACCATCAACTCAATCAAATGTTTAATGTTTAATGATTTAATGTTTAATTCAAGTTTAATGATATTCAGTTAAGATAAGAGAATTACAGTATCCCAGGGAAATCCAGGGATACCGTAATTCTCTTGTCTTAACTGAATATCATTAAATCCAGGGATACTGTAATTCTCTTCTTAACTGAATATCATTAAACTTCGACGATAAAAGATCCACTTGAACTTTATCGTTTCGTAAACGTAAACACTCGGCGTCTAGCATACGGTGCATTGCTTCTGTGCGCCAGATGACGAAAGTTTACGCGAAAAATCTCAAAGTTCATGCGGGAAATCCTCGTCGAATTCCCGGGTTTTCCCTGGGTTTCAAGATCTGTTTCAAGTTTAACTTTTTCAAAAAAAAGATTTCCCCTAAAAGTGACGTGATGCGATGCGCAGCAGAGAGGAGAGCCGAAAATACTCATAAATTCGGTTTGAGTATTTTCGAGAGAGGAATCGGCGAGGTGAATCGACTGGGCTATGATCAGGGCACGTCGAAAAAAAAGAATAGACAAATAGTCAGAGGATTGGTGGGGGTAAATGATAAGTTCAAAAGGAATTGCAGATTAAAGGAATCGTAGATCCAAAATCAAATCATTAAAGAATTGCGAGTTTTAAACGATTTTGAAGAGATTTCACATTGACAGCTAAATGGATTGAACCCCTAAAATTCTTAACTTCTTGGAGCAAAGATTATTCTGGGTCGGGAAATCAATTGAAGGAAAGGAGAGACAAAAAAAAATAAATGGAAATTTGTCTCATAAAAGTTGAAGGGGCAAACTCGCGACAAAGGGGCGTTAATTTCCGTGCGCAATCAATTCCATTCATTCATTGAGAATGGGGAAAGGAGAGCGATTTTGAGATGAGAGAAAATGAGAAAGGCGGATGCGTGAGAGAGAATCACATCCATCACTCGAGAGAGAGAGACGAATTTTTGATCTCGAACTTGCATCGGTCTCTCTTTCTTTCTTTCTTGCGCACTCTTTTACATGATTCTTTTCGTCGGTGAGCAGATACTTGTCCGGATTTTGCAAGTGATAATCGGTAAATCTGTAAGCAATCCCACGTTTCACTTTACCTGCTACGATTGATTTACTGTTGATCCCATGCATTTTCCAGAAAAAAACCGGTTCTCAATCTAAATATGTTTACTTGAACGAAAAACAAAACTCAACAAATGAAATACAACAGAAAAATACGACTAAAAGCTAAGTTGCTGGTTACCAAGAAAGGAAACAGTACAGAGTATGTATAAGTGATTTGGAAGAAAATCTAAAGATTGATACAATTTCATTAATCACAAAAAGTATATTATAAATATGCAAGCTCGTAGGAGATGCTATAGGGGCAGAAAGTATCACAAACCAAGAACAAAATCAGTGTTGAGTCCATTGGATAGATTTCAGATCGATTCCTTCTTGCACCATCTCCCAGAGAGGTGAGAGCTCACGCAACCGATGTACCTCTTTCAGGCAAAGATCCACCGTGTGCCGCACCTAAAATACAATATTTGAAACTAGAAATATAGGTAAGTGCTCAAAGTTCATGCGCGCTGATCTTAAAAGCAAACTCTTTCAATTTGCATAACTCAATTTCCATTAAGACTGATAGGTCTTAATTTCTACAATTTACATTTAAAGGTCAAATAAAAGGAAACGTTTCTTGTGCCGATTATCATTCACTCGTCGACAATGTCTTCGGCTCGCTTCATTCCTTCTTCCTATTGCCACGAAGTCTGCGAGAAGCCGGCACCACGACCACCAGCTGCCCCAATCGTCGAAGAGGACCCCATAGAGGAGGAGGAGGAGGTACGCTTGTTTATTTGCTTTTTTTGTTTTTGCGTTAAATCAATTCATATTTTCTCTATTTCTACAGTAGACCCATTATTTTTCTTCTGAAAGCTCGTAGAGCTACAGTATTTTGCATTTCTTTAGATGGCTTCTACCCTGAGTGCTCCTCCACGTATGGTTATGACACGGGTGCCATCGACGACCTCGCAGCCAGCTCCACCACCTCGTGTCATGCAAATCCGACCCGAGCCGATCTACTCTTCGTATGCCCAGGGCGCCGTCATCCCTCCCGCCTACTATATGCAATATCGTCAGCCTGAACGTGTCGCTCCATCGACCCCAATTGCTCGTACTGCCGTTGAACAGGTTACTGTTTGCTTTCTTAAACATTCTATTGTTTTCTTTAGCCATCGACTCCGAATGTTCATGTGCACGATGATGAGACTTGTCCATACCGGCAACATGTGACCCCACAGAAGATTGCAGCCACTCCCCGTCGTCGATCCACCAACAACGCGCCACCACCACATCAAATTCCGCAAATGCTTGAAGCTGCTGAAGGATACACCTACGAGCCCTCTTCGTATGCGCTTGGTCAACTCAACGAGCAGCTTGCCCGTGCTCCCGCTGCTCATCCACTTGGCGCCAAGAAATCGAGTAAGCATTGTCGGATTTTTGTTCTTTTAGTCTTTTATTTTAGTTTATGCTCCAGTGGAACAGGAAATCGACGCTGGCGCTCCTTCATCAACTCCATCTTATGTTCAGACGACCATGGAGACCACACAGCCTCACTGGTCTCAGGCGAATGCTCAACTCGGCGTCCACAAGCACACTCCGATCCAGGCACCCGAAGTGAGTGAGCTGTGTTTCGGGGTTTTATTATTAGGATGGCTATGAGATTTTAATTGGTCAATTCTAGGCTTCAACTCCACGTGGTGTCCACTTCGCTCCATCGCAAGCTCAACCCGCCTACCCTCAAGAGACAATCGCAAAGACGCACAAAATGATAGCAGCGATGTCGGCTTATGTGGGAGGAGTTCCCAACGATCTCATGGCCGCCTATCAGACGGAAAATCTTCCATCCGCTTACCGGCAGAAGACGTACAAGGGCACTAATTACTTGAACCAGGTTAGCACTAAATTTTGTTCGCATCTACTGAACTTTTTTAGCAATCCGGTGGTCCGTCCGATTATCACTTCCAACACCAGCCATCACCACAAGCTTCAACAGTCACTGCGGATATTCAAGTACGTCTTTTCTTTTTGATTTTGCCATCTAAACTCTTTTTGTTAAGGATGATGAAGGTGCTAGTCGTTCTGGCATGGTGCCAGCTGGTGGACAAGATGCCGCCCTCAACATGGATCAGATGGGAATGGCTCTCGATGAAATCTATTCTCAGGTACTCGTTTTGGCTTTACTAAATCACTGAATTTGTATTTAGCTCCCCGGTCACGCTTTTGCTCCTTTGAACATGCCTCCCTGCTCGGAATACCAATTCGATCAACTCCAGGATTTGGCCAGCTGCTTCTGAGCAACGAAAAAGAAAAAGTTATCACCCATATATCCCTGTTTTTTCTTGCTAATTTGGCTGGTTAGCCGCTTTTTAACAACGGATCATTTTATGGGTGTACTGCTCTCGGGATTGTAATAAACGATTGTGTTAGAAGAGATTTTAAAGTCAAGTTTAACTCACGTCATTTTCGGTGGTAAAACGACCAATTCCAAAACGAATACTTGAATGGGCAAGATCTTCTTCGGCACCAATAGCACGCAATACATAGCTAAACATGGAAATGATGGAAAAGGAAATAATAAACTAGCAACGTAGAAATCTATGAACAACTTACGATGGTTCGAGTGAAGCAGAGGTGCAAGCAGAGCCCGATGAAAGCGCGATAGATTTCAAAGCCATCAATAATGATTCTCCTGAAAGGGCTAACTATCAATAGCTGAAAATTGAAATTTACCTTCCACATAGGCAAAACTCAAATTAACACAGCCAGGGTATGTCCTTTCAGGGTCACCATTTCTGATGATGTGTGGCAATTTCTTTTGAACACCATCAATCAGTAACTTCGAAAGGCGATCAACATGTGCTCGATCCATATCTTAAAATGTAAAATAAAGCGGCCGAATTTTTGAATTGAACTAACCCATTTCATCATTAGCAATTCGACACGCTTCTCCAATACCAACGCATAATGGCGTGGCTAGGGTCCCGCTGCGCATTCCTCGCTCTTGACCACCACCGCTGCAATTTTTAAACGCTTATTTGTACATTAACACCCAAATTTACCTCATCTGAGCCTCAAGACGGACTCTAGGCCTTCGTCTTACATACAATGCACCAACACCTATAAATACTTAAGTAGTAGTTGTCAAAAACCGTTTCTAAAATACCCTTTGGTCCGTATAGTTTGTGACCAGAAATGCTCATCAAATCAATCTTCATATCATTGACATCGATTGGAACCTAAAATATTAAATTGAATTGCTCAAAAAAATAGGTTGTTTACCTTTCCGGTTGCCTGCGCAGCATCAGTATGGAAATACACTTTCTTAGCTCGACATATTTCACCTATACAAAAACGATATTTTTAAATATTTTGATTAAATTACCAATTTCTTTCATGGGCTGAATTACGCCAATTTCATTGTTTACGAACATGATGCTGACCAAACAAGTTTCTGGAGTTATGGCCGCTTTCAGTGCCTAAAAGATTCCGGGTTAAATTTCGAAACGTTGCACCAACATTCAGATCAATGAGGCCGTTTGTTTCAACAGGTAGATACGTGACTTTGAATCCTTCAAGCTCAAGCTGTCGGCATGAATCCAAAACGCATTTATGCTCCTAAATAACAACCCTACCTTGTTACGTTTGTTAAGTTCAAATTTCGAAATTGAATTTACGCGCTATTTATCAACCGTTTGTACTGTGATCACATGATTTTTGCCAGCTTGTCGTTGAAATTTCGCCACTCCTTTCAAAGCGACATTATTCGACTCCGTTGCACCTGAGGTGAAAATTATCTGAAAATTCAAAATTGCTTGGCATATAACAATTTAAACTAACTTCTTTTGGGTCGGCTTTGATAAGATTGGCGACCTTCGCTCGAGCATCTTCAACAGCAGCTTCCGCTTTCCAGCTAAATGTTAATGATTAAAAATAATCCGCCTAAAGAGTACCCATAAGCGTGTGTTCTACTATGGGGATTTCCGAAGTCTTCAGTCATATAAGGCAGCATTGCGTCAACCACGCGTGGATCCTGAATTATTTAATAGCCGTTTTATTTTGCAAAATAAAAACCATGGGCGACGTTGCTTGCACATCTAGATAGATCGGAGCATTTGCGGCGAAGTTCGCCGGCACAGCAAGCTTCCTGGTCGATGTTATAACAAATGTCCTTAGGCCTCGCAACATTCTAAAGTGGTGAGAGTTATTACGAAAGCAAACTGATGAAACCGACGTAAACACTAATTTTATTGCGCAATAGCTATGGTTTATTGACATTTGAATTGATAAATAGTTGCGACCTTCTAAAAGATTTTTTGCTTTTTTGAGCAAGAAATTCAAACATTTTATTTGTTCAAAATAAATGTAACAACACAAATAAAGTGAACGACAGACTCCACGACCGCCAAAAAGTCTTAGCAAGGGGTATACGAACGCGGCAGCTGAATGCCTGGATCAATTGGACACAATTATCTGGCACAATAACAAAAATCAACATCTGGTTATAAAAATACACTATCTCAAAAAATAATAGGCATGTTGAGAATCAGACAAGATATTTTACAGGAGGTGAAAATGAATTTCTAGCGATTGCAAAAGAATCATATTGATTGTTTGAAGGCAACATCTAGGCTGCTGCGTTGACATTCATCTGTTGTGGTGGATGATGAATTGCTTGTGCACGTGGAGCAAGAAGTTGTGCACCATCAGCACGTTGTTCAACCACAGGCTAAAATGGTATTGCAAAAAAGTCTGTGATAGATCAATCAACATTTCTACATAGTTATGCAAGCCTGGATCAGAAACTCGCAACTACTCTTTTTAAGGCACCATAGATTCAAAATACTTACGCGGAAGTAGGGATGACACATAGCTTCATAAGCAGTCAAACGCTCAGCATGATCGTATCGAAGTAGTTTGTCCAAAAAGTCGATAGCCTCTTGTGTAACCTAAAACGTTTTGGATGAAAAAAAACCCCGCAACAACAAACCAGGTGCTGATTTTCCTGGTGCACAAAGCGTTCCCATCGTTTCCTTGAATGACGGCCCAAAATATCGTTGAAACGTGGATCAAGATCAATCTTAATAAGCAGGTTATATTTATTCTAAAATAAAAATAGGTACCTGATATTTCTCAATGTAGTCGTAGAGTTCTTCTGTTCCAAGCACTTTAGCAATACGCACAAGCTAAATGGTAAGGTTAAGATGGGCTAATCAGAAAGCAATTTACAGTTGACAAAATCTACCTGATCATAGTTGTCATGCCCATGGAAGAAGGGTTCCTTGCGGAAAATCATCGAAGCAAGCATGCATCCGAGAGACCACATATCCAATGAATAATCGTAAAATTGATAATCAACCAATAGTTCAGGCCCCTGAAAGCAATCTCATTTTAGTGTCAAAAGACGAAAAGATTTACCTTAAAGTATCGCGATGCTACACGAACATTGTATTCCTGATCAGGGTGATAGAACTCGGCCAATCCCCAATCAATCAGTCGCAACTGAAAAACATAAAAATTCCTGGTATTGAATTACCAATCATACCTCCCTCTTCTCATGATCAATCATCACATTGTGAGGCTTAACATCTCTAAATTTATCGGTTAGTAATAATATGAAACAACAAAAAACTCCCGGAATTTAAAAACCAACCTATGCATGATTCCCATCGAATGACAATAGTCAAGGGCCTAAAAAATAATCTTACAGGCTTCAACTCCATTTCATAAACAAACCCGTAGAAGCTCAAACAAATAGTAGCGGATATCGAAATCACTCAGCGTCTGATAGAGTTGCTTGAAGTCCGTGTTATTGACATATCTAAACGAAAAAAGTAATACATAATCAAAATTAAAGCTTACTCAAAAACAAGTGCTGGCGTTCGCGAGACGGGATCCTTGACCACATCAAGCAAGGAAATGATGTTTGTGCCTCCGCGGAGATTTTCAAGAATTTTTATTTCACGCTTGATCTTCTTCTTCTTGACCGGCTTCAAGATCTTCACAACACATTTGGCTTCTGCGCTGTCTGGAGTAGTGCGGATACCTTCGAAAACCTAAAGCCAGACGTTCATACCAATACACATCATTTAAACTTTCTGTTCAAAAGCTAGAACTTTTTCGCCGTAAATATTAAAAGCCATTACCTCAGAATACTTTCCTCTTCCAAGCTTGCGAACTAATTGATACTCGTCAATGTTTCCCCATTCAATAATATGGGTTTCGTAGTCCCAATAATCACGCGGGTTGTTTTGGTTAACCTAAATTTTACTGCATAGGACTAAAAATAAAACCACTAGCCTCAGGATAAACTTTAGCACGGCTAATAACGGGAGCCATCGAGATCCCGGGAGTTTTCCAAGCAAGAGATTCACACCTAAAAAAACAATCAGAATAGTTCGAAACGAGAAAATATTACACGGAGATTCAAATAAAGGCGTTTTGAAGCTATAGGGTTGTTTTGGGTTGGTTATGTGTCGATTAAAATGATGTCAGACTGTAATCAAATGAAATGCAGAGGCTTTAGATCAAAAGGAGGCTCCTACGGCGTTAAAACCATCAGGACTTCGACACGCGGACAGACTATTTCAAAGCGTTACGAAATTAGGAAATTTGGCGGCAAAAGACGTCGACTTTGTCTTTGACCATTAAAACATCGAGGAGTAAACGGTTGTAATCAAAGTTATCAATAACTTTGATGACAGCAACATCCGCAACAACAAATTGATGAAACGAATCAAAAAGATCAACTCGGCGAGAGCAGATCACCGAGAAAGTACGTGCGATTCGGCTTTCTGCAAGAAGCAAATCTTTTCTCAAAAATTGAGAACTCATTTCACGTGACAGTGCGAAGAGACGCGTGGCGAGACCCACTTTGGATTTGATGGGGGTGCCGCATTTGCTTTTGTTCGTGACCGCCGCGCGATTTTAGTCACCGCATTGGTACCTCGATGACCTCTGCAGTGATTGTAGTGAAAGAAAAATTTGCGCCAGAATGTTTTAATGCTGCAAAGGAAAGCGCGCGATAACTTCACAAAATTTGTGAATTTCTTTTGGCTGTCTCACTACTTTATACAGTTTATTTGGAGCTGCAAAATTCTCACTATTTTAATTGAATATTGTAACTTTTTAATGCATAAATAACCATTTCAGCAAAACTTCTCATTTTCCCGTTTCCCTTTGTTTCTTTCTTTAAACTTTTTAACTTTAACTTTAACTTTAACTTTAAAGTTATCATTTTCAGGAACTTTTCACCTTTTTCGATGTTGTAGCGTGAAAACTGCGATGTGGCTTTGCTTTGGTTACGGGTTAGCCTTGCTGACACTAGGTAATCTATTTCGCTGTTAAATTACCGTATTCTCTCTAATAGTAGTGCGCACTACTATTTTTTGAACCCCCTCCTGGACCGCAATACTATTAGAGAGTGCAGTACTATTAAAGAGTTTTATCATTTACCAAAGTAAGACAGATATAAACTTTATTCCAAAAATTCTTCCAATTCTTTCACGTACTCCTTTGGCTCCTTTTGACATACAGTTGTGGGCCGGCGAGTTGACAATTTGTGTCTTGACAAACAACAAAAAGATGTTTTTGCACTTTGCACAACAATTTTAGATTTTTTGCTAACTTTTTCATGTGAAGAATAGTTAATAAATGAATAAAAAAGCCTCACTTTTGCTTGCTTGAATAGCTTTAGAATGTCACATAAACATAAAGTCAAAAAGGTTTAGATGAAAAAGAAGCAAACATAAATTCAAATTTTCGTGGGTCCACTACTATTTTTTCAACCCCCTCCTGGACCGCAATACTATTAAAGAGTGCACCTCTATTAGAGAGAATACGGTAGATTCTATGAAGCTTTTCAGGTGCTGCTCTTAGTAATTTTGTCGACAACTATGAACAGCTCAATTATCCAACGATTTCGAGTGCGAGACGGAAACGATCGCTCAGTAATTATGGGCAGCCGATAAAATTCAATTTTAACTCCTATAATAGGTAAGTAGAGTTACCAAAGCTTTTTTTTATAACATTTTTAGGACTTTTCGCATTTCTCTTTTACCGGTAGATGATGTTAGTTCACCATTTCACGACTCTCATTTTATTGATGAGGATGGAAAATGGTTAGTGGTTTAGTAGTTTAATCTTTTAGTCGTACAAATAAATTTAATACAAATAATAATACAAATAAATAAATTTCAGGCTAGATATCGATCCGCCAAGCTTTCTCTATGATGGATTTGTTGAAGGTAAGACTTTTCTTATTCTAAAAAATCTCAACTCAAATATTAATGTGTGGATTTAGGTGATCCACATTCGAAAGTTTATGGATCAATTTTGGACGGTGTCTTTGAGGGTCATGTACATACTGGAGACGGACATTCGTTCACTATTGATAAGGCGGCAAAATATTTTGATATGGTAAGTCGTTTGCCTGCGAAATTGCGATAAAATGATGCGCTAAAGTAATTTGAAACAAAACTTTTAGGATTCGCGACCTACTCATTACCATTCGATCATTTATCATGACGATGAAATTAATCACAACAAAATGAGGATGAAACGGTATTATAAGGATTTCCAAAAGAACTTACCTATTTCAAATTTAGTGATGCATTGTTGAAAGAAGCAACACCAAATCTTCATGGATGTGCTCTAGATGAACCCACAAGGAAGGGTATGGAAAGGGTTCAAAGATCAGCGGAACCATCAAATTACTACCATCAACACAACATGTAAGCAGGAATAACTTCAAGCTCATAAATTTCGTATTCATTCGTTTAGGCGAACGAAACGATCACTTCAAAAAGACGACAATGGACTTTATAACGTGCGCACATGCTCGCTCTATCTTCAGGCCGATCACAAGTTGTATGAGCATATTCGAATGAAAGAAGGAAACAAAGATCCTATCAGGCAAGTGAATGGTTCGTTTTTAAAACCTTAATAGTTTAGAACACGAGAAGAAATCGTCAGTCTTTTCTACAACCATATCAAGGCTGTCAACGAGATCTACGAGGGAACTGATTTTAACGGGATTCGTGGTCTTCATTTTGTTATTCAACGAACCTCGGTATTTTATAAAAATGAATACACCAAAGCTATGCTGCTTTAGATCTACACTCCTGATTCATGTTTGAATGGTCGTGCAAAAGAAGGTGCGGACAATCCGTTTTGCGAAGAAAATGTGGATGTTTCAAACTTCTTGAATTTGAACTCTCAGAAGAATCACTCTGCTTTCTGCCTTGCTTATGCACTCACATTCCGGTATGTTTTAATTTCAAGGTCATTTTCATTCTTTATTTAGTGACTTTGTTGGTGGTACACTTGGTCTCGCATGGGTGGCAAGTCCTCAATTCAGTAAGTTTTTTTATCATCATTTATTGATTCACGATGAACTTATTACTTTAGACACTGCTGGTGGTGTTTGTCAAGTTTATCAGCGGTACAACGAAGGACCTCGCGGTTGGGTGTTCCGGAGTTTGAATACGGGCATCGTTACACTTGTTAATTATGGAAATAGGGTATTATCAATTTTCATTACTTTATTCGATGACTTGCTTTTTAGGTACCTGCACGAGTTTCTCAGTTAACGCTGGCCCATGAAATTGGACACAATTTTGGTTCACCGCACGATTTTCCGGCAGAATGTCAACCAGGTTGCTTTAGCTTTTGGACAACTGATTTTCTGGTTTAGGATTACCGTTGGGAAACTTCATCATGTTTGCCTCTGCTACCTCGGGAGACAAGCCAAATAATGCTAAATTTTCGTCATGCTCAATCAATAACATTAGTAGTGTGTTGCATGTGGTAAGCTTTATTTGTTCGCTTTTGCTCAAAAGTATCATAGGTTCTTTCTTCTGTGCCCGTGGATCCAACAAAGTATTCTGGACCAGTCGGACCACTAACAAAGCGCAATTGTTTCCAAGGTAAAAATTTTTTTTTAAAGTTGCATCTATTTTTTTACTTTAGAGCGGACATCGGCATTCTGTGGAAACCAAATTCATGAGCCTGGAGAAGAATGTGATTGTGGCTTTTCACAGGCAGATTGCGACCAAATGGCTGATCGGTTGGTGAAAACTTCTAATCATTAAAAAGAAGTTTTAGATGTTGTTATCCTCATGAGGGTCGTCTATCTGGACTTGGTACTCCTTGTAGAAGAAAACCTGGGGCTAAGTATCGTGGAAAGTTTTTACATATTTGTATTTTCCTCTTTAGATGCTCTCCTTCCGAAGGTTTCTGTTGTAATGGGGAATCATGCTCACTTTTCAGCGAAAGAGACTTCCGAGTTTGTCGACAGGTTTGAAAAGCTTCGTTGTTTCTCTTCAAAATGTTTTCCATTCAGGAATCCGAGTGTAGTGAACCACAAACATGTGACGGTCGATCAGCACAATGCCCACAAAGTCGCCCGAAAATTGATGGACTACCTTGCCAAGATTCTACAAAAGTAAACTGCTTTTCTGCTTTAAATTTTCTGGTAATTTAAGGTTTGCTCCGGTGGGTCTTGCAACGGATCGATTTGTGAAGCGGTCGGCTTACGCGATTGTTTCCTCACGGAAGGAAGACCCGAAGAACTTTGCTTCTTGGCATGCCTCAAGGAAGGAAGTATCGATTAAAATTTTTTTGCTTGTACTATTACATCGTCTAGAATGCATATCATCTGTTCTACTGCCAGAGTTTGCAAGTGATAGACGACAGTATCTTCAATCTGGTCGACAAGGAAAAGCAGGATTAAGCTTGCACCCTGGTAGTCCGTGCAATAACTACAAAGGTTGGCATACGAGAGTTGCAATAAAATTCTTGTTTTAGGCTATTGTGACATTTTCCGCAAATGTCGATCTGTTGATGCAAATGGACCATTAGCACGGCTGAAGAATCTTCTATTCAACAAGCGTACTTTTGATTCATTATCACAATGGATCCAGGTACTTTAATTTTTTTAATTACTGAAAAAACTTTTTAACTTTAGGAACGTTGGTGGGCTGTAGTGCTGGCTGGGCTTGCCTTGTTGATCTTCATGGCTCTTTTTGTCAAGTGCTGCGCTGTTCACACGCCTTCGACAAATCCGAACAAACCACCGCCGCTCAACATTTACCAAACACTTACTCGTCCAACAACTTTAATTGTGAGTGACTTTAATTTCTCTAATTACAAATTTTTATTTGTAGCGACAACGACGAAGACAGCAACAAGGAAATCGTCCGCCTGGGGCTGGCGGAGGCCCTCCCGGTCTAAACGCCCCTGGGAACAGGAGTTCAAGGCCAACGGCACCACCAATGCCGCAACAACCACCAATTCCTCTTGTGCCAACTGGGCCTTCAAGTAAGTTTTAAACTTAAAGCAGCATATTTATTACGGATAGGTGCGCCAGCAGTGATTGTTGTCGAACCACCGCCCCCATACACAGCGGCCGCAGATCCAGGCTCTGCACTTGGTGGCCCACCTCGTGGACATAGGTATTGCGTAAAGTATTTGATTTACTTCAGAGTAGCATGAAACATCAAACAAACTCTTATTTTAGAAAGAACAAACGACAAACGGCTGCTGATGCAAAGCCTAACGCCAAGAAGCCATCTCCAAAATCAAAAGCAACTCCGAGGTGAAATTGTATGTTTCATCTGTTTTTTTTATCTGCCTCGATCAGTTCTCTTAAATTACCTAACTGCCTCCATTACATTTTTTCACTTTCGACTTTGTGCTTATAAGGTTCATTCTGTAGTTGGTGCACAAATGACGACCTCCTGGTAATTTTTAGTCGCCCAAAATTTTGTCACATAAGGTTTTTTTGCACGTATTTGTCACGATTTTCTCTTTCCATTATAATCAAGTTAGGGTTAATCAATTGTCATTGTAATAATATTTACACCGAATCTCTACGTGGTATTTTTTTTTCCCATCTGCTTTCAACGACTCTCAACTACTGCAGCCAAATCTGGTATCATTCTCCCGTTTTTTTTTTCTTATGAACTCAATTTCTCCCCCACTTGTGGATCTTTCGTGTGCGTGTGTTTCTGATATACGATGAATTTGCGCCAGTCGCACTTACTTATTGTGATTAATTTGCTCTTTCTTTTTTTTTCGACAGTCCTCAAATTTGCGATATTGCCAAGTTTTCTGAATAAATGTATTTATGAGATGACAATTTTTCAGCTTTGAAGTTACACATCAAAAGGTTTACATGCATTTTTAGTAGAAACAAAAGTCCAATGCAAGGACATGTTTTCAAAATCTTGAAAGCTTTTCATGTGCTCTTTTTCTTAAAAAGTTGATTTGTCCTGTATTTTCTTTTAAAGTCATTGTTTTTAGTTAACGATGGATAGAAAAGAAAGTGGTCAAAATTTAGAAATCTTTGCGAAACACATCAAATTGCCGCTATTAGAGCCGTCTCGAATTGGAGCATTTATTGGACCAAAAGGCTTCAATCTCAGATCAATTGAAGAAAAATATGACGTAAGGCTCACTTCTCTCACATCAAAAATCGCATCTTTTTAGGTACATCTTCATTTTAAACCCGAACAATCACTCGAAATTATCGGCCCAACTGACAAAGCAGTCGAACTTGGTGAAATCGCCGTAGAAAAACTCGTGGTAAAATTGGTATTCGAAAATTGAATCTTTTTTTTTATATAGCTAGGTCTCTTTGCTACTGGGTGCTCACATACCATTGCTATACCATCGAAAATGATTGGATTTTTGATTGGTATATTTATTTGAGTTTATGTAATTGATCAAAAATATATTCAGGATCTAAGGGAAAAACGATCACCGACATTCGAACAAGATCCGGTGTTAAAATTGAAATCCTGGGCAAGCGAGAAAAGAAAGCCGAAGAAAGCAATACAGCAATTCGACAAGAAAATGTATCGGTAGAAAAATTATGAATTTATCCTTTCAGTCAATTCTATTTATGAATTTATCCTTTCAGTCAACTCCAGCAAATTTTGTTGATGAGAATGGACTTGAATTTACACGTGTTATAATTTACGGTAAGATAGTTTTATGGGGGGTAGTCAAAACAGCGCCATAATAGAAAACGTTGAAAACAGCGCCGTCAAATTTCTCACACTCCAAAAGCCAAGCCGGTGCAAGTTTTATATCAAAAAATTCCTTGCGTTCTTGGCTACATGATGGGTGAAACAGTTTTTAAAAAAAGTTAATATTTCATAGATAAAAATAACACTCAAAATGGGTCTCTAAAGATATTCAGTTAACCAACTGAGTATCACTCGACACACATTTTAAGTGCTCTTTTTATCTATGAAATATTAACTTTTTTTAAAAACTGTTTCACCCATCATGTAGCCAAGAACGCAAGGAATTTTTTGATATAAAACTTGAACCGGCTTGGTTTTTTGGATTTTGAGAAATTTGACGGCGCTGTTTTGAACGTTTTCTATTATGGCGCTGTTTTGACTACCCCCCAGTTTTATGTTCAATGATGATTCAAAGTCTAGGTGATTACGCGAACATTCGTATTGCTTTAACGATGATATCGGGTCATCTTGGAGATTTTGGCAAAGAATTTGTTCACAACAATACAAAGTTGTCTTTTTGCTTTTTGCTACATTCTTAAACACTTGTCTTTTAGGAAAATGGAATTTTTCGAGCATTGGAATGAAGTGAAAGAGTGCAATTAAATTTTTTGTTATTAAGAATTTCTCAATTTTAGTTAATTTCCCAATTTTATCTAGTTGTTATTTTACTTTGTACAGATTTTATAATAAAAAATTATGTCTGAAATTGGTTTCTAACGTTTATTTCATTTCAATGATGAAAATATTTGCATTGAGTGGCCAAAAGTTATTTATTTTTCTTGTTATCTTGGCCAAAAGTTATTGATTTTTAAGTTTAGATAATGCGTGGTGGAAGTCGTCCACCGAAATGGGTGCCACGCGGTACTCCAAAAACCCGTGGAGCTCAACGGGTATCATTTTAACTGGGATAAAATAGATCTAGATTAGCTGGATTACGGTATTCACTCTACAATAAGGTATTCAGTCTAGATTATCTGGATCACGGTATTCAGCCTAGAATGGGGTGTTCAGTCTAGCTCAAAGTATTCAGTCTGGATTACGGTATTCAGTTTAGATTTGGTATTCGGTATAGATTGGCTAGATTATGGTATTCAGTCTGGAATAGGGTATTCAATCCAGAATAAGGTTTACAGTCTAGCGTATCTGGATTACATATTTTTAGGTTGTTCAAGCAATCTCCGTCCTTCAATGTTGGGCTCAGAAAGCAGCGCAAGAGCAACAAAGAACAAAGCAATTGCGTCAACAAAATCCCAGTATGTTTTTATCACGAATTTTCATGAGATTCACAAGCTTAGGTTATATGTCTAACGATGTGGTGGTGCTAGACGACAGTATTGACGATTTTGATGTTCAACCGTCTACTAGTGGAGGTCAGTGAAAAAGTTGTTTCAACTTCAAATTTTCCCCCTTCAGAAATACCACCTTCATTGCCGAAAATTCCCCGCCAATTCCCCAGCACTGTCGCAAAGACTACGAAGAAAAATAAAAGTGAGCGACCAGTAAGGTAAAAATTTTTCTGGTGTTTAAAATATTGTCTTTTAAAATTTAGCGAGATTCAACTCCAAGAAAAGAGGGCCGATTTAAGAGCACTGAAAGAGATACATTTCCCGATTGGTATGACGAATCAGTTGCATTAAAGAATAAAACTTTAGCGGAAATCACAAGAGAATGGGAAAGAGAAGCTGTGAAGGCGGCTGTGAGTCACAACCTCGGAATTTCGATACCTTACGATACGTCGGGAGCTCATATTGTTGCTACTCTTTGTTACAATTTTCTCAGGTTTGTCAAATGTTATCTTGTGCAGATCGTGTATCAGTATTTAACTTTTTAGATGGTTCCCTGAATGTTGTTGTTTATGCACTGCTCGTAGCGCAAATCATTTGGAAGCTCTGCGTGAACGATTTCAATATGTTGGAATTCCGGACACGGAGCTTACTGTAACTTGTTTGTTTCGTTTTCTATAATAATCTATTTTAGGAAATCGATAATGCGACTAGCTTCAAAAAGTTGAAAACTCATCAAATTGGACGTCTTCTTCTTGGGAGTTCGCAGGTTTATAAGAAATTTAAACTAAATCAAGTTTTTTTTTTTATCTAGACGCTTACAAGTGTTTGCGAAACCAGCCCGGAAGTGGCTGCTTCCGTCTGTTGTGTCATTTTTAATTTTGAAAGCCCCACAGAAACGGCCACAAAATACAAAAGCTTTTGGAGCTTGTGGGAGCGATGGTTTTTCTATCTGTTTTATTTAAAAGTAACCCTTTTTTGCTAGGTGGCGGGAAATTTATGTCGAGCGGTAGTTGTTGCTCCACGCCATGCAACGCCACAAAGAAAGAATTCAGCGCTGAGTGGACGACAATTGATAATCACAAATCTTGGTTTATCCGGCTGGTTACAGGTAGCTTCAGAAGAACTTTATAAAACTGTTTATTTAGTTTGGCCCATCCGATCCGACGTATCGAACATATCATGTTAGTCCACGTGTTGGTGTCGAGTATTGGGACAAACAGGGTCCTGGTAGCGCTTCTATGGATAGTAGTTGGGCGGATATTTGGAAAGAGGTACCTTGTTAGCACGATTTGGAATTACCGGAAACGCTGTAATAGAGCGACGCCCTATAGGAGCGTCACGTAGTCTAAGTTTACGCTCAAACAAATGCTCATATCTTGACACCAGTACGTTTGTTTCTTCTCGTTTAGGTACCAAATCAAAGAAGAGAAGATGAGTGATTTTTTTTGAGATATAACACATTTTTAAAAAATCATTAACCAGTGCTTAGAAAAAATGATTGAAAAGTGGCAAAAAAGAGCCGATTTTCAATCATTTTGTTCTATGCGCTTCAATCATCTCTCCTTAATTTCATACCCAAGCCCAAAAACAAAAGTACTGGTGTCGAGATATGAGCATTTGTTTGAGCGTAAACTTACGACTACGTGACGCTCCTATAGGGCATCGCTCTATTACAGCATTTACCGTAAGATCATTTAGACCACGAGAGATTTACTGCGAACCCTGGCTCGAGATCTGCCCATTTTGCCATCAATCGATCCCGATGAGTTGTTTTATGCTGACTGGAACCTTGTACTAGACGTATGTTGGACTAGTTTAGCTCTTGAAAGCGTAGAGCGTTAAAAACCATAAAGTTTTAATACTTTCAGTCTGCCAAAGGTTGCCCTGCGTCAGTGTCTACATTTGCTTTCTCATTGTATTTCATTATTCAAGCGTATCGGCATCTTGTAATCAGTGGTCCAAGGGTCTTTTACTTATACTGCCATCGTAAGTCTTTTAAAATGTTGTTTTAAGCCGAAAAATTTAAGAGAACTTGAACGCTTCTACAAATGAGGCTCTACAACTTCAAACTGTTATCGCATCGAATGAGGGTTTTCATAATGTTTATGAAGATATCCGAAATAAATACTCGTTTGTGGCAGGTTTGCTTATAGAATATTTGTGCTTACTTTTAATATTTTTTCTTTCTAGACAACGCATACAATGTCTCATACAAAGAGGAATCGATGAAATCACACCAAAAATGGATTCATTTGAGAAGGACCGTGGAAGATTTTATTTTAACAGGTCAGATTTTGGTACTGTACTGTTTCTGGAGTTTAACGCGTTTCTGGAGATAACCTTTATTCTATGAACTTCAAAATCTCGTAGTAATTCAGTTTTTCATTAGGACGTTCAATCAAAGGAGTAGTCTTATGCGATTCGACATGGAGTGCTCGTGTTGCAGCTGAGAGTATAAATGGAGTTGGCGAGGGTTCTGGGGTGAGTAGTTTTGTAGTAATTTTGCACTATAAAAAAGGGAGAGTTTCAACTCTAGTTTTAGCACGAAGTGACCGTTGTCCACGCGGTGATCGATGAAAATAATGTCGAAGGTAATTTGTTTTTGTTGCCAATGATTGAGTAACTTTAGATGTTGCTTTTCGACCGTTTCATAAAACTCTTCAAGGAATTCCGCAGTTATTCCAACGGGTTTATTTAATTTATACTTTAATAAATAATTGAAGATCTTAAGCCAACGTCAACGATTGCTATTATTCGCACCGATTTGCCGCTTGTGATGAAAGTGCTTGATCAAATCGCGAATTCTTTTCCACAATTTGTCATCAGCGTCGATAGACAGTAAGCTATTAAGCAATAAGCATTAAATAAGCTATTAAGCAAATTTTTGTCTCCTTTTAGATCACTTTCTTGGATTCCGCTACATACAACTGAACACAGTGCGATGCTCTCGGAACGTTACGAAAAATTGGTTGGTAATAAGTTGCTTAAAAATACCGTAATCTATTGAAGCTATTGAAGGTATAGCTATTGAAAAGCCTATGGCTCTTGTTTAAGTTCATGCGATTATTTAGAGGCCCACTGACGGTCATATCCGACAAGAGTGGGCTCTTAACGATACCGCGGCGAGATACGAGGCACTTTCAATTTGTGACGCGTAATCGATCATTTCATTGTCGAATTAATAGCATAATATTCAGATTTGACTTCCAGTATCACCCGTCTCCACTTTATTTTGAAGTTGAAAAGATGCAAACTCGAGAGTATTTCCATCGAGTCAAGGAACAAAGGTTGGTTTATTGAAATGTTTAAATGTTTTAAAACTTTTTATCCAGCGGAGTCGGAGATTATAAACTAAACTCAAGCGAAAAAGCTAACTACGATAGGATGGCTCTCGGCACTTTCCCGAAACCGAATCGAGTTTGTTTCTGCTAAGAATATAACTATATATATCTTTTAGGAGAGAGTACATCTTGGTGAGCTGACCGAGGATCAACTTTACTGGAACAAATTGGATCATTCGGGCTACGGAAAAGTTTGTAGACTTGTAAAAGTGCTGATAGAATGGTTCTAGGTATCGAACAGCCGATTGTCCATGCAAATGTTGAAGCAATTGACGGCAGAGAACTTCTCACTGACACCTGCCGAATTTGAATACGAAGAGCATCCGGATGTCATCGAAAAGCAAAAACAAATCGACTCGCTTCTTGGTCAACTTGATGATGCATTTCCGAGAATTTAGTACTTTTAATAAATTTTTTCAATCTAACATAGATTTTGATCGCTTTGTATGCTTTTAAAGTGCAGAATTATCTTTCACTGAATAACTTTTAAATTTGTGGAAAGCCAAGAAAATGGGACAAGTCACGAAAAGTTTTAATCCCTTTTTGAGATGTCGAACTTTTGCCTGCCCATTGTTAGCTTCTCCAGTTTGGCATCTGGAAATCCCTTGAATGAATATGCAAATCGTGTTAGAACAAATCCAAAAGATCCCAAAAGCATTCCTTTCTCAAGAGAATAAAGGTGAAAAACGTTTACTTCAGCACAACTTTGAATGGTGGCCGGTTTTGGGAAAAGAAAACCCGCCTGAGTGGTCACAAATGGTGAGAAACACTTTTTCTGAAATGGTACGGCCCATTGAACTTGCCATTTCGATTTTCTGAAGAAGAGAATTTCTATTGATGACCATTTTGGACTGGTTTTATGGTGAGTTTTTGAGGAAAGTACAGACAGTTTAGTGTAAAATAGGAAGTGTTGACAATGGTTCTTACAATCAGTTACAGTACTGAACAATCATTGAAATCCATAGCCTACAGTATTGTCTTGTTGTACAGTACTTACTCTACAATACTACCCTGTTACTACAGTACGCGGCTACTGTAGTAGATTGTAAGTATAGTACCCAGCTACCACTAAAACATCTTTTAAAAAACAACAAGCTAATAAAGAGTCAGAGCACTAGAAAGTGTGTGTTTGCATTTTAAACTCAAAGTCCACCTAGAACAAGCTTTTTTGGATAAGAAAAATTGTGTAATCACATGAAAAAAAAGTTTTCGATATTCGTTTCTCTTTTTCTCAATCAACTAAAGATACACAACGCATTAGTAGAAGGGAAAATGAGTGACCGAGTCTCGATCGAGAGAGAATTTCAAACAAGAATTCTCAGAAAGATTGCCAAAAGAATGCCCGAATTGCAGTTTTTTTTAGTTCCCTTCTTTCCATCATCACTCACATAATTGAGACTGGAATTGATGACTTTGAAGGGAAAAGATTTTGACTTCAAGGCAATTCTCTCGGAAATTCCGGTTTTTTTTTTTGCCATTTTCGACTTGAAATTCATCAGCGTGAGTGATTGGTGAAAGATTTTCGATTCTTTTTTTTTTTAAGCAAAATTTTTTTTAGAGACTTTTTTATCATTAGTCGTTTTGTTTGAAGCAAAAAAAAAAGTAAAAGTGTTTGGAGGCTAGCCGTCTCGAAACAGTCAGTGATTGAAGCTAAAACAACGAGTAGGCTTTTTAACTTTAACCAGTTGGTGATAGTGTCAAAAGTTAAGCCTCGTAAAAAGTGAGTTCACATTGAGGCGTTGGATTTTTCAGTGTCATAAGAGTTTTTAGCTGAATATCTCAAGATATTAAGCTTTAAAGCTATAATATCTTTTGGATAGTACGCTTTAAGTATCTGTAGCTCTGTGAATACAGGATTCTTTCTAATAGACTGAATAGCTTATGGAATTTAGCTTAGGGATTTAGCTTAGGGATTTAGCTTAGGGATTTAGCTTAGGGATTTAGCTTAGGGATTTAGCTTAGGGGATTTAGCTTAGGGATTCAGCTTAAGGGATTTACCTTAGGGATTTAGCTTAAGGGATTTAGCTTAAGGGATTTAGCTTAAGGGATTTACCTTAGGGATTTAGCTTAAGGGATTTAGCTTAGGGGATTCAGCTTAGGGGATTCAGCTTAGGGGATTCAGCTACAGTATCCCCTTCTAGTTTTATAACGATTCTTTTTTTTCCAATTCTCCAATTTTCCAATATTTTTGTGGATTTTCTCTTTCAAAAGTAAGAAATGAAATAAAGATTTATTTCGAATAAATACTAAGAATAAGATAAGAAAAAGATAAATAAAAATTGAGCACCGATTTTTGAGATGTTTAGAAAAGAAGATCAATGTGATAATCGACGGATTTTTTGTTGCTTCAAGGTCATTTTTAGCTCTCTTTTGTCAGAAGATCACTTATTTTCCGACGTATCCTTGAGGAGCCGCTGGGGGTGGAAGAGCGATTGGTGGGGGTGGTGGTGGGGCACCGATTGGGGCCTGGAAAAGGATTGAGTACGGTAAATGGATTCTGGACCGGACTACAGTAGTCGGCTACAGTCAGCTACGGTCAGCTACTGTATTCTAATGATTTACCTGAGCGTATCCTCCTCCGGATGGTGGTGGTGGTGGGAGAGCGTAGCCTCCGCCTCTGAAATTTCGATTTTGAATACAGGACACTTTAAAAACTAGGACACTCTTCTGGAAAACTCATTTCATTACAAAAGTGACTCACGATGGTGGGAGAGCTCCTCCGCATGGAGATCCGCACGATGGGGCACCACCTCCGCAGCAGCCACCGCCACCGCCGAGGCAAGCGAAAGCGCTTGAGATGAACAGGGAAAGGATCACGAATCGCATCTAGAAATGAGGAATTAGAGAAGCAAATAGATAAATTGTTTAGAATCTAGTTATTGTCAGATCACACAGGCTTATCAAGGCTAATTTCTGAATTTGGTTCCTTATCTCTCTAAATTTGGGCTCCAAGTGCCTAAAAGCCTTAGCTGAGCTAGCTGAGCCTAGACCAGCCTAAGCCAGCTTGAGCCTTAGCAAGCCTAAGAAAGCCCAAGCAAGCCCTACAGTAATCCCTAATCGCCACGGGAACTAGACAGTTTTCTACATTGCGGTAAAGAGATAGATCAGTATCTACAGTAAGTCAAATAAGAATAGAAATGAAGATATAGAGCAAGAAATAGAGCAAGAGATAGAGCACAGAATCTAGAGATACATAGAACCAATCTAGAGATCCGTAGAACCAATCTAGAGATCTATAGAACTTACCATAGTTGAGGAATAAGCTGAAGCTTGAGGGTTGAGCCTGGTGAGTTGGGTGATGGGTGATCTTAAATACAAGGTGGACAGGGTCCAGCCTGATGCTGAGCCACTGTCTCGACTCCACCCACAGACAAGTGGATCTTTCTTTCGGCTTTCTGAGATCTCTTTTTGGTTTGATGAAGTTGTAGACAAGCCAGCCAGTCGTCTTTTGCATTTCTTTTTGAAATCTTTCTTTTCATTTCATATCTGAGAAAGATTCAACACCTCAAAAGCCTTCTTTACCCCTCTCACCACATTCCAAACCTCTAGATCTTTCGATATCTATAAAGCTGAAGTCCTAGCACTCTCTAGTATCTTTTCTGTGATCTCTAGCATCTTTTCTGAGATCTCTAGCTTCTAGAGTTCTTATCGAGACCTCTTCCTTCAAAATCTCTCATCTTTTAGAGATCGAAGAGATCTAAGAAGCTCTGTCTTCTCTTTGTTCTTTCATCTCTTCTTTATCATCTATCTAGTTCTATCTTTCTTCCTCTTCCATCTTCTTCCTCTTCCATCTTCCTCTTCCATCTTCCTCTTCCAGCTTTCTTCCTCTTCCATCTTCTTCATTTAGTGATCCGGTTTCCCCCCTTCCTTGCCATTATTTCTTTTGTCGGGTTTGCCTGTCTCAACCTTTTCTTAGTGATTCCCATTTTCAGCCTTTTCTCAAGGCTAGACTGGTCTAGTCAAAGCTTCACCTCTTCCCTTCCCTTCTCTTCCTCTCCCTTCCCCTGCCTGCCCTCCCTTCCCTCCCTTCCCACCCTTCCCTTCCATCAAATGACAAACCCAGCACTGATTTCCAAAGGTTTCAATGAAGAATTGGAACTGGAATCGAGTTTTGCCTTTTAGCTTTGAATAGCTTTGAATATAGTGCTTAAAAGTGTAAATGGGATAATTTAAAGTCATCGGCTTTTTGTAAAGAAGCTTTTGTAAGGCTACAGGGAATCCAGAAATTGTGAACAAATCAAAAAACTTTTCCAGACTATCAATCTACTCGACGTGTAAAGAGGACCACTCGTAGTTAATCGACCAAAAAAAATGTCGATTAATCGAGTAAAAGATTAAAGGAAATTTTACTCGAGTCTCGCGTACTAGTCTAGTCGTACTAGTCGTACTAGTCTAGCCATACTAGTCGTACTAGTCGTACTAGTCGTACTAGTCTAGTCGTACTAGTCGTACTAGTCGTACTAGTCGTACTAGTCGTACTAGTCGTACTAGTCTAGTCGTACTAGTCGTACTAGTCGTACTAGTCTAGTCGTACTAGTCGTACTAGTCTAGTCGTACTAGTCGTACTAGTCGTACTAGTCTAGTCGTACTAGTCGTACTAGTCGTACTAGTCGTACTAGTCTAGTCGTACTAGTCGTACTAGTCGTACTAGTCGTACTAGTCTAGTCGTACTAGTCGTACTAGTCTAGTCGTACTAGTCGTACTAGTCTAGTCGTACTAGTCGTACTAGTCGTACTAGTCTAGTCGTACTAGTCGTACTAGTCTAGTCGTACTAGTCTAGTCGTACTAGTCGTACTAGTCTAGTCGTACTAGTCGTACTAGTCTAGTCGTACTAGTCTAGCCATACTAGTCGTACTAGTCTAGCCATACTAGTCGTACTAGTCGTACTAGTCGTACTAGTCGACGACAACATTCTAGTATTTATGATGGGAAAATCAAGGGTTAAGTGCAACAAAATGGCACCAAAATCATAAAGATTGGTCCACTTAGAAGAAAGTTATGGCGAGTTGCGCAAATAACCCAAAAAAAATGCGGAAACTAGCCTACCCCAGAAAAAGTTATCATTAAAGGTTACAAAGAAAAGTTATCATTAAAGTTTACAAAAAAAAATTTCTCATAATTGTCTCAATTTTTCAAATCTTTCTTTCGCTTTCATTTAATCGATTTTTCATCAAAGCCAGTTTATCAGATATATCTTTTTTGATTCTCCTTTAACTTTTAACGTCTTTAACTTTTAACGTCTTTAACATTTAACGTCAACGTCAACGTTTTAACGTGAACTCCTCCTTCAAAAAACATTTGTGGATTGTTTAATGAAAAATGAATTATTAAGATTTTAAGAATCAGTGAGAAAAGAAAAAAAAAGACGAGAAATGGATTTTTTAATGAGAAATTGAATGATGAAATTGTAACAAAACGCTTTTGAAAAATCTTTAGAATATCGCTTTAGAATTTAAGAATTACATTGTAGGATCACTTTTCTTTGTAAGCTTTATGATAACCTTGTCCTGTAAGCTTTATGATAACTCTTTCTTGTAACCTTTATGATAACTTTGTCCTGTAACCTTTATGATAACTATTCCTTATAAACTCATGTTTCTTTAGCGTTTCTTTAGCGTCAAGGCGTCAAGGATGATAAAAATCTGATTTCTCTTTGAATGATGTAATTTGTGAGAAGTTTTACATAAGCTTTAGCTGATTGAAGAAGAAAAAAAATGATGATTTTCGGGGGGGAAATAGAGAAAATCTCATGTAATATCGTTGATCTGTGTTCTTGCTTTTAGTCTAAGTCTTCTCTTTAGTCTAGTTCTTCTTCTGGCTTCTTCTTCTTCTTCTTCTTCTTCTTCTTCTTCTTCTTCTTCTTCTTCTTCTTCTTCTTCTTCTTCTTCTTCTTCTTCTTCTTCTTCTTCTTCTTCTTCTTCTTCTTCTTCTTCTGGCTTCTTCTTCTTCTTCTAGTTTCTTCTAGTTTCTTCTTGATACGAAGAATCTTTTTGTGATCAACTGCTCTTCGGTTTTGAAGATGTTTGAAGCTTTTGAAGATGTTTAAAGATGTTTAAAGATCGATTCTCTTGATGATCAACCTTTAAACTTATTCCCAGGTTGGTGAGGAAAGAAATCCCAGTTTTCCAGACTTTTCAGACTTTCCTTATTGATCTTATACGTAGATTCAATGAAATTGAAGATCTCCAAACGATTCCCGGCCCTAAAAACTCGAAAATTCACAGCTGAATATCCTTTTTTTAACATCAAAAAAGCAAAAGAGAAATCAGTAAATGACCGGCAAAGTGTGCTTTGTGCGCGCTCACAATCGCTCGCTTTCTGGCACACGCGCCCAATGGATAGTCTTCCTTTTTGGAGTGGCTCGCTTGTTCGTTTAGGACACCAAAAAATGGTTATGTTCTGGAGGATGCTCAACAAATCTTCCTGGAAAATCGTCTCCTTTCCACCCTCCGGATGTCACGAACGTCCAACTTGGGAATGTCGTCTGTTTAGGTCGTCTGTTTAGGTCGTCTCTTTAGGTCGTCTGTTTAGGTCGTCTGTTTAGGTCGTCTCTTTAGGTCGTCTGTTTAGGTCGTCTCTTTAGGTCGTCTCTTTAGGTCGTCTGTTTAGGTCGTCATTTTAGGTCGTCTGTTTAGGTCGTCTCTTTAGGTCGTCTTTTTAGGTCGTCTGTTTAGGTCGTCTCTTTAGGTCGTCTTTTTAGGTCGTCTGTTTAGGTCGTCTCTTTAGGTCGTCTTTTTAGGTCGTCTCTTTAGGTCGTCTTTTTAGGTCGTCTGTTTAGGTCGTCTCTTTAGGTCGTCTTTTTAGGTCGTCTGTTTAGGTCGTCTCTTTAGGTCGTCTGTTTAGGTCGTCTCTTTAGGTCGTCTTTTTAGGTCGTCTGTTTAGAGCACCAAACATTGTCTATCTATCGAAGAATGCTCAACAAATCTATCTGCAATATGGCCTCCTTTCCACCCTCCGGATGTCACGAGCGTCCAACTTGGGAATGTCATCTTTTTAGGTCGTCTGTCTAGCGCACCAAACATTGTCTATCTACCGAAGAATGCTGAACAAATCTGCCTGCAATATAGCCTCCTTTCCAACTCCCGACCTCACCACAGTCTATTTCATTTAATTTTGCCAATTTATTTTATCATTTCTAGCAAAAAATCTAATAAATAAACACGAAATAAATGAATTTTGTCGAAAAATTTTTAGTGGGATAGCCCATGATTTACTTCTTCTTTAAGGTGGAACAAGACTTATCTTATTCATTTTTTTACGGCCTTTCCGAATTAGCTTTTAGTTTTTTTTTTTTTTCAAAATAGCTTGGAAATGCAAGGAATTTGGTCTAGGAAACGCAAAATTTTAGGGATTTCCTTGTCGCTGCCACGCTTGTTAAAAATCTGTGCTTGTAGCTGAGAGGTAGTGCTTAGTTACAAAGTTTCTGACTTCAGTTTAACAACATTAAAACTAAAACTTTTTGGGATTTGTTTGCTTAATTTGTTAGCTTGATTTGTTAGCTTAAATTTGCCTTTATTTTTGATAGAAATTCTATATTCTGTTAAGCCATTGAAGCGCTTGAATTGTGGCTAAATTCAGCGTTTTCTCGCTCGATTTTCTCGGGATCTCTAAATTTGGTTCCTTATCTCTTTCCATAGTCTTTCCATGTCGATTGTGTGGAAAAAGTTTTATTTCCATTCCATTCATTGTCCATTCCATTCATTGTCCATTCCATAATCTTAAATACATCAAGCTTATTGTCTTGTTTTCTGAATATGCAAGCAAGCTGTAAATAAACAAGAAGAACTTTTCATTTGTCTTGCATTGTCTTGCATTCTTCACCGTTTTTCGGTTATCGTTATCGTTTATCGGTTGTCGAACATTTTAGCTTTGCCTCGCCCCTTTTCCCATTATCCTTTTGCCCAATCTAACTTTAAGCTCGAATATCTTTGGATCTCTGGATCTTTGGATCTTTGGATCTTTGGATCTTTGGATATCTTTGGATCTTTGGATCTTTGGATCTCTGGATCTTTGGATCTTTGGATATCTTTGGATCTTTGGATCTTTGGATATCTTTGGATCTTTGGATCTTTGGATCTTTGGATCTTTGGATATCTTTGGATCTCTGGATCTTTGGATCTTTGGATCTTTGGATCTTTGGATATCTTTGGATATCTTTGGATCTTTGGATCTTTGGATCTTTGGATATCTTTGGATCTCTGGATCTTTGGATCTTTGGATATCTTTGGATCTTTGGATCTTTGGATCTT